AGCAACCCAGCTACGTACAGGTCACTTCCCTACGACTAAGTCATACCGATACCGATTCAAACTAATCGACTCACCTAAATGCAGGACGTGCGGCGTAGATGATAGCATCTCGCACAGAGTATTTATATGTAGAAGACACATAATGGCAAGAATCACCTTGCGAAGAAAGATAACCAAGATCAACATTCGGTTCGAATTAGGTCCAATGCTCAGGAACGCACAAGCTCTTCAAGCCCTTTACGAGTTTTTCAAACCACAATTGACTACGTACCCAAGATACTCCGGTGGTTCGGCGTAACCGAGAAAATTCCCGGACACGCAAATCATCAAGACATTTTACGACACTAGTCAAGAAACGCTTCCTACCAATTCAACATGCCATTCAAATCCTCATGCTTTAAGAAGTATTGATGGACGCAGTTTAACTTTGTATCGTCTTAACAATATATTTAGATTTCATCATCATCATCATCATCAAAACATAAGTTTTACCGCTGTCAGAATACCGATACAGAGCTGGACATACAGCATCATTTAATAACTAGCGACAAAAAGGGACAGGCAATTACGCACAGATACTCGGGCAACAACAATGGATACGGGCAAGAGAAACGGATGTACGGCCAACAACAATGATATTCGAGCAACAATGAAAACTATATAAGAAATCATATCTTGTACCAAAAACGCTATCTACTTAAGATCACATTATACTTAATACCTTTTCAACCAATAATAACGCGCGTTTGATATTCCCAAACCAACAACCGCAAGTGACTACATGCTCAAGATACTCCAGTGGATTGGCATGACCGAGACTAAACGAGGGAGCACAAGTAATCAAAGCATTTTGTGACACTAGATCAAGAAATGCTTCCAGTTAATTTAAATACTCATACTGTAAGATGTGATTGGCGGGCGTTGTTAAGTTCTTTACTTGTTTAACAATATATGTCGGTTTCATTAACGTCAAACCATATTTTATTAATAAAGTCGCTAAATTGTTTTGCGTTGTGGAATCCAGGCACAGATTGCGAACATACAGAGTCAATCCATGGAGAGATACAGATTTAGCTTACCAACGGAAGAGTTGCAATTGTAATTCATTGATAATATGCTGGCATATGGAGATAATGTAAACACGTTTTACATTCTACAGATTTTTAAAAACTATTAACAAATTACAAAAGAAAGATTCTATCATGGGAAACAGTATCTGAAATAAAACACTACAATCAATGTCTGAAGAATGAAAAACAATACTCTCCAAGCTCAATATAAACAAAATTGACAAGCTTTAAAAGAATATGATACGCTTTTCAAATAAAAAGGGGCAAAATCTTGGACTACAGATCTAACTGGAAACAGTTTAATCAAGATTTTGCTATCCAATTTACTTCTAATTATAATACTCCTCATATCTGTACTCTTAGTTTTATATAAGATCTATATACCCCTAAAAGGAACTTTGAATAGAAAGATATACCACAATACCAATAGTACAAGCACCAATTTTACAAATATATCTAAGGATGAACTTTTTGACAAAGCTAAGCATAATTTTCGTCATAATGCTCGTCGGAGCACGCCTGACTCAAGGCAGGCCCGTAATTAAGGTAAAGGAACGTGTTGGTAACAACATAAGTACAGTGACACGCCGTTATGACTATACGTTGAGTCTTATACTTATCAAATCAAAAAAGTTACTTTAAAATGGAACAAAGAACATGAACAGTTAGCGGTGATATATGAAACAAAACGTTATGATAAATCAATTATTGATCACATAGAGCTGATTCATATTTCATAATGCGGCATGCGTTTTTATTTTACAGTGTAACTTGAAAATTGTATGATCGTATGTTCCACGTCAACTTTTAAGATGGAAATAACGTTCAAATTATGCCTAAAATCAATGCAGCATTTCAATGTTATGTAATCAGGTGTTTCAAGGCCCGGTGAATCATCTTCTAAATCATCTTATACCTGCGAAGGCCATTAATAAATGCGCCAACCTTCCTCATACCAGTGTCCAAATTTGAACTTCTATATTGGCAGTTCAATGTAATAATAGATACATAAAATTATTTCCTATTACGTATATGAGAGATAAATCTAACGCTTTTTTTAATAACACACGTAGCGCCCACCTTATAAACCTTGTAATGTCCGTTGCATTCGATTGGCAGTTCCACGACACTCAGACTATGTTTTAATCTATTTTGGATTATAGTCGGTGTTTTATTATAATAACATTTTGTTGTCGACTTGTCAAGATCATTCTTCACGAACATGCCTCAGTTGCTGTCATACCTGTCAGTGCAATGAGCTTGTTGAAACTCGAGAATGAACATCGAGGAATGGCTATGTGAATAATTAACTATTCATCGATCTAACGCTGACTGTCATAGAAGTATACGCTGTGTAAACTAAGCAGAACCAACAAAGACAAATATATAGAAAATTCTATCTGTAATAAATAACAGCAGCTTTACTTACACTGCACATTTCCTTTATTCGATCATTTCCACAACGTTCTAGGTAAGTCAAACTGACATCACCTTTCAAGAAATCAATCACTAACAATGTACGCATTTTTGCTATACAGACCGAACGATAATATAATAGCTACGAATTCAATCTTTGTGACTATCAACACATTCTTTTAAACTTCAAATCCTCCAAATGCCATTCAAATTATTTAAGAAGAAGTCGAAATCAGACCTCAAAAAGGGATTCCATAGGAGCGAGATATCACGTCCACTGGCTCTCCCATTTCCCAGTTCAGTTTCATTACACGATATAAGGGATTCCCTTATACATCCCATACCTGATCTACGTACGCGGAGACGCTCAAAGAGTACGAGTACGACTGCTAGCAATCCTGACAAGAAATCACCGGAGATATTTCCAAAGGATGTAGATCCATTCGCTCCACCTGTACCAAAGATACCTGCTGCTTTTCAGAATGGTGATGAGTCCGCGAGATCTTCTACCAGTCAGAAGGACGAAAACACGCAACCAGAATTCCTGTACGTGAACTTTAACAAAGCGGTACTCAATCTAAACATACTTTGATAGCTATCGTGACTCTCAATCTTCGAGACTTGGTCAACCTATTGGTGAAACTAATGGTACATCGAAGACAGAGCCTCCACAACGTCCAGCACGGACTAGAAGGCCGATCCCATTTGGTGGGATGACTAACTTTATGAAAAGAAAGACAAACTCACCTGAAAATGAAAAGTAAGTGAAAATAACTTTCATATACACACAATTGACATACTAGGGCATCTCCAAGCTCTCGGACAGCTAAATCATCTATCACGCAATCCATGAGGGGTCTGGGTATGAAGAACAAAAGTGTGAGACATAGTGCAAGTGACGAGTCGTTCGAAAGTTTCTCGATATCTTCTATGTTGGTTTGCATGGTTTAACTAAGGTATTTACTAATGACAATAGTAGTGTTCGTACGCCGCCCCTTCAAGTGCGTGCACCTCCTCCGCCGCGGCCTATGAGGTCACCACCACCAGCTCCTAATGTTACACGTGGGAGAAGCACTACAGTTTCTGGCGTATCAACCTCGCAAGAATCTCAAATTAATCATGCTCGACTCAGCACCGCATCACAGACAATTAACACTCGAAAGCGCTCAAACTCGAGTCCATCAGGAGCGAACCCCCAGAGTAACAAACCAAACGCTCATTCATCACTCCATTCAATTCCATTCAGTTTGCAAGCCATACAGCCATCATCATCAGTATCTACTATCACTAATGCTAGGTCATCTTCTGGCATCAGTATAAATATGCATAACAACGGCACACCAGCTACACAGAGTATTAATTCATCCCATACACCCGAATCAAATGAAGTTGTTGATAGCAAGATCGCCCCTACGAGCGACGATCACGATCAAAGTAGCCTCATACTGAATAGTACGTTCAGTAGCTTCAACGATGGTAACAATAGCTTTGATCCATCACAATTCCTCAATTCATACACGAAGGATGATTCATACTCTTCTTTCGAACTGGACAAATCTGTACTTAGCCCAAGTAGCTCCAAGCGTGACTTCAATAATACCTCGCTGATGGCTATCGGACCGAGCTCAAGCTCACAGAAGTTCGTCGAAAGAAATCTTGATCAGAATGAGGAAGTCGTTTCAAATGGTACCAAAGATGGTGATCTATTATGTGATGAAATACTCTTTGGAGAAGAGAACAATGAAAAGAACAATGAAAAGAAGAACAATGAAGAAGATGATCAGATCGATAAGCATGAGGTGATTGAGAATGACCATGGTGATAAACATATGAGCAAAGCGCAGAGGGAGCGTTCCAAGATATTCTCTAGCCTGGATGCTGTCAAGAAACACATGTCAATTGATTCCTTCAATGACGATGATGATATGAAAGATTCAAGTGAGACTTTCTTAGACACACTCTCAAATTTCTCTTCACCACCACCACTGCTGGACTTAAGGCCACCTTCATATCACGAAGACCAATTTAATGAATATGAGTGTGAGCAAAACAAGCCTCAAGAGAGTCTCACAAAAAAGCCTGAAGACCACTTCTCCGACATTATCCCTACATCAAGTCACCCAAGCCAAGACAGCTTCAATAAATTGATTACTTCTGAAATTTTCGTAGATGCAAAATCTGATGTTGAATCTGACAAGAGCAAACAAGTAGAGGAAGATGTAGGGCATGAGCATGAATTGAAGAAGGACAGTGAGAGTATTATTCGCGACTCGATGTCAATTTACGATGAAGACGAGATGTCTGCTTTGCAGCAGAAAATAGAAGCCATGGCACAAGTGAGTTACGGACTTAATTAGAAGCATAGCTGACGCTCGTGCATAGAAACTAGAGGAGATGCGACAATCTGAATTACCAGAACCATTGCAACCATCATCATCGAAGGAAGCTCTTCCACCATCTTTCTCATTCCAGCTGGATCCTGAGGAACATCCTGAATTGCAAGATGATGTTGAGTTCATTGAAGAAGAGCCACTTCCACAAGACATAGCATTGCCTGAAGTTCAACCTGATGAGATTGCCCTACCGGAATCACCAGTTGATGACACAGATAGTAGTGAGAAGGGCGAGATACCAAGAACAAGATCATTCGTGGGACATCATGCAAAAACAAGCAGTGTTAATGGTTCTATTGAGGAGCACATCCAAACATCATCTAGCTTCCATGTCACTAACGCTTCTCAATCTTCTCGCTCTTCCCAAGAGGAAGAAGAAGAAGACAATCGTATAATAAAAATATCACCAGAGTCGCGGAAGAATCTTCAAACTCAACTTCGTAGGTTGTCTAAAGAACCACCCAAGACAGTCATTCCAAGTGAAGCTCCGAAACCAAAACCAAAACCAGCTCAAGCTAGTCCAAAGAAAATTGAAATGTCTGCATCTAGAACTAGTTTCAAGGATTGGATGCCGACCCCACTGTCTCCAAAAATAACTGAGGAAGTTGAGCCAACAGATGAATCAGCGAAAGAGCTTGGTGACGTTCAAAAGCGCCCAGGATTGAGAGAATCCGATCTCAATGTAGATAGGGAGGAACCTAAAATGATTCATCCACCTCGTTATTCTTCCTACAAAGCTAGCGGAATGCGACCATTGCAAGGACAACTTCAGGAGAAGAAGCAAAATGATCGCCGTATGCGTGACACTTGGTTGAAACCTCCGGAGGGACTTTCACCTACCCCAAGAACGACATTTGACAAGAGCCGTAGAATTAGTCAACAACCAATTGATAATAGAACTTTACCTAAGAGATATTCAAGTAAGGCCGCAAAGAGTAATATTTCATTCCAAAGTTCGATCGAAAATGAGTTTGACAGTATTATATCTGATCCAACTGGTGATAAGCGTCGCAGTGAGCTTGAAAATCAACAGCAGAAAGCTAAGGCGGCAATGGAGGCTGTTTGGAAAGCAGCTAGATCATCAAGTGTTCCACCTGTAGAGCAATACGCTATTAGTTCAAAGCAAAGGAAGTCTCTGATACTTCCACAGAAGAAGTTGTCTGCAAATTTGCCTTACTCAGCGCCAGCTATTAAGACTTCCTTCGCAAGTGGGTTGGAGGGTGTAAGATCCCGTGATTCCCAGCCTGGTGTACCGGCGTTGCCATCAATGAGATCTTTCAGGCAATCAATAGAGACACCACAATACAATCCTCGCCTTTCTGACCAACGTATTAAGACAACTGTCGAGCATTCATTCGGTACACCATCTAAATCAACGCAATCATTACCAAAGTCTAGAAAATCGCGTCCAATTAGACTTGATCAATTGGGTACACCACAATCGAAATCCTACAGTCATGTGAATGCGATTCCTATTTCAACACCACCGTTGACTCCAGGTACGGCCTCAACTATTAGCGGATACGATAATATTATGACGCCACGTTCATTTACTCATAAACCTAACGTTTCAGCTTCATCTATGGACTCAATGTCAGCTCAAAGTACAAGCTCGGACAATCATCAGAGCTATGGTGTTCAATCGTTCAAAAAGAATAATTTAAATGCCCCTTTCCTCCAACATAGCTCTTCAGCTTATAGTTTAAAACAAGATTCTGGTATCGGATATGCTATCTAAGGAGAGACGTAAAACACGTATATTTCGTAGTATTCTTTCACTTTAACGACATTATTATTTATTTAATTGTATAATTGCTGCATTACTATCATTAATCGTTACTTAATCATAGAAAGTAAAGTTATTGAGATTTCTTTTCTTTGGCTGTCGGTTGCTTAGCTGCTCTATCGATAAGGACTTTTTGAGAGTTTGAATCATCATCATCTTCGTAGATAGCTAAGCCAACGTAGAGCATTAAGACCACGTTGGCTGTTAAAGCAGCTGATATGGCTGCATAGGTTGAATTGCCTGTAGGAGGGTTATGACGATGGTTACAAGAGTGATACGACTATCTACCATTAAATATAGAGTTCAATGTAATGAAATATATTGATATCGGCAAAACAACGAGTGCTATTGAGAATGCTAGTAACTTTGTAATAGACGATCTAGTATATATGAGATGCGACGATGGTGTAAACAACACAAGCTTACGCTGTAACAGCCTTATCATTTATTTCTCCAGATTTCTTCTCCGCTGCTATCTTCACTGATTTAGCCATGACGTCCGAGACGAAAGATTATCTCTTGTGCCATTACGACGATGGATGTCAGTATAAATAAAGTGTTTAAATAATTTATTAATATTCAAAAGGTTTCTAAAATGTTCAAACTACCGGACTTGCCTTCAGGCAAAAACAAGCGGAGATTTGAAGCACCGACGGAAGGTGGGATTCACAAAGCGTGTAGATCACTCAGTTAATATCACTATAGACGCTATAAAGAAGGTTAGATTGCAGGAAGAAGAAAACCCAGAGAGCCACTCCTCAGCTGGAAGCGATAAGGGTAAGGGCAGAGCAGTTACTATCGCAGACGAGGAAGACGAGGTGGAATATGTAGATGCTCACGAGGAGGACGATATCGATGACGATGAAGATGGTCGCTTCTACGGCGGTGGTTTGACAGATGAACAGAAGACAATCCTTGATGTCTTCGACAGAGCTGAACAAGGGGGCGACGAAGTGGGTTCAGTATAAGCTGTACAATTAGTTAGCTTATTATCGCTTAGGATGTCGTGCTTACTCCGCAAGGTATCAAGAAACAGCTACAGAAGTTTGAACGCGTTATAGCTAAGAACACAGAATTAAGGGGTAAATATCCCGAAGATCCACACAAGTGAGTGGGGTACTCATCCTAATAACTTTCTAACCTATCTAGATTCATTGATTCAGAGGCTGATTTAGATGCGGCTATTCATCAACTCAAAATATTCGCACAGAGTCCAGCTATTTCGTACCCTCAATTGATAAAAACAGGTGCAACAGAACAGTTAATTGGCTTGCTAAGCCATGAAAACACTGATATTTCACTCGACGTCGTGGAAGTTATTGAAGAACTCACAGATGAGGATATACTCGACGAGACGGAAGACAGTGAGGAGGGAATGAGTAACTTACAGGCTTTCGTCACTGCCTTGGTGAGTTCACATTCATTCAACCGATCTAACTGACTGATTAACAGCTCGAATTGCAAGTACTTGAGTTATTAGTCTCTAACATGAAAAGGCTCAATGAGGAGAATGACTCAGATGTTGAAGGTGTTTTCCACACGCTGGGAGTATTCGAGAATATGATATCTTTGCGACCAGAACTCGCTGAAACACTTGTCACCGCGACTGATACACTCCCTTGGTTACTCAAGCGCATTACAAAGGTCGAATACAATCAAAATAAACAATACTCATCTGAAATATTAGCTATTCTATTGCAAGATTCTACCAAAAACCGCTCTGCAGTTTTGAAAGAAAAAGATGGTCTTGATTGCATCTTACAGGCCTTATCGGTGAGTATTCGTCGTTTTCAATTGGGAAATAAATATCTCATGTTACCGTAGCATTACATGAAGAAAGATCCAAAAGATGCTGAGGAGTTGGAATTTTTGGAAAATACCTATAACGTTCTCTGTACACTCCTCGCAGAGTCTGATGCTAAAGTACAGTTTAAGGAGGCAGAAGGTGTTGATTTGATGATATTGATTGCTCAAGAGAAGTTAATCTCTAGATCGCGCGCTATCAAAACTCTCGATCATGCAATGTCAGGGCCAGCTGGATCGCTCAACAGTGAAGCTTTTGTTGAAGCTCAAGGCCTGGCTACTTTGTTTGGTGCTTTCATGAACAAGGTAAGTTATACTCTTTTCCATTAGAAAGACCAACTCACAACCCCATAGATACCTCAGAAAAAGAGTGCATTTGGCGCCGTCTCAGTACAAGAGCAAGAAGAGCATTTGTTTGGTATACTAGTCTCATTATTCTCAAACCTTGGTTCAGAAACTCCTGGAAGAATACGCCTTTTAACGAAATTTGTCGAAAACAATTACGAGAAGGTTGATAGATTGTTTGAAATCCGCGAGAATGCTCAAAATAGAGTAACAAATCGGATCGAACAGGATAAAGAAATCGATATTGATGAAGATGAAGCATACCTTGGACGTTTAGAAGCAGGTTTATTCACTTTGCAACTCACAGATTACGTTCTAGCATGGCTTGTTATGGAAGATGACGGTATAAAGGATCATGCAGAAATCCTCCTCAGACGTCGTGGTCAATCGTTTAAGGATGTCGTATCGGTACTAAATGAGTACGCTGATAATATGGGTGATCAACCACCGAATCCAGATGGTTCACCAACACAACGTGAAATTGTTGGTCATCTCATGGAATATGTTGAAAGTCTATAAAATAAGTAGTAAGATGCATGCACATAATATAATTATAATTACAATAGTTGTTTTACCTAAGTGTTGATTGAGCGAATATCATATCCAAAGCCCCTTTAGCGTTCATGAACTCGTTCTGTACTTTAATCTCATCGTCAACCTTCTTACGCAGTCTTGTTAAGAGGTTATCAATCAATTGTGATTGTCCGACGACACCCCCGTAAATATCAATGATTGCAGATGCGACTGGTACAGCTACATCGGTAAACCTTGGGTCAACGATCCACTTAACGAGCATTGAGACTAATGGTTCTAATCCTATATCATCACGACCTGAAATCGCCTGCTTCAAACCATCTCTATTGATTAATTCTAATAATAATGCAAACGTAGTTGCTGGTGACGCCTTTTTTCTTAAAACGGAGTCGAGTGCTTCGGAGTATTGGAATTTTTTAAGGAATTTATCAAATTCTTTCAATCTCAATCGTCTAATAGGTTCGATCTTAAATTCATCTGAACCCAAGTTACCTGCACTCTTAACAGCCACCTGGCTTTTAGGTTTGAGTGATTGTGCTTCCTGCATGTACTCATATGCACCAGATTTCATGGCTTCTTTGTCCGCGATCTTTTCAGCAACTTCACTACCTTTAGCTTGTCTTCTTCTCATAGCTAATGTACCATCAGACAAACCTGCTACAAGGTTGATGTTATCAGGCTGTAAGAAGCATTATTAGATATTTTTAAATGATGTAGCAACTACTTACGGATGTAGCAACTGATAAGACTGGTGCAGGGAACCTCATTGAGTGTGTAACTCTGAAAGTTTCCAGGTCATAAACCTTGACCATTTGATCAAGACCACCTGTTAATAATCTCTTCTGGTCACCATCAATAGCAAGTGAAGTGACAGCCTTTTGATGATTACTAAATGCACGTCTACAGCGACCGCCTGCCATAATATCCCAGATTCTAACAATTGGGCCAGAACTAGTGGCTAAAGTTTCACCTCCAGGTAAGAAAACTGTTGATTCGACTGGCATGCCACCTGTTGACATTGTCATTGCAGATTCTTGCATTCTTGTATCCCAAAGTTTAACGGTATGATCATAAGAACCGGATACTAATAAATAAGGAGAAGAAGGTGAGAATGCAGCCGTACGAACGTAATCAGAATGTTCATCGAATTTCTGAAGGGCTGATTGTGATGGTATGTCATGTAAAATAACTGAGCAATCATCGCTAGCTGAGAGAACCTTTGTTTGCTCTGTTGGATGGAATGAAGTTACGTGAACGGGTTGCTTGTGGTCTTCGAATGTACGCAAGATTGCTCTGGAGTTTATATCGAAAACCTGATAATTTTTATCAGAAGATTATGCTTAAAAAACGATAAACTCACTTGTACAAGACCAGAATCATCACCTGCTACAACTAAACGACCATCTGAACGAATTTGACCTGATCTGGCGACATCTTTGAATCTACTTATAGTTTTAACAACGGATTGTGAGCGTGGTGTGTATATTTGTACTCTAGTAGCAGAAGTCACTGCAAATCTATGTGGACTGATTGGTGAGAAGCTGACGCTCGTTATAGGCGCGAATTCTTTAACAAAAGTTGATTTAAAAGACTTAAAGTACTTTGCATCCTGTGAGTATCCTAATTTATGCGAAAACGTCTGAGGAAGAGGCAGCGTCTTCCGATAGTCCATTTTTGAGGTGAAGGAAGAAGTCAAAGGGTGAAGTCGAATTTATTAGCAAGTAAACCAAATAATTATTAGAATTTTATTACATATATACATATATAATACAATATCATTTCTTTTATTCCTTCACACTACCTTTAATTCTTCTACCAACGAACAAAAGATAATATCTATTTAAGCATTATATACGCTCAAATTCTGAATATACCAATTAAATGTCGAATCTATGATGGATAGTCTATTACATAATAGTATAAACTATTAAATGAAGAATATGAGGTTGATGGTGATCCTTTAGTAGGAAAAGAAATCGAAACAATAAGTGGACGATGGCATGGATACGACTTCACCTTGAATATCATAGGATCAGATATGTAAAACATTTAGTCCTTGCATATTGACATAAGCTATCATTATCATGAAACCATACATAATCCTTTAAAGTTAATGATGGATGCGATCACTCTAGAATTTTCCGCTTTAACTTGATGAAAACCTTTGAAATTATTCAGACACTAGTCAAAACTTTCAGATTACCTAGAGTGATATTAGGTTAGGGGTTTCGCTGCGAGCGAACCCGACCAAGGTGATACAATCAATTTCCCATTGGTTTCACTTACAAGATGAAGGCCTGTGAATGAAATACCCTATAGTAGTTTCCTTTTGGGTTACAAAAACCAACTCACTTGGTTCACTGTGTCGATGGTAACTGCGATCATCTATTTTGCACCGCAATATATGACAAGAGTGGACAGATGTAATCCAACCTAATCGTAATACAACTGGTAAATAACATCACATACTTTGTGTCTCTGTTGCCTCCACATACACAAAAGAACTTGGGCCATAATTCTTCAAGTAACATTACTGAAATCATCCATGGCGTATTTTGTCAATTACCAGCACATTAAGTCATTTCAATGTCCCATTCTCGACCCCCTATTGTCAGACAATATTGAGACATAGTGATAAGGAAACATAATATATAGATGTCTAAATACGCAGAATTCAATCATATTGCTCAAATATTCGCAAAACCCAAGAAATTGATGTATAGATGTACTTTGTATGGAAAATGAAAATTTTAGTTTGGATCACCTAGATCTTTTGGCTCTTAAGACCATCCTTCCAGAGGGTGAAGTATGGACTAAATGGCGTTAGAGAACATATACTACTTTATAGCGCTCAAAGCGCTCACTCACGTAATACCATCTTCACGGTAGTTGAGAAGGACGACTTGGCCATCTGGGTTCATAGATTCTCCTGTGAAGAATTCGTAGTCCTTGAAGTTGGCAATAACTTTCTTTACGTGCTCTTGTGCCTCTGCCTTGAAACCATCGACACGTGCTGGATCAGACTCCTTCAAGTGGTTCTCGACTGCCTTCATGTAACCCTTGAGGTAAACCATGTAGCTCTTCTTGTCGAATGAGGTTGGTTGCAAGTTAAAGGAGTGGACGACGTTGATCTTTTGCTCAGTGTTATCGTCAACTTCTTCACCTTCACCACCGCCTCCAATGTCGGCACCTTCACCACCAACGGTGATCACTTGACCGTCAATTTCAAAGAATGGACCATTTTCTTGCATTGGGTAAGCATCTGAAGCAAGCTCATCGCCAGTAATAACGTCCTAGAAGTCAAAGTCAGTCATCCATCATCATTTGGTGATGTCCGAACGACATGACCATACTTACACTGAAAACCTGAGTACGTATGTTAATTTAAAGATGTAAGTCATCGAAATTTTCTCACCTTCATATTTTATGATGACTGTAAGAGTTAATGACAAAAATTCTTCCGCCTCGAGACAAAATTATTCCAACGTTGGCAGACAAAATATTATTTTTATAGATAATAGTCGTGCATTTTAGTACATCGTATTAGGCTAAACAGTATCTCTAACCTATCTAAGCATAGTAGGGCAGATCCTCTATCGAAAAGCCAAAAAGATTCGTAGAGCAACTTTTTTTATGTTTTTAAATTATGTAACATGATAGAATGCGTATAAATGTTAACATCCCGAATTTTGGTGCGTCACGAGATGCTATTCGGCTACTTGACAGTCACATCACCCGTTCTTACTTTTTATCAATCAAATGATTAGCAGATTAGCTAGAAATACTTTGAGAAGCTCACGAGAGTCTATAAATGTAGTAAAGGCTGCAAACAGCAGGTGTATAACCACCGAGCAGCCTCCAGTTGATTCATCAGCAACTAGCACTATTTTACCGACTAACAGTGAGTGAATTAAGTCAGTTTAGGATCAATTTTCTCAATTTTTCCAAGAGTTCGTATCTTTCGATTGGCAAGACCCTCTCAAACTACACACATTGCTCAATGATGACGAGCAGGCGATACAGTGAGCAATTTAGCGCACAGAGAAACATGCGCTAATAATATTATAGGGAGAGCGTCAGAATGTATGCCCAAGAGCAGCTCTCTCCGCGCATTCTTGAAGCGTCAAGGAACGAGGATTTTGATAGGGAGATATTGCGTGAAATGGGCCAGTTGGGATTTCTGGGTGCATCATTAAAAGGCTACGGCTGTGCTGGTGTATCCAAAGTAGCTTACGGTTTGATTACACGGGAAATCGAGCGTGTAGACAGCGGATACAGATCTGCGATGTCCGTCCAGTCTAGTTTGACTATGTATCCAATCTACACGTTTGGAAGTGAATCACAACGTGAGAAATACCTCCCTGGTCTTGCATCTGGAGATTTAGTTGGTTGCTTTGGTCTAACAGAGCCGCAACACGGCAGTGATCCAAATGGGATGGAAACTGTTGCTGAAGAGACCCCTCAAGGTGGATACAAGATAAATGGCTCCAAAACATGGATCACTAATAGTCCAATTAGTGATGTCTTCTTAGTATGGGCGAGATGTAAATGGGATGGTAAGATTAGAGGTTTCATACTAGAAAAGGATATGGATGGCTTGAGCGCACCGGCAATCAAAAACAAGCTGGGTTTGAGAGCGTCGATCACTGGATCGATATACATGGATGATGTTCACGTGAGCAAAGAACAGGTCCTGCCAGGCGTTGCAGGTCTCAAAGGACCTTTCAGCTGCCTTAACCAGGCTCGTTATGGTATTTCCTGGGGTGTAATGGGATCGCTTGAAGATGTCATTGCCCGCTCTAGGGAATATGCACTCGACAGGAAGCAATTCAAGCGCCCATTGGCATCATACCAACTTGTTCAAAAGAAAATAGCTGATGCGGTAACAGAGGTGCCACTCGGTTTGCTCGCGTCCCTTCAAGTAGGTAGAATGATGGACGCTGGCACGTGGTCCCCAGAGATGGTATCATTAGTGAAGCGCAACAATTGTGGTAAGGCATTGGAGCATACGCGTACATTGATGGAAATATTTGGTGGTAACGGTGTTGCTGATGAGTGAGTCCCACAAGTTGTCTTGGTATCTCAGAACTAATTTCTTAGATATCACGTTGGACGTATTGCAAATAACTTACACGTAACCAACACGTATGAGGGCACGCATGATATGTAGGTATACTAATCCATTAAACACGTATGCTAAGTATTACAGACATGCTCTCATTTTGGGTAAAGCGACAACAGGATTGCAAGCTTTTGCTTAGATTGTAAATTGTAAAATACATTGCGACCTTCTATTTCGTATTGTAGTCGTTTGAAGAATGCTATCTTCCCCAGTTCTCCATTTCCATCTCTTCAATATAATCAAATCTGCCTCTACCCATTCCTTTTTTGTATGCGTATGCTGATCGACTGCGTGTAGGGTCCGTGAAAGCAGCTCTGAAGCCATCACCAAGACAGGAAGAAAGAGCACAGAAAATGAAAGTAATGAGACTTCTGGTAAGTCAGATGATAATTATTATAGAAATTCTTGGAATTACGTTAAAGCCGCGACAATCGTTATCAAAATGGCTAATGAGCTGTCCATTGATAACGAGTGGTGGGTGAAGAAAAAGAGAATAGACAGTGAAATGACAAAATATTCGATACCTTTGCTATATCTAATAATAATTACACTAAGTATTGCATTTACTGGTAATATAACAGTGCTTTGTACTGCCATAACTTCTAGCTAGATTAGTTATATCGTCACCAACTACGAGATAGTGTTACAGTTATAGTTGATGGATTAATACAATACATGAGAAAGAAATTTCATAACTTTTATCGCATGGAGCCTATTATAGCTGCCCCCCGTAAGTGACAATCTATGCAATGAGACTACAAGTGTTTTCTGGTTGGCTGGTATGTGTGGAACACACCCTTTCTATCCTCCCTACAACAGGAAAATCTAAGCGTTTGAGTAATATTTTATAAAGTTTATAGATTCAACGAACTCCGTAGAACAAAACGAATTATACGATCCACACACCAAGGTCATATAAAGACCAAACCATGTTGAGCTATATTTTATAAATGACTATTATTGTTGTGTATGACTCTAATTAACAACCTTGCCTTCTCAATTGGTCTAATGAAGATTTAATTGTGTTAATCCAACTTATAGTGGCGAAATCGTCAATTGAAATGTTACATTACACTATATTACTTACATGTAACACTAACAACTATACTATAACCGCCTTAGATCTACTTTTAGTTCGCAAATAAGCAGTAGTAGCTAATCAGAAATGATGTCATCATACTGAACCAATTTCATTTAATAATATTCTTGATGAAAAGGACCACTCGATTCCGGACATAAAAAAACACATTTGACGCAATTTTGCTTGTTTTGTCTGTAACACTTAGTGAAAGTCATTTTACATGAAAAAGTTGCTGTCAACAACCCAATGGCGCAACGGGCGCTTCAGTGGCTCAATGGTAGAGTATTGGACTTCTAGTATAATTGAAGATCTTCGGGTTTAAGATTAGCTGGCCATCCAAAGGTTGCGGGTTCGAGCCCCGTCTGAAGTAGTGGTAATCTACAACCAATATTTTTTTGCTTTTGCTATCTTTTTGCCTATTAAAACAAGTTGATAGTAATGGTGTCATTTGGTGTTTGCTTATATTATATTTGTTAGAGAAATCAATAAATAGTATTTGCATGAAATGTGTCTATAATATAATACAAATCTAAGCCTTTCGCCGTTTTGTTCCAACACTATCACGACCACCGGTTTTAGTCCATGGAAGGGATTTCTTTTCTTTGCCTTCGTGACGTTTACGTTTACGTTCTTCAGATTTCTTGACTGCTTTGTTACCTCCTTGAGCACGTAAGACTTCTTTTTGAGCTTCTTCAACGCGTTTACGTTTCTCAGCTGTATTTGTGATGAGTGGGTGTTAGTGAAGGGCATAATTAACTCACAATCTTTGAGGTAGTAAGCCTTTTTACCTTCTCCTCTCTTATCACGCTCCTCTTTCTTGATTTTTCTGAGTGCTTCCTTTTCAATATCCTTCTTTTGAGAAGTCTTGGCTTGGGAGCTCATGCGCTGTATTTCATGAGTCAACCTATCCACTTCTGCTTGGTGTTCTTCGATCAAGTATGTTTTGTCTTCTGATTGACCAGGTAGAGAGCGTGCTCTACGGATATTTAGCTGTGCCGCCTTGAGTTGTTCCTTTGCTTCTGCTACTTCCTTTGATAGAGAGCCCTTCAAGAATGAGAATGACTTTTCGAAGAGATCTTGTGAGAAGTTACCGCTAAGGGAGAGAAAACGTGGATCGCGTGATCTGATTTTATCGACTTCTACAACTTCTCTCTTTCTGCTCGTTGGTCTCTTGCTGGTGACTTCAGTTGGTGCGTGTTTGTTGGCTCTCTTTTGTAACTCTTTACGCTCCTTTTCTTTGTTATCTTTTCCTTTAGACTGCTGTTTCTCCCAAAGTTCCTCTTTGGCTTTGGCTATCGCTTCGGCTCTCTTTGATTTGCGCTTGTCTGCCTCTTCGTTGTCGTTGCTGTCGTCTAAACGGGAGGAAGCCTCTGCAAGTGCTGAGAGTGGTAGAGAGTTGTATTGTGCCTCTACGTCATCCTAAATAATGTGAGAAGAATATGTTGATTGAAAATCTAACCCACGATATCTTCTTCCTCGTTGGATGAGGCAGCTGAAGGAATTTCACTAGATCCATCTTCATTCTCGTAGTCATCCTCTATTTCCTCACCCCCGATTCTCTGTCTATCCGCCTCAAATTCGTCCTCCTCTTCCAAATCCTCATCATCTAGGTATTGTGCAACGGGCGTATGATCAATATCAGTTGACTGCACAATATCATCATCATCATCTGAGTCATCCTCGTATAACGCCTTTTTTGGTTTTTCCTCAATTTCTGTCATTTTGATCGTTTCAATAAAACGTTCAAGATCTAAACTGTGAAGATAAAAATGGAAGAAAATGTTTACAATTCTGATACTCAGCAAGCTATATCTGAGCAGCTAGAATCACTCACACAGGGGTTGGCAAATGATGACGCAGCTCAAGAAGAGCAACAAGAAGAGCATTATCAGCCACCTTTCCTCCGTGATGAACATTCTGAGGATCCTAATGAAACTTACAAAGACGCTCAACAAACTCTAGAAGACGTCGCTCAGAGTGACGATCAACAAGTTGTAGCAGCACCTAATTTACCTAACATTTCTATTACGCCTACGCCTACACCACCAATACCGGCTGCTGTCAACACTGACGTGAAATCATCCCAATTACCTCCTTTGCCCGTACCAAAGGATAGAAAAGAGAGCCTTGAAATGCAGATTCAAAAGGATGAGCGTGACGTTGATTCTTGGCTAGATTTGATTAGTTATTTGGATAGCCAAGGTCGTAACCTCGTAGGTGACGAGTTGGAATCTTGGTGGACAGAGTATACCAGAGTATACGATAACTTCTTTAAGATTTGGCCCTGTGCTGTACGTTTAGATCGCCCGTATGAGTGCTTAATGTGTGCTAATTTCTATTAGGTGAAACAATGGCAGAATTATATCGATAAATGCCTCAGTTTGACTCCACCGAGAATGAAAAAAGTGGAAGAGATATTCAGTAAAGCGTTGAAACAGACGCCTTCACCTGAATTTTGGTCGAGTTATTTGAACTACATCCGTCGTAACAACCAAGGCGCAGAAGGTAGACAGATTGTTATCAAAGCATACGAGTTTGCCATCTCACACGTTGGACAAGATAAAGATTCTGGCGAGATTTGGCTCGGCTACATTAGATTTTTGAAGGATGGTTCAGCGACGAACACATGGGAGGAACAACAGCGAATGGATGCACTCAGAAGAACTTATCAGAGGGCCGTCGTCATCCCAATTCAGAATTTGGAAGCCATTTGGAGAGAATGGGATTCATTTGAAGGTTCATTGAATAAGGTTACAGTGGGTTTCAGATTTCTTATTATGAATGCGCTCACACTTTTGCAATTAGGCAAAAAAATTCTTAGCAGATAAGTCACCTGCTTACATGACTGCAAGATCAGCTCTCAGAGAAATCAGAAGCTTGACTGATCCACCGATCAGTCTGTTCCATATCGATGGCACCCTCGCAAAGGTTCCTAGCTGGACAGAGAGGGAACGTCAAGTGATAAGTGCCTGGAAGCGTTACCTCGCATGGGAAGAAGGTAATCCATTGGAGCTTGACGATAATAGTGCAAAACATAGTAGAGTATCATATGCATACAAGAAAGCATTGGTATATATGCGTTTCTACCCAGAATTCTGGTACCGTGCATACATGTCACACAAGTCAATGGGTAAAGACGAAGAGGCTATAAGTCTCCTCAAACAAGGCAGTGAAGCCAATCCTGAGAGGTATGTAGAAGCCACCAAAGGTACAGCTCTAACAAGATAATCCAGCTATCTTCTATCATTCGCTTTAGCTGAAGTTGAAGAAATTAACCACCGTTACAAAGAAGCACATGATATATTGAACAATTTACTCACGTCCATCATCAACCAAACCAAAGAGATTGAAAATGGTATTTTACGCCAACAAGCAGAATTGAACAATCAATTGCCAAGTATAGAGCAACAGGCTAATGCTTCACAAGCAGCTGGCGAAAATGAAGGCGAAGTCAGAGAGAAGAGACGTCTCGCTGAAGATGAGATCAATACCAAGAAGGAAGCGATCAGCAAAGCGAAAGCAAAAGATATTGAAGACCTTTGTAAAGGTGCTGGATTAGTTTGGGTGATGAAAATGAGATTGGGTAGAAGAACCGAAGGTATCAAGGCCGCGAGAGCTGTATTCAAGGAAGCTCGTTCATCGCCATACTGTACTTGGCAAGTATTCGAAGCTGGAGGTAAGTAGTTACTGAAAATGGTGAAACCATTTGACACTTTTCAGCTATGATGGAATACCACAGCTCAAAAGACTCCTCTGTTGCAACAAAGATATTCGAGCTTGGATTGAAGCGCTTCACGACAGAGATTGACTACGTTATTAAGTATTTGGATTTCTTGATTAACATTAACGACGAAGGAAGTGAGTAGTAGTTATCATATGGCTGATAGCAATTAACTTTATGCAGACGCACGCGCATTGTTTGAGAGGATAGCACCAAGTCTTCCAGCCGATAAAGCCAGACCACTCTGGACACGCTGGGCATCCTACGAATACTTCTACTCAGATCTACCAAGTGCATTAAAACTCGAGCAAAGATTAGCAGACACTTTCCCAGACGAACAACCACTGAGGAGGTTCGCAGAGAGACACACTCACCAGCGTATTGATAAGATCGCGACGAATGACCTTGGCTATGGTGTCAAGCCACCTACAGCGCCTATGAAGATTGTAGAAGCTACTGCTGCGTCTGCAGCAACTAAACGGCCACCAGTTGACCTTGAAGAAGAGCGTAACAAGCGTATGAGGAAGGATCCACCATCTGGTAGAAATTCAAGGCAGACGTCACAACAGGGTCTTCCACAGCCTCCACATCGCAACACACCTGTACCGAATGTACAGATTGGAGGTGCACCAATACATCTTGGAGGAGGTAGACCTGCACCAGTTGCAATGATGCCACCTAGACCGGCTGCTAAAGACCCCGTCGGTATTTTCTTACAACAGTTGCCTCAAGCTAGGTACTTTGATGGACCGATGATAAATACAGAAGATATTTTGTTCGCCTTTAGGCACATAAATTTACCACCAGTTTAAATTATTTCATCTTGTAGATATAAACTTCCTTGAAGAATGCCATCAAGTAAACCAGTCACGCTTGCACTCGAGTTACTGCCTAATCTATTGAGTCTGAATGTACCACTGGATAAAAAGAAATGCTCAGAATTGCTAAACTACCGACACTCGATACTGCATCCTAGGAGAATAGAAGAATACCTCTGTTGGAACCCCAACAAAGAAATAATCAACCTATTAGAAGAAATAAACTCAGATGAAGCGCTTGATAGAACACCAAAAGGGTTTAAGTATGAAGAAGACGGTCAATACGTTAAATTCAGTCTGAATGATACTTTATACATTGTTCTGAAGGAGGAAGGCGAAAATGATTGGAAATACCATGATTTAGAGATTATAGATAATAATACACTTATAAGGAATGGTCAAGGCGGCTGGTACGTCAGTCAAGATGTTGCTTTGGACGCATTCATTCTCAAAGCTGAGCAATTGATACGGGAGGCGAACGATAAGACGAAGGTGACGGAGAATGAGCAAGAAAACAACGCTAATCAGGATTTCTGGGCGGACTTCTCAGATGATAGCGACTTGGAAGGCGTTAATCCAGCTCGATTGAGTCTCCAGCCACCCACTTCGCAAGCTCTACAACAGCAGGAAGATGCATTCTTTGAGAGACAAGCTACAGAACACATGAACAGCCTTGATAATGGCGCAGATAAGCAAATCAGCGTTGTAGATAGCTCGACGAAGGCTGCCATAAAAGGTGTTTATGAGTTATACAAGCAGGGAAAGAGAGCAGAATGTAAAGAAGGAGATATAGATAACAAAACAACAGATGAGGAATCCTTTTTAGAACTTGTATTACAATCGCTCAACGCTTAATTTATTTCTTTGTTTGTTACTACGATGGGTGACGAATTGACTGTACAACAAGCAGCCCAAGAGGGTAGGATATGAAATAATAAAATACACCTCTAACAGCGTCTAGGTCAGCTCGACACGCTCAAACAACTTCTCGATAAGGATCCGCTCTCGTTAGATAGGTTAGATAGCGTACGTCACCAGAAGGATAGGAGAATATTTACTAAAGTAAAGGCTTAGAATACGCGATCAGCATTACACTGGGGATGTACATGTAGTCACACAACTATCGTCGAAGAACTTCTACGTAGAGGTGCGAAAGTTGACATTCAGGATAGTCTCGGATGGACACCTCTAATGATTGCTAGTGCGTGTTAGCACAGAAAGCGACCGCTCTCTAACCAACCAATTAGGCTCTGCCGGCAGTCTTGAGATTGTCTCGCTGTTGATCAACAAGGGGGCAGACGTCAACCATGTAAATGGCAAAGGACAAGCAAGCTTACACTACGCAGCATCTAAGAACCATCCAGAGGTAAGTTGTTAACGCGCTTAAGAATATTAATAACAGTTTCAGATCGCAAGGAAACTTCTCTCTCATGGTGCAGACGTCAACGTTAAAGACAGAGCGAATCAGCATCCATTGTACGTCTACAAAGTACTCTTAATCATCTATTGACATATCAAAGACACCGTGCGGCAACTATCGGAAACAACAACCTTGTTAAGCTACTTATAAACCCAGACGATGGTAAAGAACGCGCGAAAACGAGGTTAAACACTTCTGATAGAATAGGTGAGTGTTCCTATTAATAAGCGATTTGCTCCACTAATATGACGAAGGTAATACGCCATTACATTTAGCTATTGAATCTGGACATGCGGCGACGGCCGTTTTATTAATTGAAGCGGGTGCAGACAGAGAAAGGGTAAGACATTAGTTTCACACGAAATCAATTACTCACACGAGCTATGATGTTAGCAAAACTACGATCAGCAAACACCAGAAGAAATTGAAGGAGTAGGGGGACAAGAACACAGAAGGCTATTAGAATATATAAAAAATGCATGTGGTCCTAGAACTTAATACATACATTATTGATGAAAAAAACTTTCTAAATGCGGGTTCGGCTCTAATGATGTGACGTTTGGAGAAACTTTCACGTCTTAAACTATAATGACGAACGTAGATAATAGATTTTTAGCAGAATTTGAGTGGTTAGATTATAGTTTAAAAAGCCGGTTATACAAACTGACGTCGATTGAATAGGCATGATGCATCGGCCAAGGAAGTACAGCTTCAAGGTAGCTTCACCGGCTGGAATGAGTGAGTTTACATAGAATGTTGAATGAACATCTACTAAAGAAAATACAGCCCACTCATAGAATTGACGAAAGAAGCTGATGGAATATACAAGACCACTGTACCAGTCACCTATTCAGCTAAACAGTAAGTTAAAAACTCTTGGAGGAGGTTCTCTCGCTAAGACAAACGCTCTAGCCTCTATAGATTCAAAGTAAACGGCGAATGGAAGATTGATGAGACGAAGACTGCTGCCACAGGTGGACCACTCAACGTACCAATAAACTACTTTTTCGCACCAAACCAGCCACCTTCAGCTAACAAGACTGACAAGAAGAAGAACAAAAAGAAGAACAAGAAGAAAAACAAGGGTGATGCACACGACAGTGAAGAAGAGCATACAGCTGGTGAATCAGAAGACAACAAAGTGAGTCTTTTACGTCATATAACTATTCCATCCCCTAATAGCGATCACTCAGGGTCATGCTGGAGAAAAAGCTATAGCAGCAGGTGCAGCAGGTGTCGCAGGAGCGGGTGTATTAGGCGCAGCTGGTGCAACCGCTGCTGGATTAGCTAAAGACGCACCACAAAATTATGCAGCAGCTGTCAAGAAGGACGAAGATAACATCGGGGACGCTATTGTCCGAGAGGTACAAACACCTGTTAAAGAGGAGGAGGAAGAATATGACGAATCAGCCCAAGAAGACGAAGCAGAGGGAACTAAGCAGGCCGATCAAACTACAGTGAGTACCCCTTTTTAGAATACTCAGCAGTGCTAATATCGAGGTTTAGGAAGCTCAGACCTCTTCACAAGCTGGACCTAACGAAGAGAAAGTTGGTGAAAAGAGCACAAAGGAGGATAAACAAGAAGAGAAACCAACTGATAAGTCTAGTGTGAGTAATTATTTACTATTTATAAACCATTCGACGCAAAAACTGACCTAGGGTTTGATCAGGGGGAGGACTCGAACGAGAAAAATCAAAATAAGGAGGCCAGTGCATTCGAAGGAATTTTGGCCGGTTCTGGCGCAGGAGCGTTGAAAGGAAACCACCAAGAAGAAAAAGACATGTCAGCCGTTGAACAAAGCAAGCAAGCTGTTGAAGAGAAGAAGCCAGAAGTCGCACCAGAGGGTGTCACAGAGGCTGCTACCGTGAGTAGTAACTTATCTTTTATATACTTGCTAACATCATACAGAGCAAATCTGCTGAAGCCACTGAGGAAGCTAAGAAAACTGAAGACAATGCTGAAGAGAATGTCTTGGAGAAGACCAACGTAGACTCTTCTAAGGAGGGTGTTGCTGCTGAAGTACCAACAAACGCAGAAACCACTGGCAAGGATGTCGAGAACAAGGTTGAAGAAGCCAAGGAGGAGGCTAAGGGTACCGCCGACAAGACCACCAACGAAGCATCAAAGATCAAGGAAGACGTTGAACAAAAGCCAGCCGAAGCTAAGGAAGAAGCTAAGGATGCTGCTAAGGATATCAAGGAAGAAACAAAGGAGGGTGCACCAAAGAAAGCTTCGCTTTCAAAGAGAATATCAAAGAGAATCTCCGGTATCTTCCACCTTTCAAAGAAGAACTAGAAAGTAAATTACGCTCAGACATTCTCACACTCATGGGATTTACTAATATCTTTCTTATTTATCGTGCTTTAATAATTCTTTGTAGCTACTAATTTACACTGCCTAATTCTTAACCACGATGAAGATTGCCATAGATTTTGACGATGTGATTAGTAGTACTAATAGAGCTGTGTGCCAGTGGCATAATGTACGTTTTATACTTTTATATCAGCTTTTGCTGATTATATAGAGGGTATACGATACCGAATGGACAATAGATGATTTTCACTGTGAGTGAGTGGCAATTTATACTTTCAAAGTACTCACACAACAAAGACTATCACTACTGGTGTGTATATATATCACATTTATACTTCTCTAAACGTTATCAGGAAAAATCCTGGCTGGGGAAACGCACAGGAGACCTTCAAAAAAGTAACTGCATTCTACAACGACAATAATGGTTTAAATGCCACACAACTAGTTACAGGCGCAAAAGAAGCTCTCTTAAAGCTAAAATCGGCCGGACATGATCTCATCATCGTTACGGCAAGGAATGACAATCAAAGGGAGATGACACGTAACTGGTTAGACCACCACTTAGAGGGTTTGTTCGATAAGCTTTACTTTACCGGTCAATTCACGAGAGATGGTGACTTGGAGGCTGAGAATGAGGATAATGAGGGAATTCCGACGAAGAATGACCAGACACATCTCTCAAAGGCAGACATTATTGATAGAATTGGTGCGCATTTGTTAGTTGACGATTCAATTGAAAATGCATTCGGATGCGCTAACCACGTTCGTAAGAATGGTGTGTTAGCCGGTAAACCAATACGTACATTACTGCTCTCTCCTATACCACCATCGGATGGCATACCTATCTGGCATTACCCTTGGAATGTCGAGTTATCTAAACAGGACACGGAAGAAGACGCTTTGTCATACGACGAGCGCAAAAAGCGCGGATTACCAACTGGTGAATCAAGACAACCAACGAATTTACCATCAACTATCAAGAGAGTCACCAGTTGGGAAGACATTATTAGGAAGATAGACGAGTATGATACTCATTTACACTCAAATGCAGCAACTATAGAGGCATCGGAAAGAGCACATCCACATTCAATCCAAGTACAGGCGTAGCTTTATGCGGATGATTGTAAAAAATACATGTATTTCAAACTTATGTCTATACATATCCTTGGAGTGCGGCAACCTCAGCATTCATAACAGATGAAGTGGCTGCACCAATTTGTACATTGTTCGCGAGAACAACAAATTTAATGTCGAATATACTATCCTCTCTTACTCTACCGACGTTGACACCAGCACCATTTTGGTGGTCTCTGTCTAATCTTGGTTGAGGTCTGTCTTCTTCTTCATGAACAGTGATGACTTGAGCAGGTGCGGATGGTGCACCTACTGATTGAGCATCACACTTGTAGTTCTTGAAAGCTTCCATGACTTGTTCAGGTGTTGGCTTGTTTGGTGATGCAAATTTTACTGATGCGCATACCATATGTCCATCAATAACAGGTACTCTGTTACAGCTTGCAGAAACCTTCAATGGTGATGCTTGGTGATACTCGAATGATTTCATATCTGGGTTTATTCCACCTAAAATTTTGTATGTTTCCCATTCCATTTTGTCCTCTTCACTACCGATATATGGAACGACATTGTCAAGAATATCCAAGCTAGGAAGACCTGGGTAACCACTACCTGAGATTGCTTGTAAGGTTGTGGCTTGTACCAATTCGAGTGGACCGAAAGATTTCTCGAGAGCTGCTAATGGAACGACCAGAGCGGTGGTTGAACAGTTAGCGTTTGCAACGATGTAACCTTTTTTTAAACCTAATGGTTCTTGTTGTGCTGGAATAATTTTGTAGTGATCTGTGTTGATGAGTGGTACAACCAGTGGTACTAATGGATCACGGCGGTAATTCTTTGCATTTGAGAAAACAGCAACCTGTGCTTCACGGAGACCTGATTCTATGGATGACTGTTAAGTTTGTTTTCTCTGCTAGGAGCCACTCACCAATAGGACCTGCAACGTCATGATCCAATCCAGAGAAGACGATATCACAGTCTTTGAAGTTCTCTGTTGTGCACTCTTTAATGATGACGTCTTTGACGGATTCTGGGATTGGCTTGGATTGTTTCCAACGTGTTGCTTTAATGTATGGCTGGCCAGCAGATCTGGAGGATGCGCCAAGAGCGACGAGCTTGAAGAAAGGATGGTTGTGCAAATGCAAAATGAATCTTTGACCGACTGTACTGTTTATTTATTGTTAGATTCTACATAAGCTGGCAAAAAACTCACCCAGTAGCACCTAGAACACCGACTTTAAATTCTTTGTTCCTATGCGATCGTTAATTAATAAATATTTTTTATTATCCGCCCACATTGTATTCTTGATTGAAATGAGCTGAGAATTGCGTTTTTTTGCGGCTTCAAATTCAACAACGACGAAAATGCCAGCAGCTGTGACTCACCAAGAAAAGAAGACTCTCCCAGACGGACACTTTTTGTTTACCTCTGGTGGGTTTATAATCAGCTACATTCTCCTAGTTTTATTATTTACACTCTCTAGAATCCGTCGGTGAAGGTCACCCTGACAAAATCTGTGACCAAGTTTCAGACGCTATTTTAGACGCTTGCCTTCAAGAGGATCCTTTCAGTAAGGTTGCATGTGAAACCGCTGCAAAGACTGGTATGATTATGGTAACTCAATCGTCTTCTTCCTTGTCATCATCACTAACATTTCGAAAAGGTTTTCGGTGAAATTACCACCAAAGCAAACCTTGACTACCAAAAGGTCATTCGTAACACTATCAAGGAGATCGGTTACGACGACTCTGAGAAAGGTTTCGATTACAAAACTTGCAATGTCTTAGTTGCTATCGAACAACAATCTCCAGATATCGCTCAAGGTTTAGACCACGGTTCATTAGAAAACCTTGGTGCTGGTGACCAAGGTATTATGTTCGGTTATGCTTCCGACGAAACCCCAGAGTGTATGCCATTGACAATCTCACTCGCACACAAGCTTAACCAAGCTTTGGCTGTTGCTCGTCGCTCAGGTGAGCTTCCTTGGGTTCGTCCAGACACTAAGACCCAAGTCACCGTCGAGTACAAGAAGGAAGGCGGTGCAGTTATACCAAAGCGTGTTGACACTGTCGTCGCTTCTTTGCAACACTCTGATGACATCACCACAGAGAAGCTCCGTGAAGAAGTCCTCGAGAAGATCATCAAGAGAGTCATTCCAGCTGATTTACTCGATGACGACACAATCTACCACATCCAACCATCAGGAAGATTCGTTATTGGTGGTCCACAAGGTGACGCTGGTTTAACCGGTCGTAAGATCATCGTCGACACCTACGGTGGTTGGGGTGCTCACGGTGGTGGTGCCTTCTCAGGAAAGGATTTCTCAAAGGTCGACAGATCTGCTGCTTACACTGGTAGATGGATTGCCAAGTCACTCGTTAAGGCTGGTTTAGTTCAACGTTGTTTGGTCCAATTGTCATACGCTATCGGTGTCGCTGAACCTTTATCCGTATTCGTTGACAGCTACGGTACCGCTAAGAAGGGTCACTCTGACGCTCAATTAGTCGAAATCGTTAGAAACAACTTCAACCTCAAGCCAGGTGTTATCGTTAAGTCACTCGATCTTCAACGTCCAATCTACAACCAAACTGCCAAGTACGGTCACTTTGGTCATGAAGGTGACTCATGGGAACAACCTGCTGAGATCAAGTACTAAGCGGAAGTGAATATGTGAAGTAAAAAAAGGATATAGTGAGTTCATCCTCACACACAAAAAATAACACATTCTCCTGTTTTTGGTTCTATCATAGAAGGCTTTGATTCCCTCCATTTTTATTCTTGTAATTATGTATTTATAACGTTCAACCGTGTTTAAAAAAGCTTTACTTGTGGTCTAATCTTACGCCTCGACCTTATCGATTTGCTGTATGAATTGATGGAGGAAAGTCATAGATTGTATGTGTGCATCTTTGTGTACTCGCTCATTGACGGTGTGACTGGGAACGCTGTTAGAATGTAATATATTTTCTAAAATGACTCACATATCTCTCGATAAGCTCTCATCGAAGGCTTCAAAACGATAGATATTGTTCGTTAACTTCCAGTAATGACGAGTGTCTGTGTTTCCATTCATAAGATGAGGACTAACGATGAGCTCATCCCCAAAAACGTTCTTGAGTGTGCCAACGAGGGTATCCCAGATTTTACCACTTGTTGGTGTGTTAGGAGCAGGATCTAGAGGACTACCGAATGTTTCAACTTTGACACTGCCATTGCTTTCATCATTAGGTGCACTCTTGTTATCGAATCCAATCCAGTTGAGATTTAACTCATTCTCAACATATGGCTTGAGTAGTTCAGTAATGTGCTTCTTCATTTCATTAACTGAACCAGCTACATCTATACGCTGGTTGACGACAGCCGTCGCCAATTCAGGAAGTGCGTTGACTTTAACACCACCTTGTATAAGGTCGACTGCTTGTGATGTCTGTATGAGATAACGCTCTTTCAGATCTCTTTCGGCTATTCTATCAGCGGCATCCTGCCACTTCCTAACGTCACGCAGATCTTTGAGAAGACCTTCATCGAGTGAATCTGGAGAATGCTGAACAATACATTGCAAATGCGTCGTGAAGGGATTCTCGTAAGCGAGGTGAGGCTTGTGTGGCTGGTCTTCAATTCTTCCTATCAATTTAGATAAGTAGCCAATAGATGTGTGAGACTTAGGTACTGATGAGTGTCCACCTGCTGTTGCTACTGATATTTTTACATCGAAATATCCCTTCTCTTTGACAGCTGGAAGTGCGAATGGCTTATCATAACTTTCTAAATCAAGTACACCGCCTTCATCTAGAATAGCTAGAGCGGAGTCTTCACCATATTTATTTAAGATGTGCTCAGAGAGGTATTTCGCACCCTCTGGTCCACTAATCTCCTCGTCAAATCCAAATGAAAGAATAATCGTGCGTCTAGGCTCAAAACCGTCTTTGATAAGTGATTCAACTACTTCATAGATTGAAAGCAAAAGGTTCTTGCAATCACCCACACCTCTACCATGAACCCAACCATCTTTATCAATTACGCCTGAAAATGGTGGGTAATCCCACCTATCAAGACTGTCAGATGGGACTGGTACGACATCATTGTGGGCCATAAGAATGAGTGGCTTCAAGTTACTATCGCTGCCTTTCCATTCGTAGAAATTACCATATTTATTGACAGTTTCGTGGGATAGTGTCGAGTGCAAGAGGGGGAATGACTTCTTGAGGAATTCATAAAATGGTGGGAAGGTCTCGTAACGCTTATCTACACCTGGTTCACCGAAATCATCGTATGATACTGTCGGATATGTCACACTCTCACTCCATCTCTCTATTGAGCCTTCTGGCGTAGTGAATTCTATTTCTGCATTTGGCAAACTAGGAGACTGAGATGGGCAATGTACTGGGCTATTGAATTCATCGTTAAGTTCACTATCAGCTACCTTATCAACCAACAATGTGCACTTTGAGAGCAAGTAGAAACTAAGTATAAGACCAACTACTATAGGTCTTCTCCAGGACGAGTCTGGTTTTTTTACTGCCTCTGCCGCTGGTCTAGGAAGCGACTGAGACGTTGATTGCTTCTCAGACATCATGACGTTACTAATTCAAGGACGATATCACGTCAATTTTTTTATCTATAAACGAGCGTATTCGTATACATATAAAAGAAGTCATAATTACAATAATGAAAATCCTGGGGTCCTCCTAGGGTTTTCTTTTGAGAATTCGTGCCATTTTCCCAAATGGCATGGTTCATAAATAAAATGCAAAAAGTATTGTCCAGTAGGCGTGTTTATATTGATAATGCGATCAATGTTGTAAGTGCTATTGTAATTGGGAGTATCACAGTCGTACTATAGTTTGGTCTTGCATCTGAACCACCAAAGCTATCGGCTTCACCGACAGTTGGTGATGGAATTGAGCCTACTTTCGTCTGGCTTGCAACAGCTTGATCAGAGAGTTGGGCGAATCCTACAGATGCTGGTGTATGTCTAAAAACAGTGTAATAATTCTTCATGAACGTGTCACCGAGTACCCATTCTAAGCTTGTGTCACTACCTGTTGTCGATCCAGAAGTAAGTGCAAAGATGGCTCCTTGGCATGTACCTGAGCTAGCCCTGTTAAATTTAAGGTCTTCTGGGTTAACAGCGTAGGTTGTTCCGTCTATTTCGATCTCGATGTTAGGATTGGCGTCACAAGGGTAGAACCAGTATCCGGCATAGCTTCCTGATCCCTCCTGTGCACCTTCAACTGCATCCCAAATCTTTGCGATATCGTCGTGTGGTCCACCGATAAGTGTTGTGCCTGAGTCGACACCTGCACCAATCGTCATCGTTGGTGTGAAGACGGTCTCGCCATTGACTTTAATTCCGGTCATCTTGACTCTCCACCAGTCTTCACCTATGATGTCGTGGTATGATATGTCGCCCGTGTAAAGTGAGCTATCAATTTCGCCGAGTGTGAATGTTCCACCTGGCTCGAGTGACTGAGCCTGGCTGTTTGAACGCATACGAGTAAGGTAGAATGACATGGTGTTTTCTGCACTAATTTGGTTGTTTTGCACGAGTTGCTGCCAAAATGGTGTACCAACATCCTGGGATAAACTCGACCAAGCGAGACCCATAATACCAGAGACTGGAGATGCGATAAGTGTGGATGTGACTTGATCAACGACGGCTAATGGTGAGGATGATAAGCTGTATGTACCGAGTTGTACATCATCGCTCGCATCATAGCCGTAAGCTTTACCGGAACCATATGTAACGCTAAAAGAGTCGGTTTTGTTCTTGAATGATGTGCTTGCAGATGTATCGTAGCCGCTACCGAATTGGCCGTTCTCAGCTTGCGCTAATTCCTGTGAAATGAGCCATAATGCGGAGGAACCGGTGTCGAGAATGACTTGGAACGCTTGCTGTGGTTGACCGACACCAATTGTAGCATAATAAGCGCTAAAAGATAGCTGTTAGAGTCATGAATTATATCATGTGACAATAACCTACGCATCAATGTTCTGGTTAGTCAAGGCAATTATAGACCTTTCTGATAAGTTTGATTGTCTGTCTAAAAGTAGGGGATGGCCATACTTAGCACGCTGCTTAATTCCCTGCGCATGTGCCCATTCGTCAATCTCACTATCGTCGCGTTTTGACTGGTAGATTGGTAATGAGAGCGTATTCGCTAATGCAGATTCAGCTGTCAATAACGCTGTTACTATTGACAATAAGATCATGATTGTGTAGCTAAAAGAATATTCAGTTACACACGGTCTTACAACGCCCAGACGTATTGCGGCGCAACGCCGTGATGGCACACGAAGGGAATAAATAGATTTTATGGAGCTATACTAAGGGCGCTTGTAATATTTATAGATATATATACAAGACCGATGGAGAACAGACACGATATTGCTTTATATAATGCTTATATAATGATGACACCCTCATTCTACGTACTGCGGATCAGGTTCACGATATTTGTGAAGTTTTGTGAGTGTATATGAATAACAGTGGTGCGTTATAGTATACTACACATAATTCTTCACTTCTAACACCCTACACTGCTTTTTGTAAGTTGAAAATTTTAAAGCCACCGACTGCCATATATTATTACCAGTCTCTAAGAAAGTATGCTAACAAAATATTTGTAAATAACACCATTTTATACACCAATATTCTTTGAAAGTCACATTTCTAATCAGACCGTCATCATGGTATTAGCGGGACTAGGCAGGCAGCTGAATAGTGCCTTGAATTCATTCAATAAATCCCAAGTGATAGATGAGAAGGTGTGTATTCTCTATAGATACCACTCAAACTAACCTTTAGCCAGACGTTAGACGGTTTACTCAAGGAAATTTCAAAAGCCTTGCTAGAATCTGATATAAACGTAAAGTTAGTAGGAAACCTTCGTAATAGAGTTAAAACACGTGCTCTCAAAGAGTTTAAAGATACAAATGCCAGCGGAAATCAACAGAAGCAGATAGTACAAAAAGCAATATTCGACGAACTTGTCGCGTTGGTTGATCCGCAGGAGGAGCCATACAAGCCTACCAAGGGCAAGACCAACATTATTATGGCAGTCGGTCTTCAGGGTGCCGGTAAGACGACTTCTTGTACAAAGCTGGCAGTACACTACCAAAGGAAGGGTTTCAAAGTTGGTTTAGTCTGTGCAGATACTTTCAGAGCTGGTGCATTCGATCAGCTTAAGCAGAACGCCACGAAGGCCAAAATCCCGTTCTATGGTTCATACACTGAGACAGACCCTGTTGTTATCTCGGAAGCAGGTGTCCAACAGTTCAAGAAATCAAAGTTTGATGTCATCATCGTCGATACCTCCGGTAGACACAAGCAGGAGGAAGACTTGTTCGAGGAGATGCGCATGATCAGTCAGGCTGTGAAGCCACATATGACTGTCTTGGTTATGGACGGTGCTATGGGTCAAGCAGCAGAGTCTCAAGCTAGCGCTTTCAAGGAGAGCTCCGACTTTGGTGCTATTATTGTCACAAAAATGGATGGTCACGCCAAAGGTGGTGGTGCTATATCTGCCGTTGCAGCTACAAAGACGCCAATTATTTTCATCGGTACTGGTGAGAACCTTCACGATATTGATACCTTCAGACCGCGTCCATTTGTCCAACAACTTCTTGGTATGGGCGACATGCAAGGTCTCCTCGAACATGTCCAGGATGTGGCAATGTCTGACCCAGACAAGCAAAAGGAGCTTGCGAAGAAGTTCGAACAAGGTAGTTTGAGCATAAGAGACTGGGCAGAACAGATCAAGAACGTCACTAAGCTCGGTCCAATTAGCAAAATTGCTGGTATGATACCTGGATTGAACGCCGATATGATTGGACAGGGTGGCGATGATGAAGCCAGCAAGAGAATAAAGAGGATGTTGTTCATCACTGACAGTATGACCGAGAAGGAGCTGGATAGCAATGGCACGATTTTCTTGCGCAAGGGCAAAGATGGCAAGTTTGTAGGAATGAGCAGGCGTGCATTGAGAGTTGCCAGAGGATCGGGAACAAGCGTGCGTGAAGTCGAAGAGTTATTGGTACAATACACTATGATGAAGAGTGGTATTCTCAACATGATGAAAGGACAAGCGGGAGGTATGAAACCAGGACAACCAGGTATGCCATCCAGAGACCAAATACAACAAATGCAGAAGATGATGCCACCGCAGCTACTCCAGAAATTGAGAAGCGGTGGTGGACCAGAGATACTTCAGCAACTTCAACGCGGCCAAATTCCAAAAGGCATGGATCCCGAGATGATGGAGAAAATGGCCCAGCAAATGGGCATGAATCCAAATGCTATGGGCGGTATGCCACAGCTGCCCGGAATGGGTGCTGGCGGTGCTGGCTTCAACCCAGCCTCGATGCTCGGTGGTATGGATTTCTCAAAGATGGCCGGCATGTTTGGCGGTGGAAGATAGACATATTGCATTGTACACATTTGTATTTCATAGCTCATTTTGCTATTTATCCTTTATTGTCTGCCGCGTAGTAAGCGAAGCCATTCCGCAATGACGCGAAAGGCTTATCAAACGTAAGCGAAACTGGTCCGCTATATAGCGAATGATTTTAAATTAAATTACGCGCCCACTTAAACACTTAGCCCCAAACCAAACGCATCCTTAACTATCAACAACGATGAGCTTAGCACAACTTGCATCATTCAAGATACCGGCTATTGAAGTAAGTGCTGCTGTATAGCTAGAGTATTGCGCTGACATACCGAAGAATGAAAACATGAAGAACTACCCAGCAAACTCCTCTGAGAGAGCTGCATTGACAGCTGCATTGGATGAAGTTGCTGCTACCTTCCCACAATCCGTCCCAGTCGTCATCAACGGTGAGAGACAGAAGTCTGGATTGAACAGCACTGGCAAACAACTCAACCCAAGCCAACACTCACAAGTAGTGGCCACATACGAGGAGGCGAGTGACGCACAAGTTGATGCAGCAATCCAAGGCGCACTCGACGCTAAGAAGTCCTGGGAAGCTGTCCCGTGGAACGACAAAGCAGCTATCTTCTTAAAGGTATGAATGTCTCCTGTTCAACTCAACAGTTTTGTCTAACCCCCGCTTATCAGGCAGCTGACCTCATCTCAACTAAATATAGATACACTCTTATGGCTGCAACTATGCTTGGTCAAGGTAAAAATACTTGGCAAGCAGAGATTGATGCTGCTGCAGAGGTGCGTTTGAAGCGTTACATGTGGCAATATCTGACAAAATTTTCAGCTCGCAGATTTCTTAAGATTCGGTGTCAAGTATGTCGAAGAAATGTATGCTGTACAACCACCAAAGAATGCACCAACAGTCTGGAAGTGAGTACCCCTATCTGAAAAAATTCTCATCTGACAACCCATCAGCCGCACGGAATACAGACCACTCGAGGGATTCGTTTTGGCTGTATCACCATTCAACTTTACTGCTATCGGTGGTAATCTTCCAGCCGCACCTGCTTTAGTTGGCAACACTGTCGTTTGGAAGCCATCACCTATGGCCTCATTGTCAAACTATATCGTCTACCAGATTCTTGAAGAGGCTGGTCTTCCAAAGGGTGTCATTCAATTTGTTCCTGGTCCTCCAGCTGAGATTGTCGGTCGCGCTATCAACAATCCAAACTTTGCTGCTTTACATTTCACTGGATCAACACACGTATTTAAGAACCTCTGGAAGAACATTTCTAACAACTTGGATCTTTACAAGGGTTACCCTCGTATTGTTGGTGAGACTGGTGGTAAAAACTTCCACTTGGTACACAATTCAGCGCCAATCAAGCCAACTGTGGTGCAAACTATCAGAGCAGCATTCGAATACCAAGGACAAAAGTGCAGTGCATGCTCAAGACTCTATGTACCAGCTTCATTGTGGAAGAACGGCTTCGAAAAGGAGTTGGTCGAACAAGTTAACAGTATCACAGTTGGAAAGGTGCAAGAATGGAACCACTTCATGGGCCCAGTTATTAACAAGCCTGCATTTGACAAGATCACAGGATACATCAAGAAGGCCCAAGAGGTTGGTGATAAGGTTATCGCTGGTGGTACCGGTGATGACAGTGAGGGTTACTTCGTTAAACCAACCGTTATCTTGACTACCAACCCAAAGACAGTCACCATGACAGAGGAAATCTTCGGTCCTGTTATCACAGCATATGTTTATGAGGACGATGACTATGAAAAGACCGCAGAGCTTGTCGACCAGACGACAACATATGCACTCACTGGTGCTCTCTTCGCTAGAGACAGAGCGGCACTCATTAAGGGACAAGCTATTCTCCGTAACTCAGCTGGCAACTTCTACCTCAACGATAAGTGCACAGGTGCAGTCGTTGGTCAACAGCCATTCGGTGGTGCTAGAGCATCCGGTACAAACGACAAGGCAGGTGCCCCATCACTTTTCTCTAGATTCGTCAGCGCAAGATCAATTAAGGAGACATTTGTCGAGCCAACCGACTACCGCTACCCATCCAACTACTAGTTTATGTTATAAATGAAATGTATTGTATGATGTAAATATTTGATTTCTTTTGGTATATTTGCTGCTCTAGAATAATGCTTCGAGTGTCATTTGTTTGAGAATATCAGTAGCTGAGACCATATCGGCAAACTCGTCAAATGACAATCTTCCATCACCATCTTTGTCGCCCTCCATGATTGTTTTGTCGACAATCTGTTGAAGCTGCTGATCACGGAGGTTGTTACCAACCATCATTTTGAGAACAATGTAAAGTTCACCATTGCTGATGTATCCATCGCGATCCATATCGTAGACTTTAAACGCAAACTTGAGCTTCTCATCTTTACCACCTCGATTGCTGAATGCGCTCAACCCTCCTACGAATTCCTGAAAATCGACAGTTCCACCGCCATCTTCATCGAATATCGCAATCATACGATGTGCCAATGGATTATTTGCTACTTGCGGTATCTGTAAGAATTCATCTTTATCGATTGAGCCACTTCCATCTCTATCTAACTTCATGAATCTCTTTTTGAGCCGCTGGAGTTCAGCTGCAGTGACTAAATGAAGTGTTAGATATTATGATAATCTATAAAGTATACTGACAGTTAGAATTCCTCTCTAAATCTCCCAATACTTGTGATCCAGATTGACCCATATTTTGCTTGTGAACGTCAACAACCAAGAGCGAAATGCTGAAAAGATCTGCATCAGAGATAAACACAATATTCGCACTTGCATCAGCGCCTGGGAAGGCAGGTATTGCCGTCGTTAGAGTCTCTGGACCGGATGTTCGAGAAGTCTATAACAGAATGACAAAATCGAAAGCACTACCAAATGAGCGTTTTATGGCGAATAGAAGGATTTTACATCCAACAACTAAGGAAGTTATTGATAATGCACTTTTGGTTTACTTCAAAGGTTCGTTTTTGCACTTCTTTGTTCATTAGTTGAGAATATCTAGCTCCAAGGTCGTTCACTTCTCAGGATACACTAGAGATGCATCTTCATGGTGGTAATGCCGTCGTCAGCGCTACTCTCAATGCTCTCGCAGAAGTGAAGGGTTGTAGACCTGCAGAGAGAGGCGAGTTCACCAGACGTGCTTTCGAAGCTCACAAATTGGACCTCACCGAGCTGGAAGGTCTCAGGGATCTAATCGAAGCTGAGACGGAAATGCAGAGGAAACTTGCATTGAGACAATCCTCTGGAGCTGTCAGAGAACAATACGACGATATGCGCCTGGAAATCATACATTGCTTATCTATCGTTGAAGCTGTGATTGATTTTGGAGAAGACGAGCAGATTGAGGAGGGCGTTCTCGATGATGGTGGGTGAGACATATTTGAATACACTCGCTGACGGTGCAGCGATGGAATCTGTGCGTAGTCTAATGGATAAGATAAGGAGGCACCTTAATGATGGACGCAGAGGTGAAATACTCCGGAGCGGGATCAGGTTGGCAATATATGGACCGCCAAATGCAGGTAAATCGACGCTATTAAACCACCTAGCCAAAAGGGAAGCAGCCATCGTATCTCCACTACCAGGAACTACACGAGATGTGATCGAATTGAATCTGAATCTTGGCGGATATCCAGTTATAGTTTCAGACACAGCCGGTGTGAGGCATACTACACAAGAGATTGAGAAACTAGGCGTGCAGAAAGCCATAGATGTGGCGAAGCAGGCAGACATCACACTTGTCGTGCTCGACTTACCTGATCTATTGGCAAAAAGGGAACTCAGTGTAGATTTGAGCGACATTTCTGCTGACGCCATTGTTTTACTCAACAAAGCGGACGCGCTGGAGGCGCCTCTCGATGCATCCCAACTCAAAGTGATTGAAACTTTGTTGCATCCACGCACGAAATATTTCATAGGAAGCGTAAAAACAGTAGACGCATTGGAGAATTTCATAGCTAGCCTTACAGATGGTATCAAAGAGCAATTTGATTTGGGTATGACTGAGCTGCCACTCATTACGGACGCGAGACATCGGTACCACCTTGAAGAGTGTCTCGGATTCCTGCAGGCATTTGTCAATACTCCCGGAAATGCTCCGGTGGAGGCTGCTGAAGAGCTGCGCTATGCTGCACTTGCGTTGGGTAAGGTTACCGGTAGAGTGGATGTTGAGGATGTCCTTGATGCACTCTTCGCGGGCTTCTGCATAGGCAAGTGAATGTATATACCATGCATATTGTATTATTAGATATTGAACAATTCATTATTGTACTTGCCGATAAGTCTTCTCAAATTTTCAGTAAACATGAATTTGAGGTCACTTTCCTTGGAACAGTCGACATTAACAGCTCAAAAGAAGCATGTCAATACTATTATCAATGGCTATCTTAAAGAAAAAATTTGTATTCTGCGAGTGTTTTTAATAGGAATCACTCATAAGGTTTGGATTTACAGCTCACTTGTTTAATAACGACATACATGCCCATTTAATAGAATAAATCGAATTATAGATCTTATTAACATCTATCGTATCTCTGCAAATCAAGATACATGATTCGACGAGTATAAAAAATTCACACTAGCAGTCGCGAAATATAAATCACCTTATTAATAGATAATTACAGGCTCCCTCTCGTGATTAATAAAAATCCCGTAGGTGTAAGCGCGCGCATGCGAACGCCAGTAATAATCTAGAAGAGACGGTGTGCCTTACCCATAGTGCTCTTAAGGTGGAGAGACTTGACGTTTTGCCAGTTCTTCTTAAGGAGGGAGACAAGGAAGTTGACAGCGAGGACAACGTTGGCGACGATTTCGTCTTCAGCCATGTCAATGTTACCGACAGCAACACCCATACAGAGAACCTTCTTAAGTTGGAACTTGATGGTTGACTTGACATCGTTGATCTTCTTTTCGATGTCATCTGAGTGGGAGATTGGAGTTGGGAATTTACCAGCCTTTGAGAGACCTGGACCAAGCAAACGAGGAATTTGCTTGATGAGGGCTTCAGAGGCGATGAAGGCGTCTTGTGACTTGGCCAACTTCTTGACGAGCTTCTTGTTCTTGTTAAGCTTCTTCAAATCCTCAGTTGACATGAACTCGAGGCCAATGAGCTTAGCACGGTCGATATCAGCAGCGTCACCAAGAAGCATAACCTTCATTCTTGGTCTTGGGACATGTGGGAGCTTGATAGTACCTGAGAAACGCTTGTCTCTTTGTGGGTCGTAGTTCTTCAAACCAATTTGAAGTCTGAAAAACTTCGTTAGCAAGCAAGAAAAGAGTAAGGAAATTTGACATACTCGATGGTCTCAACGAAGTTACGCTTGTTCTCAGCCTTCTTTTGAGTCTCGACGATGTCCTTGACCTGTGGATCTGTTAGACGTATGATCAAAGGCTATAAAGCAAATTTTACGTTGGTACGAATGGTGCTAGTTGGTAACTTGCTCATTCTATAGCATTTCAGTTAGCAAATCCTCTCAGATTTTGTCGAAAAACTCACTTGGTCGGCGGCGCTGAAGAAGAAGACGCTCTCTTCGACTCAAAAAATCTAGAGAAAAAAAATAAAGAGAATTAATTGGCCTAGGATATGATAGTATAAGAAAGCTACAACTATATCAATAAATAGTTACCTTCCTAATTCAGCCACTCTCATTAACTGCTGTTGTATTTTAGGGACGACTCATTTAGAAGTCCCACTCATAGTAAGCAGCGTATAGGGTTGTAGAACAAAGTATAATAGATTATTACTATATCTCTTTTATGAAGTATAGGATTTAGTAAATGAGAAATAGCTATGTAGCAGCCTATGATCAGTTAGAGTCTAGACATCATTACTGATTTCAATAGCCGGTGCACCAATTTGTCTGCCAAGCTGTAACCACTCACATTCAGTATACGCATGCCGATCTAATGACTTTGAGACCGTAGATATTAAGTACTCTGTTTGGATGTAATGCAGACCTGAACTCTCAAGTATGTCTAGTAGTTCTCTATATAACTATTTTCATACCATAAGTATTCAAAGCATTTGAAAGATCGATAGAGATGACTAAAATGTGATAGAACAATAAGGATAAAGGATCTGAACTTGCTCATGACAAAATCTATTGATAAGAGTTTAAGACAGAAAAGAATGAACCACATTAGCATTTGAGCTTCAAGCGTTAGTCAGATATCTTCTACCGATCGAGTGAAGGTGTTTCACCTTCTGAGCTAATGTGTCATGCACAACGCGATAGCTGCGAGAATTTAGGTAGTAAGAGAGATGTGCGTAGTAAAAGTATTGTACTAAATCGTTTCTTTAGTCCCGTCTCGAGTGTAATGTCCTTTTATGTTTATACATACTGTCAGGAAAGATATGAAGGAATGCCCAAAAAATTTAAAACCGTGTGATCTTCAAATCCATAGAAATATTTATATCGCCCGATACATCTCGAAAGAATGTTATCAATGATAGTTTGCTAACCAGTTTTGAAGATCCTCTTTGGAGATCAGCTATACCACTTGTTACTCATGTGTTGGAATATTTTGTTATAGCATATTACATTTATCTGTATCCCATCAGATTTACTGTAAGAGAAGATAGCAGATCTAGCTGTCTAGCCACAGGAAAATCCTATGTATATAATTACATTATAAATATTTAGCACTTCCAACATTTCTAATCACCCTGTAATCATCTGTTCTCTCAAATCTCCTCGTCGTTGCTGCATATCTTCAAACCCAACTTCCATCACGAAATGGGTAAATTCCAGAAGAAAAATGCCAAAGGGCGTATTGATAAATACTACCGCATGGCTAAGGATCGTGGATATCGAAGCCGTGCTTTCTTCAAGTTGGCTGAGCTCAACAAGAGATTCAACTTTATAGAGAAGAGTAGAATAGCAGTAGATTTGGGTGCAGCGGTAAGATAAGCAGCTAATAATAATGTAGCACAACTAACCCCCATCATAGCCAGGTTCTTGGTTGCAAAATCTTTCCAGTTCGATGCCTCACGGCTCTCTTATCATTGGTGAGAGATTTTCAAAACTATAGTATAGGCCATATTAACAAATCTATAGGTGTTGATTTGGTTCCAATTGCACCTATACCTCGTGTTACTACATTTGTCGCAGATCTTACAACTCAACACTGCAAGCAACTCATCACAAACGAAATGAAAGGAAATTTGGCTGATTTAGTTGTCCACGATGGTGCACCAAACGTTGGTTCAGCATGGCTTCAAGATGCTTTCGCACAGAATGAGCTTGTACTTGCCAGTTTGAAGATCGCTGCTGAAATCTTAGAAAAAGGTGGTACATTTGTTACAAAGGTTTTCAGATCTAAAGATTACAATAATCTTATGTGGGTTTTCAACCAACTCTTTAGAAACGTTTCGGCAACCAAACCAAACAGTTCTAGATTGGTTTCCGCTGAGTTATTCGTCGTCTGTCAGGACTTCATCGCACCTCAGAAACTCGATCCACGCTTTTTAGATCCAAAGTATGTATTCAAGGATATTGCTGCCTTGGCTACGGATACAGGAAAAGGCTCTGTTCATGCTAATGCCCACGCAAATGTCTTTATGCCGGAACAAAAGAGAAGAAAGAGAGAAGGTTATGAAGAGGGTAACTACACGCAATACAAGGAGGTCAGCGCGATGGAGTTTATCGAAGGAACTGATCCTGTTACTCTCCTTGGTACTCACAATGCAATTACATTTAAAACAAAAGAGGATAAAAAGCTTCTCAAGAATGAGGACACCACAAAAGACATCCTAGCAAATTGTGAAGATCTCAAGGTTCTCGGAAAGAAAGAATTCAAGCAGTTGATGAAATGGCGAATCATCATTCGTGAAGAAATGGGTCTTGAAGTTAGAAAGAAGGACAAAAAGGAAGATATCGATGAATCAAATATCGAAGAGCTTCCTGTAAACCCTGATGAGCAAATTGCTGAAGATATTGAGCGTATTGAGAATGAAGATAGTGCACGTGCTAAGAAGGAGCGTAGAAGAAAGAATGAGAAACGTACGAAAGAAGTACAACGTATGCAGCTCAAGATGGGTGCTCCAATTGATATCGGTTTGGAGCAAGATCAGCACCTGGATGACGACGTTTACATACCAGATCAAAAATCTAAAGGCGATATCTTTGATTTGAAACACACCCAGAAACATCTCAAGGGACGCAACATCGACGAAATAGAAGAAGACGAAGGATCTTCAGAAGAAGAACCAGAAGTAGCTAAATTTGAAGATGCTTATGAAGATGAGGAAGACAAATTAGACCGCCTTGAAGCTCAAATGGACGGTATGTATGAAACATACCAAGAAAAACTTGGTGAGAAGGATCGTAAACATCAAATTAAAGAAGCTCGTCGTAAGGATAAGAATAGAGAGGCATGGGGAGGTATCCCACGCCGCGGTGATGACGATGAGGAATCTGAAGAATCTGCCGGAGAAGAAGAGGAAGAGGAAGAAGAATCTGAAGGCGAGTATGGATATGAGGCTAAGGAGAAACATCGTATGCAATTAGACCAAGATTCATCAGATGAAGAAGAAGTCGGTACTTCAAAGAAACCTGCTAAGAAGTCAAAGGTAGACAGGAAAACGCAAGATGAGGCTGCTGCGAATGTATGGTTTGGTAACCCGCTCTTCAAAGACGTAGACGGTATTGCTGAAGAAAGCGATGAAGAGGAAGAAGAGGAAGCATCCGTCATGGAAGAAGATGAGGATGAAGAAGAGCCAGCAGAGGAAGACGAAGAATCAGACGGCTTTGAAGTTGTTCCACAAGAAGATGATGGCGAGATGTGGGATGTCGATGATGAAGACCAGGATGCAGCACGTCAAAAGCGTATAGAGGGTGAGTACTTATTAAGACATATTTCACAGGACTAAGACCAAATTAGATACTGGTTTGATTACCGAAGAAGCAATGTCTCTTGCGTACCGTCTGAAGAACGGCATGACTACAAAATCTAAACTCTTAGATGAAGGATTTAACAAACATGCCACCAATGATAGAGAAAATCTACCAGAATGGTTCACAAATGACGAGCGTAAAAATTACAAGGTCCACATACCAATTACCAAGGAAGCGGTCGAGGCACTCAAAGCAAGACAGAGAGCTATTGACGCACGTCCAATCAAGAAGCTTGCTGAAGCTAAGGCTAAGAAGAAATACAAGGCCGTAAAGGCAGCTGAAAAGGCGCAAGCCAAGTCAGAGACCATCATGGAGAACCAAGAGCTTACTGAGAAGGAGAAGGCTATGGGTGTCCAGAAGATGATCAACAAGACGAAAGCTAATGCTAATAAGAAGCGTGAAGTTAAATTGGTCGTCGCTAGAGGTTCAGCTAAGGGTGTCAAGGGTCGTCCAAAGGGTGTCTCTGGTCGTTATAGAATGGTTGATAGACGTTTCAAGACTGACATCAGAGGTATGAGAAATGCCAAAAAGCGTGCGGAGAATAATAAGAAGCGTCGTAAAGCTTAATCAATTGTATATTATGGAGCTTTTATTAATATATTTATTTATAATTCATTTTGAAGAGCTGCTATCATGATTGATGGATTGATTGTCTTGAATAAGGATGGGTGAGTAGAATAATATGTCTTGCTTTATTTAGTAAACTGTCAAATAGCAATACTCTATTGCATTCGAGCTTCAAGCAGCCGAGTTACTACCCAGCTATACATGTAGACCATTATAATGAGAATCAACCAGAGGAGCCAGTTTATTTAGTAGATACGCCACCAGAAGGTTCATTTGGTAGTTTTATGAAGATTAATGATCTGATACTTCTCTGTCCGTTCAGCAAAGATGGTTCGTGATCTTATCGAAATCAGTCACCGCTTAGAAAGTACAGTCGATATTGCAATACCAATAGCATTCATGAAGGCATTTATTGGTGTACTACTTGATTACTTTGGAAAGCTAAACGAGGGCGTGGTTCGGGAGAACTTCGATATCATTTACCAGGTCTGTATGTTGTGGAAGGGTATTTAAATGCTTACAAGTGATAGCTCATGGAGGAAATTCTCGATAATGGTTTCCCAGTCACAACAGAGACAGCCGTTCTCAGCGATATCGTTGTCCCGCCTTCAACACTATCTAAACTCATGTCATCAGCTGGTATGAACGTTAACAGGTAAGGGGTGTTCACTTAAGTCAAGCTTTGTTTGTTTAGACTCCTTAGTCAGTCGAACGTCAGACCATACGCTTCGCCTATCACTTGGAGAAAGGCTGGCGTGAAACATATTAACAATGAGATATTTTTCAACATTATTGAACAGATTGATGCAATCGTCGACAGATCTGGTGCTATCATCACAGCAGAGCTGAATGGGCGTTTGGAATGCGATTCGAGATTATCGGGTGAGTACATCATAATTTGATTCAATAGTATACGAATAGACGATTAGGTACACCTGATATTTTATTGACTCTCAAAAATTCACGACTGATTGAAGATTCCTCCCAACATCCTTGCATTAGGTGAGCAGAAGAGGTATTACGTTTGTTTACTTGTTCTTAGACATGTTATAGATACCATCGTTGGCTCAAAGAACGCATACTTTCATTTGTACCCCCTGACGGTCGTTTCAGGCTTCTGTCGTATACACCAGAGACAAAAGCCCGTTTACCGATAACAAGCAAGTGTTCCATGAAGGTCTCATCGAATGAGGGTAAGTTTATGTGATCACAATGGAGCTTTTTAATGATTCCACAGGACATTTCGAAGTCACACTAGCAAATACCGTAGGCAAGACAATTGAAGGTGTAGAAGTACAAATTTTCCTTGGGCATGGTGCTACATCAGCACAAGGGGAGTCTAAGAAGAGGAATTCACCAGTTGGTAGTAAAGGCACAAGTTTATGCCAATTCGATCAAACTACGAAGGTGTGTCTTGTGTTTCATTTACATTCTCACTAATCTATGGAAGGTGTTTAAATGGTCGATATCTCATATAGAACCAAACACAATACATAATCTATCAACAAATTTCAAATCAAGGTGGGCATAAAATGGTTTCGAGACATTAACTTACAGCCATCACAGTGAAGAATCACCACGACCTGATACTGCCTTTGGTGTTAAATTTAGAATACCACAACACTCAGCTACAGGTATCCAAATTGAAGGTGTGAAAATAGCCGGTGAGGCTGGCTATAAACCCTACAAGGGATTCAAAGGTGAGCTAAAAAGTGGAAGCTATGAAATACGCTGGTGAAAACAGCTTAAATTATAGATATTGTATTATTGCATAAGATTTTCTCAAAAAGAGCTAATCAAATTGTCTTCTCTCTTGCTTCTTACATCATATCACCATGAGTTTCGTTCCACGAACGAGCTTCGTATATCCCTCTAGAGCGCCTAATTGGTATATAGGGCATATGACAAAGGGAATGCGAATGATGACTGAGCAACTGAATACGATAGATGTGATTATAGAAGCTAGAGACGCGAGAATACCATTAACAGGGATAAATTATGAGTTTGAGAAGATGATTAAGAATGGTTGGTCAGAAAGAGCTAAATCTGGTGGACTTACAGAGCGTATAATTGTCTACACGAAACGTGATCTCGCAGAAGAGAAATATGAACGAGTGAGCAGGTAATACACTATAGAGAGGATATGGCTAACATGGTTAAGCCACTCACACGCTCACTTAAGTCACTTACCGGTCAGCATGTTGTTTTCACGAATAGCAAGAATGATCGTGACCCCAGAATTGTTCAGAAACAGCTAGTTTGTGAGTTTAATACTGAACATATGGTCACGTATTCACATTAACTAGCGATTGCTAAGAATCATGAAGTTCCAAAGCTCAATGTGCTTATCACAGGTATGCCAAACGTCGGAAAATCAACTTTCTTGAATGCTTTACGAAGAGTGGGTGTACATAAAGGTAATATAAGTAATAATTTAGTGTTTCATTGACATTACATTCAGGTAAAGCAGCTATCACAGGCTCAGATCCGGGTGTTACTCGTAAACTCACTGGTACAGTTAAAATAAACGAGAATCCAAATGTTTATATATACGACACACCCGGTATAATGGTACCATTTCTAGGACACGATGAACAGGGATTAGAGATGGGTTTAAAATTGGCTCTCACTTGTGAGTAGTAGTGTTGTCAATAATACCCCCACTGATGGCATTTCAGCGGGTATAAAACCAGATTTGATAGACACAGAAACAATTCTTGATTACCTTCTCTTTAAACTCAATTTAAGAGATCCAAAATCTCGTAAGTGTTGCAGCATTGGCAATTTTTCACTAACATACTATCTAGACCCACCTTTTACAGGGCAACTACCCCTAGGGGAGACTTACCCACCGACTAATGATATACATACACTCTTAGAAGACCTTGGACGTCGCGTCGGTGCACTCCGCAAAGGTGGCCACGTTGATATGGACAACGCATCGCAGTTCCTGATGAACGCAATGCGTAATGGTAAATTTGGTAGATGGACACTCGATGATTTCGCAGGAGAGACTTCTGATGAGACTATCGATGCGCGTGTACATTCAACTCTCGAAACGTTTCTCCAGAGACAACAAGAAACTATAGATAAGGACTCAGAGCGTCGAAGTAAAACAAGCATACTCAAAGAAGCTAAATTAGAAGCAGCCAAGCAACGGAAAGCAAAATTGAAGAATAAATTTGGATGAAAATTGTTTATAATAATCTACAAATAAGTCTAGAAAGTTATCTGAACTACGAATAAAGTGGTGGGATGCTGTTGTACTCTATAATACATCTAATATAAATATGCGAGAATTTAGCGACTGATTGTGTGCTTCAACTCTGGTTAAAAGAAATTCCGAATAGATAACGTAAAATTCTAATCGGCGAATTAAGAGCTCGTCGTGGCTGTAGTATTGAACAGTAAGCCAGATCCATCGTTGTTGTCATCCGGCTTTATGGACGTGCGCCTTTCTCCGTTCTTAACGGTGCCGGCGAGTTGTGAAGATATAAGTTTGGGCGTGGATAGAGGTGTTGAAGAGTTGTTGTTGTTGTTGCTGTTGTTGTTGTTGTTGTTGTTACTCGGGCAGATCGTCTGTATGAGTTGTTTCTGAGAGATAAAGTAAGAAGATGCCAGCCGTATGTAGACTATACCGACCTTTATTGCTTGCAAATCGATCTCATTCTGTCCTACATGCGATTCTTTCAAGTTTATAATCAATTCCTCAATTTCCATATTTTGCCGCGGTCGTGACTGATAAAGTGTAAGATAAAATCGAGGAACAAACTTTGTTGAGATACCCGTCTAAAAATGTATAATAAAATAAATTATAAAATAAAAACAATCTAATTCTTTGCACTCTTCTTCTTCTCTTTAAGCTGTTTCTTCTTCAGGTCCTTCTTCTTGCTCTCAAGAAGTGCGCGCTGGGAGGAACGTTAATTAATCGTGTAATACCGGTTCTGAACTCTACTCACCTCATCAGTTTGACGCTTCTGCGAATGCTTAACTTTGTTGTACAACTTGCGTTGCTTAGATCCCATCATGAGGTGTGCCATATCGTCTTCCTCTTTATCTTTCGTATCGGAAGTTTTCTAGAATTGTTAGTAATTTTTCTTCGGTAAACTATCATTCTTACCTTCTTAGAAGCGGACTTCTTGGCTTTCTTCAACTCTGCTTCGAACACATCATGGCTAACACCAAGTTGTTCAGCTTCGAGCTCAGCGGCATCATGCAGTGCTTCGTCATCTGGGTTTTGAGCAGCCGCAAGGAGTGCTTCGGTTGGATATGTGCTCTTTGGTTTCTCTTCTTCTTTCTCTTCCTCAATTTGCTCATCTTCCTCCTCCTCTTCGTCGTCCTCTTCAGCATCAGCTTCTTCGATCTCCAAACCAGGAACATAGGCATCATCCTCAGTTACTTCAAATGGCGACATGTGAGGTGGAAGTGTCTCGCCTGGTGCGTATGGTTCAGTTGGCAATAACCTACCAGCGTTGGCAGAATCGACGATCCATTGTGGCTGAATGTAAGCTCTCTTCAAATTGAGTTCCTTCAGGCGTTCAGGGAGTTGTGGTCTATCGACAACCATATGAGTTATACGTGGATCCTTCTCATCTGGAATTGGTGAACCACCACCAAGGGTTGTCATATCCCATCCAACTTGACCACCGAATGAACGGATGACGAACTCTAAAGTTGGTCTTGTAACTTCTCTAGAGAGGTAGAAAGTGTATGGTGCGAATAAGTTAGCACGTGCACTTTCAAATTTAGAGTTTTCGATGAGTGTATTGAGTGATTGACCGATATCAGTTGAAGCCTCTACATTCTTTGAAGGTTGCTCAACGAATTCCTCAGGTGCAGGTAATCCCTCTTGATCAACTTCTTCGTTGTTTTCTTGTTCCTCAAGTTGATCGTCAGCTGGTGGTGCGCCTGATGAGCCAATTTGATCAATTTGCTTGCGTACATCCTTTGCGCTAATTTTTGCACTTTCGACGACATCATCTTGACCTGACTTGGTGAGTGCACCTGTTGTCTCTCTCAAACTGAAAGCACCGATTCCGGCACCAGTACCATCCTTGTCGATATCAAGTGGTGGTGGATATACCAAGTTGATGTCGTTGTATAACTTGTAAAAGACGAAACCAGTGAGTGTCTGATAAAGTTCCAAGAATGTCATCAAGATTCTGAAATCTACATCTTCTGGGATGTGTTGAGTGAATAAGTATGGAACTAACCATCTAATTGGTCTGCCTTCAACTTCAGCTTCAAAGTAAACACCCTTAATTGATAAGAAAACTTTTCTGAGTGACTTGGTACGCATAACGTATAGTTGCCATTGAGCTGAGAGTTTAGCGCAGTTTTCTATAATGTCGGCAGGTATTTTGCTGTTAGCTGGCAAGTGACTGAAGAGCATGATGAGTGAGATAGCGTCTGGGAGATCATTGAGAGTGGATTGGAAGGTTGGGTAGCTAGAAAGTCGTTAGAATAGGTATAAGGCATTGCTAATAAACTCACCGTTCTCTAATGATGTGGTCTAATCTGTACTCTGGCTTCTTGTTCTCTTCAATAGACTTGGCTTGAGCGTATTCACCACGACCGACAGCCTTTGAGATCTTCTTAGCAAACGATTTGTACTCTCTTAAGCTGTTTAACAATGGCTCGTGTTGTAAATAGACAATATCCTTTGTGTAGTAGAAAGCTTTTGGTGCAGTTGAACCTTTGTTGGCTTTCTTCTTGTTTCTTGGTTCTCTAGGGAAGATACCTGGATATAAAATCAGAAGGTGCTTCTATAACAAATAGATACTCACCCTTCAAGATACAAAGCCTTCTAAAGTCTGCAAGCGAGATTTGCAACTTCTTGATTGCCTGGAGATGTGAGTAAATGAATAGAGATATACACTAAAACCTACTTGATTTCTCGTCATGTAGTTCTTGACGGCTCCCTTCTCATTTTTCTTCGTGATTCTGCCCATCTCGATGTATTCCTAGATGGACGTTGCTATCAAAGAAGAAGACGGTGAGATGTGATAGAAAATATTATTTATTATATACATATCTTTATAGATTTACACGAAATACCGTTTAGATATCTTCCTTCTTGACTTTTATCCCTGAAAATTCTTCCAAAGCGTCATTTGGTATACTTCCTTGTATATCTGAGAGTGCACCTTTGAGTATATAAACATATTCAGCTTCTTTTGTACCCAGCCTTATATCTTGCTTAGAAAGGAAGAGTGGTGCACTGTGAGTGTATGCGACGACGATAGTACATCGTGGGCAGCTCAGTCTGTGCTGACGTTCGCACATACCATCATCCCTGTTGATATATATTTAGCAGCTATTTGAGTGTATGTAATATCACACACCTTTGTAACATACAGGGCGTTTGAGAGATACCATTTAATTTGAAGTTACGCTTTGTTGATTCTGTACCAGCCGTGTGCGTTATTATGTAGCTATCGTCTGTTCTACGCCGTGGTAGATAGCTCAGCGGCTTATCTATAACCAACTTTAATAATGATATTAGCTCATATATTATAAAACACTGTTTTATCCTACAATAAATTCACCGCATATGCAGTAATAACTGTTCAATTGCATATTACACCCTTCGTCGTCTTCTCTCAAGTAGAAATGTCTGATAACGGGGAGAGAATAGACAAAATTGATACTACATCCAGTAAAGCTATAAAACGTTTAGTATTGGATGCCGCACCTTTCCTCACTCAAGCTCCAATCCGCGATCTTGCAGAGGAATTCTATACAACACCACAAGTTATCGCTGAATTGAGAGACGAGAAGTCAAGAAAATATTTAGAAATGTTAGAAATACAAGGTATTCATATAAATGTACAACAAGCTGACCCTGTCAGTTATGCTAAAGGTTTGATAAACTTTTCACTTTCTATCAATCTAACAACAGTACAGTTTCTAGCTTTTCTAAACTTACCGGTGATTACAGCGTTCTTTCAGGACCTGATATGGGCGTTCTTGCCCTCACATATGCACTTGAAGTACAGGAGAATGGTACAAAGAGACTGAGAGATGCGCCAGGACAGGTTGGTTACTATCAATCAATTGATATATCATTAACGCTTTTATCAGGCAGCTGGAAAGAAGCCAGCTTCATCCGATAAGATTGATAAGAACGCAGCTCCTGCAGATAACTTAGCTGAGAACGTAGAAAGTGTCAGCCTAGATGACGCTCCTAAGAAATCAGAGGAGGAGGAGTTCACAACAGTCACCAAAGGAATGTCTATAGCAGCCAAACCACGTCAGAACAAGAACACGCAATCTCAGGATGACTTTGGTAGCATACAGGTTGATAACAAGAGTGAAGATGAAGACTCAGATGACGAAGATGCAGGAGAGTGGATCACACCAGACAACGTTGAGGATTACAAGGCTGTAGACCTTGGCCATCAGACACCACAAGAGAAGAGCCAAAAGCCTACATCTAAGAAGGCTCCAGCATACCTCAAGGCTGCTTGTATGACTGCTGATTTTGCAATGCAGAATGTACTTATACAGATTGGTCTCAACCTCGTCGGTACGAATGGACAAAGAATCAAAAGTGCAAAGAGTTGGGTATTGAGATGTCACGCATGCTTCAAGTGAGTGTTTAATACTTTCGTTACCATTTTTAACGCAACGACAGATTGTGTAGAGACCAATCGAAGAAGTTCTGCCCTGCTTGCGGTAACAGCACGCTCCTCAGGACTTCTATAACAACCTATGCACCAAAAACAGCTGATGGAGCACCAATTGTCAAGGTACACCTCAAGAAGAACTTCCAATACAAAAACCGTGGTACAAAATACGCTATACCTTCATCTAAAGTTGGTAGTTCCAAGACTGGTAGTGGTTTACCTTTGATTTTACGTGAAGATGATCCAGATTTCCAACGTGCTGTTCATTCAGAGCAAGTCGCAAAGCGTAAAGAAGAGAAGGCTTTGATGAAATCACTCGAGAAGGGTAAATCAGGATCAAATAGTGCATTTACGTAAGTTTTTCAATAGACACACACAATAATACCGTCTAACAAGTCTATAGAGGTCAATGGATGGATCCAGATTGGCTTCCTGGTTTGCTTGCACCGGACGCAAAGGGTAGACGGACAGGTGGTAGAGGAGCACAAATTGGACATGGAAGAAGAAATCCAAATGAAGTACGTAAGAAGAAGAAGTAATGATACAGTCGCTATTGTAATTATTATTATAGATCAAGCTACTAAAATTTTTATCTGCGTGATCATTGTGCTGATAAGATGGCTGACATTATCTCATGAAGCGGTTAATAAATAATAAAAGAGTGAACTAAACGTATGCTAGAAAGAATTAGACTAATATCAGACTAGGACACTCTTCTAACCTGGCGGCCACCACGAGTATGAAGATAGAACCGTTAACGGCGATAGAGCAGCCAGAGAGTGATACAATGCCTCCAGAAGAGACCAAAGGTAAAAGGAAAGGTCCTCGTAGGACGCAATATTGTGAGTTCCTCGCTATTTTGACTCATCAGATACTGATTGATAAAAATTAGCTTGCACAGAAGTGAGTTATTTGTCTATTTAGATGGGCATATACTAAACTACGGTCATTTTAGTGTCATAGGAGAAAGCAAAGATGTGATCGCAAGTATGTTCACCGATCCACTCGCCCTATAAAACTCACCCACTATCAGGACACCATGTAACCACTGCAGCGCTAGGAAAGTACCCTGTCTACCATTCAAACCTGGACAAGACAACGACGTACAGAGTCGTCTCGCCAGAGTAGAGGGTTTGGTGGAGAGCTTGATGCCTCTTTTGCAACCGGATAGCACAGGAAGCACCTCAGAACCGCCTAGCAAGAGACGCAAAGCTATGAGTACAGCCACATCAGGTGACGAGGATGATGAGGAGAGAGATGACCTCGCCAATGTTGGAATTGGCCCTGCTGCATCTGGCACACTCCACCACAACGGAAATTGGTACGGTCCATCAAGTTTGAATGTTTCGGAGATAGCAAACAATTTGGCTGATAAAGTTGGTGGTGATACTACCACCGATTTCAAGAATCCTGCCCATAGTCCAGTCGCCGTCGACGATCAGTTAAGTATAGTCATCCAAGAGTTCGGTATGAGCCCTTCAAAAGTTGACACGCTGGTTGATGAACTACCACCAAAGCAATTTGCTGATAAACTTGTCGATTCATTCTTTGCTCATATTAATTGGACGAGATATCCAATTCACGAACAGAGTTTCAGATTGGCATATGAGTCTACATATAAAAAACGTAGAAGTTTAGAAGCGAAAGATTTCAAAAATCTCCCACTTGTTTTTATCGTACTCGCAACTACACTGAGGTTTGCACCAAATGAAGAGATTGCAGTTGAAGCAGGCAGTGGTTTATCAGAAGCCGAACGACGCAGCTGGGCATTGAAATTATATTGGAGCAGTGAGTATCTTTTTAGCAATTTTATCCTTATTAACATTTTACAGCACGTAGATGTTCCCTACTTGTTTCAGCTGTACAAGGAGATTGCACAGAGATGGTCATATCAAGATTATTAAGCACTCGTTTGCTTATTAATGAAAGACGCCTTACCGAATCCTGGTCGCAACTCGGTAGCGCTATCAGGACAGCCCAGAGTTTGGGTATGCACAGAGATGGAAGCAAACTGGGTTTGAGTTCCTATGAAACGGAATATCGCAGGAGGCTTTGGAGTTACCTTCAGCATGCAGACAATACATTGGCTCTCATTCTAGGCAGGCCACCTTCAATTATACCTGCATATTGTGATACGCTTCCTCCATCAAATATTGACGACAACGACTTCCAGAATACGTCTGCAGAAGCATCGGCGCCTATAGCAAAACCTTTGACGATACCAACTTTGATGACGGCTCACGTCCTTCGTCACTCCTTCGTACAGATCGTCGCAAGATGTAATGAACATTTCTCAAATTTGAGAGCACCTTCAAGCTATTCGAATGTCCTCAAATTAGATTCCGATATTAGAGATTTCATATCGAAGCTTCCACCAGTTTTTAGATTTGAAGATCCTGACACATCGATGGATAGTCAAATGCCATGGTTGCCAACGCACCGCTTTTTGCTCGCTGTTGAGTGCTACTTCACTAAGATTAGTCTACATAGACCTTGGGTACTCCGAAAAGTAAACAGTTCGAGGTACGCACCATCACGAAAGGCTTGCTTTGAATCAGCCAAGTTGGACTTCTTTGCAAGGGAGAGATTCAAGAGGGAGACTAACAAATCATTGGGTCGTTTCGGTGGTGGACAATATAGAATATTCAACTCAACGCTCATTTCCGCGATCGCACTCATACTTGAGCCATTTGGACCTGATAGTGCTCAACACAGACATATTCTCGATTCATTCCTGGCTGAACGGCAAGACAAAACTATTACACTCCCGTGGGATGAAGCTATGATAAATGAAACTCGTATTATTCAGTTGTTTAGGGATAAAGCTGAAGAAATTATAAGGTCTAAAGCCGCAGCAGCAAATGCTAATGCTAATAAGTCAATGAAAGGGAAGAGGGAAGACGCAGATGGTTCTGACGATAGCACAGCTGATAAAGATCCGTCATTAAGATTCGCACAACCGAATGCAAACACAAATGCTAACATGTTGATGGCTATGCCTAACTATCCATCAAATGCCTTCCCTAGTCCAAGCGCGGTTTCATATAATAATTTAGCGCCTCCATCAAATATCGATCAACAATGGCAATGGAATGCCCAAGCGCAGGCGCATCATGCTCATCAAGTACATCAAGCACCAGCTATTGATGTTAATGCAAACAATTGGTCATTGAATGATGCCCCAGCTGATACTATTGCCATGTTGTTAGGTTTGGGTGTACCTGAGATGATGCCCTTAGGGGCATTAGATCAATCAGTAACTGGTGTTCCTTCAAGCTCCTCGCAAGCTATGCCTGATGAATCAACAGATTATTGGCAAAAGTTAATCTCCAGTTTGAATGATAATTAATCTGCTCGTTATTGTTTTATATAGTTTTAGACTTATTTATGTTTACTTTACAAAATTGTTCAGTTCGAGCAGACAAAAGTTGCAGAGAAAGGTGCCACTGTATAAAATGCATTTAATGATAGTAATAAATTCATTAAATAATAGTCAAATAAAATTGTCCAAATATATTATAAAATCCATGTTTGAGAAATGTAAGTCGTAAATTAAAGCGGTAAAGCGATAATGCGATTTTTTTAAGCGGCAGCACCTGGTAATGGCTTACCTTCACAAGTCCAGGTGTCATCTCTCTCAGAGTATCCACCAACGACCTTGTATGGTGAGTCGTTGAGGCATTCAGCGACGGTTTGGAGTGAGTAACCAGCGTTAGCCATTTGTGGAACGTAGATTTGTGGAAGACGAGAAGCAGTGTCGTAAGTAGCGTGGTTGAGGACAATGCGAGGGGTGTGGCTACCGTCAGCTGCGAAGCTATCGTACAAGCCAAGAATGTGGTCGTCAGAAGCACCAAGTGAGTCTTCTGAGTCATCTGACCAGTTGACAACGGTGATACCCCATCTGTCTTGAAGGTGTTGAACGACTCTGTCGTCGACTTCACCGTACTGTTTCACTTATTAGCGTTGTTTAACAATGTTTAAATAAACTCACTGGTGGACGGAGGTACTTTGGTACGACACCAAGGATCTTCCATAAAGCGTCTTCAACGAGTTGGACTTGCTCGTCGATTTCCTCGTTGGTGAGTTGAGTAAGGTGAACGTGACCCCAGGTGTGTGAGGCCATTTGGTGGCCGTTTTCGTAGAGGGCTCTCAAGTGTGAAACGTTCTCTTCTGAGTAGATACAGCCGTAGTTGTAACCGTTAAGGAAGTATGTTGTCTTTCCTTGAACGGCGTTGAATTGGTCATTGACGTTGTAGTCCCAGTTGTATGGACCGTCATCGTAGGTGATGGCCATAGCATTTGGGTTGTCGCAGGTTTCAACAACGCCTTCAGTTTGACGCTTTGAAGGAGCTGCACTTGCGAAGGCAAGGATTGCTGATGCGATAGCCAATGAGAACTTCATTTGTTTTTTAATAAATCGTTGTATGAATGTAAGAATGGAATTTATTTTATTTATAGCAGATTTTATGCGGACGAACCTAAAGGTACGCCAAATTCAAAGCTGTGTTACGGGTGAAACGGCTTTCTAACAAAGGTACCAAACAATATAGCGCATAAAAATAAGTTATAATCTGTACATCTAGCTAAAATTTACTTATCTAGCGGCGCTTATCCCGTAAGGGGCGCGAGCGCCATAGCTGATAAAAGTTCCACCTTCTATAAAACCCCATTTGGTAATTAATTATTACCAAAAATGTCTAACTTTAATTAGACGTTTTACTTGAAAAGCTTCCTTGAAACAATTTTTCGTATGTTACCGGCTTCTATTTTGGTTCGGTAATCTAAAATAGAGGACATATATGACGTAAGAGAATATTTTACAGATATGGCTTCTTCAACATGAAGAAATTTTGTGGGCTGTCCATATAAAAAAGCCATTATTGAGTGGACATGTCATATCCATATTCAGTTCCGCAAGTGACACAGGGAATTGACATTATGAGCAACCAGGAACATTGCCGCGAAGCTATGCGAATGATAAACAGAAGGTTGTACCTTGTAACTTTTATAATTATAATGTATGATGCTATACTGTCGAAGGTATCCGCGTGCTTCGTATAAGCGAGCCGAGTACGTAAACATTAATAATAAACCAGAACAAACTGGCTATCCAGAGAGGTATGAACACGGGTTGTCCGAGGAACTCAAGCTTGTAAGCGATTGACAGCCAGACAGCCTTAGTATGTCAGGAAGGGTAGCGACATTGATGATGCACTTACCTGCGCAGAGATCCATAAAATGGGCAAGGTAATCTTTTTCCTTTTGCTAAGTTTCAAAGAGGGTAATACAACTGGTAGGAGCCATATATACCAGAGGAAGTACTACAAACGTATCAGTAGGACTCATCGATAAGTATATACACTTACTTGGGAAGTACATACTCTATTGAACGTTACAAACGCAAGCGTCTGGAAGAACCATGCGAGCGGGAGATCGATGGCACCGTAGACTCCCAAACCGAGTGCTAGGACGAGCTGAGGGATTAATGAGAAAGCTGGATGCAAGCCCTCGTCTGAGCTGTAAGTGAGGTAGGTAGGGTAGAAATATGGTGTGAAATTGTGTCTATGGTCCTTTCTCCCAATATGATAAAGATATGTCGCTTGAAGGAAGTCCATTCCATATCTGAGTTGTTAGCCAAGGACAACGAGGGAAGAAATGAATCACTTACATATTGTACATAGCTGCATTTATGGCAGCAAATGCAACCAAACTAACGACAGAAAACCACAGTAAGAGGCGTATTGAGCGATGTTTGACCCAGAGATGCACGAGAATTGAAGTGCTATATATGAATGGATATATCTTGTAATGTACACTAAAAGCCATAACGACTGCACCGAGCGTATAACTTTCATGGAGGATCAGATCGAGCGTCGTCATGACAAGCACGCCAATGAGCGACTCTGGCGAGCCTCTAGTAGAAATGCTAATAACGATTGGGTTGAATAGCCACATAAATCGCGAAACATAATTAGATTTCTTGTTATATTTCATTAGAATACGCTCGATAGATAGCCCAACTATGACATCTGCGAATGAGAAAAGATACTTTCCAAAGGATGGATCAGTAGATACATTAGGAAGGGTGATCCATGATAGTATGGGTGTATATCTGTACGTCTGTCGCTCATACGGTGAATGGCCGTTGTAGACAAGCTCTGCAGCATCTGTTATAACGCGATAGTCGACATCTGTGTAGTACGGTCCACCAGTTTTATCTGCTATACTATCGTGGTATTTGGAATATAATATTAAAAGCACCCTCACTGCCAATGCAGCAAATGTCACTATAAACGTCATGGACGTTATAAATAAAAGTTACAATGAATATTTCTGGGTGATAGTCTCAGTCCATCTGTCAAACAACATAGCTGATATCTCATTAGTCTTGTAGGGTAATGGTTTAGCCTCCTGTTGGGCTGACCCATTGTGGTATATTGTTTGTTTATACAGGTTGCTGTTCAAATCGTGTAATTCGCGATAACCATTCTTAAGCATCATGATAGAAGCTATTTCTTTTGGTTTGAAGGTATCATCCATCATTTTGTCGAGATGTTTGAGATGCTTGTCTATGTTTTCATCTGGTTTTTGTTCCGCAGGTGTAGATGGACGATTCCAAGTTCTTTCAGGGGCGTATGATATATCGCTCGAGCCTTTTCTGAAAATCGTCCGATTATTGCTCATATCTGAGTCAATCGCAGCATATTTTCTGGCCATATCTGTCTGGCTTATCTCACTGCGAGCGACGTGGTTGGCTTTACCAATTTCATTTGCTTTAAGAGTTCCGAAACTCCAATTCCACTCGTCAATTAAAGATTTAACGCTGTCTTCGTCGTCATTATCCGCGTTTGGACTGTTCTTCGCTGATGGAACGCCCGTCGTGAGGGTGTCGATCAGTGGATTGAGTATGCTAGTGTCGTGTGCAGTTGCTATAAATGGATGTTCTAGTAATTCTGTTGCTGTTGGTCTTCTTTGGAAATCCTTTGTGAGACATTCTTTAACAAAATCCTTGAAAGAGTCAGAGAAATGGTCACCTTCTAATTCAGGTGGAGCAGATTTCGGTATCAGGAAAAGAACCCTTAGAGGATGGAAGTCTGATAAAGGTGGTAATCCTGTCGCGAGCTATCTAATGCGTAAGTAACAACAACTCATTATACAAACGAACAAACGAACCTCAATAGCAGTTATCCCCAATGACCATATATCAGCTCGCATATCATATCCTGTTTGTTGGATGACTTCAGGTGCCATCCAGAAAGGTGTACCAACGAAAGTATTTCTTTTCGACATTCGTTCACATATTTGAGCAGCGACACCAAAGTCAGCTGATGATAATTAGCAACTTGTTGAAGATCCAATTTGATTCTCACCTAACTTTACTTCTCCAGTCTCAGATAAGAGAACATTGGCTGCTTTGATATCACGATGGATCTTGCCTAGAAGATGTTTAAGATAAGAAGAACGTAAAAAGCCATTATCATACCCTCTGAATGAAGATATTCCAAACCTTTGAGTAGTTCTTTGCAAATTGTTGCAACTTGCTCCTGGCGTATTTGCACTTTGTGCTTTATCTGCGCGTATTTAACCTGCGTAGACATGTAATAATAAAAGAACACACCACATCCAAGCAGGATCCAACTGCAAGTTCCATTACTAATGGACGATAAGCATTTCAATTTTCAAATTGATAAGAAGACCAACCAATCCAGAGTTTGAAGCCATCAACAAACGACGCGTAGTATTTTGTCACATAATCAGATTGACATGCAGCCACTGCATACTAATTGAGTGTCTACTCTTTATACTTTCAACGGCTTACAATGTTGTATCTCCTGCTGTATGTGTAGAATATCCTCGTCTGTCTGTTCAAGATCTTTGGAAATATTAGCGAGATAAACTTTCTTCTGATGAATTCGCTCACCAATTATTTTGATAGCGACAATTTCATCATTAGTACGATTCACACTGTAGTAGATGAGAGGTGAACGCGTTACATAAACAAAATCCCACGCTTTATAGACCACACCAAAGCTACCAACGCCTAGACGCTCCTTGAGGTCATACTTATCCATCAATGATGGACGTTCGAGATAAAGAATATCTCCTTAGAATGGAACGATCACGAGCCACGTTAACGCCACTGCGGCTACTAAGTCATCCACAGATAGTGGATGGCCTGCGTATCATCCTTATTGGCGCTAGTTTGGAAACTACACGCCGTTTGTGCACATGGGTTTACTACAAATTCCAAGGTATATTCTATCAAACTGTACGGATAGATAATCAACCAATGATTGATTGGTTGGATTGTTGGCTTCTCAGTAAGGATAGCTGGAAAGATTGCCATGATGTTACTGCATCGAAGAATGCAGGAGACGACAGCTTAATATTCAGTGCAAGTGCCGGTATAGATCGCTGGATAAACTACAAAGGGAAATGGCTCAAGTTTGTGCGGGATCAACGTGAAATTAACTCTTACAATGGTCCATCTACAAAAGAATCGCTTACTGTTTCACTCTTCGGATTCACATGGGAGCCCGTCAAACATGTAATAAGAGAAGCACGTGAATTATACAAGACCAAGCATATGTATTCAACACAGGTCTTATTAGGCGATCAGTACGGTAAGCTCATCGTATGAAACAAAATTTGCACTGATTGGCGTAAGGCAACTGGAATCAACTCACTACGAAAAGTCATAGACCTTGGCATAGTTTCTTCCTTCCTGGACACACTAAGGACTTTTTGCTCAATGATGCGAAGGAATTTATGAGTAGCGAGGAGTGGTTTGCAAATCGTGGTATTCCTTTCAGGAGGGGATACCTCCTCTATGGTATACCAGGCACAGGAAAAAGTACAACAGTCCACGCACTTGCTTCTGAGCTCAATTTACCTATCTACATTCTGATGCTCTCACTCAATCTTGATGATAGCAGTTTAGCAGACATGATGCGATACTTACCTTCCCATTGCGTTCTTCTGCTGGAAGATATAGATGTGGCATTTAAATCTCGTGTTGATAACGGTAATGAGAGGAAAGAAAACGAAAGTAGCGTTACACTCTCTGGTTTACTAAACGCGATAGATGGACTTGCTGCACCAGAAGGAAGGCTGCTCTTTGCTACAACAAACCACGTCGAGAAGCTCGATCCTGCATTGATACGTCCTGTGAGTGTATTTAAATCGGTAGAAATCAGTTGAACTTTTTGCAGGGAAGAATAGACGTAAAGGTTGAGTTCAAGGCTATTGAATACACCGAAGCCAGGGCTTTATTTATCAATTTTCATTCAAATACTGAAAAATTAGCAGATGAATTCGCTGCTACAGTTAGCAAATACGTTGTAACCCCATCGCAATTGCAGGCATATCTGTTATTCCACAAATCAAATCCAGCTGGTGCTGTAAAGAACTTGCAAAAGTGGATAGAAGAAGAAAATGTTCAAATAAAATCAACATAGATATATTTCATTACAATTTGCTAGTGAATCCTTTATTATTGAGCCAATCTAAGCTGTTGTTCTCCAGGTGGTCGTCAAAATCGTTGAAATGGCTACACAATGTCTTGATTTTTGGCATATCTACTGGACTTATTGTTGAGGTATAGCTGGTGAATGATTGTGACTGGCTAGGCTTGAATGTCTAAAGTTGTTAGTTGTGATTTATAGATTTAACCCACTGCTCACCAACAGACCCGCTTCTTTTGAATCCTTAAGAATAATTCTGTTATCTACAGCTATCCCAACTACATGTTTACTGTTGTTTGCATTTGACTTTATTTTGTTGAGTATGTGTGTTGTTGTGGAAGACAGCGTAGGATGTTGATCGATAAGCTCAGAAGCTTCATATAAACCGACTATTTGTAGGTTCAACGAGTTAGCGTGTATTTCGACCTTTGGTTGTTTAGATATGTCACAGAAGGGGCTATATTGAGCTCACGAGTTGTAATGCCATTTCCAATACAGGTGATAGCTTGTTCCAGAGGTGTTGTACGGGTATAGCGTCTGTAAGTACCATAAGTGATATTCTATGAGTATTTTGCCATACAGACCAACTAGTTCTACATTCTTATCATCTAATCTGCCAATCAAGATACCATTTATAGCACATTCCGGGTATTTGCCTAGTTAATAGTGAGCTGACTAGCTAAAATCCTTATATTTATAGTTCACCTGCATGTGCGATTATCTTTGAATGGATTTGTGCGTTTATCGACATGGATGTACAACGTGAAGAAATAATTTAATAGTGCAACCTATGAGTATAGCATTGATAGCCATCTGGATTGTTGAGGAGGTACTGTTGGTGATAGTCTTCTGCCTTCCACCATTTGTACTTGTTAACAGGGTGTATAACAGTAGCTATTGTCGAGCTTTTAGGTGTGAAGTGTGTCTCCTGTACTTGATCCCTGATTCTGTTTGCTATGCTGAATTGATCGTCCGTAGTTGGATAAAGTGCAGTACGATATTGTGTGCCGATATCAGCGCCTTGACGATCAACCTGCGTTGGATCGTGGGTACGGAAGAAGAAATCTACAAAGACGTCAAAAGATGCTATAGAAATCAGCTATTAATTACCTAACAACTCCTCGTAGCTTGCCTGACGGTTGTCCCAAGTCAAAGACAAAGCCTCTGCGTGACCGGTTTGTCCTATACGAATATGAGAGGACTAACTTTGTACAAAGTTTCTAACAAACCTGTGCATACTAATTTGTAGGATGGATCTTTACCAACACCGTTATCATCGCCACCAATAAAACCGACTTCGGCGTTAATAATAGCACTCTTGAAATACTTTCTGAATAATTCCTCTGTACTATTTGAATAGTTAGATGTCGCTAATTTTTCCATATGTTCTAATTACCCCCAAAAACAGCCATTAGCGAAGATAGATGTCTCTGGCTGTGGATCCGGCTTATCTATGACTTTCTGAAGTCGATTGTTGAGAGCATCTCTCGCTATTTGTATAGTAGGTTCAACCTTTCTGGACATCTGTGACAATATTCTTTTAATGATGATCGTTGTTCTTACACAGTCATGTCTACCCAACAAACACAAAATGTGAGACGAAAAACCCAGATGAAGGGGCAATTTGTGAAGGAGTGTAGGTTATCTCAAGTGATTTATCTAAATCTCTAATAAAATTAATAGTGCGCCCATTAATGTACTCATTCGGTGACGATGTCAACCCAGATCCAGAGGCTACAAACGTTTTGGAAGAGATATTAATAGACTTTATAATGGAGATATGCTACAAAGCGCAAAAGGCTAGTGGAAATAGAGGTAAAATAAAGATTGAGGACATTAAATTCGTCTTGAGAAACGATCCTAAGAAGTTGAACAGAGTTGAGGAATTGCTGTATATGCAGGAAGATATTAAGAGAGCTAGAGCGGCCTTTAATGAAGGTGATATCATACAAGACGCTGTGAAATCAAACAGGGGCACAAAACGCCCTGCTAGTCCATCAACTTGAACTTGTAACTTCTCGCTGCAGTAAACGCTATAATTGTACAACTAATTGACCAAATAATGAAATTTCTGAAGCTTTTCTTAGAGATTCTCCTCTCATCTTGTGCGCTCCTTGAGGATGCAAATATCGCACGTAGATTTGGTAATGTCATAGTTGATCAACAACCGTGATGGAGTCTTCTCTCATCATAACAAATTTAGATAAACAAACAATTAATTTATTAGATGAGATTATTAGTATAGTTCCACCCTCTTCTCACTCTTTTCTCGCGTTATTTAACGCTTACAATCAAGTACTTGACGCACACGGCATCGACCAGAATGACGAAGTTGAACTGTACGATTTGTTGTTAAAGTTGGGTGTCGTAAAGGGTAAGGATTGGCATGAAAGATGGCAATCCATTCTCAATTCAGACTACAATACAACTCACCCTTTAGTCGATATCGACGACCAAGATAGCGCGTCTGTATCTTCATCCAGCGGATCATCTGCTAGCACTCACTCAGATACGCGTTCTACATCCACAGCTGCACTAGCAGCTGAAGCTAGGCAGACTGATGAAGAATTCCCTCCAATTCAATATAATAATCAACGTAATCGCGTGCCCACGACAGTTCAAGCACGTGCGTTGGCTAGTGTACAAGCCCAAACCAAGCGTGTTCGTCAAGCTGAACTTATCAGACGTCAACAAGAGCAAGAACGACTGAAACGCACTGAAGAGGCGCGTAAAAGGGAACTTGAAGAGGCTAGACAGCGAGCAGACGAGAACAAGGTCCTTCGTGAGATGGAATTCATGGCCGATTCTTTTCATCGTAGTAATGTCACTTCACGAACCTTCAATGTCTGGTTTGGTCTATTTAGGTGGATACAGCACAATCACCAACAGGTTAAAACTACCCAGACCACCCAAATACTTAATATCTACTTCCAGAAATGGGAACATGCCCTATCTAAACGTGTCATTCTCGCGAATCATGTTGCCATATCTCAGGATAAAATGAGAACCATGAGTACTACTCTCAGTAAATGGAGAGCGCACTTGAAGCACAGAGCAAGACATCGGAAGGAAGCGAGACTACGATCGACGTTCTCGGCAATCCGCAAAAACATCGCAAAGAGATTGATACAAGAATCTTGGCAAACATGGAGAGACTTGACAATGACACGGCGAGCAGACTTGACATACTCGTACAACTTAATGAGTGTAGCTTTTGGGACATGGAAAAAGCGCACTATTGGGTTTCTTGCACTCGACAGTGTCGTTATTGAATTTGCTACGACGGTAAATGAGAGACGTGCCGCTACGATGTTCCGCCATTGGAAACAACAGAAAGAACTCCAAACAAGAGAGAGAGGATTTCAGCAAGATCGCACCGCTGTGATAATACGCAAAACATTCGAAACCTGGAAATACAAAAAGTAGGTAAATTTGACCCTGAAGATCTTCTAAATAATCACTAGTGATACTAATAAAGCAGCAATCGCTTTGCGCAATGCATCCTCCATACGTAATGCTTTCTACGGATGGCAACGAAAGCTTTACAGAATACAAAAATATACCGCAATTTCAGACGCTTTTATAGAAGATAGTAACAATAGATTGAAACAGCAAACAATATACCAATGGCAGTTATCCATGAAGTGTTTTAACTTCCAACTCGGACATATGCGTACACTCAGTCAAGCAGTCTTGCAGTACTGGTATCAAAAGGTCTCCTACATACAGAAGCTCAATTTGAAAGCGGATACGCTGCATTTCGACAAGATTAGAACACTCGGTGTGTCACTTTTTGATAAGTGGAAAGTCAGAACAGCCGAGTTGAAAGAGAAAAGCAGGTTAGCTCAAGAATATTCTGATCTAAGTGTACAACAAAACGCTTTAAAGGTCTGGATGAAGGCTTACAGAAACAAGCGTTTGCTTAATAGACGTGGTCACGTTCTTAGACGGATGATACAGAAGAAGAACTCATTCCATACTTGGAGATTTGCACTCAGTAGAAAGAGACAGAATGCACTTATCAAAAAGCACGAGCTTGATATTTTGCAGAATACTTGGACTGTCTGGAGGGCCAAATTTAACGTTTTATGTGACCTTAGAGTTCGCGAGAATGCCTTTAAGGCAGAGCATATTCACAAGGTGGGTAATATCTACCTTTTTTATAAACCGCTCATAAATATTAGTCAATGACATCTGTCGTCCTCCAACAGTGGTTACATAAGACAATTGAGCGTAAAGATCTTATCTACTCTGCAGACATAATTAGCAAGCAGAAAACGAAAAGGTGAGTAGCATATCTATCGTAATATCTCTAACGGCCCCGAAGATCGGTTGTCCAGAACTGGCGTTCAAAGGTTAATACTCTCAGGGATTTGGAGAGTTTGGCAGTGTCACACGAGGGAGCAACGAAAAAGAGTATGTGATTGACAAATATAGACGACCAACGCTGACCTTATGTAGAATTGCAAGCCGAATTGTTCAGCAAATGGCTAAAACAAACGCGCGCAACTGTAGTACGCAACAGGAAGTGCGAGGAGTTTGTCAAGCGGAGAGAACAAACGATCCTCTTTACAGCCTTTGAAGATTGGTTCGATCAGATAAAGATAATCGAGTTAGAACCCGTTGAAACAGAGATGCTAATCCTGCGTCGCGAGCGTATGCTCAGGATGGCATTCGAGAGATGGAAAGAAACTGCCACTGCCTTGCCAGCTGTACAGCTCTATAATCGACGTTTAAAGGAACGTACTTTGGATATGTGGAAATCTCAACTGCCCTGCGCTCGTAACACTCGCTTAGCAGTGCAGATATACAGGCGAGATTGTCTAGTGAGGTGGTTACACTCATGGCGCGATGCACTGCAAATAAAGAGATCTCGCAGAGCTATCGCGCGTGCTCGCGCACTCGGCAAGCGTCCGTCTGCATCTCGACTCAAAGCCAGAGAGGGATCGACGCCCTCCCCAGATCCGTTTGCAATGCATGCATCTCGCAAACCATTCGCGAAAGTTAATAGATTGTATTAGTTGTAGTTATTTGCAAAAATTGATTTTTTTTTTCTGCAATGAGTACACGAATTTGTGCCTTTTCAACTCTCAGTCGCAGACACTATATTCTGAACGACACGTGTCGTCCAGAGAAAGCTGTTATGCGCAGAGATATAGCACTTATTAGAGCAGGCTGTGTATTTTGTTCATTGCACAATCTGTGTCAAAAGATGCTGACATCTATAATGGAAAACTATACCTTTTTTACTACACAGTATTATAATAAAGGACGGATGATAGTGTGTTGTCTTCTCTGGGTGTCAATTCGAGTGAGTTATCAGTATCGTCGTTGTCCTCATATGAAAATGGAAAATATAAAGTATGAATCTACAACTACATTCTTCTCTCCAAAGTGAATAATGATATGCTATCCCTGTTGTAGATTTCAGCGTCTGGATCATCAGTAACTTGGTTATATTTGAATCGTTTCGCTAGCATCTTGAAGAACTGCTTATCAGCTCTTCTGCGTTTTTTGTAAGCAAAGAGTATCTCCTTTATGGTATATCTATCCGTAAGTTCCACTAGCGTGTCTACCAGCGGTTGAAATGCTGTAATTCATTAGCTATTGAGAAAATAAAGGAATTCAATGAACGCACAAGGTTCATAATATACGCAATCTGCTAGTAGAAGAACACTAGGGTTACTATCAAGTCTCGGTAATCGTTCTCCCCATACAAGTGTCTCTGGTATGGCATTTGTTAGCTCATTAATGCGTATTCCTTTCTCTATTAAGGGCATGATCTGGCTGAGAATGGCTGAGTGTGTTATTGTTAAGCAGTGTACACACTCACGGTATGTCTGTGATGTATACTTTTGATGAAGGAACCAATTTTGAGAGTGCGAGACCAACAATACCTGTACCAGCTAGTATGATTTAGAAAAGTATGTCTAATAACCAAGCACCTACCTCCAAGTTCCAACACTGTCGTATTCTCATAGCTAGCTAACTTCTTTTGCGTAATATACCTGGTGAGAACCTAGCAATGAATGTCTAGCGTGTGTATATCAATCACAATTTATCTACTTTTCCAGATTCCCAAACCATCCCGCCACAACCTTCTGTCTTATCATGTTGGAGGTGCAAATCAACACCAGCTACCTGTACACTTTGAAGAGAAGCTACTGGTTCTATAGAAGTCTCTTCATCACTTGAATCGGGTACTGGTAGAATCATTTCCTCATTTTCTATGTCTTCTCTCATCACTTCGAAGTTGCAAGGAGAGGATGTTCATTGCGTCGAGAGAGCTACCAATTATAAAACCTGGTAGAGTTCCATCTATAAATGAACTCGTAGGTGCTATAAACAATCTCCGTGCATTGTACACTTCTACAGTTGCTGGTATCAAAGTTTCGAATCCGACGCAGGGCGTTGAAGGCTGGTCATCTATAACGGCGAATGATGATGGTAAGAATGTATACGCCCATGATATACCAGTAGAATACGAAGTTGAGAGCGACGACGACACATTTGAGCGTCGCTGGTCAAGCAATTGGCTCACGAGGTTTATAGCCATAAGCGAGGAATGGATGGCAGAGGTTGAAGGTACAGAGGAGTTCAACACCCGTGAAAGAGTCGTCGAAATGGCAGCAGCAGCTTTGGCTTGTGTAGCAGGCATGTCCGGTAGGTGTTTATCTCTTGATATTTTCTATCTCTTACTTTACAAGCCGCTGGTCCTATCGATAGGACATTCTCTTTTATTTCTAGAGATAGATTTGATATCGTCATGCATGATAAAACGATAAACGGCCACCAGGATGTGGGCGCACAAACTTGGGGTGCAGCTGTACATTTATCTAGGTTGATATGTAGACATCCAGAATATTTCGGTATCAAATCGGGTGCTAGATTGCTCGAAGTTGGTGCAGGTACTGGTTTAGTCGGTATTGTAGCAGCGAAAGTAATAGAACAGTTGGGTTATATAGATACCACTGAGATAATCTTAAGTGATTATCTTGACGACATTATAGAGAACTTGAGGAAGAATGTCCATAACAATGGAAGTGAAACCAAAACATCAGTCATACATCTTGATTGGACAGAACCGGATAAAGGATTGGGCAAATTTGACACAATGTATGGTGCGGATGTATGTTATGACCTAAATCATGCATATCTTCTCCACAAGGCAGCTTCGGAGTTATTATCAAAGGAGGGAACATTCCATATACTCATCGCACTGAGACGGACACACATTGGTATGAAGGAAAGCGTTCAGGATGCCTTCAGCGGGAAGTTTGTCCAACCTGATGGAGATGCTTTGTGTATTGATGTACGTTTTCTCTGATCTCAAAGAGTAACTCCACTAACAAAACATACAGAAGGAAGACTACTTTGATGTCGAAAAGGGTCTCGGAAGGGCTGATGAAACTGGATACGTTCGTTTTGAGATTAGATGGAAATCAAAAATTTTCACTTCACAAAATAGCCAATAGAGGTTGTTTTGTCTCTCGTTTGAGTTTATTTATAAAATATTTTTTTGTTTTAGGGGAAATAGATTTATTTTGCATTTTCGGACTTGTTTTTCTCTGACATCGATCAACTTAGATAAGAAAATGGCATCCGCTGCAAAGAATTTGGCGACAAAGACGCTTCGTGAGTAAAAAATAGCGTACTAGTAAGGTTGCTGACAAGAAGTAAAGGTTTCGGTATGCTTCCAGCTGATGGAATTGGACACGAAGTTCTTCCGGTACGATGATACTTCAGGACTTGAATAGTAAACTTACACGTTATACAGCCAGCTCAAAGAGTTCTTGAAGAATTGTCCACTAGAAAAGCACTCCCAAAGTTAGAGTTCATCCCACTTAACGCTGGATTTGACTATTTCAGAAGATCAGGTGTTGCTTTACCAGATGAAACTATTGAGGTTATGAAGTCTGGCGTAGACGGTGCTATGTTCGGTAGTGTTTCTAGCCCTTCACATAAAGTTACTGGATACTCTTCACCAATCGTTGCACTCCGTAAACACTTAGATTTATACGCCAACATTAGACCGGTTTCAACCGTTGACGGAAAAGTAGATATGGTAACAGTTAGAGAAAACACCGAATGTCTCTACATCAAGAAGGAAGAACTCGACAGATTACCTGACGGAACAAAGGTAGCTAGAGCAACTCGTCAAATTACCCAAAATGCTTCAGAAAGAATTGGTAAACTTGCATTTGAGATTGCGCTCAAGAGAGATAAGGTTAGACAATCAGGCGGCAGTTCACCACACTCAGAGCCAAGCGTATGGTCTATCCACAAGTCAAACGTATTGAGCGTCACCGATGGTCTTTTCAGAGAATCAATCAAGGCTGCTCACAAGTCAGATGAGAGATTTGACAAAGTTAAGCTCGTTGAACAACTCGTTGATTCATTCGTCTACAGAATGTTCAGAGAACCACAAATCTTCGACGTATGTGTAGCACCAAACCTCTACGGTGATATCATTTCAGACGGTGCAGCAGCTCTGGTCGGCAGTCTTGGTGTTGTTCCTTCAATTAACGCTAACGACACATTCGCTATGGGTGAACCTGTACACGGATCAGCACCTGATATCGCAGGAAAGAACATCGCTAACCCAATCGCATCAATCAGATCAGCAGCTTTGATGATTGAACACATGGGATACTCTGATGCAGCCGCATCAATCTACAAAGCCGTTGACGAAGTCTTGAAGGAAGGTAAGATGTTAACACCAGACCTTGGTGGTAAGTCAAGCACAACCGATGTCCAAGATGCCGTTCTTAAAGCTTTGTAAATGCATATGATATAGAAATTTAACCTAAAAATGATATAGCGCAGAAGTGCAATACAAGTGAAGCAAAAACGAAGTCAGCGAATGCTCTAATGTGAATGTGAGATATTGTATATTATTGCAGGATAAGTACTCACCTCTCTGGGGATATATGTTGAAATTCCTTTGCGTTATCCGGGTTCGTCTGCATCCGCAAGTTCACTGTCAGAATGAACTGACCGACTTTCGATATGAAACTATTAAAGCTATTAGAAGATTTATTTGCGTAGATCACGCACTAACCTTCCCAAGAAAGCGTTATATGGAGAGTTGTTGATAGCCAACGCATATAAGAACTCGATGACTGCAGAGATACATAAAGCAACCAAAAATGAATCCAATAGCTTATATCTTATTGACGTATTCTCATTATAGGATTTTATTAGTGAATTAATAGATTTTTCAACTGTTGAGGTCATCGTTGCTTTTAAACATCCATTATGGTAAACATCGTAGTTTTGATATCAGGCAGTGGTGTGTACAATATAGACGTAGCATATCATTCCACTAAATCAATCTAAGGCACTAACTTACAGGCTATACTTGACAGCCTCCCACACCATCAATCTTCCACACCGTTACCTTTGAAATCTTCTGAAAAACTACCAGAAAGTGTCAATGTCAAGGCTGTAATTTCTAGTAAATCTAATGTATACGGTTTAGAGAGAGCAAAAGGATGTACACCAGCTATTCCAACTCAAGTCTTAGCTTTGAAGACATACATGAACCGTAATCCAGGCTCAACTAGACAGGATTGGGAGGTTGAACTCAGTCGGATTGTTAACAGTTATGAGCCAGATTTGATCGTTTTAGCAGGCTTTATGATGATATTATCACCAACCTTCTTGAATGCTATACATGGAAAACCTATTATCAACCTTCATCCAGCTCTTCCAGGCGCATTCGATGGAGCTCATGCTATTGAGAGGGCTTATGATGCTTACAAGAAGGGTGAAATCAAGAATACTGGTTGTATGGTACACTATGTCATCCCTGAAGTCGATAGAGGTGAACCTATCGTTATTGCAGAAGTACCAATCAAGGAAGATGATAGCTTAGATAGCATGGAGAACAGGATACATGAAACAGAATGGAAAATTATTGTTCAAGGAGTGAAAAAAGTATTAAATGTCTAATTTTTACTAGTTTCCATATACACATTTCCCTTTTATAAACGTTGATTTAACTTCCCCAGTCGTTCTATTGATGACGACAAGATCTGCATCGGATCCAACTCGGAGGTTTCCTTTGTTGCTGAGCTGCAACAGTTGTGCCGGGTGGTACGTAGCACAAGAGAGTGCCTTGGCATAGGATGGTGAATTGGTGAATTCTGTCATGTTTCTGATGCATTCATCTAACGATGATGCACTACCAGCTAACGTTTTTGTGTTTTCAAGGTACAACCTTGGACCTTGCTTGAGTAACCGTCTTCCATCTCTCCAATCGTGGATGCCGTCTTCAAGGTGGGGGTCCATCAATGGCATAGCATCCGTAACTAAGATGCATCCATCTGGATGGGCATCGTACGCCAATCTGACGGCATTAGGGTGTACATGTACACCATCAACGATCAGACCGTAAAATGGACGTTGGACTTGATTTCCGAGAAGGCCAATTACACCAGGATCGCGATGGTGTAGTTGTGGCATAGCATTGAACAGGTGTGTGATGAATCTCGCACCGTCACGAACGCTCTTTGCAGCGAGTTCAACTGTTGCATCTGAATGACCGATCGATATTACGACATCTGGGAGTGCGGCGAGTGCACCAATAGATTCGGCTACGCCCTCTACATCAGGTGCCATTGTAAGTAGTTTTATGCCAGTGTTTGGCGTTTCGAGTTTGGTCGTTTGGCTATCATAGACACTCTCAATCGAGCTCACACCGTTAGGGGCTGTGAGAAGGAATGGTGGTGCGTGTGCACCTTTGCGACTATGAGCTATAAATGGTCCTTCAGCATGATATCCTAAGACATGGGCTGAATTTTCACTAGAACGTGGTCCCAGCAGTGGAATCAACTGGATTTCTTTATTAATAAAGTATTTATAATGTTAGAAACTTACCTCTCTATATAAATCCTGCTGTTGGGTAATTATAGTTGGCAAAAAAGACGTTGTGCCAGTTTCGACAATTTTAGCGGAAACTTTATCGAGACCTGCTAAATAAGCTGCAATCTGTTGATCACGTGGGAGATTCTCTGTATTGATAGGTGGCCAAAGACTAAAATCAACGCCGTATGCACCGTTTATCTGAACATCAATCAATCCAGGGCTCAGGATATCTTCTTCAAGATCGATGACTTCAATTGGATACTCTTTGGCCGTAAAGAATAGCTCTTTACCAGATATTATGACACCTCTCTCAATATCGACATACAAGTCGCCTTTTTTCAACTATAAGATATGAGCACCAGTATAATATCAAAGAAAGTGACCACCTACGCTGTCATCCTCTTGTAATAAATAGCAATTTGTAAATTTCAAAACTCTCATAATTGTTTTGTTCTAGAAGAGAACGGGAAAGCGGCTAAAGTTGTCTGATTGGTGACATCACAGGGCTCTATCATGGCGATTTCGCCGTAACGGTAGATTATCAGCGACAACCGAGTGACTGTGACCTTGGAGTTAAACATTTACTTTGAAAAATGAGATTGATTATTAGAGATGATAAATCTTCTGTTGGTGCATTCGTGAGTTTGTCTAAACGGAAACTTAACAAAGGGTTGCTAATATCTTATAGACAGCAACTTATATCGCAAAGCGTATCAATGAGTTTAAACCAACAGAAGATCACCCTAACTTCGTACTTGGTTTGCCAACTGGTAGCTCACCACTGCCTGTTTATCACAAATTGATTGAACTTTACGTGCGCGATAAAGTATCTTTCAAGGACGTTATTACATTTAACATGGACGAGTATGTTGGCATTCCAAAATCACACCCTGAATCATACCATTCTTTTATGTTTGACAATTTTTTCTCCAAAGTTGACATTGAGTGGGTGAATATTTTCTAAATAAGAACAATTATTAACAAACAATTCAGTCCAAAGAACGCTCATATTTTAAATGGTGAAGCAGATAACCTGGTTGAAGAATGTGAGAAATACGAAGAACTAATCGAATCAGTTGGTGGTATCGATCTCTTCTTGGGCGGAATTGGAGAAGACGGACACATTGCATTCAATGAACCAGGATCATCACTCGCTTCACGCACACGTATGAAAACTCTCGCTTATGACACCATTGTCGCGAATGCGCGCTTTTTCGACAATGACATACAAAAGGTACCAAGAATGGCGCTCACAGTTGGTATTGCTACAGTCATGTCTGCTCGTGAAGTTATTATTCTCATCACAGGCAAGCATAAAGCACCAGCACTTGCAAAGTCTATCGAAGAAGGTATGAACCACATGTGGACAGTCAGTGCAATCCAACAACACCCATGGGCTATGGTAGTTGCTGATGAAGATGCCACACTCGAACTTCGCGTCGGTACTGTTCGTTACTTTAAGAGTATAGAAAGTGTTCAAGCAGAACAAGAACTTAAATACGGTAATGCGGCACTTAGACCAAAGCAGAGATCAATACACGCATCATCACCACGTTTCTAATGACTTGGTTGCTTATTTTACGTTTTTATCTTTTTCACATATGCATCTTCCATTCTTATCTTCGTTCCATGAGCTTATCATTGTCAAGTGTGAGAAATCGTCTACAGAGACAGGAATGCTGACTTGGCGTCAGATCCATTTGCTAATGATAGACCAGAAACGCTAGAGCACACGCTTGATGCAGGTGCTACATGTATAGCTTATAATCGTGGTGGAAAATACACAGGAGCGTTGCTAGCCAGTGGACGCTTTGATGGCTTCGTTAACGTATGGGATATGCTCACTTTAGCTCCTTTGAGGGTTTTTGAAGGCCATGTGAAAGCTGTATCCACCGTCAGGTGTGTAGGTTGTAGTGTAGACTATCAATATAACCAGATACTAGTTGGTCGAAGAATTCTCGCTTTCTATTGAGTGCATCCAGAGATTGGAATTGTATAGTATGGGATATGGAGACCAGCGAGCGTGCTGCTACTATCAAGTTCGATGCTCCGATTCAGGAAGCCTTCTTCCATCCGTTTACAAGGTTGGTGGATACTGCAATTTAAGAAATATACTAACTCAAACATAGTAAATTTATTCTAGTCACGCTATCAACTCAACAGACATTCCTTGTCGATTTGACGACATCGAAGCACGTCAAGACCGAGATAGGACAGCTGTGGGAGGAAGACGATGAGGGAAATACCATTCAGAGGTATGTATGTGAAATACTTACATGGGCACTTCTAACATTTCCATTAGATCACAGATGACGACCGCGAGATTCTCTACAGATGGTCAATATATCTTCGGTGGAACTGCACAAGGGCGTGTTATTGTGTTTGAGCTACCAAGTCTCAATGTAAGTATATTATAAGCTTACATTGTTAACTAACAGTCATTAGGTTGTATCTGAAACTGGGGTGTGCAACGGTGCGATAAAGCAGATATCAATATCCAATAGTGATAGGTACGGTTACTCTATTTTTGAACGTTTATTTTAAGCTGATAAAACATAATAAGACTTCTTGCGTGTACTTCAAGAGATAGGACGGTGAGGGTTGCTCAGGTTTCAGAGGACAAAGACGTACAGCCCGTGTTTAGGTTTGTGGATGAGATCGACAAAACACAATGGAATGCAGTATGCTTTTCTAATGACAATGAGTATATCATTGGTGGTGCGTATTTTATTGCTAAAAAGAATATAACTGAAAATTATCACAGGAAGCGGGCATAAAGCTACGCATTATATATACATATGGGAGTCAACATCAGGTGCACTCATAAAGGTAGTTGAGGGACCAAGAGATCCGTTGCATGATGTTATTTGGCATCCAAGTAAACCAAACATGGCTAGTATAGATAGTCACGGGCAGATATTAACCTGGACAACTAACAACAAGCAACGCTGGGCGGCTTTCGCGCCTGGATTTGAAGAATTAGAAGCGAATATACAATATAAGGAGAAAGAGGATGAATTTGACATATACGTCGACCAAGATAACAAACCGGTGAAGGAGCCACTAGAAGAGGGACTGATAGATATTGACACAATACCAGAGGAGTTTAGAGTACAAGAAGTAGTTACGCCGGAGTTTATAGAGACTCACTTCAAAGACGAAGAGGATAACGATATTAACTTCTTTCCTTCACCGCCTGACTTGAGTGATGTTGAAGATGAAGAATAATAAAATTTATTGTAAAATGTATTTATTTGCTGCTTTCATACCTTCAACCAGGATCTCGAAATGGATTACTTGAGAGGCAAGCAGTGAGTTGCTATTAGTAAGAAGAATAAAAAATAAACAATTTAAATAGAGATTTACCACCACCAGGTGGATTCGAAGCTATCAAATATAAGAGATCTCTGCCAGTCAAAGGACCAAGTGGTGCCGTGATATTTGGTACGATATTTGGTATCTGTACCTGGGGATTCTACAAGCTTGGACAGGGTAATTTAGAGATGAGGTCTGTACTATCCTTACTATATAGCACATCTCTTAACAAACGATATAGAGAGCTCGAACGTGAAAAAACATGGTCTAGAATAAACATCGTACCACTTTTGATGGCAGAAAATGATAGAGATATTTACCGCAGAGAAAAAGCAGCATTGGCTAGAGAAGAATCAATTATGAAGGATGTAAAAGGCTGGGAAGTGGGTAAGAGCGTCTACAACGGCAAAAGATACAATACACCTTCAATGTATGTTCTATAAATTAGTATTTTGATTACATTTTCCTCATTATTCCCTTTAATTCATTCCTGACATCAGTTTTTATACCGTCGTTATGTGCTCTACCGCCGTCTCTTCTGATTAGAACGTTTGATGGTAATTTATTGTTCTCTTGTTCGCTTATCAATTCATCTATTAACCCAATACGCTTGTCTGCTTTCTTTGACTTTTGATAGGCAGCTGGGATTGTCGCACTGTCGACAGTTGACATCGTAGTTGGCTTTATTATATACCGGGATTTTTGTATCATACAGCGTGATCTTGTTGTCATCATTTTTTCTACCCTTCGTTGTAGACGTTGACGTTCAAGAAGAAGTCTAAAATAAACGTTGAAATGAATAAACGAAAATCTGAAGTAGAGGATAACAGTTTAGTTGAAACTAAGAAGATTAAACTCAATAAGTCATCAACAAAGTCTACTAGAACGGGTACTATACGCAAGTTAGCACCACCACAACCAGATGCGATAACAGTTACTGGGCGTGCAAGTGCTGTAGCTAGCACTTCTAAAGCTAAATCAATGAATGTTATCAATTTAAGTAGAAAAAAGAGCCCACAGGGATATATAAAACGTATAAGAAAAGCTATCTTAGATGATGGTCATTTAAAAGTTACACTCAATGCTCTATCAGCTGCTATTCCATTTGCTTTACAAGTTATATCCCTTTTACGTGTTGAACTTAGTCAAGAACTTGATATCAAACTCTATACACGTACGGTGGACGTAGTTGATGAGCGTATACCTTCTGATAAAGTTCGTTATTATTCCTATCACCCTTTTACTTACATCTGACACATTATTCACATAGGAAGAGGATATATCACGTGAGACACGCTCACAATCTGCTCTCAAGGTCGTTATCCGTTTACCTGATTGTCCACCTGATGAAGAATTGACAGAGGAAACTAAGCAAATACCACCACCAATAAAGACAAAGAATAGAGGTGTAAAGAGACGGCAGAAAGATCAACGTAAAGCTGAAGCAAGAGCTAATAATGTACAAGTAGATAAATAATTTAATAATTTATTCAATAAGCATACTCTCTTCATCTTGTTCAATTGTTTCATTAGCTGTGATATCAATATTACTATTTGTGTTATCAATTATTGAACTATCATCAACCATACTAATTGTATGTTGTTGAGATTTATCGAGATATTCAATGTTATTAGTTGGTTTTGTAAATGCTGATGGTAATCTTTTGAAGTTGTTAGCAGATGTTATGTTCAAGTTACTGTTGACTGCTAATTTTAATAACTCTGTCGTCATAGCATCCCCAGGTTGTATAGATAATGACTTATGGTATATTTCAATGCTTTCTTCTATTTCATCGAGATAATTATGAATAATACCGAGTGTACTTAATGCAACTACGCAATTTGGATTCAAATCTAACGCCTTTAGTAGTTGATCTTTAGAATTATTGTATTGTCTTGTTTTTCTATAAGCTTGACCTAATCCTAAATGAGTTGAATACCAGGATTTATCAGTGTTATCTCCGATAAGTGTTAGTGTTTTGTTGAACAAAACAATCGATTTTTCATATTCTTGATTATAATAAGCAACGACGGCACTTTCATGCCAAATAAGTGGATCTTGATCACAAATCGATAAACTGCCTTGAAGGAAGTTACTAGCGAGATTGTTGTTTGCTAGTTGGATATGTTGCATACCTATATAAAGTAAAGGTAGATGTGTACCAGGGAACAAACGACTACAGGTGCTGTATGCGGTGATAGCTTGATCGTGTTCACCTTCCATAGCAAATGCATGCGCGAAACCAATCCAGGCCGCTTCGAAACGTGGATCCATTAAACTTGATTTAGAGAAATATCTACGAGCATCTACGTATTTTTCACCTAAATAATAGTAAACGCCAACAGCGTACCAACTTATGGCGGAATCTGGATCAGTTTCAACCAACTCATGCGATAATAAGAACAAAGAAGGACGTAGACTTGGTAAATGTTGCATGCAAGCAATTTGTAAAGGTAAAGTGGAAGGATGCGAAGGGTGGTGTTTTAAAATACTAAAGACTGTCAAAAGAATGTCCACTACATTAGAATGAACTCACTTCGACGTCAAGTTGTAACAGTCCTGGAATTTAAATTGAGCATAAAGACTATCAGCTTGTGATTGAAGGATATCAGCATTCTGCTTGAAACCATAAGAATCAGTTGATAATTCATTACGTGCATTTTGAATTTCTGCAGAGTGACTCGTCTTTTTAAGTTGAGTTGTATATATTAATTTAATGAAGTCTGAATTGTGTTCAATTTGCTCTTTATATTGTAAACGTTGGACGAAATGCCACTCTTCATCATCTGTAAGCATAGCACCACCGACTAATTTAACGAAAGAATCGTAGTTTTTGACATCCAAACTGAGAGCTTCAATGAATGATTGTTTCGCTCTCTCGGTTGAGTTCAATTGAAGGTGAATCAAACCTCGCAAATGACATAACGATGACTCAATTTTGATACCACCATCTGAAGACTTAACATTTGTACCATGCTGTTGATGATTTTTGAATGGGTTTTGATCACCTAATAGCTCTAAGGCTTCATTCCACTTATCCAGTTTAACTTGACATTGTGCAGTAAGGTATCTACAAAAGACAGAAATTTGATATAATCTAACCGGAGTATCATCATCAATAATGAACGGTTTAGTTAATAGGTTCAAAGCTCTTAAGTAACTATGTTGATAAAAGTAAATCTGGGCTAACCAAAACGCATCATTTGGATCTTTAGTCAAATGAAGACACTTGTCTGCCCAGAATTGAGCTGTGGTGTATAAATGCTGCATCATAGCGTCATGTCTCCATAACCTTAGTTTATCAATTAAAGAAGTTTCATCATTATTAGTTTCAAGAATATCTAAATCGTCATTATCTAAGTCTAAATCGAAGTATTTATTATTTATCTGGGGTGACGCGCTTAAAATAGAACAATTTGGACTATTAAATAATTTTTTTACTGTTGGTGAATTTAAGAATTGATTTGTTGGTTTATTCGATTTAACTGGTGTGTTCATATGGATGTATGAATTAACGAGTGATTTGCAGAATTATAAATTGAATCATAATTTGGACAACAAAAACAAAAAATCAATCTATTACTACAACGAACCAGTTAATAAGCACATATTTAGATCTAGTGGCCAAGCGAATTGCCAGTCAACCAGTCGTGAATTTAAGTGTTCAATTTGTGATCAGCAGTTTAGCAGAAATTACGACCTGAAGAGACATCAAAATATCCATCTGTTGATTAAATCTTATACTTGCAATTGCGGCAAAACATTTTCTAGAAAAGACGCTTTAAAGAGACATTTACTCATTAAAGGATGTTAATCGATTATATACAGAATGAGTTTGATTACAAACTCACCAGTTTGGATGTTTTGAATGATATTCTATACAATCAATTAAGATACACGATCAATAAAACAAATCTAGAAATAAATAATTTAGTCTTTTTCAATCGACATAACAAAGCAAGACAACAACGACTTTTAGACTTCCTCCTCGATGCCCAAAATTACTCCCTCCATTGGGAACTATTCAATAGACAGTCCAATGGCTTCACCTACACCCCTCTGTTAGCAACTTCAATTAAAGACACCCTAAAACTCGGAGATGTAGACGAAACTATTATATCTTTATTAGACATTATCGCTGTTGATATTATACATCACATCATCCAACTTTCAATCGAACACCAAGAGCATCAACTCACCCTCAATTCATCAACAACCGAGACCTTCCATATACCAACTTCTTCACCATTTACAACTAATCAATCGAGTCAACAAGCAAATGTTCTACACAATCACAATATTCAGTCTGCTTATCAAAATTATTCTCGCATAAATAATAACAATCTATTGTAAAAAAAACATTCTCTATTCATTCTTACTTGTTGATTTTCCTGGTAAACCCATTAACTTCGCCCGAAGATTATCGTACTTTTTAACTTGTGATATACTAACTGATGGTGTAACTTTCTCTAATGCTTTCAAAAAGTGTCGACTTTCTATAACAACGTTTGATGTTTCATTTACTAATGACTCTCGTAATGCAACAACTGCTGATTCTCTCACTAATGATGCCAAATCTGCACCGGAGAATCCTGAGCATTTCTCTGACTGAATAACTTCACAAACAATATCCATCTCTTTTTCATTGATAGGTGTCTTCGATGATAATGTTCTCACAACTTGGACTCTTTCTTCTGCTGATGGAAGGTCTACATAGAGTAGTTTATCCAATCTACCTGGTCTAACCATAGCAGGATCAATTATATCAGGTCTGTTGGTAGCTCCAATAACAAAGACTTGCTTACGACTTTCTAAGCCATCCAATTCTGTGAGAAGAGTGTTAACAACCCTCGCTGAACTTTCACTCAAATTGTCATCACGTCTTGGAACCAAGGCATCCAACTCATCAAAGAAAATTACACAGGGTGAAGATGCTCTTGCTCTATTGAACACTTGTCTGATTGCTCTTTCAGATTCACCGACGTACTTATTGAGTAATTCAGGACCTTTAACAGATATAAAATTTGCGCGTGATTCATTTGCGACGGCTTTTGCGAGAAGCGTTTTACCACATCCAGGTGGTCCCCAAAGTAATACACCGCATGGCGCATTTATACCTACGACTGCAAAAAGTTCAGGATGTCTGATAGGTTGGACTATAGCCATATGAAGTTCATCTCTAATTTCATGAAGTGCACCAATATCACCCCATGTCACATCAGGTACGGTGGCAAAGCCCTCACGTTTGCTAGATGGTTGGACAACCTTGAGTGCCTTCTCGAAATCTTGAGCCTCAATCGCGAGTCTCTCCAATTGGGTTTCCGAAAGTGGGTTAGGGTGGTTAAGGAGGAAATGGGCGATCGTTGATTCTTTAGGTAAGTGCGCGGCAAGCGTCTGGAGTGATGACATTTGGCCTTCTACTTGATCCTCTGCTTGACCTTCTAATTGACCAACTTCGCTCATCTGGGAATCTTGGTTATCATCAGCAAGCTGCTTAAATATACGTTTGACGGCTATTACTCCCGCAGCACCTGTGAGCGCACTCAAGTCCGCACCTACATAACCAGGTGTCGCTTTGGCGAGATATTTGAAGTCGAAATCACCACTGAGTTTCAGTCTTCCACAAAGTACTTTAAGAATTTGCTCGCGAGACTTATCGTCAGGTACTCCCATACTTATTTCATGGTCAAATCTACCTGCACGTCTCAAAGCCGGGTCTAAACTATCAGGACGGTTCGTTGCACCAATGATAATTACCGGTTTGTTGTCCGTTTTGTCCCAACTTATATCATCTATACATGTGAGTAATTGTGCAACTATTCTCCTTTCCATTTCCCTCTGTGCGTTCTCACGTTTTGGGGTTATAGCGTCGATTTCATCAATGAAAAGTAAACAAGGAGCTGATTGAATGGCATCTTCAAATGTATCCCTGATGGTTTTCTCAGATTCACCTGACATTCCACTAACGACTGATGGTGCGGATATTGAGAGGAAGGGTACGCCCATTTCACCCGCTATCGCGTTAGCTAGAAGTGTCTTACCACAACCAGGAGGACCATGGAGAAGAACACCACGTGGCGGTTGTACACCAGTGTGTAAGTAAACCTCTGGATGGCTTAATGGCATCGCAACCAATTCGAGCATTCTCTCTACACATTCGGATACACCACCTAAATCAGCTAAACGAGCGGTAGGTGGAGTTTTATCGACATTTTTATGAGATGATGTTGTTGGACGCGCACGCTTTGTTGATACCTCCTTGGATGTCTTTTTGCGCTTTTTTGACTGTCCGTCGATGTCTTCTCTTTTCACAGCTTCTTCTGATTGAGCCTCAGGAGGGGTTTCTTCAACAGGTGCTGGCTTGTGAACACCAACTTCGGCCTGAGCAGCTGCCTCTACCGCCTGTGCGGCTGCATGGGCTGCTGAACCCTGAGGTGGTGTAGCAACTCTCGTTCTCGATTGAGACCATAAATCCTGCATAGAACGATTGAGTGACTGTAGTTACATTAATGATATCCCTATAATTCGTAGAAAATACTCACACCGCTCATTTCTTGCTTATCAAAAATGACAGTCAGAGATAAAGAAGAATTAGTGAGTTATTTGATGATATCTAATAAATTCATTCATAAAGTAATACAATGTTTGATCTATATGCGCCACTGAATGTGATTACTTAAAATGTATACTGGACTCAGAGATTAAGCTAGAAGAATAGATCTGTATATTTAATTTATATGTAGTTATCATAATATCAGCGTAATTTACGTCAATTTAGATTTGAAGTGTACACGTGATGTATGCTACGCTACGTCAGAGATGGTCATTCTCTACGAAAGGGGCCAAAAGCGTAGATAGTAAGAGATAGATAACAATAATATATATACACCTATTAAGTAGTACTAGGGCGAAAAATATCTCTTTTTTCCTTCACATTCTCTTTTTGAATAACAACCAAATTGAAAATGTCATCAGCAACGCCATTTAACAAGTCTAATACGATAGATGAGCCGCATAGAGTTATTAAGGTGCAAGCGTCTGATGGTAAATCAGGGGACAACGTAGAGATCTCTTATACTAATTGCAAAGTCGTTGGAAATGGTTCATTTGGGATCGTATTCTCTGCTAAATTAATTTCACCAAGAGAGGAGGAAATAGCTGTCAAGAAGGTTCTCCAAGACAAGCGTTTCAAGGTTTGTACTTACTCGTATTTTTTCCGTCATTTCTCACATCATTCCACAGAACAGAGAACTCCAGATTATGCGTATAGTAAACCATCCTAATGTCGTCAATTTAAAGGCATTCTTTTACTCTTCAGGCGACAAACCAGGTAGAGATGAAGTTTACCTCAACCTCGTACTCGAATTCGTACCAGAAACTGTCTACAGGGCTAGCAGACATTACGCCAAATTGAAGCAAACAATGCCAATGATACACGTAAAGCTCTACATGTATCAACTTTTACGCTCTTTGGCGTACATTCACTCTTCTGGCATATGTCATAGAGACATCAAACCTCAAAACCTCCTTTTAAATATGTCAACTGCAGAGCTCAAACTTTGTGACTTCGGTTCTGCAAAGATTCTTGTTCCCGGAGAGCCAAATGTCAGCTACATTTGCTCAAGGTATTACAGAGCTCCGGAATTAATCTTTGGCGCTACGAATTACACGACTGCTATTGATATTTGGTCAACTGGTTGTGTTATGGCTGAACTCATGCTCGGTCAACCGCTCTTCCCTGGTGAATCAGGTATTGATCAACTTGTTGAAATTATTAAAGTTCTCGGTACACCAACTAAAGATCAAATTAAAACTATGAATCCAAATTACATGGAACATAAATTCCCTCAAATAAAACCACATCCATTCACTAAAGTCTTTAGACCAAGAACTCCACAAGATAGCATAGACTTAATAACAAATTTACTTCAATATACACCTGAACAAAGATTAACGGCAATTGATGCAATGTGTCATCCATTCTTTGATGAATTAAGACAAAAAGATGCAAAGTTACCAAATGGTGCTCAATTTCCGCAATTATTTAATTTCACGAAGGAAGAATTATCACTTAAACCTGAATTAAATAACAAATTAGTTCCAGATTTCGCTAAATCTATCCTCTTATCTCAATCAGGTATAGATTTAGATAACTTTAAACCTATACCACATGATCAAATGCGTTTATCAATTGACTAAGTGAAAAAGATTTAACTTCTTTTTTAATCATTGCATACTTCATGATCATAATCAATTCAAGTTTCCTTCCCGCATGTATATTCAACACACAGAGTAATTTTACCTTTTCTTCCTATTAAGTTAAGTGTTTTTAAATGTGAAGCAAAGAACCTATCAATGTCTCGACCAATATAACGAATTTATTAGTTCTTATTTCTTTCAAGAAATCAATTTTACTTCCTTTATTGTCTATCTTCAGTCTTTAAAAATACATATTTGTTTCGTTTAACTATCCTTTTTACGTAAAAATTCATGTCATTCATGTCATAAAAATGTAATTATAAAAATATTAAGATCGCTAAAGTGGTATATATAGAGTTAAATTCCATTCAACTCTTTTGTATTCTGAACCCGCACATTTGCCATATTCCTAGTTTATCATCAGCGGATTCACATTCCAATTTCCTTTCATTTGACCATGTCTTAGCACCAACAAGTTTTCGTCCACCTGGACAGAAATCTTCTTCCCTTCCATCTCCCCAACCAAAAATCAATTCGAGAAATTTATCAGGTGAAGCACGTCTATTGAGATCAGAAGACCATTCTTTAACTTCTGCGTCAAATTTGTCCTTGTTTGACCAAGCTATTGGTATATTTGTCTCAGCTGGTGGTGGTGCGTTCAATACTACGTTGGTTGATAATGAGTTACGCCTTGATTGTATTGGTGTACCATTAGGAACACCACTGTTAGAGTTTTCTTCATTACTTCTAGACATGGTTACGTTATTTAATCCCTTAAATAGACCATGCTCTTCACTTAATCCTACAACTTTGGTGAGGTATTCATCCCACAGCCAGTCAGATGATTCTGAAATCATTGTCGAGAGTGACTGTAGTATCATCCTGAACCTATAATCACGTTCATATGGGTTTAATGACTCTATGGTTGTCGTAACAGTGTTCATAAATTGCTCAACGTTTGACTTCTTGATCGATGGTTCATAGTCTGGATCATGATAATCTGAAGTTCGTTCAGGCTTGAAAGATAGAGCTGGAAATGTTCCCCTAATAACAGGTGATTGTACTATGTTCTATTTTTCCAATGTTAATCGCGTTACTTAAGCAAAACCATTACCAACCTTCGCGTCATAAAGAACAATAGCAGATGCAATGATTGAAAGAGGACTGCTATTTATTGTATGTGCTGTGAGCACCTTCGGCTGTCTTAACAGGTTGACAAAAGTAAACTCAATAACTCACCTCCTCGTATAATCGCTCTAATTCGGTATATGAATGCTTCTCCTTTGGCGGTGCCATCTCCGGGTTGGATATTGGTATAGGTGTGTGTCCGGCGGCGAATTGGTATGTTCGTTCATATATTTCTAGATGTCCCTCAGGTTTGAGTACTCTAAAAGCTTCATCGAATACGTGATAAAACTGTACTTCGGGTATGCTATCTCACATATTAGAGATGATGATGTAAATAACCTTAAAGACGCACCCTAAGCTGACTTTTATATTGTCAGACACTAATCGACGTCATCGAAGTAATTCAAAAACTTACCAAATCGCATATGTATAAAATCAAATGATTGATCCTCGAATGGCCATTTATCTAGACTGTAAGAGGAGTTTATTAGCAAGTGATATAATATGACGGATGCGCACGGACAAACTGGCTATCAACCAATTTACTCGATCGGCTACAGTATAATCTGGTCTAAAATATTCAGGATTTGGTTGTATTGGTACGAGATCCATTCCCCATATTTCTGCGCTTGTAGAGCTTTAATAGGCGTGTATATAAGAGCTCTCGCTTACTCTTTCCAAATTTGGGACATCTCTAAACACCAAGTACCTGTACCGCATCCTGTATAAATTGTTAGCATAGCTTCTTTTATTCTATTCTCTACAGACCGATATCGAGTACCCGAAATGGGCGATCGGGAGGACGTCCAGCTGATTGTGAGCTATTTAGTGGTACTCTCATGATATTCTGGCCACCGCGATAGCTCTTTAGAGTGTTGTGCCACATTTGGTCCCTTCTTTTGTTAGTAAATTCGCTCACAAGAAGACACTTACATTTCGATAGCCTGGAGTGAGTAGCAGGTTGGCCACGGTGCTCTGTCTCCCCAGTTGTGATACGGTTTACGTCCTCTTACTCTAATAACATCGTCCGGTGCGTAGGCTGATACCCAGTGTCCTTCTTCTAATTGATGCGATATGTACTTTGCACGCAGCGGTTGCTTGACTGTTCCTTCTCTCATACCTTCTTTAAGAGGAGCTTTGGGTGGTGATCGCACTAAACGTAACTGTCAGTTTATATTCTCTTTCCGTTATGCACGTACTGTTTTGTCACCCGCACCCGGCCAAAACGTAAACGTCAAGTAGAAGGTCACCAAAAAATATTCAAGGTACAATCAATATTTATTTACAATGAGTTTATCAACGTCGTAGCGAACTTTTCCGCTGGATTTGGATCCTGTTCATCGTTGTTAGTTTTTTTTCCGATCACTTATCAAAACCCCGCTTACCTGTTTTGCCATTTCTACAATAGCCAACAAACGTTTTATACCAATCAATAACTTTCCTGATTCATTCAATTGTGCTTGCTTCAATAACTCAATTGCCCTTTCTTGTGATCCCTCCTCCTGGAATAGATCTACCTGTCTCAAGACCAAATCGAGATGTCTTAATTTTGAAATTGATGGTACGTGGATTTGAGCATCAAACGCTGACAAGGCATCCATATCAGTCAATATTGGTCTGTTTGAGGTCGTCGCCAATATTAATAATCTTCTACCCTGAAGACGGATCAGTTTTTCAGTATGACTTCATGATCGAGACTTACCTTTGGAGGGCGTTTTCCAAGAAGAACAAGTATCGCTTGCAAGACATTGTTCGAGAAGCGTGGTCCAATAGGTACGTAGTCTGGTATTTCCTGTTAGATCATAATAAGAGATATAAACATAGATGCTCACCAAATAGTCTCTCAATTTGATCTATAACAACTATAGAAAGAGGTGATTTGTATGAGTCATTAAAAACTTGATTCATGTGCGCTATTTTCTGAGCTTCGTTGAAACCAACCATATCTTCAGGCGAGACAAGCTTGATGAATGGGAAATTTGATCTCATAGCAATCGTAGCTGCCAACGCTGTTTTACCCGATCCAGGAGGACCATGGAGTAGTACACTGACGAGGGGCGTGCGCGTTGAGTTCCTGACTTGCTCTACATAAAGTTTACCATCATTAAGGATATTCTGTTCAGGTTAAATAAGTTATTTAAAATAAGAAGAAATGATACCCACGCCGATGTTGGAAGAGTAGTGTATGATACCATTTTGTACGACAGTTGCAAGTTCTTCTTCAGAAACACCAAACGCAGGGTGAACCTCATCAAGTGCTTGCAAGAAATCGGCACGATTGACTTGGAGTTTGTCGATATCGTCTGAAATACCAGCCATTGTGCCAACCTAGAATATTTGAGTGTTTGAAATGATGTCAATCGAAACACTCACTTTGACATGTCTGTTAAAGGCAAATGAAGTAGCACTCTTTACCAAACCACCTATTTCCGCACCGGAGAAGTTCTTTGTGAGTGCTGAGAGCTCACCCAAGCTTACATCCTTATCCATAACCTTATTCTCACGCATTTTCGAGGTTTGGATGTTGAGAATTTGAAGACGACCCTTCTCATCTGGAAGGTTGATCTCCATATGTACTTCAAGACGACCTGGACGAACCAAGGCTTCATCGATCATATCCAGTCTGTTAGTCATACCAATGATCAAAATGTTGTTGAGTTGATCGACACCATCCATCTTTGTTGATTGATAAGTTTAATTGTCGTGTATACCTACTTTTACGCACCTTTGATAACAATTGGTTAACAACAGAGTCGCCAACACCAGTTCCACCACCTGTAGAACCACGCTGTTTGCAAATAGCATCAAGCTCATCAAAGATGATAATGTGCAATTCACTCTCATCGCCCTTCTCACGATATTCGCGTTCAGCATCAGCGAAAAGCTTTCTGATGTTCTCTTCGGACTGACCGACGAATTTATTGAGGATTTCAGGACCATTGACAATCTTTGGCTCGCGTGCATTAAGCATCTTACCAATTTGGCGCGCCATCAATGTTTTACCTGTACCTGGTGGACCATATAACAGGATACCTAAACCGCTTGAGCCATTGAAAGGATCTATGAAAGAAGAGCTCACCTTTTACATGTTGTATACCAAGCTTCTCGATCAAACCAGGTGGGAATACACGTGAAGCAAATGCACGTCTGAAAATAGCACCAAATTCATCGTCCAAACCACCAATACCCATATCCTCAAACTTGAAGTTAGGTGAAATGACAGCATTTGCGGCTGGACGCTTAGCTGAACCTTTGAGTTTGATTAAACTGGCTGGCTCCTTAGAGAAATTGATAGTGGTGGTATCCATAATGTGACCAGTTTGGCTGAGCGTGGGGTCCGAAGTGTCCTGCATAAGAGCAACGACGTTTGTGTTGCGTACTACAGCTTTAAGGTTGATACCATGGTAATCCATAACGAGAATCTGGCCTGGACTGAGGACAAGACCAGCGTATGCCTACTGGAGTTAGTTGAAGTATGGCCCAAGCTATGCACGCACGTTAATGAAGCTAGTTTGTAACTCATCAGCGTTGAACGGGTTTGCTGGCTCATAACCTTTCTTGTTTGTACCGATCTGTGGGATATTAAGATAAGGCGGGATATAAAACACAACGAACCTCGATATCAACGCTCTCTAAGAAGTCTTCGATCACGATAGACGTCAAAGTGACTGGGGAAGCCAAGGAAAGCTGGGCCCATTGACGCTGGACGGCGTTCGCACCAAATGCACCCGGTCTGACTTTACGAGGATCGCCTTCAGGGGTAGGATCTGGACTGTGGGTGGTATGAGACTCTATGGTAGTGGTCTAACGATAAACTAACGCAGTAACGAATACGTATTTGCTGTTGACGAGTACTGCAGGTGCATCCTGATTGAATGTAGATGGGTGTACGAATATCTTATTGCTTAGTGCTAGCGTGTCTGAAGGTACAGCCTGTACGCTATAGCTGCAGATCTGTTAGCTGGGATATCAGAGGTTGTGCAGACTGACGATCCCTCCATTGGTGCACGTGGGGGTGGCACCCTACTAGAATATGATTTGCCACTCATCTCTGGCACGGCTTTTCTATTGGAAGAAGATGAAAACCAACTCATCGTCGCTTTTGTTCACCTTCTGGTTCGACGACGACCTTAGATTACGCAATTAAATCTAAAATGGACGATAATTCCGACGTCCTAATAAATGCACCAGAATTGGGCAATGAATCTTGTAGACTCTTTGGTATGCTCTCATCTCCGCCCATTCCTTATCTCATCTCTCCAGGTCCGTTCGCATTGGGAGTACAAGCTTTGATGGGCGTGATAGTACTCGGTGCACTCGTTTTCAAACGCTACAGAGAGCCTTATAGACGTCCATGGAAAATCTGGTACGCGTTTCCCACGTATCTTTTCGCTATCTCACTATCTTAGGCTATGCGATGTTTCCAAGCAGATAATAGGGCAGGGTATGTGTTATAGACAACACACATACGACTAACTCTCTCTAGCTTTCGTACATGGCTTCAATCTCCTAGTCTCAGACTTTTTCGCCGTACATGGCGGTGAAAATCCATGTAGCGGTTATTTCCTCAACATTACGATAGACACAACGATAGGCGTTCTCATTATATACGGCTTCATGAAATTGTTCCATTGGCTACTCGTTACTAAGCTTCACAACGAACGTTTTCGTTCCGGACACTATGGCAAACCACCTTCTATTATTTGTGCGCTATAGTAACTAAAGAGACATTCCGCTAATACCAAATAGCATGGCTTCTTCAGCTAGTCGTCTACGTACTGATCCTCACCCTCATGAAACTCCTCGTTGCTGTTTCTTTAGCAATCTTACCCTTATTCAGTATATCGGATTTCCTGCTTGATGAGATTAGTCCAAACGCACAAGTTATTATCTCTATGTGTATCTGGCCCCTCATCATGAACGTTCTGCAGGTACGCAGACGCTATCTTTGTTATGTCATACTAAGCATTCGAACAGTTCTGGTTAATAGATTCGCTTATTAAATCTAAATCTCCTTCTGAAGGTCCTAACTTTAAGACACAATCTCCTCATGATGATTTCGATGTGGGGGATGACAGCGATGACGATAGCGATGCAGAGCATCACGGTTTTCTGCGGAAAGAGGATATAGATGAAGAGGAGGAAGAGGAGGCAGCTGACAATGCTGATATCTCACGCTCATTGGAAGAAGGCAGGCGGCGTGATGATAGCAAAGATGGTGATGATGGTGGTAATAGCTACCATCAAATCAGTAGAGCACCCCAGAACTCGACAAACAATGGCTTCTCGAGGGCAAATAATTCCAGTACTCAAGAGAGCCGTGGCGAATACATCCCCCTTAACAACCTTTCACTTTCGGCATCAAACCTGAGGTATAGATTAGTAACGCACAGTTCACGATCTCAAGTTGTATTTTAATAATGCATTTAGTACTGAGTAATCATTATTCACTTCTTGTTTTGTCCAAGGCCAGCAGCATGTGTGGTAGCGACCTGGATCGTACGCGCCATCGTTGAGCGAACTTTGCCATCTTCGAGGGCTAAAAGTCCCGCTATCGTACATCCACCAGGGGCTAAGCATGTTAGTGAAATCAAATAGTAGAGTAGATGCCTACTTGTTACGCTATCCTTTAGAGCAGCTGGATGGACTCCAGTTTCTAGGACCATTCTTGCAATACCTTGCATAGCTAGAGTGTGTCAGATAAATTGAAACAGTCATTACGGTAATACTAACATTGTGCTGCAAGTTCTACTGCCTCGGCTCTTGGTAAACCCATCATAACACCACCATCTGCCATGGCTTCAAGTACAGTGACGGCGAAAGCTGGTCCTGAACCACAAAGAGCAGTACAAGCATCAAAGTGTTTTTCTTCAAGGAATCTACACCTTCCAATTGATCTGAAGATAGCCAAAATTAGGTCCTTTTCGAATGTCCATTCGGATGGAAGCGCTGATACGACTGTCATACCCTCGCGTATCTAATCATTTTAGTTTAGTAGTAAATATAATAGATACGCACCTTGCATGGTGTATTTGGCATAGCTCTAACTACTTTTGTTGACTCTGGAACCCATGAACTGATCTGTGAGATAGTGACACCAGCCAAGATTGAGATGAGGAGCTTATTTGAGAGAGCCTCTTGCATACCAGGTTCGCTGAGTATTGAGTGCGCCATCTGTGGCTTAGCGCTGATAAATGTGAGTGCGAGTCTATATCAAACTGCATTATGTGACTCACCATAACAAAACGACGTCAGAATCGCGGACAGCTTGAATATTTACACCTTTACCTTGCAATATGTTCACTTCCTTACCAACATCACCTAAAGCGTCGAATGTTTTACGAAGTGATTTCGCACTTTCACTTCTATTGACAGTACAAATGAACTTTGAAGGTAAACTGCCTTCCTTAGCTTCTAATATAGCCTGAGATGAGGATAAATCGACAGGTGTGGATGTACCAGATGCATTGTCGTTATCGAAGTTTATCATTCCAACTGATTTGCGAGTGTTAAGACCTTCAATTACACCGGATAATACAGCAACACCCATTGTACCACATCCTAGTACATTTGAGCGTTAAGAATATATAAATAGTCGTATATACCTATTACACAAAGTCTGTAGCCCATTTCAGATAAGAGAGAGAGATGGAAGTCAGAGAAGAAGGTTTATTGTAAGATATTCTACTAACTTTAGGTCTATATTACTATATCTCCTTCTTTATCTCTTACCATGAAACAACTACCAAATGAGATATGGGTCGGTATATCGAGTATGCTCGATTTAGAAACACTCAAGTCATTTGCACTCAGTTGCAAACAATTTAACGCTATATTTAACAGTGTAGAGATACAATACCGTTATTATCTCGAGATATATAACTACTGTGATAAAACGAAGGATACACCAGAGGCGATCTACAAACGTTTAACTAAATTAAAGAATTTACAGAACAATCTGAACAACTTCAATGCCCAACAGCACCACGTCCTTGTACGCGATCACAAATCAGCACTCCAGGCGAAAGTTGACCCAAATGGAATTCCTTATCGCAAAAGAGAACTCCATTCAAGCTTGAGAGTCTTAAGGGATGGCTACTTTATTGTATCCTCCCATGGTAATACCTTTGAGCTCTACAAATTGCCAAAATCAGATGGTGAATCAACAGATAAGGAGCTCAACAATGTGTCAGCGTTGTACCCATCGGTTGTTAAGTTAGAACTTGGCGAGAGGTACTCTGTGCAGGACTTTGATCTTGATGTAGAGAACGATTTGATCGTCTGTTGCATCAAAGAACACCAGGAGAATAGAATGTTACAGTTTTACTTCCATTTCTTCAGTCTCTCAGCCGCTCTTAATACAAAGCATGCTGTTCAGCATCCAATCGCTTCAACAGCATTCACTCACAACCTCCTTCGCGCATCAGCCGCTGCATCTTTCCAGATACAACTCAATGGTCCACATTTAGCGGTACAATTCAATGAAAGAGAACATCAATCATTAGTTACTGTTTGGGATTGGACTAAGCAGATGGCGTTGGAAGCAGTCTATAGTGATAACGTTAACTTATGCGAGGCAGCTGCATTCCTCACATCAGATATTCTCGCTCTTGCGGTGGTTGTTCAGAAAACAGGTAACCCTGTTATTCAGTGTGTTCAACTCGATCCTACACAACAGCAAGATGTCGCTAAGAAGTATGAGTTTGGTGTACAAGCTGTTCCATCTGGGGTAGTTGATTCAGGAGGTTTCCGCATTCTCAGTGAATTCCAAATGGTACGTGGTATGTTGATCTTCCATTGATAATGCCTAAATATCTCTAGTACAATGACGGTTTAGGTAGTAGAAAACACGTGCCATTTATCTTCGCAGAGCCAGTAGTATCTCACACAACAGATGCGTCACTCAATAACAGAGGATCAATTCAGCCAACTGAGGAATCAGGATTTCTTTGTATAGAGGTCGTTACCCTGGATAACTTCCTCGATGGTATTTTCCCGGCCACATTCATAGTTCAAAAGAAGAAGCTGCTTGATAATTTGGTTGAGAGAAATCCAATTGGTTATCGCGTAGGAGAAGATGGGGAGGGCACTGTTGATGGCTCTTTCCCTGCTGAATTTCTCTCAGATTCTACGAGAGTAACTAGTGAGCCAAAATCTGTATATCCAATGTATGGCACACGCTTCTGCAACGTTCCAAAGATCAACATGATAGAGCTTATAGATTTCAATCCTCGCTTAAAGTATAGCAAACCTGATAAACTGGATGCTGATATGAACGCTTTAGTCGAGGGTCGTCAAAGAAGACTCAATAGGTATATAGATAAGCACCTTTCTGGTAACACTTTAACTGAAGATAGCTATGGGGAACCAGAGATGCTGGAGATACTTGTCAATAGATTACGGAATGGAATAGACAACCTTGAACAGGAGGCTGGGATAGGGGGACGACCACATCAGAATCCAGCGCATCCAGGTGATGATAATGATAACAGTGACGATGACGATTTCCTCGATGGAGAGAGTGTTGAATTGGAATCTGACGAATCATTCGAAAACATGGAGATGGTTGAGGGTGAGGGTGAAGAACGTGAAGAAGCTGAAGGGGAAGAGGAAGAGGAAGAGGAGGAGGATGACTTGGATAATTTGGATGATATAGGTGTCATGCAAGAGATTGATATTAGTGACGTGAGTGACGAAGAGGAGCGCAACATGGAGAATCTCCAACCAGGAGGAACGAACGAGTCTACGCATGCAGTTGATCAGCCACCTGAAAGACAAGTACTTGTTAAAGGCTCCAAACAATCTTTGGATATCTCAGTAGACCAAAATTTGGTTACATACTCTGACAAGTCGGTAAAGCAAACTACCTTGCCGTTCAAATTGCCCTACCGCACTGTTATAAGCTATTCGGATCTCGGTATTGAAAGTGTTATGATAGACAAAGAATGTCTCATTTTGGAGGTATGTATTTGGGTTGGAAGAGGAAATTATCTAATTATCTGCTAGACGTTCCACGAGGTATTCCACATCTTGACATTTTAGACATTAAATCTATTTCACATGCATTTGCAATTATGATTATACAACTTTTCCACATTATGTGTCTTCCTGATGAACAGAAGAATGTTCGTATTGTAAGTTATAGTACTCATACTGGTATCCATATTTTACGTTCTTAGGGCCAAATACTGGGTATAAAGGCATATAAGATATGTCATGGATCGTCTTTAGATGTCTTATACTTTCGTTAGGGGCATTGATTTTGCTATCCTCTGAGAGAATATCGTTGTCATTTGTAGAGAGATAATCATTTGTTCATACGCTACACAAGATGTTAAACTGACATATGTTACATATGTTACCTTCTGGACGCGTTTTCTGGTATACTGTGATTTAATTTATTCTGCTGATGACGTCAAAATGTCAGAGAAGAAAGACATAAAATGAAACCACAGTGATATAGAGACTATAGTATTTATTATCATTTACAATATACCGCTCTTATCACTATAGATGTGACACTCAAAGCGCGATAACTGTAGATGGAGATAAGAAGTCAAAGCATTTGAGTGTTTTGCTGTAATAAACATAATAAAAGACCTCAACACTAAATTCCGATAGGTTAACAGCCTATTTCATTCTTCTTAACGAACGATCATCTCATCGAAATGGATTGGATTCAGAAGATCACAAACCAGGTTAGTAGATTATAGATATTATGCGCTATATTAACAAACTTAGGTACAAGATCTCACGCCCTACGATGTTAAATCCTACATCGAAAAGGTTAATAAATTCCCTGGTAGACAGAATGATAGCTAATTAGCTATTTAGGCAAAGAATATTGCTATGAACGTACCAGAAATGGAAGCTAAAGTAAATGAAGCTACAAATGACGATCCTTGGTGGGTATATCCTCTATATCTCTAGTTTGACGCAGCATCTCACATTTCCTAGGGGCGCTAGCTCTACATTGATGCAGCAAATAGCACAAGGTACATTCAATTTGTTAGTACTCTTATACAGCTATTGCAATATCTAAAGCTTCAATTTAGCCAGGAATTCAATGAGATCTTGCCTACTATCTATCGCAGATTTATGGAGATGGAGGCACGTCAATGGAGACAAATCTATAAGGTATATCAATAATATTATGCTATATAATGTATTTAATATCACTTAGGCACTTCAACTCTTAGAATACCTCGTTAAACACGGTTCTGAACGTGTGGTGGATGATGCAAGGTCACATATTAGCACCATTAAAATGCTCAGAAACTTCCACTACATTGACGAGAAAGGAAAAGACCAGGGTATCAATGGTGAGTAGTCCTATCTCCACAATGGCTTCCCTGATTAGGGTTTAGTACGCAACAGAGCTATGGAAATCGTCAATTTGCTCTCAGATGTTGAAAAAATTAGAGCAGAGCGTAGAAAAGCAAAAGCTAATCGTGCAAAGTATGTCGGTGTTGGTAATGATCAACTCTCTGGCGTTTCTTTCAATATGTCTGGTTCCAGATATGGTGGATTTGGCTCAGAAAGCCTTAATAACTACTCAAACCATGCGGCTTCCTACAGTGGATCACGTGGGTTTAGCGATGCTGATAACAACAAAGAGGAATATGAGGAATATGATGCAGGTGACGATGATGATCGTGCAGAAGATTATCATGTAAATACACCAGGAAGTTCAACAACACCTGTCTCGAAACCTCAAAAGAAGGAGCCAGAGGTCGATTTGTTTGACTTCGGTGAGGATGAAACTTCTGTAGCGGCACCTGCGCAAGCACCTAGTGCACCTACACCTATTAGTTCCAAGCCAGCTCAAGCTACTAAGCAAACTACATCAGAATGTAAGTACTCTTGATGGACATGATGATGTTGACTGGTTAATGTATCTTTAGTTGATGACTTTGATGACTTCCAATCAGCTCCTGTTGTAGCACCAGCTTCAGCTACCCAGAACATACCAGCTATTCAAGCACCAAACCCTAATGCCAACATGTTGAGCAGTATACCATCTACTACGCTCCCAGTTACTGGATTAAACAGTATTCCACAACCATCAGCTCCTACAGTTTCGCCTGTGGCTAACAATCCAGCTACGATGCCAAATAGATCTAATGCATCAAACCAAGCTAGCCAAGCTCCTAAGGACCCATTTAGCGGATTTGATGACTTATGGAAATCATCGAAAACAACGAAAACTGAAAATACTGCTAAACCATCAATGGCTTCGTTAGCACAACAAAAAACATCAGATTCTTTATGGAATGCACCAAGTGGTACATCAAAACCACAAGCAAGTCAAAATAATAGTAACAATGATGATCTTTTACTTTAAAATATACATTCATGCACAAACTTAGTCCTTCTTCAATTGACGTAATAATTTATAGGTTTTGCATGCTTCTGGTCCCTGGAAAGCGGCTTCTTCTGCAGCGACTTGCTCCAATTCAGTTTTAGTTGCAGATTGAGTTATAGACTGAATAGGAGCCAAATCGCATTGGCTGTTTGCGACTACATACATTTCTAAAGCATCACCAACCTCAATATGACGTTCTGTTGCACCGGTGAATGAATCTGTGACGATAGCTAAAACAGTTTCAAGAGGAAGATTTCCAGGTATAGGTGGGTTAGCAGGATCAGCAGGTTCTTGGTTTCTAAAGTAAATCTAAAGTATTGTCAGTAAGCTAATGAGTGAGTTATGAGACTAACTTGATTATCCAAAAATGGTTGGAGTAAGGATTGTGCTGCACCTGCAGCTCTGCAAGTCTCTCTTTCGTAACTTCCAACAGGGTCGAAACCATAAACTGCACCGGTACCTTCATATTTCATCAAAATTGAGCTGATTTATATTAAAATGAACTGACCATCATCGTCTATACCACCAATAATTACGTAAGAGTAGAATGGGAAAAATCTCTTCCCATAGAGCATAGTTTGTACCATCCTGGCTATTGATTTGAGTGGCATTTCTTTGTTGTGAGCGTATTTGTAAGTCTACAAGTTGATTGTGAGATGCGTTATCGTCTGTATGAATAACGAACCTCCAATCTCCATTTCACTCTCTTTACGAGTTGTTTACAATCAGCAGCGAAACCGTTAGCTGCGATAGTTGCTTTCTCGTTTCTATAAACTTATCAGCGGATATAAGTATAGAGAGACATTGACTAACAATCTCCAAACTTTAGTTTCATATCTAGATTGGATAGAGAAACCTTCTGATTGACGGGTATCGCCTGCTACAACGCAGAAATCTTTACCGGCGATTGCGAGAACTGTATACGTCAGCCTATAGCAATAAATCAAGAGATGAACCGACTTGTACCACCATTTCTATTTAAATGTTTAGTAAAATGTATTTATTTTATTATATACTCACTGTGTGTATGGATTAAATGACATTTCAATAGATGATGGACGTTTAGAACGACTTACGTACTTCACTTTAATCGTGACGACGAGGATTTCAAAATGGACCCAAGAAGTAAACGTATTTTAAAAGTCAGTATATTTAATTCCTTTGTTATTATTTACTTATTATCTATTAGGAAATCAAAGGTTTTTATAATACTTTATAGGAAGTCATAGTCTAACAACTAAACAGATTGCCAAGTTAAGGACAACTCAGGTATTACTGTTGAAATGGTTGATGATAACCCTTACCATCTCGTTGGCTATTTCAAAGGTCCTGACGATACACCATACGAGGATGGTGACTTCCATGTAGACATACAAGTCCCGGATAGCTACCCGTTCCAGCCTTTGAAAATGAAATTCATTACGTAAGTTTCATTTTATCTTACTTTACACCCCATTTAAACCCTTTTAGTCGCGTTTATCATCCAAATATTTCATCACAAACTGGACTTATCTGTCTTGACATTCTAGGCAAGGAATGGTCTCCAGTTTTAACTTTAAAATCAACTTTGATCTCTTTACAAAGTCTACTCTGTTCACCTGCCCCTGATGACCCACAGGATGCAGTCGTTGCAAAAATTTATACCACCGATAGGGAGAAATTTAACAAAACAGCAAGAATGTGGACTAAAGGCATATATAAAGAAGCTGAAGGAAGCAATTTGTCACCTGCTGCTGCTGCTGGTCTCGCTCAAAATGATGTCAACAAGTTTACTTCTATGGGTTTCCTTGAAAATAACGTCATAGAAGTACTTTCAGCTTTAGATTATCGTGGTAATAACATTCAAAACATCAGCGATGACATCGTTGTCGAACAATTACTTTCATAAAATTTCAGCATAGTTTAGAGCATTCATTATCATTTCGTAATGTATACATTGTTTAATAAAAGTCCGTCATTGTCTAAAGTCCGTTAACAATTGAAGCAATTATCATCATCATTATAAGTAATTGCCCGTTGAAATGTTTAGAAAGTGAAGCTCCCGATTCACTATCTGTTGCAGAAGGAGAGTCAGAAGCTTTTTGATAACCTCTTATAAGATCTGCTCCTTTCTCGCAAATTGCATACGTAACTTGCATGTGGTGTGCAGCTACTGGTAATGGAATTGTTGAGCTATCGATGACGCGAAGGTTATCAACGTTGTAGACTCGCATTTGTGAGTCAACTACACCACCATTTTCTTCACTTAGATATTTTAGTGTTTATATCTCTGAAAACCATCATTACTCACGGTAACATTGCACATGAAGATGCAGGATGATATTGTGAGACTGCACTATTTCTAATATAATCATCTAAATCATCATCACTACTTGTGCCAAGTCCAGGGCTAACTTCATCCCTGATCATGGTTGAAATTGGTTCAGTTGCTGCTAATCTCCTAATGTACTTGAGACCATTACGTATGAGTTGGATGTCTGCAGGGTGTGAGAGGTACAACGGATCGACTTTCGCATTTTCACTCGTGTCACTTGACCCAAGGTAGATCTTACCGCGACTAAATGGATGCTGTAATGCCAATTGGAATCCTAGAAAGTGATCAGTTAGCCGTGTGTTTCACTCAAATTTAATAATTACCAAGATTTGAACCTAAATTGTTCATCAAGATTTCTACAACAGCATTCCCTGCTTTGTATACGTTTTCCAAGTCACTTTCATAGGTTGCACGATAGCTGCATGTGTTAGGGCAATATTACTGCAAGGCCTGCAACTTACCCTGCTTTAACTTCATCTGGATCATCACCCGAGGATGTAGCGTCCGTCATGTTAGCTTCCAGCTGGTCCAAAAATGTTGAGGTCTCATCTCCCATGATATCCTACATGAGTGATTAGATTGAGCTATATAAAAGGATAACATTCACTTACCTCAAGTGGAATATAAGCTATTGCTCCATTTGGTGTAGAGTAGAGACTCCTAGCAAAGTGACCTTCGCGAAAAATTTCAAGTTGTTCATCCAGTTCAGAATCACTAAGTGAACCTCCAACAGGAGCAGTGGTACTGAATTCAACAGTTGCACTGATATGGTCTTGAAGATGTGCACCAACACCAGGAAGGTCGACGAGCACATTAACATTCTGGCTCTCCAAGTTTTCCCTAGGACCTATACCAGATTGAAGCAAAATTTGTGGAGACCCCAATGTACCACCTGCAATTACAACTTCATTTGTAGCATGCGCTTGAAATTCATCATTGTTTCCATTTGCTCTGAATGATACACCATTAGCCTTAGGTCTTGCGCTAGAAGTATCGAAATTGACACGAGTAACGAGTGCGTCAGTTAGTACTACTAAGTTTGAACGTGAGGTTTCTATTGGATAGAGGTAAGCGCTCGCCGCGTAAGAACGAAGTTGTGTATCTGGATCAATGGAATTTGGAGTAATGTATCCACCAATGTTTTGACCACTAAATGGATCGTTATCTGAATCTATACCCAGGTTTTCGAAAGTTGGTTGCCAAAGACTGTTGTTGTCAATTTTTGTATGATGTCTAACATGATACTTACCCGTTTTGAGGATAATTGTATTGTGGAAATGATATTTGGATACTGTAGAGTGTTAGAGAAGGGTATTTCTCTAATTTAAACCTACCCTCCATCATAACCATGTGCTGAATGTTCTATCTCAATTGAAAGATTTTTCTCTAAGCTCTTCTTTGGGGTTGTAAAAGTTTCGAATCGACGGAAGTATGGTAGGAGATTATCCCAATTCCAACCATCATCGTCAATCAACTCAGACCATGCGTCGTGTTGATCTTTTGTTGAGCGTGTCATATACAACGCGTTAACAGCGGTTGATCCACCAACTATTTTGCCTCTTTTTTTACAATTAGTTGTGTTCTACAATCAGCAAGATGTCTCACCTTGGCCAATGAAGATTTCTACCATTGAGATTAGATTGTGCTTCAGTGTAGATAGCCCAGTCGTAGGGAGAACCATCAACAGGTAATCCTTGAGGATATATTCAGCTAGTAGTTAGAGTGATTTTACAATACTTACCGTCTAGATAAGCCTGAGCAGGAATATCAATTCGCTCTCGTACGTCGTCACCGTTACCACCGGCTTCAATGACTAAAACACGTGTATTCTCGTCCTCAGTTAATCTATTGGCTGTGATAAGACCTCCTATACCTGCGCCTGCGATAATATAATCATATGTCTGATCTAATAACTGGTTAACGACTTTTATGTGTTGAAATAAACTTACTGTTAACTTGATTGGCATCGTTAATTATATTACGTTTAAATTGATGGAAAGGCGTCGCAGTTACTATTGGTAAGACACCCAATAGTAGATTCAACTTCATGATTTACTGCCAAGTCGTTCCTTAGGAGGTCAGCTTTGCAACTTGAGTGATGGAGTTTTTCAGAGAAATTTAAATTAAAGATTATTTCGCACATTGTCAAACATCCCACATGGATCACCAAGATATCGTTCAATAACGCCGATATTCTATTAACTGTGTGATATTAGGATTTGTTGTGGATAGACATCATAAGTGATTTACAAGGTAGTATATTTCCTCTAAGACTTCGCATACCTTTTCCAGATTAGGAAGTTGACCTCTGAGAACTAACAGATGAGAGGAAATACTCAGTAGAGGAATATAAGAGTTTAAACCTTTTAATTATCAATATACACAGTTCCAAGAGTCATCTCCGCTATTTTCGAAGGTTTTATCCTAAATCCGATTAAAGCAGAAGACTCTCACTGAATTCATTTTGATATCCGCTAGATGTAGGATATTAGGTGTATAGCCACCCTACTATAGACTATTTATCCATGTTTAAAATTCTTCGTTATATACGTTCCAGCTATAATCTTATCTTTGACTTATACTACCATCATTATGTTCAGAAACTACCTTTCAAAGAACATCCAACGTCCTGTTAGTATAACAAACTGTTAATATACGATCTTCTAAATGATTTACAGGTCTCATTCGCTAGAACTTACGCTTCTGCACCAACCAGTGTCTACCAAGGCAAGAAGGACGCTAGCGTGAGTATTTATTACAAGTGATAATGACAAATTCTAATATTTTAATAGGGAAACTACACAGTCACTTTGATTCCAGGTGATGGTTAGTATCTTCTCGCTATTTTCTTCTATTCTAAGTTCTTTAGGTATCGGTAACGAAATTTCTGACGCTGTCAAGAAGATCTATGAAGCAGCAAAGGTACCAATCAAGTGGGAAGAGGTTGATGTTACTCCTTCCCTCGTTAATGGCAAATCAACTATCCCACAATACTCAATCGACTCCATTAAAGCCAACACTATCGCATTAAAAGGTCCATTAGCCACTCCAATTGGTAAAGGTCACGTCAGTTTGAACTTGACATTGAGAAGAACTTTCAACCTCTTCGCCAACGTCCGTCCATGTTTGTCCATCCCTGGATACAAGACACCATACGACGATGTTGACACCGTTCTCATCCGTGAAAACACTGAAGGTGAATACTCAGGTATTGAACACGAAGTTGTCGATGGTGTCGTACAATCAATCAAATTGATCACTTTCGAGGCTTCTGAGCGTGTCGCTAGATACGCTTTCCACCACGCTTCTACTCAAGGTCGTAAGCGTGTCACCGCAGTTCACAAGGCCAACATCATGAAGATGTCAGATGGTATGTTCCTTACTGCTTGTCGTCAAGTCGCAAAGGAATACCCAGATGTCAAGTACGATGAAGAACTCTTAGACCGCGCTTGTTTGGCTATCACTACTGACCCATCACCATTTTCAGACAGAGTTATGGTTATGCCAAACCTTTACGGTGACATTCTTTCTGATATGTGTGCTGGTTTGATCGGTGGTCTTGGTCTTACTCCATCAGGTAACATTGGTAAAGATGCATCCATCTTCGAAGCTGTCCACGGTTCAGCTCCTGATATCGCAGGTAAAGGTCTCGCCAACCCAACTGCTCTTCTCCTTTCTTCCATAATGATGCTTCGTCACATGAACCTCTTTGAACACGCCGACAAGATTGAACGCGCAGCTTTGACAACTATTGCTGAAGGAAAATCTATCACACGTGATCTCGGTGGTAGCTCAAGCACAAACGAATACACTGATGCCATTATCAAGAAACTCTAGATGCCATAATTAAACAAAGTCTCCAATTTGGATAAATCGTTAGACATTCAACCTAATTCATACATAAACATTTCATTGCTTAAAATCGTATGTATTAAATATATACTAAAATCATTGCAATCTTGCGTCGTTAAATTAAATTGTGAAATTTTTATGAAAGTGGATTTGAGTTTAATTAGAATTCAAAATTAAATCAGCAGCCTTATAGTTACATTAACAAGTATCCTAAAATATGCTACAGCTGAACGTACCTTCTCAGCTATACCATATAGCGTTGCTTGTATATGTGCACTAACATGAAGAGGTATTATTGAAGCATCAGCCTGCTTCAGTTTAGAAGTTAATAAAATTCAATGTGTAAACTCACAATTCTAAGGTTTGACAAACCGTAAACTCTCAGTTCATCGTCAACCACACCGTTGAGTTCCTTTGGCATCATACTTGCTGTACCAATTAGGTCTATACTATGTCAACTTTCATGTTTTTTTTGTAAACTGATCTATACGCACGATGTTCACTTCTTATGGCTGTTTTCCAATACTCCTCTAGATCTTCATCTGTAGTTACATTCTCACCTGGATATACCTCCTCAAGCGCGATCTCTTGCATTGCTTCTGTTTTCATAAGTTTTCTAATATCTAAGCAGATCAGAGGGCTGCTATCACGTTAATAATTACTCACGTTGTAATCCTCTCGTTTGAATAAGTCTATCAGATTCTACCTCAAAGTAATTTGCTAATAACAATGGATGACTATAAGGATCAGATCTAATTGAGAAGGTAAGAGTTATTCTGTTTATATACTTAAAACCTCACGTCTGAATATGTATAGATCCACGTGAAAACTTGCAATTGTTAACACACTTAACGAAATTAAAGCTTTTAAACTTACTGGATGTTGAACGGCAGCCTCAACGCTTATGTAACTTGTATTGCTTTCTGGTTGTCTATCCTTGTTATAAGAAACAAATGAGTTTGCTACGAGATGTTCAATCGCGTTCGTTTCAACAAATTTCAATTGCTCCTTGTATAAGGGGACATATGTGGAGTTTTGTTGTGCATCAATCCATTCCTGGATACCGCTTATGTACCATTCTTTTTCCTCTTTACTAAACAGTGCATCCAGATTTACATAGGCGAGACAAGCACCAACATTCGCAAGAGCGGACGTATAGTCCCCTTCTTCAAACTTTTGGAGCTCTGCTTGCAAGAATTCTTTGTCATATTTGCTAGTAGCAAAATTAAAAGTTATTAGGAAATGGTGAAATGACTCACAATCGATCATTCGAATGGAAACCCGGTTTCAATTTCCAGATAGTCTAATAACATCATATTAGTTTATGTTAGAGAGAATATCACTTTACTTACAGAGATGGCTGTGTGATCTTGGAAATTCTCACCAACGCCTTCCAATTCAATCTGTACTTCAATACCGTTCCTAGTTTTGTTAACGATAAGCTAAAACATTTATAATAACATACTGTTCTAGTATATCTTTTCTACCAATACCACTGAGTTCAAGGATTTGAGGTGTCCCTATCGCGCCTGCAGAAAGAATGACTTCTTTATTTGCAGATACTGTGATATTCTCTCCATCTTTGTTGTAGACTACACCAGTAATTTTGTCATCTGATACGATCAATTTAACTACCTGGGCACCCGTTATAACATCTAGATTCTTTCTGTATGAAAGTGGAAGGTAATAAGCAGATGCTGAGTAACTTCTCGTGAAGTTCTGGTAATTTACAGAGCTTGGATTGATGCTAGCGCCTGAATTATCGCCATCAAATGGCTAATATGAATGGCTAAGTATGAATATAAAGGAAAAAGTAAGTACTTACGCTATGGTTAACATCTAAACCAATTTCTTCGAAAGCAGGTAACCATCTCTTTGCATAATCAGGTACATTGTTGCTTATTGTAGCTTGCAAAGGACCATCATTACCAATAGCGGTCTGATTCAATTGATCCTGACTTTCAATGTGATATTCTTGAAGGATGTCTTGCGGTGGAATGCGATAAGACTCTGACTTCTTCATACTTAATGTGTTATGGTTGAACATTTCGTCTTACTTGTGTACTCACTAGTGTAACAAATCATTAAAGCTCCATCCATCATTTCCTAGATTGCCCCAGGCATCTATTTCACGAGAGTGCGGCCTATCCCAGCCACTATATGTGTGAGTATGTGCCACTCTATATAATTTCAACAACTCACAGTCCATTAAGGGCACTTGTACCTCCTAGAACTCTTCCCCTTGGTAGTGTGACAGGTTGAAGCCCAAAATTTATTTGAGCTTCTGTAGTATAATTCCAATCGTCTGCGATAAATTAGAAAGCAGCCTTGAGTGGAATATACTAACAAATAGATCCAATTGGTGATTTTCCAAATGGTAAATCAATTATTTTCTCACCCAAACCACTAATTTGATATGAATGACTGTGAAATTAAGACAAAGCAAAACAAATTACCTGTTGCCAGCTTCCAAAACCAAAATATTAGAATCGATTTTATCTGAAAGTCTCGTAGCCAGTGCCAAACCAGTTGTACCACCACCTATGACAATCTTGTTAAAAGTCAGATAATTGTTATTGGAAAATAAGAACGACGAACGTAGTCTGGATTAATAGCTTCAGCCGATAAAACTATACCAGCTAATAAGGTGCATAGTTCAAACTTCATCGTGTATAGCTTAAACTTCATCTGACGAAGTTAAGAATGATATGATGATCTCCAACGAATATTCACATTCCAACATTCCAAACCAAGCTATTTAAATTAAAATGTCCTAATTACTAGTATAGTTTTATTAATTTATTCATAACTTTTTAATTGACAATCATGGTTGTTAGTCTTCTTGAGATTGTGAAGTGTAATTTAGAGAGTAAATTAGCTGGGAATAGGACTTTAGATGTTAAAACTCTAATATCAAACTTTACTCAAATAAAGCAACAACTTTTCCCATTTGATAATTCCATTTCAAATCCCGATATAAAGAAGATATTAATCGCTTTTACAGAATCAGAGACTCTCAGTTCTGCCATTGAAGTACATCTTTATAAATTAGAAGATAAAGTTATCCTTTACGTATCAAAAGTAGACTCTACTGGCTTTGGTAAAACACCTTCTCCAATCTCAATCGCCGTTGAGAGCATAATTGAGTGGTCAAAACTATCATTTAAATTGGATATTTGGTTACACATATTTGCTAGAGCTCAAAACGCGTATATATTTCCTAATAGTGAAAAGAACGGTAAAAAGAGAGTATTAACAGATACCCAACTACAAAGATGGTGGAAACGCACATTAGATGATTTGAAACCTAAATCAAAATGGTTGTTTTTACCTGGATATACTCAAGATGAAGCCGCTGGCATTATAAAATGTGATAATAATTGGATTTATGGTAATCCTCATCAATCTATTACAGATTTAAAGGATAGGAAGCTCTCTTCCCTAATACCTTATTTTGATGATGATCCAAAGTCGAGGTTTTTAGATGAGCTAGCGAATTCAACTGAAGCGCTTGATGGGCGTGCATTAAAGAAACCTAGAAAGGAAAACACTCAAGAGGAGAACGCGGATTATAAAAGGAACGCACTAGATCGCACATCTATTGAAGAGTTCTGGGAGAGGCTTGGATTTAGACAAGAGTGTGCCTCAGGCAGAGTAACGGGCTTCTTCTTTTTGCATTTCAAGTCAGACGATCAAGATACATCTAATGAGAATAAAAAAGACGACGATTATGGCATTTCTATAGAACTTTTCCATAGAATACACGACTTGCTAACTAACTCGGATTTCATTTCACTTGATAGTGCAAAAGTAGCAACCACTTCGTGGAATGACAACATTAATTCTCTCATAGACAACCCTAAACTATACATCAGCCATCAAGTCATTGTCAACAATCCAGAAAAACTCAAAGTAAAGGAAAATGTAGAGGCTGTTAAACCACAAGTATTGACAGTTCGTAAGAAAAAAAGACCTGCTAGTGAAATGTAAATGTAAATGCATCCATAATAAAAATAGTGTTGGAATTAGAACTAATTATTAAACCAAATTTAGGCAACTGATTGTCTATACCGTATAAATGAGAGGAAGTTTTGGTAAGCCTCATCAATAGTTGCTCTAAGTTCAGGATTGAACTTTCTATCGACAGAGCGGGCCTGAATTTTGTTGTTAGCGTCATTATTAACTTTGTATTACTACATACACATGTTCTGACCAGGGGTACGACTGCCCTGAGTTTGTTCAAGAACTGATCATTCCTGAAAACTGGTACATCATATCCAGAATTCTCATCCGCGTAAATATCGAACAATTCATTAAGAATTGCGATCGCGACTTCTGCAGTCGTCGATTCATCTGTAGCTTGTGAAGCAACTTGAGGCAATTTATTTAGCAAGTCAATCAGGAAGTTTCCGATAATTCTGTTATCTTCAATTTTATCTTGACGACGTGCAAGTCCACCAAGTGTACCAACTACTTTACTTTTAAGCGCACCTGATGTTGAGACATTGTACATATTAATAAGTGCAGTAATCTCTGATGATTGTAATTGTAAATCTTCTCCTAAAACTTTAGAAACACCAAGCATACAACCAACTAAATTCTCTATACATCCAAATCTAGCCGATTGAGTTCTAATTGTAAAGTTGTTTACTTCACATGGTTCGATAGCTTGTCCAATTTCAAATAATCCAGCCCACAACTGTGAGAGAGTTGGATTCAATTGCTGCTTCAAAGAAGACCATGCTTCCGCTTCTTCTTCAGAAGTTGGACTAGATGGTGATGGTGCATAACGTGCTAAAGATAAGAGCAAGTTTTGTAAAGCCTCTAAAGCGCGTAAGTGTACGACTGAAAGATGTGCAGTCGTTGGAGAATGTGGTGAAATAGCAGATATACTAGAACGTAAGAGTGACATGGAGGTTGGATATGCTAACTTTATTAACTTATTGTGTAACTCTACTTCAGGATTGAACAATGTAAGTAAAGATGATGGGATGATTGATGTAGTTGCAATAGGTTTGACCTCATTCATTTCATTTTCATTGTCTTGAGCTTGTGAGTCACCCTCAATGATGGCATCAATATCTTCTTGCATTTCTTCTTCCATCTCTTCAGCTTCATTTTCCTCTGTATCATTCAATTCAAAGTCACCCTCTGGTATTTGGGAGCAATAACCAGTCAAAACATCAAGACTGCTTTGAAGGGTGATCATTACAAGCTCAATCTCATCCAATCTCTTTTCTTCATTCGACTTGTGATCTGTCGTATTATTATTTTGTTTGGAAGTTATTGCCGGCTACTTGGGAATTAGATTGAGGTGTATACTAGACAACAAACTCACCAAGTTAGCAGCTAATGACTCACTTTCATTAGAAAGTGCATTTAAGTCTGCATTCAAGCATGAGAAGAGGATAGGAAGAATTGTGTTGCTGTCGTTTGCGACGGCAGCTGCTGGAACGACGGCAGGTAATGGAGAAATGTTACGAATGATACCTTTATAAGTCATAATTAGTTAAGTTGATCGTGAGTAACACTAATAAGCTTACCACAAGAAAGAATTTTCGAGAGTGTCGCCTTAACTTGATCTGCCTTCTCGAATGGATCTGAGATGATATCTACTAAAGCTGTACAATCACCAGGGTTGTCATGGAAGTGTTTTTTAAAGCTTGCATTGTCCTCAGAGAGGATAAATAAGCACTGAGAAGCAGCTATTGTGGTTGATAATGGTGTTACTTTTCTAAGATCCTTCTTTAAAAACGCAACCAAGAATGGAGGTAATGAGAGATCATTTACAGCTTTGAAAGCTTTATTTGAGGTTTCACTTTGGTCCTGTTAGTCTTATAATGGGTGTTAGATACGTTTACGTACGATAAACACCAGAAGATGGTGACAATATTCTCAATCCAAGTCCAAATGATTCTTCTCCAGGAGATTTCATCATGATCTGACGGCTGTTCACCTTGTACGATACGTTCGACGATTGAAACAATCTAGATAGAAGAATGAGATATGATTAATTGTGTTTTATTATAACGTACGTTCGTAATATGAGTTTTTAATGGTGCTAAGACGTTCTTATTGAACATTTCAGCACAAATTTCAGGGCCACCATCTATACAGAGGTTTCTAAGTGAACCAGTTGATTCATTTATAACGTCAGGTTCATTGTCCGATAATCTCTCAATTAATAAAGTGATAACGCCCTTAGATTGTAACAGTCTACGAGTGGATGGATCATTTGCTATTAAATTCGTAGTCGCTGCACAAGCCCATACTCTCTCTGATGCATTTGCTGATTTAAACTTTTCCAATACGGGAATAACTTGAGTGTGGTTCGTATTAGATGATTTTTGATGCGTATCTGGTACTCTAATAGGGTTGTGTCTAGCCGTTCTCTTTTTCGTTTGAGATTTTCCCATATTGAATGCTGATTGCCAGGAGAGAAGAGTAGGTATGAAGAGATAGACATTATATTTGAAAAAAATATCCATATTTCATACCAATAATAAAGTTTTACGTATTCATCTCTATAATTGAGCGTTATACAAAATGGAAGACACGACGATGCAAACTTTATGTAGAGTTGACTACAAAGATATTAAGCTGTAATAAACAATAAAAGTATAATAGAAGTGTTATATATAGTAGACTAATACAAAAGTAGATATCTCTTAAATGTCAGTAAATAAACAGTGTCATCAATGCGTTACTATGACGGTTGAGCTTGACATATTGTTTTTAGTCATCATATTAAGAGATAGTTATAAAAGTGTAATAAAATAAAAGTTACTAAAAACTTTTACTCAATAACATCTTGGTAGTAAACGATGAACGTAGAGAAAGGCGTGATTGAAATTTCAGATGGAGAAGAAATAAAAAATGAAAATAAAAGACCAATTGATGAAGTAAATGATAATGATAAAGTTGTAAAGAAGCGTAAACAACGTACACCATCACCCCCTAGAATAGAAAGCCAGAAACCATTGAAAACTATCAGACTAGACCTCAATTTGAGCGATGATAAGGAATATATATTCAATTTCATAGATTTATCCAAAAAGTCTAATCAACTCACACCTGATAGACCATACTCAAATCTACGTAACTTACTTGATCAAGTTAGTGACGGTGAAGAGGATGAGCCACATTTAGAGAAGAGATTCGACCATTACGACGTCAATGACCCATTCGTTGATGACAGTCAATTGATCGTCGACGAGCCAAAAATGATGGCAAAACCAACTAAGGAGGGCTTCTATATAACCATAGGTGACGTCGAATTAGAGACTAAATCGCCTACTCAAATCAAAGATAAGAAGAAGGAAATTGAAAAGGAGAAGCAAAAGAAAAGGTCTAGTTTACATAACTTATCCAAGTATTCTTCTTTCTTTCCTAAACCGCAATTGCCAACTACGCCGATCGCACCAGATATCTCCGTCGAAGGTATATCAATGGATGTATCTGACACGCCTAATAAGCCTAAAGACTCACCTGCTCCTCTCATTGATTCACCAGCCACTGGTTCTCTTACGCGTACCGATGTTAGCTCAATCATAGGTAAAAAGAAAGGTGGTCTTTTGACAGGTTTCACAATGGAACACTTACCCTCTCCATCTTGGTCGAAAGGTAAAAAGGAATATCCTATTGAACCAATTTCAGAAGATTTACAAACTGCATTCGAACAACTCACCGTTTTAATAATGAAGGAGAATTTTGAACAAAAGACTAAATTCCCTCAGAGTTTAAAAGATCCCCTTAAACGTACAGCTGAGATTGCTATTCAATTAGAACAATATGATGAAACTCACTTTTTCAATCGTTTACCAAGGTTGTTTCCATATAATAGGTTCACAATGATGAAATTGGTTAAAAACATGCTATTTGATTATCATAAAAAGTTCTATGAAGAGAGATATGAACTCTGTAAAAAGGCTTTCAAAGAGGAAGTTGATAATGAAAGAGAAGGGTATGTCAATGAACATGAAGATGCTATTAAGCAATATGGTATGTTTGCTCACTTAAACACTTTACACTTTTTAACGTATCTATAGAGGCTGATTGGAAACATTTTGAAGAACGTTATTCTAATGAAGCAAAAGAGTATGATGAAATTAAATCAGGTAGTCATACACTTAGGGTCGCTTCTCACAGTCAGGCACCTGATCCACCTAGGATACGTTGGAAGTGGACAGAGAAAATGAATACGGCATTGTTAGCAATGTCTGAAATCAAGGAAGACTTATATCACCTCGATTTAGAGAGATCAGAATTAGAAAAAAGTCAAGCACCGCCACAACGTGAACAAGCTTATCGTAGTAGAGTTTATGCAGAATTAGCCGTAATTTTCCCTCCAGAGTGGATGCATACAACAGATATATCAAGGAAAAGTAAGCCATTTACTTTCAAATATGCTTATTTCTCACATTTTTATAGGAACCACTCTACTTAATCGTACGAAGAACCAAAAACCAACACAATCAAGCGATAATACCAAAACTGAAAAAGAACCTCAACAAAACTGATTGTTGCATAATATACAAATGAATTGAAAGTAATTACCATTAATTGTACAAATATATATAGTGATGAACTGATGCATTAACTCTTAATTACCTAAAGGACTTTGTGGATCATGTCCAGCGTTATTTATATTTGTACCGAACCAGGTTGATGTAACGTCACCATGTAATTGTAATTTGTTCAGTTGACTCTTATTGTTCTTATTAGACTGTGGTCCGAATAATGTATCAGATGCGTCTGACATTTGATTCAGAGACGATTTATTCATTGAATTATCTTCATCAGAATCAGAATCATCTTGTATATTTGCCATCACAGCGGCTGCGTTGAGTGTTAATGGTTGATGTATAGCTGTATTATCTAATGAACTAGTAGTTGATGATGAATCATCTGGGTTGAAATCGTCACCTTTGCTATAATTTCTGGTCATGAATGAACCTTGATGCATTAAAGTGTCATCCTCATCTTCATCTTCATCATTTATTTTATCTAACTTATCGACTCTATCAAACTTTTTCTTTGAATGACCTGCTTCTTTAAGTATATCATCAACTATACTAGCAGCGGCTTCCTTTGCTGGAGTCCTTGATAATTTCGACTTGGGCATTGTAAAGTTCATTGTTTGAGGTGGTGACATTCCAGGTGGTAACATATCGTCGTCGTCATCATCAGAATCAATGTCATTCTTAGCAGTTTGTCTGTAATTTTGATTAGCGAAGTTAAACTTCTCAGGCTTGCTATGTGTACGAAGTGGTGTTACTCTTAAATCAGCAATACCATTCCACTGAGGACCACCGAATGGGTTATTAAGTGATTTCTTTGGAGTTTTATCGACGATACTTCTATCAATGATACTATCATCTACATTCTCTTTCTCTTCATGTAATGTATCTTCTTTTTTGTTACTCTTTAAGTTGAAGTTTATTGAAGGTGTTGGTGCTAGTTCTTGTTCTTGTTGAACTGATTCATCTGCAACTTGTGAATAATCTGCTCGAACATCTTGAGCTTCTGAAGCAGAAGGTAAAGAGAACGAAGGTAAAATTGAAGTTGAATTTGTAGTCTCAAAGTTCAGATCATCATCATCATTCTCACGTATTTGTCTTCTAAGCTTTTCGAAAGGTGATTCAAGTGAAGTTGGTAGAGTAGTTGAATTATCAGATTGTTGCCTTTTAACTAAGGGTGTTGATGATACACCGTTTGTAGCTAATTGTCCTAAGAAAGAATCCTGATTGAGTGTATCATTCATTGTCTTGTCATTTTCATTGTAATCCAAATTCTTCGCGGTCCGATCATCATTGTAGTAGGTCTCGTTGAACGTTTCTTCACCTGATTGTGGTACTCTAACCTGTGCAGCGTGTTCAAAGAATGATTTCCAATACTAGTGATATTAGCTATGTTTTCGGTTAATGAAGATGAACAAACCTTTGCAATCTTTCTAGAGTTTTCTGTAGCTATCCCGTAATTCCTTATTTGTGGTAGAATACGACTTAAAATGACATTGTAAACGCTTGATAGATCAGCATCAATGCTTTCTGGATTGACTTATATTAGAACGTTACATAAACTAAAAAATAATCAAGCCCACGTAATGTTAAAGTGATCCTCTGATCCATTTGCTCAATCTGTATTCCTTTCGTTAGTGATATCTCAGATATTAAACGTCAAAACTGACTTGCTCGGATGCAGGCAAGTTATCATGATCAATTCCAGATATTCTCGGTATTTTAAATTCAGGATTTAATGGATCTGGACTAAATGTAGCTAAACTATTATCAAGATTTAATTGGCTCGTCATTGTAAGTTATCAAGTGATTATAACGCGTAAATTAACGTGTAAAATTAAATAAAATACTGCCAATTTATTTTTACACGCGTATCATTATTAGTTTTATCATTTAAATTGATTAAATGTCTTAAAGTTGGCCTACCATGAGGGCAGTTCTATAATGCAATTAAAGTTAGAATTAAATTATATGATTCATATCCTTACTTACCCAGGGTTGATTCAAAGTCGATAAATTTCTAACGATCTTTGTCATTTGTTTCAGTTTTAATGATTTACCAACCATGACGCTCATTCTACAAGCTCGACTGGCAAAAAGATCTCTGGCTTTTGTACATCTAACTAGCTTCCCCGGACTTTCATTTATGAAATGAATAAGCTCTTCTAAATCTAAAGTTTATTAGCTTACGGCTACGAGTTTAAATATGATGCACCTTTTAAATCAAAAACTGTTGATTTGGATAACGGTAATGAAACCAACTGACACCTATTGCCACTTGTAGCATCCTCATTAATTTGTATGTCGAATCCATTACTTTTTAGTATATCAAGGTTATCGAAAACTACTAATTCATCTGAAGCGCTCAAATCCAGTGTGCGAGGTCTTAGAAATGGTTAGTTCACCTACGTTAAAATTTCTTCGACTCACATAATCAACTTCTGACTTTGAATCTTATGGTTCAGTTGAAGGTTCTCAAAGTTGTACTTTTCATCAGCAGCATGTTGATCGACGATGAATAAATCTTCCTCTTCTATACCCTGAGTATTGGTTTCCAGACGCCTTACTATCATAAACCCTAGATTAAACTGACCGAGTACTTGAAGACGTTCAAAATCGTTTTTATGTAACACTCTCGACAAGGCATTTTCAGCTGATTGGGCATCATCAACATTTTGTATACCAGCGTTATCAAGTAGGTTATTAGGTGTAGTCTTCTGTACGGTATTAGAACGTCGAGATTGCCTTTCCTCAACATTTATTTGCCAATGTAAGCTTATTTCATCTATATTAACGTTTAGCCTTTTAGTAAAATGATTTGATTGTTCCTCTTCCGAACTGTCACTTAATTCAATCCTTTCTTGGGTATCATTCATGGTCTTAGTATCAATTTGTGATTGCTTTATATTAGGGTATAATGGTGCTTGTTTAATTTCATACATTATTTGAGTATCGTCTGTATCAATTTGTGAGAAGAATGAATCGTGCTCGTTATGATTATCAGCTTCCATTCCCTTTTCACTTTCCGAATGATACTCGTCAATTTCCGCAAACTCAACTTCAGTTTTCCTTCGTTTAGGGAGACGATTATTATCTTTGTCAATATCAGAGAAGGCTTCCGAAGCCCAGGAAGCGTGTCGCGTGTTTATCTGTGAATTCGTTCTGATATCCTCGCGCATATCGCTGTTCTCATCAAGAGGTGTTTTCTCCGTGTCTTGCTCATCTATGAACAGTGGTGTTTCCTCTCTTTCGTTTTCTTCATGTTCATCCTGTATATTTGCGATGACATCATCCTGATCTTCGTGTTCATCTACTTCATTGATATCCTCACCATCGAAATGACTACTCAATGGGTTTGCTGGTACTTCATTCAGTGTTTCCATTTCCAAAAGAGGTGAATTAGAACTTTCATCCTGTGTTTGTGGAGTTAAATGTTCGCTTTTCGGTACGATTGATGATTGGGTGGCTTTATTGACATTGAATACACCCCTAAATGGTTCATAAAAGCTGTCTAAACGATCTTTCAAGGATTCTAATAAACTGGATTCGAAATGAAGGAAAATAGTACGTTTATCAGGTGTAATGTTGACATCATAAGTATCTAAGACGGGTGAGTGATAAAATATTTAAAGAGCCTTTAAACGTACCCATTGGGACCTTAAAATCAGCAATAACTAGTGGATAGGATTGTATGTTGTACGATTTAAAGACTTGATTTATCGCTTTTGCAGCCTAAGACGTAAAATGTTAAGGAGAATTATCTTTCAAAAGTTGATACTCACCTTTGGCATGTTGCAAGGTCTACCATTTATGTAAAAGTATTGTCGATCAGATGTACTTCTACCAAGACCTAATAAAGGTTTTGTAATTGTACCTTGAAGTTGAACTGTGAACTCTCTATAGTTAACAGTTAGTATTAAACCGTTAACCTTTAATAATACTAACAATTCATCGACGTTCTCACGTTTTGCGATATTTGAATCAATTTTAACTGGTAGATCTAAATCCAATGGGACTAGATCTTGTTTGGTATTTGAACCAAATATAGAAGTGATGTTGTTCAAAAGGGATTTACCAGTTGATTGAAAGATTAGAGACTTCTTGTTAGATTTGTTTGTATTAGTGACAATGAACTTTTTATCTGCCAACAAAGGACATAAAGCGTAAGATTGCAATAGATTGATAGCTTTCGAAAACTCTCGTTTAATATTCTTCTCTAATTCTCTTCTTCTGACGGGTAGATGATGGAATAAAGAGAAGATTGACATAGTTGTACCTGATTGTCTTGGTACATTTGATTTCGATTCGAGTAGCTCACCGTTTTTATTAAATAATAACCTATTAGCTTTTGGTTGAGATGATTTTGTCGAAGTGAGACATTCAATTGATTTTGATATTGAACATAAACTGGATAGAGCTTCACCACGAAAACCAAAGGTTTGTAATTGGCTTAAATCTGTGAAGGTGTTTAATTTTGAGGTAAAATGCTTTTTTGCTATTGAATTAAAGTCATTTAAGTCTATACCATTACCGTTATCAACAACTTTGATAGTATCTAAACCGAAATTGAAGAGGTTGATCTCTTGTTAATTGATATCAAAATCGAGTCAAAAGATGCAGATATAAACCCACCAATTACGGTAGATGAAGCATCTAGACTGTTTTCTATAAGTTCCTTTATCGCGCCTGTATTGTGAAATTAGATATGAAAGTAAGAGAAAAAAGGGATAAAACCTTGTAGATCTAAAATTACCTGTCCAGATTGTAATTTATTTTTAGTTGAGTTATCAATCTCATTTATTGACATTAATGACGACTTGATGGCGAACGATCAACTGAGAGAAGTATTAAATAAGCCAAAAATATTAAAAAATGACTTGAAAGATAATAATTTAACTATAAGGAATAACTTTGAGAAGGATTTCAAACTATTTCTAACGAATAAGTCTGCGGTTGATAATATATTAGATAGTGTCGATAGATTAGACGTTAGTTTAAACATTTCTAATGATTTTGATAAATTCAACAATAACTCTTCAAATATAAAAGAAAAGATTAATTCTAACTTACATTTATTGAATAATTATCAAGATCTAGATAAGTTACTCAATCTTAATAAAGAGTTAAACTTACATCTGAATAACAATAATTATAAAGATTTTCTACATTTGTTAGACAGCTTTAAATCTATTACAATAGAAACAGAATTGTCTAAGAAGTTATCAACTGACATAAACTCAACCAAAATCAAATTTAAGAACAAATTATTAAGAAACCTTAAATTAGATAAAAGATTAAATGAGTTGAACAAGCAAATCAAATATTTAAATTTAGTATTTGGCATTGATTATCATCAATTATCAATCATTTATTTGAAATCTAGGTTATTTTATTACGTCGAGTATATCAATAATTATAACAACAACAACATAGAATTGCTCATTAACAATTACTTTGATTTTACTAGACAATTCTTATTAGATTTGATTAGTCAATTTCAATCAATTTTCACTTTCAATCAAACAAACATTTTGACATTCTTGCCTTTTATTAAGCATGTCTTTACGATATTATTCAATCTAATCAATAAAAATTTCAATAAGATTGACAATTACCTTGCTTTGTCCTCAATTTCAGGTACATTAACCTATATAAACCAATCATTTAGTTTGATAGGACTGGACATATCATCATTTATCTCGACTCTGATTGAAAACTCTATAATAAATTTACTATCAATATCATTTACTCAGTCGACGGGAATACTAACCAACAAATTACAAGAGTCATTAAAAAGTAAAACACCACTATCCAATTTACTTATCAATGATATAACTCAAAGGAAATTACTTTCTAATAAACATTTAAATTATAAGCGACTCACTCAGTTTAGTTTTGAACCACCGCAAGATTTAACTAATCATCCTTTATTAGCAAACTGGTTGAATAGTTTTATAAATGATTTGAACTCTCTACGATTATTTGCGCCAATATCAATTAAATATACCTTACTAAAATCATTAGATGATTCCTTAATTTCAATTGCAAGGATTTTCTCTGTTTTATTGATACATAATCCAATAAACAATCAACCAGCTGATATAAATTTAAAATCACTCTATTTTTCAATATACGCTTTTATCTATCAAATTCTACCTTACTCTAGAAATGCTCTCATGAAAGGTATTTACGATCATGATATTATTCCACCCGTAAATCAAGAACTACAAAGCATCATTGATAGATTAGTTAATTGGCTAGATAAATTTAAATTGTAATTATACATTTTTGTCTTTTCAGAACCATTTGAGATCCAATTTTTTAGCTTTTACCTTGATTTATGTTAGTATAAATATTCTTAGACTCAATCACATTTTTAATACTTACTATAGGTTTAACTATCAGGAGACCTACTGATAATGCTACTATTGTTATACCTAATTGAATTTTATTGAAATTTTCACTTAAAACATCAAATTGTCGTGAAGGTGTCGCGTTCATAACAACAATATCTTGTCCGTACGCAACACAAATCGAAGTTGATTCTAATTGGGTTGAAGGTACACATTTTATATCCTTTACACCGATAACTGGATCATTATTCAAAATTGCTTTTGGATCATTAGGTATCCTAGTGAGATCATCATTAATAACTAAGTCAAATTGTTGTGCATTCTTTTTATTCTTTTTCTGTTGCTTTTTATTTATTTGCATTTGCTTTGGTGTGCTTGGATCCAAATATGTTCTCGGTATTGATGTTATTGTATCATTATTGTTTGCTACTATAATATCTTTATGACTTATGCCATTTCTCGTTATAGTTGGGGTCATGGCTTTTATTGAAAATGGTGTGTGTAGATACTTATGCTCTAAATCCTCAGTATTAGTGAATAATTCTTTTGAATACATTATAGTATCCTTATCAGTTGATCTTGCAAGTGTTACTATCCTATTATCAATGAAAACATTATTAGCTCCTTCACTTTCATCTTCAATTTCAAAAGTTCTATCAATTTGTCCAGTTACACCGTCAACGACGTAAAGTTTCTTCAATGATTCACCCTTAACCATAGTGGTAATCAGAATAGCATTTGGATTCAAATACTTGTACAACGCTTTCCTGTCAGGTCCAATTTGTGCAACAGAAGAGGTTGCTGCATTCAATCTCTCTTCAACACCAATGATAACTTGATTCTCAGGTGCATCAAATGACCAAACTTCGGCTGAATTAATTTCATCTTCCTTTATTGATGGAGTGAGACCAACAACGATGGTGTCAGAAAGTTGTAAAGCATAATAAAAGTCTTTGGCCATCTCACTAAACTTCGACTTAACAGTTTTGCAAGATGGATACAAATTGATACTTAAACTTGAATCAATTAAAGCAATAGCTCTATTTCCGGATGTACCGCATTCAATATCAAGTGGGATGACCTTCATGGGATTACCTTTAACCAAAGGTTGATAAGCTACACTACCAGAACCTGTCAAAGCTGGACCACCATGAGCATCAACTTCAATTGCTAAGGTCATTATGTTTCCATTTGATTCTAACAATTCAACTATTGCTAAAACATGTGCAGGTGTATTCAAACCTGCTTCGCGTGTGGTGAATAAGTGTGTAACTTGAGAATTTGGACCAAAGTTTCTAGACCAGAGTATTTTGTTCTCATTAGCTGTATCTAACCCAACTAATTTTCCATATTTCGTACCAACAATGAGTATTTTTCTGTAGCCAAACAAGTCCCTTACAAGTGAGTCGGATTCTTTCATTCTTTCTCCTGTTACAAACCTTGTACCAAAGCCATAAAGATAGGAAGGTAAATATTTGATGTTCTTTAAGTGATTCACAATTCTTGTTTTGAATGAGTATAGATTATTATTATCAACTGAATCTATCAAAGAGTCATCATTTTGTGGTAGATCAACAACAACCATTGAAGTAGGATCAGATAGACCAATCTCTTTCACCCATTTTTGTTGTACACCTTGATATAATTCAAAAGTACCAGATGTTGTAACGAAAGCAATTCTTGCTATTGAATTATAACTATTAGTTATTGTAGCCTCAGCTATTACTTTGACTGGATATCCATGCTTAGTGTGATCAAATGGAATTGTATATACATTTTCCATATTACCATCAGGTCCATCAGGAGTAAATATATCAATTTTAATTGCCTATAAAAATAATTAAAACGTTGTGATGACACTTAATACGAAAAACTAACCTTCATTGAAGCTGTGAGTGAGGTCTTAATAACAAATGCTCTGTCTTGTTTATCAATTGAGCCATTAAAATGTGATAGACTATTATCATTTTTAAAAGTGTAGATATTCTTCAAAGAGTCATTTTCCAAAGAGTATACTTCCAAATCATCGTTGTTCATTACACCAAAAAGGTTTCTTGGCGAAAGATCCAAATTGACTAAGCTCGTAACTGGTTTGTTGAATGTTTTGACATTTTTTAAGGTTTTCAAGTTGAGTACTTCTAACTTAGATTGCTTGTTTAAACTAACCAGGTAATCATTCATTATCTTCAAATCAATATGACCATTTAACTTTACGTCAGAGATAACTTTACCAGATTTTGGATCTATTGATAATAAGTTATTATCATTGTATAGGTAAATTCCGTTTGGTTGGCTATGGAGATTGTAATAACCATTGACTTCTACCTCCCAATTCAAAGCTGATGACAACAAATCAAGGCAAATCAGTTTATTAGAGTTTAAAGCAATAATTGGATGATCATCACTCCTAACGAAATCAAGCTGATAATAGTCAGACTCCTCTAATGTTGTATTCCAATAGTTCATGAAACTGTGACCATCGTAGATCTGTAGATTATAATCTTGGTTGAGAGTGATCAAAACGTCTTGATCTAACTTTGAAGATAATAACATATCGTAATTAACTCTATTTAAAATATTTCCGTTCGAAGGGTTTATTATATTCAAGTCATTAGCTGATGTAGTGACTATTGCCGTCTTATTTTGTGATATTTGCTTATAGTTATAGTGATGAAATGATATATGTTCTGGTTTATTTATTAACTCTAGTTTATACGCCCATAATACCTCTAGAAGTACTATCAACGTAATCAAGAACTTCATGGTAAATTACAAAGTAAATTAAAACAATTTATTAGCGAAATTAGATGAAATTAATTTAAAACCTTCATTTGATACGCCCTTTATGAACGTATCATGTTTCTCTAGTAAATCTTTTTGATTCCTTCGTAGTTCTCTTATCATTCCGTGACTCCTAGCACAAATTGGACATTCAGTTTCGTTATCTGCTAAAACACTCATATTAAAAGAATGCCCACATGCGAAATGTATAGCAGGTAATTCTAGCCTCTCCCCAGTTGATGAGCACCTTGTATTTTGGAATGTTTGAGCTTTATTGACATCATTAAGCTCTTTTATTTGATTTTCCTTCTTTATTGTCTCTTCTTTATAACTCATGAGCAATAGTTCATCAACTTTTGTCTTCTCTTCATCCTCCTTTACTTTTCTTATTATCCACTCTTTCACAATTCCGTTATGAACACCAGGTTTACTTAAAATTTGAACGATTTCACTCATTTGCGGTAATCTAATGACTTCATCGTTCATATGCTTCTTCGTAAATTCATCTCTGACGTTGTCTATCAATTCCAACAAGTTCTGTATGACGGTGCGGTTATTGTGTCCTTCAATATTGTTTGATAAGAAGTCCAATACAACTAGATACATTCTGGGAACAAATTTACCAAAGTTCTTTATTGATTCGAAAATTGCATCTGTAGATCTCTCTTCATCTTCCCTGTTCGTTGAGGTATCCGCTTGGGCCATATGATGGTATATTATCTCTTCATAAGCTTCTAAGAATTTCCATAACTTCACTTTACCTTCATCGAATGACTCTATTGTGCAGATCATCAAGGCGTGGTTTAAATCGATGGGTATTCTTTCATAATTATCAATTAACATCAATGCTTTGGAATGTAATTCTCTTTGGATCTCTGGTGACTCTGAAGCTCCTGCTTCTTGTACATATAACTCTAATATTGTATTTAAGGAGGCTGACACGTTGTTGAAATTCTGCTCATCATAAATACTTTGCACTTCTTTTATGATAATGTTATCAGAAGTAAACTCGATACCAAACCGCAACTTCATTATAGATTCGATAAATATTATTAGTTGATTAGGATAATTGATAAATTGTGAGAAATATTTAAGAGGTGAAGGCGGCTTGTAAACATCATCCTCTTCTGTCGACGAGTTTCGTGATGAATTACTAGCATTAAATCCAATATAATTTATTGTATTTGCTGCTATAGAGTTAAATTTACTCTTCCTCAACGATAATTGATCCGTTACATCGCTATCTGCGTTTTTTGGTCTATATGAACCGGAGCATAGTTCGATTAGCAAATGAGTAGTTACTTGACAATTGTATTCCAGTAGTAATCTGCCATAATGATGCAAGTAGTTCTCAACCTGTCTCGATTTTAGTTATAATGGCAAAACTAGTAAAATATACTCACATTATCCGGCGAGAGTCTACTCAAATATTTCAAAGCAGCATCCCAATCTTTCCTATCTTCAATTTGTATTTTGAGAACATCATCATGTCTTAGGTACGTTGTACTGAGCTGAAGGGCATGGTTTATATAGCCAGCTTGTCTTAAAACTCTAACAGCAGTCTGCAGGTCGAATTGAACTTGATTGTCATTATTTGATTGAGTTATAAAGGAGTCCAAACAATCGATATCCTATAAAGATCAGCACTTCGAATTTTCCTAATGATAAGTGAATGCTCACTTTGATTTTTATTAAACAGTTTAATAATAGTGTGGTATAATCAGGGTTTGCATTCCCCTTATAATGTACTTCTTGAAGATATTTGACCAAATCATGTATTCTTTGATGGTCCAAGAACTGTTGCGTTTGTCAGTAACAGTGAAAGTGATGAATACACACAGACCTTGCGAATAATGCTGCTTGGTTCGACATAGCCGATGGTTTTGCAATATTCTTGGGTCGCCAGATCGTAATCGTTTTTCTGGTAAAGGTAATCTGCATAACGCTTGTGCACATCCATTTCAATGTACTTTTCCAATTTGCTGTCGGCAACTATGTCAAAAGCCAGCAAGTAATAGTTGCTCTTGTATAATAATTCCAGTTTACTGAAGACAGACTTTTCGTGCAAAGTGTATACCTTGTAAAGTTAGTTTTCATCAAAACGACAAATGTTTCGAGCTTACCTTACCATCATCACAGAGTACATGAAGCTTGTTGCCACTTATCAGAACCTCGCAGACATTTTCAGCTATATCACCTTTATAAGCTATGTACTTGAATTTTAGATCAATAATGGTGACCGAATTGACAGATGGTTTTGATTTACTTGGCATACATAGCACAATGTATTTGAAGAACCTTTTGATAAAAGTTTTTTCACCTTCTAAAGCGTAGGTAGCCCTACGACCCTCGAGACCATAAAGATAAAGAGCTTCATCCCTAGCGACGACCACACTGGCGGAGTTGATTGGACTCATTTGAAGACAATTGAGCTGTGAGCCAATATCATCAAGTGGTGATATGGTATATCCACCTTTTGAGTCAAACCTGGATACCAATAAGGATGATGGAGACAGTATGAAGAGACTATTCTCGGATCTGCTAAATAATAAATCTGTGATCGGCTCCTTAATAGCGAGATTGATTCTAAATGATTTGAATTGCTCAGAAGTTTGGATTGTGTCTTTCAAATTGTGTATTATGATCATATTACCATTTGCTAGACCGATAGCTGCGATAGACATATCCTCAGAAATAGTGAAGGCCGATATCTTTAGTTTAAAGGCTTAGTACTCAAAATCACTGATGTATAATACTTACGGGGTGAGGCTCGTCATTATGCTCTAGGACGCTGTTATAGAGAAGCTTGGAAGAATCTAATAAATTCCAGCATTTAATGACGGGATAATTAGATGTGTTTTCCTAGAAAAAATAAGCCATGCTCTGCTTTAAACATGTAGCTCACAGCAAGTGCTATCAGCGTATCATTCGCTATACTGAGATGCAAACAGCGTGAATCCTGGAAGCCAATCCAAGTATTTATCAGTTCAAATTTACTGTTGTATTGAAATATTGTTCCATCTCGTCTTATTTTGATAGTAAACTGATCGCTAGACGTCATCAGGCAATCATCCCAGCTTTCGAACGTGCTAGCTTCCAAGCTACAATCAAAGAAATGTAGAGATTTCCACTATTTATATTAGATTTTTATTCAGGTGTCTATATTTCTTACGTTTTGCTTGATTGACATCTTGGATGTAGCACTCAAAGAGTATTTAAAGTACTCAACTGATATTTTCATTTATAAGTAACCTCACATATTAAATAGAAAGTGCTTGATACTTTCTATTTCACAAACATTAGTAAACTTTTGATAGAAGGGAAGGAAAGAGATACTAAAATGCTGTTAGGCAATCCACAATGAGTGAGTTTGTTGCTTTAACAAAATAGTAAAAGCCAGCTAATTACTCAAGTGCATTCTCAGATGACGATGTATGGATTTGTTCAGGAGTGTGCGCGCTTCGAATTATTATTGGGAAGGAAGCAAAAAAAGCTACCAATTTGAAGCCTTTGGGACAGAAAGTGACTTCAAAAGATATAAATTGATACTCTAGAAACATTTACATTTACATATGCGTTGAAACATATTCAACTATATCTCCATAAAAAGGGAGTTGCGTTGATATCTCGAGATATGCTCCACTGTTCTAACAACAAAAGATAAACAGAAGCTTATATCCTATCGAACAACAGCAAATCTCAATCAATCCATAAAGTATAGATATGATGTATTCTTGAAAACATTTGTAAGCCTAAATTAAGTAAAACATCCATGAAGTTAAATTTTTTACCTCATCTTATGAAGGAGTTTACTGACTTGATAGAGTAATAAAGGTTTTTTCTACAAATGGGGATAAAAGACGTCGAAAGTGTCACAATGGCCCTACAAAGTCTACTCTAAGTGGTAGAACTAACTGCGAAAATTTGCACACTGATATAGCTGCACTTTGGAAGATATAATAAAATTTAAAATCAATAAATTATCATGTAAAACTGTAGTATATTTGAATGCTTGTAGTCCTTCTACTAATTTGAAGTTCTTATAAATTACCGATAAAATTGTCAACATCAAGTGATTCATACTCGTTCTCAGGTGGTAGATCTTCAAGACCTTCCAAAACGTTCTTTTGGGAAGCAGGCGTATCATTCTTCCTCGTTTTATCCTCACTTTCTGGCTCTGCACCCGTGGATACACTGAACAAATCAAGTACTTGTCCAGTATCCATAGTGTCCAAACTATTATTTTGTTGAGTGACGATCGAGTTCGCAATGTTTAGCTTGAAGCGTTGAAGACTATAAAAGTTAGACACTATCATATCATATCTTCAGAAAGAAAAACTCACCCCATAATCTTTTCTTCAAGAGTACCTCTGGTAATCAAACGATAAACGTTAACAGTCTTTTTCTGACCTAATCTATGTGCTCTATCCATAGCTTGTAAATCACGCTGTGGATTCCAGTCATGCTCAACAAAGATAACAGTATCGGCACCTGTCAAATTCAAGCCTAGACCACCAACATGTGTAGTTAATAGAAGCACGTCTATGCTTGGATCACTGTTGAACTTCTGTACGACTGAATGACGACTATCCGCCGGTGTTTGACCATCCATCCTCATGTATGAAACCGAAGGCATAAGCTTTTTAAAGAGATCATTCTCTACTATGTCGAGCATCTGTTTCATTTGGCAGAAGACTAATACTCTATGTTGTGATACACCTCCATTGTCAACATCCGTAACACCGTCAGTTGATTGGCCACTTTCGCCAATACCACAATCTTGAAGTAATTGCCTCAATGCCAAGAGCTTTGGTGCATTGCTTACATCACGTATGTTACCACCTTTTGATTCTAATTTGCGTATTACTGACTTATGCTTTTCATTCTCTTGATTAAAGATAAGTGAAGGATGATTACATAATTTACGAAGGTATTGTAAAGCTTGGAACACATGCTGTTGCTTCTGACCTCCTTTCTCTTCGGTTTTCACAGTTTGACTGGCCTCATTAGCAGCTGAACTACTTCCAAACTCTTCATATAACTGCTGTTGTAGATCTGAGAGATCGCAGTAGTAATCCTGAATAATCTTTGGTGGTAGATCATTCAAAACGTCTTCTTTCAATCTACGCATAATAAATGGAAGAATTTGTTTATGAAGAATTTTCAAAGCATTGTCAGCAGCTAATTGCTCCTTGGAAGATGCTTTAGCTTCACGTGACGCTAAAATGACTTTGCCAAAACGATCATTGAAAGCCTTCTCACTACCCAAAAAGCCTGGCATAAGGTAGTCAAATAAGCTCCATAACTCCAATACGTTATTTTGAATCGGTGTACCTGACAAGAGGAGTCTGTGATGTGCTTTCACTTCTTTAACAGCTTTTGTGAGCTTGGTTTTGGCATTTTTGATAACATGGCCTTCATCAAGAATGCAATACAACCAATTAACTTTTCCTAAATCAGCTATATCATTCCTGACGACATCGTATGACATAATAACAACATCATGACGAGGTATTAGTTTGCGAAGTCTAGCTCTTTCTGTTGGACCTCCTGTATAAAGTAACGGTTTGAGGTTATTTGCATACGTTAAAATCTCGTGCTTCCAGTGACCAGTAAGTGTTGGTGGGCAGACCACCAATGAAGGTAAGTGTCTAGAGTCAGGTGATTTGGTTTCTTGATGTTTCATAGCCCTCTCATGATGCATACTTGCCAATATCGTGATCGATTGAAGTGTTTTACCGAGCCCCATATCATCACAGAGTATACCATGCAATTGATACTTATTCAAGAATGCAAGCCATGAAATACCTTCACGTTGGTACTTTCTCAAATCAATGTTGACCTTTATTGGTATTTCGTACTCTTCGACCTTGCTACCATCAAGCAATTGCGTCAGGAATTTACGCTCTTCCTCGCGCTTAGCCAGAAGTCTTTCTGGGAAACCAATTGGATCGGGTAATCCCGCCTACCATGATGTAAGGATTGTGTAGAAGAATAAAGATAAAGAACATACCTCCAGTGGTACAAGCTTAACAAGAGCAGCAAATGTGCTAGTTGCTAACTTACGAACAGCATCATCAGTGTCACTAACACGACCAAGTACAGGAACTATCAGGAATAGAACGTATGGAAGAATGTCGGTATCGAGTGTGCTGACGATATCTACCCAATGTGAATAAAAGACCACTCGTTTAATAAAAACCTACGTTGTATTGTTTCTACAGAGCCTTGGCGATGACATATATTGGAAGAATCAGCAATCAAGGGAACAACTTCATCGATGACGCGCAACATAGCATCACTAGTGCATATCTTACACATACTAGCTAAAGATTTACCGGCAGCAAATCGAATAGCAGCATAGTTGCTTTTAATAGCCTGACTTATTTTTGCTGATAATGCAAGCAATTCAGAGTATAAACTTGCATCAACACTTTCAACAGTCATTCTTAAAACTGTGAAAGAATCAATAATTTCTTGACCTTTCTCTGATGTGATATTTACGTCATTCTCGTAATTCTTGAACGAAGATAAACACTCATAAAGTTTTGGAACCTTTGTGAAAAGATCTTTGCCGAATTTCTTCGCAAGTTCCAAGATACATTGAGCCGCACCTCTTTGAATAATCGATGAAGGAGAAACTTCTTTGTCTTCTTTAATTGCTTTCCTGGAATGTTGTGCTGCTAATGCTGTAGCTTTTTGCTCAGCTTCCTCCATCTGCAATGTGAAAGACCCTTCACGTAGCTTGGCATTTTGTGCAAAAATAGGCGTCTCTTTCTCATCTTGACAGGCAAATGCACAGAGGTTTTTGACAATTTTATCACTTGGATTTGCTTTTGCAGTTGGTAAACTACATAATTCAACCAAGTTTGCGAGTGATTTTGCAGCCCTGTTTTGTAAATCTATATTGTCCTCCGTCTGATTAGAGTCAGTTGTCTGGATTGATCATATAATAATAATGCACATACCTTAATGCTATTCATAATACTTCTGATAACAGGGTTGAGCTTAACAGGTAATTCTCTAAGTGCTACAACCGCAGCTGCTATGGCAGAGTATACTTGATTATCATAACGATCTTTACGTGTCTTGTAAAATTGTATGGTACTAATAGTTTTCTTGCGTCTATCATCAATCATTCCCAATGCATTCTTCTTGCGATTACTTATTTTACTACTGGCGTCGTTGTATATGGAGCCCATTAGATCTTCTGCCAATGCTAAAGAAAATGCGCCTTGAATGGTTCCAGTTGGATCTACCTCGGCGGGTATGGATGGTAAATGATCTTTGTTTACTTTGCCATCATTAATGAGTGAACTATATACGACTTGGCATTCATTACGAATTTGTGATAACATTAAAACCATCTCTGAATAAGTTGAAGGCACATCACCCAAGAGTACATCACTAAGTTGTTTATGTAACATAGCCGCTAAGGTATTATTATGTGAGTCAACTTTACTAAATACAGCCCAGTCTTCGACTAATGTCGCTGCTAATTGCTGATGAAGGGCATAAGATGAACCAATATAAGCTGGAATTAAACCACAGAATGAGTTTTCTTGAGATTCAATTGGCCATTCTGCAAGAATTCTAGCTAAAGCATTTATAGCTGCATATCTACCTCTTAAAATGTTTTCAACACTAACCAAAGCTAAATCTTGAGTCATAACGTTCTTGTCAACATTATGTCCAGACTGATTGACATCTTGACCATGTATACCACCAGACTTTAAGAAGAAAGTGCTATCCATTGGTAGACCGATTGGTGTCATGACTATTGCAAACCACCCTTGTAAATGATCAAAGAGATAATGAGGGATATTTTCAGATTCTATACTGTCAATTGCAACATGGAATAACTTGAGAGAAGCCGTACGAATATCGTTGCGTTCTTCGAGAACAATATTTTGATATACGAAACGCAAGAACGACTCATCTACCCAATTGTTAGGTAATGAGGGAGTTTCAATGAAAGTGATGAGTGTGTTAACGACAGCCAAACGGACTGAAGTAATGGTATGACGGAAGAATGGATAGAGTCGCGAGATCAGTTGCGGTAACGGTGGTCTAGTGGAGTCTTGCGGGTTGAGCAACAAGTTCATGATGCTGTCATATGCGATAAATTGAGCAAGTAAACTCATCACAAAACCTGTGCTGCTACATAAATCATCTTTGAGTTGTGTGAAACTATCCCAAATAGCATCGAGTATACGAGGTACGCTCTCAAAGAGAGTATCAACGACTAGTCCGACGATTGGTTGGAGTGTTGCTGCAGCTACAGCTCTCACATCATCGTCGAAATCTGTCAAGCCTAATATGACGGCGTCAACGACTTTCTTGAGCATTTCATTATCAGTTGCAGCTAATTGGTCTTTTTTTACTGCAACAAAGTACTTTAAACCGAGTAAACCAGCATGACGAACTTCCCAGACAAACCCGCTATCGCCTTTCCTTGCTGGTGATTGATCATCAGTTGACGCATGAGATTGATATATCATTGAATGTAAAATGGTATGAACATATTCAGATGATTTATCGCTCATATGTAAAACTAATGATGCTAATGTTTGCGAAGCGGTTTCTCTAACTGGGCAGATTACTTGATCTGAAATGAAATCGCCGAATCTATCAAGGACCAAAACACAAAGAACATTTGCAGCCATGTTTTCTAACCAGACAGTATGATTGACTAAGTTGTCTTCAACTTTCGAATCGACATTCATGCCACCGCCTGTGCCTTGGACTTTGAATAATTCTCTTAAACCAGCAGCAGCACCATGTCTGACTTCCCATGAAGGACTGAGTAGGTCTAATTGCATAACATCAGCTACGCTTTCAAATGGATAATGACCTTGTGGTCTCTCAAGGAATTTTGATTGATTTTGTGTTGATTCTTCTTGTAATTTCCTCTCAGCTGCTTTAGCGGCAGGATCAACGACTAATGAAGCTTGTGAAGGTTTAACATCCTCCATTGGTTCAGGTTTAACTTGCGGTGCAGGTTCTTGTACTCTGATCTTAGCTGGAGGATGGCTCATAGGTTGTCCCAATTTCCGTTTACGCTTTAGACGATTCCTTTCTCTAGCGGAGAGACCGGGTGCATTTTCATCTTGAGCTGGAGCTTCTTGAACTGTATCTGAGGTAGGTGGAGGTGGTTGTTGAGAAGTTGAAGCTGCTTGAGAACCTTGAGGATCTTGATCAGTGAGTTCATCCTCGACGTTAAAACCGAACGTCTCATCTGGTTCTAAGAAGCCTAAACCTAACCTTTTAGCGGCTTCTGATTTCGCTGACTGTAAATTTGTTCTTTCAAGGGCTGTATACTCATGCCCAGTTGAAGCTAACAGTTTCGTATCGTTTTGTGTGAGATCTTTAACATTTAATAATCTCAAATTGGATTGTATAACTTGGGGTAATTCACTATTACTCGTATCGACGCGCCAGGTCCCAGATGATTTAAGAATCGATTCAATCGCAAGTGAAGCAGATATTCTGGTATCCCAGTTCTTTGAGCGGAGGTGTGGTAGAATCTATAGAATAATAAGATAAATATGAATAGCGTGAGGCAAATAACTCACTTTGTAGATTAATCTGACAGCTTCTACCCATTCACCATCTAAACCAATGTAGTTCTCATCGTTGCCGACGTTAAACTTTGAAATTTGCCCTATTTGTTTTGCTGCTGTTTGCTTTATTGATAAACTAGATCCAGTCTCTATAATTTGAATCAATTTATCAAGTCGTGACATATCGCATGGATGTTTGAATCGAACAACGAAAAAGCCTGAAATGAGGCAATTACCTATGACACCAAATGCGAGGCCACCGCTACCAACCCCTCCTACATCGACGCCTATTGACGCGTCAAAGATGTTACCTTCACCACCGAAAGCTGATCCCTACATTTTACCGAAATCGTCTACTTTGCCATCGATACCTGGTTCAAGTAGGCCACCTCTACCGACTATACCAAATGTTGGATCCCCTCCACCTCCAATTCCTTTGAAATCGCCTAAACTTCCTTCTACTCCATTATCAAGCACGTCCTCAAAGCCAATTTCAAAGTTAACTTCAACTTATCCAGAAAAATCCTTAGTCTTGGGCTTATCGACTTGCAATGGTTGTCAAAAGGTCGTCGTCGAAGGTCGTGTCGTCAATGCTATGAACGCCCATTGGCATCCAGAATGTTTCAAGTAAGTTATTATAAGGGGTAACGATCAACATCTCTGATTAGTCCAGCTGTGCATACTGTGGAGAAGCACTCGAGCACGTAGAATACTTTGAACATGAAGGCAAACCATATTGTCATTTAGATTATCATGAGGTAAAACGTCTATTTTATTGCTATTCACACTTTAAACTAACAATATATAGCATTTTTCACCATACTGTTTTCATTGTCAAACACCAATTCTTGAGACAAATTTCATCACAATTGATGATGATGCATTCACGGAATCGAATGGTCCAAGTCGACGACTGTACCATCTCAATCACTTTTTTTGCGTACAATGCGGTGATCCTTTCTTGGATCCATCAAATGAATTCAAAACGCTCGATAAACCTTATACAATGTACAAAGGACATCCCTACTGTGAAAGTTGCCATAATAGTTTACACAAACCAAAATGCAAATCATGTGGAAAATCTGTTATTGAAGATGCCGTTGATGCATTAGGCGGTCTTTTCCATCTTCAATGCTTCGTTTGTGAGGTGAGTTTATTTATTTATGTGATAATTCATCACGCTAACATTATCTAGGGTTGTCAATTACCCTTTAATGATCATGCATTCTTCGAGCAAGTTGGAAAACCTTGGTGTGAGACATGCTTTGACATTTTAATTCGTAATCTCGTGTAAGGTTATTCTGACTAAGATGATGGATGTTTCACTTTCATTGATCCTTCTTGTATTTTATAAAACATAGTATACACGTACATACCCTTATCCTTGAAATGAATTTATGTCATATTCATACACAATATCATTTTATGATTATCATTCTAGTATTTACTAAATATTCTCCTGTTGCCTAAGAAACGACCTAGTATGACTATAAGACTAGCTGTAAGGCAAGTTCCACCTATATAAAACTTTAATATTATTAGTTTAGGTTTGAAAAAATTAACTTATTTAACTCACTTCTCCAGGTTTATACGCATTAGCACCTGCTGCTACGCCTCCAAGCTTTTCAAGCAGCAGACCACTAACAAATGATCCTAAGAAGTAACCAGGACTTGAACAGATTTCAAAAAGAATAATACCAGCATGAATTCTGTATGTTTCGATTGATTGACCAATACATGGTACTTGTAAACTGAAAACACCTCCACAACCAATTCCAACGAGTGCGACTACTACTGACAATGGTCCTATTGACGTTGCAAATGGCCAAACAAGTAAAGCACCAATTCCTGATATAAAATAACTTAAAATAAGTGAATTTATATTTCCGCATCTATCTGCTAATGCACCGAGAGCTAATCTACCAGCTGCTGAAGCTAAATTATATCCAACGCTAAAAGAAGCACCCTGTGAATCTGATAATTCAAGACTTCTAGCGTATGTTGGAAGGATCTAATGTGACATTTAGTTAATGTTAATGTTAAATAAATAACTTACTGTTGGAAATGCAAAGAATGGCCATGAAGCAAAGATTTGAGCAATAATAATGCAAAGAAAGAGTCTAGTTTTGAAAGCATACTTCATATCTTGCCAAAGTGAAGGTCGAGGGGGATCTTCTATTCCAACTTTAAGCATTAAGGAAGAGGGTATCGTAAAGACAAGTGATATAATGCCAACAATACGTAAAGACCAGGCTAAACCGAGCTCCTGAGTAAGGTGAACGGATGCCAAACTTAGAACTGCACCACCAATGCCACCTCCCGCTGAATTTATACCACAGGCGAGTGCTCTCCGCTTATCAAACCAAGTCGCAGGTAAACCAGTTACACTCTGTGATCCAAATTAGAGTTAATCATGAACATAAAAACGACATACGATAAGGCAGCAAGCTAAACCTATTCCTACGACTAATCCTTGTGTAGCGAACAAACCAGGCATATTGGTCGTAGTGAAACTTGATGCGATCTGACCCAGGCCTAAGAGGATTGATCCAGTGAGAGCTACATGCTTATGAGAGGTGTAATCGATTGCCAACATTGCTGGAACAGATATAAGTGCCATTATACCTGTAGCGAGTCCACTAACAAAGGCCAATTTCCAAGTAGGTGCAACGCCTTGCTTTTCGAGCTCGGATTGATAGACGCCAAAACTGTAAACCTGACCAAGATAAAAGAAATTTATAGTAGTACAGGCAGCGAGGACCAGCCAACCCTCGCCGCCATCAGGATATACAGACTTGTTGTGTAAGTTATCGAGACGTTGATCTAGATTGTAGAAACGACTGTCCAAATCATTGATGGATAAGCCACTGTCATTATGTTTATGTAAGATCAAGTTGTCAACTGAGCCTGCGTCTGTATCAATTGAAGTCCTGGAGCTGTTAGGAGAATGATCTAGAGAGTCTCTAGACGACAGCCTAATCATATTGTCTGGCATATCGTAGTAATGGTGGTACTATTTACTTCAGTTAATCCTCATTTCTATTACATTCCAGATGACCTTTGAAGATTTAGTGACAGCTTGCGGGCGTGGTGAAGAATTATGTAATATTTAACTATATTTACCAATATAGGTAGTTTATAGCTGTTGATAAAGTGTTTATGATACTTTAGCGACATGTCGCTCTTTATATAGTGTAATAAGTGACGTGGTTACAACTGGAATGCAAACAATAGAGAATAGTTGTTAATCTAGACAGAATAGAAAGAATATATAAGGCGCTCAACCACTGTGCATTTCATCGGTTACAATGTTTGAGAAGAGAATGAAATTTTAAGCAGAAGCCCTATAAATTTGTTAATAACCAATACTTGTAATTTAAAGAAACTTACTTCTTGACAGCCTTTTGTTGTCTAACTTCAGCGAGTTTCTCCTTCTTTTCAGCTTGACGCTTAGCGAGGATCTTTTGGTAGTCGGCGACGACTTCCTTTTGAGCCTCGGTGTTACGACGAGCGACAGAGCGGAGGTGACGACGACGTTGGAGACGTTGTGGGGTGACCAAACGTTGGATCTTTGGAGCCTTAGTGTATGGCTTAGCACCCTCCTTCTTTGGTTGAACCTCACGGCGAATGACAAATTTGCGTACGTCATCCTCCTTTGAGAGGTTGAAGAACTTGCGGATCTTGGTAGCTCTCTTTGGACCGAGACGCTTTGGAAGGGTAGCGTCGGTCAAACCTGGGATGTCTTGTTCACCTTGCTTGACGATAGCAACGGAGAGAACGGCGATATCGGTGTTGACGATACAACCGCGGACGGACTTCCTACGGCGCTCACCAGTTCTACGTGGTCTGTAGCAAGAGTGACCAGCCTTGAGCAAAAGCTTAACTCTGTGTGGGAGCAAAACACCTTGCTTCATTGGGAAACCTTGCTTGTCGTTACCACCGGTGATTCTGAAGATGTAGCCCTTCCACTCGTCACCAATGCTGTCTGCTGGGACTTCCTGGGACATTCTCTTCTCGAGGAAGACTCTGAAACGACGCTCATCGTCGATGTTAATAGTCTTCTGGAGACCAGTCTGTGGGTTGGCGATGTTGAGCTTCACTGGAGGGTATTTCGTTAGCGAAGTTCTGAGTAAAAAAGTTTTGATACTAACTTATGGCCTTACTATGAGATGTTAGACTAGTTGATTAAAGTGTGAATAAATACTCACGTGACTCCTGCTTATTAAATTAGATATTTATTAGCTCTGCGCTATAATTACTCACAACAACTTCGTGGCTAGACAACAGGTTCCCTCATCAAAAATCCTCAGCCAAATCTGATGAAAAAAAATCGTTACAGAGGCTGGAAAAGAATATTAATATAATATTTTATTTATTTTTAATAATTATTTGTCAATTAGCTTTTTTTATTATTCTGCCTTTCCTTGCTTGGTATTTGTTGTAGCCAGTTAGCAATGGCTCTGCGGCAGAGATGGATATAGATAGATTGCGTTTATACTTTATATACAGTACTAATATATATTTAATAGGGAATACTTGTATCTCTTCACAATCTTTCCTTATTGTCACATCACGCTGCAACAGACTATGAATAGAAGACAGGCGATGTAGGATATATATTTGTAATTCTACATATATTGATAGTTTAAATCATATTTCTCTTTTTTTCATGCTTTTTTCATCCACTCTTCTGAGCGCATCTCAAAAAATTCCTCCTTAGCAGCAACAAGCCACTTCAAGTCGTAAGTAAAAATATAAAATAGTACAAGTGTAGAGCTAACGAAAGCCATAGATCATGGGGTACGTTCATTTATTCATCAGGCAATGCTTACCTCTGGAGTCTGGTTAATTGATGGTCCTGTCCAAATTTTAAACTCTCCAGAGGCTGCTCAGCCTGTGCATACTAGCTGGGGACTATGCTGACCACAAGTCTTCTAGTCGTATGCACAATCCTTCAAAGGGTATTTGTACGTGCTCAACTATACCGCTTGGATTCTTGTCTCATAACTCACAATACAGCCTCATCTGCCCTTCCTTACCGTCGCAACCCACCTTCATGGCTCAAGGCTACTCCAGAGGATGTTAAGGACTTGATCATCAAGCTCGCTCGTAAGGGTCTTTCACCATCACAAATTGGTGTCATCCTCCGTGACCAACACGGTGTTCCACAAACCCGTTTCGTCACTGGTAACAAGATTCTTAGAATCCTCAAGTCATCAGGTTTGGCTCCTGAGTTGCCAGAGGACTTGTACTGCCTCATCAAGAAGGCTGTATCAGTTCGTAAGCACCTTGAACGTAACCGTAACGACAAGGACTCAAAGTTCCGTCTCATCTGTATCGAGTCACGTATTCACCGTCTCACTCGTTACTACAGACGTGCACAAGTCGTTGCTCCAACCTTCAAGTACGAATCTTCAACCGCTTCCACCTTGGTCGCTTAAACGCGGTTAATTGTACTTGATAAATATATATTATATTGTTCATTCAATTTTTATTGTGAGTTTATTATTGTGATCTTAGCGAATTAAAAATCTCTGCCTATAAATTCTTCTCAATCGACTTGTCTTCTCTCTTTGAATGACGCTGGAGCATCTAAATCGTATAAATTTAACCTACATTTATACGCTTTTTCACTCTAGCGAAAGCAATGTGTGGATTTCAAGTATTGGTTTACTCTTAGTTGTATACTAATCCCGTGTCCATTCAACATCTTTTGTACTCATAGCAATTCAGATATTTTAGGTATTCAATACTAATAAGATTAATCTAATGCATCTTTCATTTATTTTATTTGTTTATTATATCAAATACTTCCTTCTGAAGTAACTTCTCAAATGAATTACTTGCCAAACACCTAATACGAATAGTACGGCCAGCGTAATTAAACCAAAGTTCTTAACTCTAGCATTTGTTGATTCTATTTGTGTGTTTAGTTAGCTTCCCTTGTAATTTGCTATTATACGTACCATTCGTATCACGCATTCTTTCTTCGCGTTTCTTTAGGTAATTCATATCCGTAACGATCTCTCTGGTCATCTGTTCTAATTTACGCATATCAGTTTCAATCGTTGATAAGTGCTCTTGATTCGCGATCGCATTGTAATCGATAGCTTCTGCACCGACATCAATATCTAAATCTATTGTAGAAGCTTCTTTAATTGGTGAATGTGATTGTACGTCTATTGTATGTTTATTAATATTCTTCGTAAATCATTAAAATATCAAACTCACGATCAGTGAGGTAGTTCTTAAAGCAAACACCAATATCAGCATGTTGATGTGTCGTTATAGCTAATCTAGTCTCTCCCTTTATATCCTTCTTGTTCAAATAAGTGTACTTCTCATTTGAGCCATCTAATATCTCAATATCAACTCTAAGATTAATGTTAATAAGAATTATTTAATTAACTTATCTATTTTATTCACCTTTGCTTACTTCCTGAGTTCACATTGGCTGTAACGACAACTAGAGTATTTGCGTTGGCGTAATGCCAAATACACTTAGTCTCTGGGTATTGAGTTGCAACTAAGTCAAATTTAACAGCATTTATGAATCCAATGGATAGTAGTATAAAAGATATAACCAAATTGTATCTCATTTCAATCACTCCCAATATTGATGGTAACCAACAAAGAACAACTATCAAATAATGATATTATCAAGACAAAAATTATTTTAATTTACTTATCAAATATTTAACTTTAATTTTAGTGTATTTTTAATTACAATTTATACACTCATTCGTTTACAAATTCTTGCATTATTATTAACAAAACACGATGAAGGAACGAATCTTTAGATGTAAATTTAAATAAATAAATTCATAGAAACATACAGAACATTCTATTTTGCACTAATAGAGGAACTAGATTTACGTCTATTCTTTGAAATTATACCAGGTGGCATATCAGAAACTGTTGGAACGCTAAACAATCCACCTTGTGGTCCTGCTGATGCAGCAGCAGCAGCTAATTCTTGATTAGCATTAATACCACTTGCATATGGTGCTCCTTTTGTTTCATCTTCATCTTTAATGTTTAATGGACTAATACTAAAACCTGGACTTAATTTATGTTTAGATGATGGTGATTGTTGTGGTGGTGGTGCTAATGAACTTTGTTTTTTACTTGATGGTGTATTAGTTACAACTGGTGGTAAATAACCAGCTCCAATTAGTTGTATCTCTTCGCGTAATGTTTCAAATCTAAATGCAACACGTGAATATGGAACATTAGTCTATAGAATTCGATAGGTTAATGGTTTAACTTATTAATAAAATTAATTGACTCACCTTTCTAATATCATTACCGGATACACCTGGGGAGTAAAACTTATCACCAAGCCAGTGTCTTTTAACTTCCATCTCAAAACCAGATTGCATAACTGAATTACGAGCTAATTCACACATATCTGCTGGACTAAGCTTGTAAATTTGTGCAGCTACACTATATTCTTCGAGCAATGGTTCCTTTGTAAAGGCCAACATCAAAGGATCATCAGTGCTTAAACTAACATTTAACCCTGTTCTAAAGAAATCTGGGAATGGATTTCTTTCATATGTTAAGAATAAAGCATTATTTGATAAAGGTGACATTGCAATACCAATTTGACGTAAATAATAAAGATATTGAAGTGCAGGTACTTTTCTGAGTAAAATTCCATGTGAAATTGAATGTGAGGTAAGGAAAGCTGAAGTTAAATGATCCGTATCACCCGCTTCACCTGCATGAGGACGTAAAACAAAAGTATTAAACCCTCTCCTTGATCTCCAATTATTAAGTGTCGCTAAATTAGCATACATATAATAAAGCCAGTAAGCATATGGTGGATTCTGCTTTGTATCCCATAAACGTGGGTAAGGGAACTTCTTATAAATCCTCCTTTCTGTTTTCGATTCATCATCTACACTATCAAATCCAATAACTCTTTGTAAGAAGATGTGTAATTCTGGATGCGATTTTGGATCTTTAGTAACCTCAAATAATGGTTTAAATATATTTTTAACAATTTCTTCAAAATTGTCTGCTATACCTGCATTCTTATAAATATGATAAAGACGTGGTACTTGAATTAACCATCTAACATTATCACAGAAGAGTTTATTATTTATTGCCCATTTTGCAACTTTATCCCATTCATCCAATGATCTGCCATAAATTGAGATACGCCATTCTGCCGCTTGATATTTACTATCGTCAAGATCACTCATAACTTCCTTAGTTATTTCAGCTAAATACCTTCCTTCAATAAAATTATCAGTCTTTAAGAAAACTTCACGAAGACGTGATTCTCCGATTGGGTTGTACTTTAAATTGAATTTATCAAATCTGTGAAATGAGTCTTGATGCGCGTGCATGTCAAGTGTATCAATTGATAAATCGTATGCAGTAAGTTTTAAAGATTCGAAAACTTCTTTTAATGTTAAATCTTTACCATCTCTATGAATAACGATATCGTCTGGAGTCTTACGAAGCTTGTATTTGATGAAGCGTAATAAATGCTTTTGATTGAAGCAAGCAGAATGATGAATGTGAGTATCTACTTTTCTAACATTATAGAAATCACGATGTGGTACGCGTTTCATCTCTGCTAATTCTTGGTACTCATTCATAAGGGAATACATTTTCCACTTAGATTGCAAATATTTCAGTCTTCTAAATGCGAATGATTTAGCTGGACCATCACTAATAACACCAAGGATGTAATCTAAGTCAATAAAGTATTCTCTTATTGTTGGTATATTGAATATAGGCTTTTGAGTGTCATCATTCTTCTCATAGACTTGATAAACACCTCTTTCATCCATTGCGAAGTCCCATTTGAGGTTCGAGTCTTCAGAAGGTATTTCACCTGCATCATTCCATTCGAATTCAGTCTTCTTCTCCCTAGCTGGCTCTTGTGGAAGTTCCATACCTTGAGAGTTGGTTCTATACCAGAAAGGCTTTGGTGGTGGTGGATAGATTCTCCATGATTTGAATTTATCAGCTTTATTATCATTCTCGTCACCCGCGGGGAAGAATCTACCATCATAATTTGATGGGTTGTCTTCCATCCTTTGATGTGAAATTGCTATATACCTTTTAAATTGTTAGAATGAATTATTGATAGTTTATAATTTCACGCACTTGTCACGTAAGTTGAGACATGTTTGAAATGATTGATAGAGTGCTCTTAATTCAGCGCTAATCTCTTCAGCTATGTAAAGTTAATAGAGTATAAGGCCAATGAAAGACTAACCTAATGGTGGTGGTGGCGGTGCTTTACCAGCAGAGTTAGATTCGTTATCAAATGCATGATCGTCTAACTCGACGTCGTCTTCTTCAATGAATGAATCACCTTGTTTGAATTCAGCGTGATGGTGAGCGAAGAACTTCCCATCTGCCTATTTACAATCAATCATTATAATATAAATGACTAAGAAACGTACTTCATTCAATATCTTATGATCCCTTTGAGAATAGAATGGATCTACCGTCTCATCATCCTGTTTCCCAATCTCTGATGCTTGTAAAACACTCTCAAATCCATCCGGCGTTGGTGATTCAGCCATGATCGTTCAAAAAACGGAGATTGGGATTTTGATAAGCGAGATTCAGATCGGATGAAAATTTAGTATTCTTATTTATAAATTCTTAATTACAAGCTAATTGTCTACGGTACGATAACTTCACCTTCATCTGGAACTGTTCTCATTCCAGCTAGACGCATCTTGTATAGGAGGTAAGTCGACTGTTCGGCGATCTAGAATTGTTCCTACTAACCTTCACTCCAAGTTCACAGAGGTAGTCAATACACTTGTTAATCAGCGTCAATTTTAAGATCATTCGAGTAAAATTTGCTTACCTCAGTTTGCGCTTTTGCTTTCTCCCAAGTTGGACCTAATGTTTTAGTCCGTTCAACTAACATTCAGGTTTTGAATTTACACTCATACTTACCCCAAACGTATATACCATGTCTTCTAACGAGTACACCAGGCGCGTCAGGATATTTTCTCATAGCCTTGAGTTGGTTATTATCTTATATAGTTTGTAAAATGGTAAAGCTAACCTCTGCCATTCCTTCCATTAGATCCTCCTCATTTGGTGTATTCTCAATGATCGGAAGAACAAGAGTATCCAAGTAAGTCAAAGCATCAGTCATACCAGCTTTGCGAACACCTTTGATCATTTCTTGATGTGATACTAAATGTATAAGCATCTATTGATAAGCTTTGTGTTCTAACTCACTCCTAAATTCCTTTCCCCAAAGTAATGTAGCCATTACTTTAATGATTAATTAAACTCGATATCGACATGCTATTAAACGATAAACATACCACAGTTCTGTGAGTGTGTATGTATGCAACTAAGTGCACCTCTGATATTGAAAGCATTGAAGAAGAGCGGTGTACAGGCGGACTCTTTTAAACCTCTACCAGGTGCCCTTATTATTTTACGGTCTTTAACCGTCAATACGAACATATCCTCTGGTTTTATACGTTCTTTTTGTACGCCTTATCTTTTGTCAATCAAATGTAAATCTGTATTTTAAGATAAAATACCTGATGGTGCAATATAAGCTTTTAATCTTTCTATTCATTAGATTATATATTAAAGTACTTAATCCACTTACTCATCCCTTATCGAGATACCACCACCAGTACCTGTTACCCAGCCTTGACGATACATATTCTCACATAATTCAGGAATTAAATTAGCTGGATGCAAAGGATCAGTGGATTTAACTAGCTCATCAGCTGAACACATGATGGTTTATATCAGAACCTAAGAATTTCCCAATGATGCGATTTATACAAATTTATAACAAAGTTTTGTACAATCGTTTTAATATCAAGTAACCCCTTGTAAAGCAATTTAAGCTTCAGTGTCAACGACCTAAATGTCTGTTAAATAATCTGTTCTTCTTAAAGAAAAATTTGACTTACCTCAGTAACGGTACCCTTGAAGTCGGTACATGGAACGTATGAGGCGTAGGTGTAGAGTTTCTCCTTTGCGTCTTCAGCGTCATTGCGCTTACCTGCAGCATCATCCATGGATGACCACGTCAGCCGCCTTGCTCTAACATTAAAAACTAATAGAAAGAGCGGTGACCAGTAAAAAACTGCAGGTAAACAAGATTTCTATAGAGTGAACTCTTGTGAATAAAAAAAGAATTCACAAGTCCGCGCTAAATATAAGCGGGTCAAGTTTTATCAAATTTTCATTGACATCCAATCGGTGTCACTCTATTTAAGAAATCAAGTTGAGTATTTACTGGTATGTTCTACCCTTCTATTAGTAAAAAGATAAGTCACTCACGTTCAAGACGGACACGGATACGACGTGGTGGGGATCTTACACCACGGGACCAAACTTGTTGGTTGAGCTTTGGGTCAAGACGGACATCCTTGGTACCCATAGTCTTCTCAGCGAATTGAACAATTGACTTGATAGCCCAAGGAGAACGCTTCTTGAAAGCTCTGTCGTGAGTACGCTTGTGCAAGTTGACAGTGTAGTCACGAGTGACGACGTCCTTGATAGCTGAACGAGTCTTTGGGGTCTTCTTGTCAATTGGGGCCTATAAAAAGTTAGAAATGTAATTTTTTTATTCAGTTATTCACCATTTCGCTTGATGGAAGTCCTTAGCTGAAGGCGAAAATTCCTCACCTCAGACCCATACATCGATAATCAATAAAATAAAATAAAATAAAATATAAAATAAAATGGATATTGAAGATTCGAAACCTGATCTAAAGACAGAGGACATTGAAGATAAGGTCGCAGACGCCGATAGCCCAACTGTCGAGAGAGTTAATGACGATGATGATGATGAGGAGAACCCAGTGAGTGCGCCACTATTATGCCGACCCTTCTAATAGGACACAAGATAGAAGACAGAATCGTCGAGGAAGACGACGATGAGGAAGAACCTGAGGAAGCTGAAGATGACGACGACGACGAAGACGACGATGAACAGGACAGGGCAACAAAGAAGAAGCGTAGACAAAACAACCCTAAGAATCGTTTCTTGGATGTTGAAGCAGAAGTCGACGACGACGAAGAGGAAGCTGATGACGATGATGAAGGCGCTGGTAAAGACTTAGAGTTCATTCAGTATAATGACGAGCCAGAGGAGTCTTCGAGGGATATCAGAGGTGGCCACACTAGATTAGATAGGCGCAATAGAGAACTTGAGGATCAGGATGCTGAAGCTGTCGCTGAGTCTTACAAGGAGAGATACGGTAGAATGAGGTATCAGGGTGAAATGAATCAAGTACCACAGCGTTTACTCATGCCTTCCGTCGAGGATCCAAGCCTTTGGGGTGTCAGATGTCGACCTGGCAGAGAAAAAGATATCGTTATCTCTATAATGTCAAAGTTTATCGCCAACGAATGGGGTTCCCAACCTTTAGAAATTTATTCAGCTTTCTGTCGTGATTCCATCCAAGGTTTATTCTACGTTGAAGCTCGTTCACCTTCACATGTTTTAGAAGCAGTCAAAGGTCTAGTCGGTGTCTATTCAAGTTCAGCCCCCGATCGTAAACCTTTACTTATTCCAGTTGATGAAATGGCTGATCTACTCAAAATAAAAAAACAAGTTAAAGAAGTCAAACCAGGTTCTTGGGTAAGAATAAAAAGAGGCAAGTATCAAGGCGATTTGGCTCAAGTCATGGACATTACAGAGAATGGTGAAGTTGCAGGTGTGAAATTCGTACCAAGAATAGATCTTAATCCAAAGGAAGATAGCACTTCTGCTGGAGCCGCCGGAAAGAAGCGTAAAAAAGGTGCAAATAGTACCGTTTCATTTAGGCCACCCCAAAGATTATATAATCATGCAGATATTGTTAGAGTATATGGTTCGAGAACCTCAGTAAAGAGAGGTGATAAATATGTCTTTCAAAATGATACTTTTAGAGATGGTTTATTAGAGAAGGATATAACAATTTCAGGTTTACAAACTGAAGATGTTAATCCACAAATTGATGAAATAACCAAATTTGCCAGTCAAAATGGTGAAACTTCATCTGGTGGTGATATTGATTTAAATATGATGGCCGATGCAGTCAAACAATCAGCTGCAATTTTACAACCAGGTGATGTCGTTGAAATTTTTGAAGGACAATTGACTGGTATAAGCGGATCAATAGTTGCATTACGTGGGGATGTTGTAACAATAAAAGCAAATGTCGACGAATATTCTAATCAGCATATTGAAGTTTTATCACGTAGCGTTCGTAAGACCTTCTCCACTGGTGATCACATAAAAGTTATAAATGGTAAATACACAGATGAAACTGGTCTAGTTATATCAATCAATGAAAAGGATAGTACTGTTACCTTCATTTCTGATATGTCGCAAGATGAGGTAAGTAATTTTAAACTAATCTATATGAAAAGTATACTTAAACTATAAAGCTTTCAGTGTTCTCAAAAGATATCAGAGTTGCCGCAGAAATTGGTGCTGCCCATAATACTGTTGGAAATTATGAATTGCATGATTTAGTTCAACTTGATCAACAAACAGCAGGTGTTATCTTCAAAACTGAACATAATCAATTTAAGGTTCTTGATCACAATGGTAATGTAAGAACAGTTGGACCTAGACAAATTTCAATGCGTAGAGATTCACGTAGAGCTGTTGCAACTGACAGTGAAAATCATGATTTACGTATAGGTGATATGGTAAAAGAAATACAAGGTGAACAACGTAAAGGACAAGTTTTGCATATCCATAGATCCGTTTTCATTTTCCTCTATAATAGGGAAATAAGCGAAAATAATGGTGTGTTCATAACAAGATCAACAATGTTAGCTTCAGTTGCACCAAAGACTTTGAATAATTCAAGTGTCGATTTATCACAAATGAATCCTGCAATGAGTTCAATAAGTCCACAACAAAGAGAAAAAGGTGGTATGGTTGGTTCACAAATGTTAGGCAAAGGTATGAGGGATAAATTAGCAGATATACCCGTACAAATTATCAGAGGTTCTTATAAAGGAATGATTGGCGTAATTAAAGGTACAAACGGAAATCAAATTAGAATTGAATTGACCACAAATTCGAAAATCATTTCTTTAGAGAAAGAAATGTGTATGAGGCGTCATAATAATCAATTGGTTAGTTTAGATACCTATGTTGGGCCACCAAGAAACCAACAGAACGGTGGTGATAGATTTGGTGCACATCCACGCGATTCTTCCATGGCATCTGGAGGTGGTGCTACACCAAGAGGTAAGTTTAAATCTTTTGATACATTTCAAGTTCCCTTTTTAACGTATTAAAAGGTTATGGTAACGCTACACCTTGGCAAGGTGGAGGTAAAACACCATTTGGTCAAGGTGGTGCTACACCTTGGGGTGCAGGTGGCCGTACACCAGCAGCAGGTGCCTGGGCTGCAGGATCAAAGACACCTGGTGTACGTGGTGGTGCAACACCTGGTTGGGGCGCAGGCGCAAGGACACCTGCAGCAGGTGCATGGGCTGCAGGATCGAAGACACCTGGTGTACGTGGTGGTGCAACACCTGGATGGGGCGCAGGCGCAAGAACTCCAGCAGCAGGTGCATGGGGTGCAGGATCAAAAACACCAAGTTGGAACGCAGGTTCGAAAACACCAGGTGGTGCTGCGTGGGGTAATAATACACCTGGTCAACAATTGAATGATCTAAATGAACAAAATTGGGGATCAGTTTCACCCAATCGTTATTCAAATGCTGCTTCCTCAAATTCACCTTCGAGGGATAAATCTTCATCTGGATTTCAGAAACCATCAGATCGTTCTAATGAAGTTTCATCATTTGACGATCGCCAAGGTAATGCAGCGTGGGAGTCAATACATAATGATGGAGAAAGTTCGGTAGATATCAGCAGTATGTCATTACAAAATAAAGATACGAGTTGGGACACCCAAGATGATTATTCAGCTCCAACCCCTTATGGCGGAGCACCTACGCCTTATGGAGGAGCACCTACTCCTGGTGGAGCACCTACACCTGGAGTAGGATACACACCTGGTTATAGCGCACCAACTCCAGGTGGAGGAGGTCTCGCCCCTACACCATATGGTGCACCAACTCCAGGTGGTGGTGGATATGCATCTACACCTTATGATAGTAGTTCAGGACCTCAAATGCATTCGTCAAGAATGCAAATTAGGCATGGTCCACCAGTCAATTGGTTCAGAGATAACGTTGATATTAAAGTAAAGATCGATTCAGTTAGACAATTTGAAGATGGCAAGTTTGATGGAAAATACGGATCGTTACTTAGGTGTAACGCTTATGATAACGTAATAGTAAAGTTATTAGATGAAAGTAATAATGAGAAGATAACTTTATCAAATCGATTTATTTCACCTGTTCAACCTGGTGATAGTGCATTTGACAAAGGACAAAACGCTATGGTCATTGAAGGAGAATACAAAGGAGAGCTAGCTAAATTAATAAGCAATGATGAAGATGAGTGGATGGTAAAGGTATTTCCATCAGGTGAAGAGAAATTTTTGAATACTTATTCTATGGCGCAACATGTAAAGTGAATAATCTAAAGTTTGTATGAATGTATATATTTAATGAAAAACGATATTATAAATCCAAAGTACCTTGATCACGCCAGACCTTCATTAATTCGCCTACGCCAGAACCGACGACGTCTCTTTGATCGATGAGGTCAAACTCTCTACCGAACGCTACAAAGTGAGCGAATAAGCTATTCAAATGACCTTCCAAACTCAAGTGAACAAAAGAAGTAAAGTGTGACCAATATAAGTGAGCGAAAACTCTAAAAAGTTGTTTATAAAGGTGTTTAGCTGAACTTGGGAACGTAGGTGGAAAGTAATTGCCTTGTTTAGTGGGAAAAACAGATTCATCATTTAGTAAAGATTGTACCCAAACCATAACATAGTCAATATAAGTAGGTGCAGGTAATTTCACCAACTTTCTTGATTGATCAATCCAAGTGTAATCGAAGTTGTGACCAGCGGACATCGTAGGATTTGATTCTATCGTTACAGTCTCCGAAATAACGCCATAGAATGAGTTCAAATTATGAAAGAAATCGAATAAGTTTATAGCAACCCATTCATTAACGTCAACGTGCTTAGGTAGAACGACGATAGTCTTAAAGCTACCTTTAACTAGCGCAGCTTTAACAAATGGTTGACATAAGAATAAAGGTTTAGTATTGGGTATATTAGCTGTTGGTGCTGTCGTCGTCGTAGGTGATGTTGGTATTGGAGATCTCTTTTGAGTGTTTGATTTTGTACGTATTCTACTAATAAATTCATTAAATGAGCTGTAAATAAAGACTAAATATTTATTTCTCACCCTATGCTACCAAAAAAGTTGGACATTATATAAGAAAGAAGAGAGAGAGATCAATGCATAGAAAATTCATAAATTAAATTTATAATATCTTGATATTCTGACATCGCGCCTATACCTATATCTCTGTTTAGTTATTTATTAGATTGCTTAATCAACTAACCGCTATCTCCACATGCTAATGTCTTCTCGATTGGACCAAATAAATAAAAACCCAAAATGTTTCTAAGTATGTCCAGCTGAATAGCTGTTAACGGGTTCTTGTACATATAAGTATTCATTGAAGGGAAGGCTATAACCTTTGTTTCGTCATCTTTCGCCCTCAGGATTGAAGTTAGTAGATTATCACATAATCCATTGGATATTTTAGCTAGACTATTAGCAGATAAAGGCGCTATAACAATTAAATCTGCCCATTTACGCAATTCAATGTGTAATATGTCATCACCAATCGCTTTGAAGTCCTTCCACTCATCCTGATCCTTATATACCTTACAATCTAAGTCATTAGCGTCTACTAGTTTACTAGCAGATTCCGTTAAAACTACTTGCACATTGAATTCATCTTTTATTCCTTGGATTATCTTTACTAATTTAACAACAGCAATTGAACCCGTTGATAAAATTAGAATATTCTTCTTCATCGTTCAATAATCTAAACAATATTACGCTTAATGTATTTTTTATCTCGACGAATGAACGAAAGATAGTTATCAGAAGTCTGCGCCACATTTCACAATTATTGACTATATTATAAATCCAATAATACACAATATCGATGACTACTCTATTTAATCACTGTGTTTTACCTTACGTCATAATACCTTATAGAACCTGTAACCTAAAGTTACTGTAAAACTATATGAGAAATGGTAAATGCTGAATCATTTAATAGCAATTTACGCCTTTAAAGTCTGACTTTTCTCACCACCTAGGTACTGTAACATGATATGGTTTGGTATACGAGGGACCTCGATAGCCGAGTTGACTTCATAAAATTATAGTTAAACTAGTTGTCAGAAAATAGTGTGGATTTGATACAATCATTATTATCTAATTATAACACGTTAATATTAGAGATCCAAGTTGATCCGTAATATAGCGCATAAGATAACCTGCTACTATACAGATATAACTTATTACCTATCTAAATTGGCTTTGTGTTGGTTGATTGCTCTAAAATGTATATAGATGTCGCGATTGTTATTTACTATTTCAAGAAGTAGAATATTTTAGTTCTCATATAATATATAGCGTAACTAATTGTTTATTGGATTTTCTCCATTCACACTTTGTTTGGAAGTACCCAGGTCTTGTGAGCTGTCTCATCTTGATGAGTGGATTTCGTCTGTATATGCGCGTGAAGACTTCCGCTTGGTCAAATTATGCGAGTTTTGCAGTGACATTTCCTGTGGTGTGTCTTGATATCAGATTGCTGTCCTTTGCTTTGAAATACGCATGGTTTAAAAATATGTTGATGGGATTGCCATAAAGTAGCGCCTTTTTTTTTGGATGTAGGTATTCAAGTCTGTTATCTGACTGTGTATAGTAGTAATCTATAGTTGTTCAAAGAGTAAGCGCAAGGATTGAATTGTATTTCAGACAGTAAATTCAGTACTTGTATTTGGACCTTAATTGAAGTATCCCTTTGTTATATTGCTCGCTCACATGTTGGAATCGAGTAGTTTGATTGATTGAAGTGATCCTAAAGAGATGTGTCAATTGTGAGGTGTGTATTATAATAGTCAATAGTTTCTTTTATAGCCTCGTAACTGAACCTTATGATTGTCTTCCTGAAGATTTCGATTTTTATTAACCTTCACTTCAGATAAAGCTGTAGGTGTGTTTCATCTTTTAGCACTCTTTCTCCTATTCTTATGTATAATAACTGTAACTTATTAGTTGATTCTTTAGTTTTCGTTAAAGGCTCTTGAAAGATCTCCATAATTTAAGACACTATTAAAGTGCTCTCCTTGTACCTTTTATAGTTTTCTTTGAAATAGAGAAATCAGTAACTCTTTGAACAGCTATGCTCCCATGAGTTGACATCTTATGGCGATTGTGTTAAAGATGTCATACAACTTGTGATCTTCATGAATTACTTCCATCATCAACCAACTATTGGTACTAAACTTCAAGGTAAAATTACGATAGATGAATTCAAAGACGTTAAAGAGATTTACTTGAAGCTTAGTGGCGATTTGCACTTACGTACATCTGAATTTAGTAGGAGTTTGAAGCTTGTTGATGATATAATATCGCTTTATAATGTGGAGACACATAATATTCAGCAATCACTTGATGAACGCGCGAACTCATTTGACTATAGTTTCAGTATGAGTGATAATCTCGTGCCTACGTTCAAGTACGCGCTTGATGATGTCAAAGTTGAGGCAGCATATGAGTTGGTTCTATGCATAGACTATAGGAAACTATTCAAAAGGACAAAGAAAGTCAATTTCAAGTTTGATCTCATTAAATCAACCACGAATACTATAGATGTTGTTGATTTTCGGAAATTGTTGAATACTGTGACATATAACAGATCACTTATTAGCGTAGTTATGCAAGTACCAAATGTTGCTTCATTCCCTACAAAGGTTTTATTGCCCTTTAAACTAGCTTTAACTCTCAGAAAAGATCAGCTACTCGAAGATTTTGATCTGATAATACATTTCAATCGGGTAATTAAGCTTAGAACACGAGACTGGCATGAATTCAGAATAATGGATCATCCTCTGTATACATTTTCAAAATCAAACCTAGAACATCAGCATACAGATTTCAAATCTGATGAAATTACTCATCACTTTACCAAAGGTATCGTTCTAGAAGACATTCCAGACTTTGAATATAAGAATTTGTTGAGTTTAAGTCATTACATAAGTGTCTATTACAATAATGTTCAGTTATTAATGTTGGAAACTCCACTTATGCAACTCTCTTCTCAGTCTGATGCTCCTCCTTCATATTCTGATCATCTTCGCTCTCAGTCATAACCAGATATATCTCTCTACCATGGGTTATGATAGCTAAAGCCACTTCAACTGTAATCAAAGCAATGATGATCAATTCCATCCTATGACTTGTTTGACTACTTTGGGTAAGCTTTTACGACCATGCGAAGGTCATACTCACGTTTGTAAATAATCTCTCAACGTTGCTTGGACCTATACAACATTAATAAATTGCATTAACACTTAAATTTCTAAACTTACGTCTGCTGCATATGTAATCTTTTGATTAACGGCGTCAACACGTGGCTTTATGTCAAGTACTTCAGAAACTTGTTGGAAGTAACTCTCTAGGACTTGCTCATCCCATAAAACGTCTGGTACTCCCCAGAAGTTCTCACCTTCATTGTCAAGCTCAAGATTCAATCCCTGTCTAAACCTTAACAACTCTCCCATACTACTAGCGATGGCCTTTCTATCCATCTCAGGTGGTATGTGCCCATTCAATGCTAAATACGCAGGAATTGATGATACTTTTGAAAGATAAGTTGATAATTGAGACTCCAGAGCTGAAAGTTTTGCACTACGACTCAATGCATGTGAAAATGCGTATTTTGAAAGTAAAACAGGGTATATGGTGTCCTGCAATTGTGCACCAGTAGGTGTCAAGCTCTGGATTGATGTTGAAAGTGAAGTGTTGAGCTCAGCCTCTTTTCCAAGGACGATCAAGTCACCTTGTAGTCTAGTAGATCTATTATATGGTCAAATAATGCCTTGTAATCCTGATTTAACACTCACTCTGATGGATCAATGACATAGTCTAACTGTTCTGTTTCGTAGTCGAGATAACGATTTTTTTCGACCCAACCTGCAGTACCATTATCTTCATTCTTTCCTGTCCATTTCCATCTTCCACTTGCAACTAATACTTTCTGTAGACTGTTCGTACTGACAGAGTTACCTCGTCTGATGACTTGACGAAGAAAGCGTTCACCTTGTGAGGAGTCCATACCCCAGGTAACGAAACTTCCTGATCTGAAGACAAAAACTTCCTTTTTACCATTTTCTAATGGGATGTAAATCGCACCGTCTGTATCTGGGACTAAGTATGAATTAAATGATTTAAGACCAGCTGCCAAGGCTGCAAAATCATAGCGCTCTGCTGTAGAGAAAGCGTTCACTGGCATAACATCACTTCTACCAGGCGAATACACGAGCTTTGAACGAACTGGTGCAGATTGCTCTGCAGCTGTTCTACGTAGAATAGCTTTCGGTTTTGGTTTTGGCAAATCAGTAGCATTTTTGGCTATTCGACTGTTGCTATGGAAAGCACGTTTTATAGACCCTTCGTATTTGATATATGATGTAAATCGATTCAGCATAGTGATGATGGTAATGTACTAAGGAAATATCTGAGTAATAGAAGAAACGCTGCAGGAAAAATGTAGGTTAAGTTATTTAAGCAGAAATTTATCAAGTTATACCCTATGTGCATCCGTTTGATACAGCTAAGTATTTTTCGATCTGCAAAGCAGCTGATAGATAAACATACATGTTAAGAATCTATACAAATTTTACTTTGTGGCTATTTGTTGTCTCTTTTTGAGTCCGCTCATTCAATTTTCATTCAAATATGAACTCATACAAGAGACTAAAGCGGAATACAGGAAAGCTTGATTTCTTTATATTATTACGAGGATAAACCAACATTCTCAAATGGTACCATATCGTCATAAAAAGATGTCATGTACAACTACATCATTGTAGCTAAATTATTAGTTGATTTTAATATTCATTGTTTTCTTTATAGTCTTTTATTTTTTTAAAAAACACACTTAATTTATTTTATAGCTTTTGGAACTTCCAATCTATTAATAATATTGTTAATGTATTTGCGACCTTTCGGAGTAATAAGGTGGGGTGAGTACTTTGGTAGTCTTGTTTGTAGGACTGAGAATAATATGAAATCTAAAGCCTTCTGGGCTGAAATTTGGAACCTTAAATCATCTAGTAGTACTAACTCCTCACCTAAAGTCTATATATTTAAAAGGAAAATGATATCGCGGCATACGATTAATTGTTACAATGACGTATAAGAATAGCGCAAAGATAGATGAAAATGCTATAAATGCAATACAGTTTTATTAAATCTATTTTATCTAATTCCTTTTTGTTTGTTTTGCCTTTGCTTCCTGGTCTAGCCAGAGTCTCATACCTATGAAATAAGTCAGCGAATTTCAAGACTCTGAGCATGTTTAAGTTACCCAAAGCATCTTCTTTATCGGCGTAATAACCTCTTTCAACTTCCCAAACTTCAAATCCAAGTGTATCTCTATATAAACCAATAGCAGCTCTATTAGTCTTACGTACGTGTAAGCTAACGTATGCAGCATTGAAAGTATCTTTCATAGCGGTCTGCGATTGTTTCATTAACTTTTGTGCTAAACCCAATCTTCGATAACTTCTTAAAACAGATATTGAAGTTACGTGTCCATTTGGTAGTTGTCCTGGTTTACTATCCATTTCATCGTTCCTTTAGAAGTATTAAGATAAATAAACTGGATTGATTTGTACTAACATTTTACCTAAAATATAACCAACTATTCTACCTTTATGATCTTCGGCTACATAAGACAATTGAGGCCAGGTGAGAGCGTGATACATATCTAGATAATGAACTTAATAAAATCTAAACAGTAATGATAACTCACAATACTTCATTTGATAGTTTTCAGGCTATAGACGTAAGCTGTTAATAGCGAGGGTGTATCTGATGACTCAACTAAATTCATGAGATTAGCATTCTGCATACCAGTTAAATCATATGGGGTAGCTGGACGTATGTTCATTTTTTAAAATCAATAGAAATATAAATGATGGATGTTAATTAAGAAGGAACGTTCATCATCAAAATAAACTTTACAATCAAATTATAATAAAAGAATGTCTACGCAACCATTATTGCAGCGTACATCAAATAAAAGAATCGCTTTACCTGTAAGGGTCGAGCCAAAGGTTAGTCTTGACGTATATAGTAAGGGTGTGAACTAAGAAAGCCTTTAGGTATTCTTTGCTAATGAAAGAACGTGAGCGATAAAGATCAATGCTATATGCCTGAAATTTACTAACACATAGCTAGCTTCCTTTCTTGGTTACATTTTGCTGTTATACTTGGTGGATTAGCCATCGGATTGCTAAACTTTGGTGACAAAGTTGGCAAAATATCAGCAGGAATGTTTAGTTTCGTTGCCATGTTAATCATGGTCTACGCTTTAGTAACTTACCATTGGAGAGCGTCCGCCATCAGGAAGAGAGGTACTGGGCCATACGACGATAGATTAGGACCAACGATACTATGCATTTGCTTACTATCAGCGGTTTTAATTAACTTTTATTTAAGATTTGCGCAAGGGGAGGACAATATCTAGGAACATGTATTAATATGGTTTATATCTCTTATTAGATTTAAAGTTATCTATTCTTAATTTGTCCTTTTGGAATTTTAATCTCAAACCAGCAATTTCCTGTCTCTTTGATTCCCTTCTTTGCCATCTATAGAAATCATCTAATGGTTTATTGAATTTTGATTTCTTCGTGTTCTCTGCTGGATTAAACAATTTAGAAGATACTTGAACGCCTGACACATTAGCAGCTTTTCCATGTTTACCACCCCTTTCAACTAAAGTGAAGCCATCATCTTCCATTTTATCAGAATTATCATTTCTAGTCTTTGGTTTATCATCGAAGTTGTTCATATAATCTATGGTGAATTGCTTAATATCATTATGATCTATTCTATTAGATTTATATAAATCTAATAAATTTAATCCATCTGTGGATGTAGAAAATCTATCGAGCTCTAACAATTTATCTGTACTCTCCGCTTCTTTATATTTCAAGTGTATATTTCTATATAAGTTATATTGAATATCTAATAATTTACTCAAATTGTTCTGTTTATTGCTATAGTCTATACTATCGATATCTCCAAATTTACTAAACAATGAGTATAAACTAGACCTATTTATATTTAAAGGCAAGTTAACTATAAATATTGTATGATTATCTTGCTTTCTTAAATGTATATATTTATCATTCAATTTTATCCTCTTGTATCCAAGCATCGACGACGTCTCTTAAGAAGTGATGCACACAATAATTCCTAGATGAAGGTTTTAGACTGACTCAATATAGATGCTGAAAGGGGAACGAGTGAAATAGAGTGTATACATTGTAGATTTTATTCATATTAGATTGATTGGTCTCCGGGAAGATAAGGTGTGTGTATAACTTGAATATGATTTAGTCTAAATGAAGGTGAAAAATGTGCATTATTACTGTATTACATTCAACAAAACATTAAAAAGTCTACTAGCCAGCCTCACACATTGCTAGAATATCAGGTATATCGATGATGCAGGTACAAGAAACAAAATTAAATAAATAGTAACTACCAGTAAACCAAATCAGGTACTTTTTATTGATCATCAAACTCTTATTCTGTGTTTGTTATCCGTAACGATACGCATTCCTCATCTTAAGATAACGAAGTGAGGTATAGTCAGATTGATAATACGCTTGTAGTTCAACAAATCTGTTTGATCCACAAGAATGCAGGAATGAAAATAAAGCAGGAAACGGAAGACGAAATTTACACTGTAATAATCATCAACTAATGAAAGTTATCTATTCCATGTAAAATATCACTTTTGATTTTTAAAAAACATAGTTCAACCGCGTCTATACTCCAAAACATATCACAATGCTCACCATTTTCATAATAATCTAACCTATTGAGCTTTATAGACTCATGTGTTTTGAGCCTTTCCAGTAATGGTTCAACTAACACCAGCTTGTCATCAGTACCGACATATAAACTCAAAGGTGGGAATTTTGGTTGATTATCTTCTTGATATCCAGATGAGAACCATTTCTCTTGCTTTACATCTAATGTACAACCTCTAGTTGAGAAACCATCTTTACCTGCCCACCAAAAGACAGATCTAGATGACACTGGTGAAGGTGTGAACCTAAACATTTTAGCTTTACGTCTATTCAACCAATTTTTATCAGTCCAACTGAATAAAAATGCAAACATTTGATAACCTAATAAAGCAAATGCTCTTTTTGGGGTGTAATTGAATGACCATGTCATCAAAGGTATGAAATCTAATTCACCAAATAAGAATCTCCATCTATTCCAATTTAATCTATTGATTAAAGTGAAAGGGAAGCCGGTGGTTAATGGACCTGCATAGACAGCGGGTGCTAATGCAATAAAGGAACTAATGTGCTTTGATAATTGGGGTTGATAACCTAAACTCAAAGTCATGAAACCGATACTGTTTCCTTGTGAATGACCAATGAAAGATAGATGCTCGCTATTTGAATCCAATAAAACGTGTTTAATTAGAGAAGGTAAATCATTATTTGCTAAATCTTCAATTGTATAATTCCAAAATTTACTATCATTCTTCTTTAAATGCTGATGGCCCATATTAAATACGCCTCTTGTATTACCTAGGTAAACTTGAAAAGGGCCATTATCTGCTAACCAAAAAGCTAAACTACGTTCTTCTGAAGTGATGAATGAACCTGAGGATTGAAATAAACCATGTAAGATTAATATAGGGTATAAATTATCAAATTTAGGTTTAGGATTTATGACTTTATTAACTAATAAGTGATAACCATCGTCAGTTGTGATGATTTGGTCAACGATATCGAAACCTGATTGATTAGCGTAATACTTAACATCAGGTGTAATTAATTCATCTTTGTATTTAGAGTGATCGTCCCAATCGCGTATTTTAGGCAATTGTTGTTTTGAAGGAGATAGTAAAAATTTGATGAACCTAGATAGTAAAGCGTATATAACGACTAGTATTAATGCAATTGAACTAAATAAATTTGAGAATATTTGCATTTTGAATTTTAATAATAATTTAAGACTTCATAGCTTTTAAACGAGATCTACGACCATCGAGTTATTGACTGATAATTTAAAATGGTTAACCCACTCAAGTTAAGGTTAGATTTTATTAATAACTTTAATATATTTCATTTATTTATTCATTTATTTATAGTCTCGCGCCATTCATCAAAGGTAGCCTCAGAAAGACACTTGAACCAATAGGAAAAGGCTATTTAAAGTGAGTAATGAAAACCATTAAAATAAAAATAACCAAATACAATAGCCTCGCTGGCTTTAGACAAGTCGGTTTAAGATGTTAGTTCTATCATCCTTCCAAAACGATTCCTAACTTTTTATAATAGACGATGATTTGATTCAAGAGGAGAACGATGAAATGCAAAAGGTAATACTCGCATATAAATACTCGCAATCAGCTCACCTTCTTTATTAGGCACTCGCTCGTCTTTCACCAAGAGAAGAATACGACAGAGCATGGAGATTGAGAAGAGCTATTAACCAATCTATCCTTCATAAAGATTTACCAAAAGAGCAATGGTCAGAGGATGAAGCTTCAAAGCAACGCTACCTCACAGATAGAATAACAGAAGTCGCTAATGAACACAATGAGAGAGCTATGTTTGATAACCCAGAATATAAAATTCAAACTTCACATCATTAAGTGTAGAATTTAATTCATTTTTACTTTATTTTATCCACGCATTATGATCATCATACCTCGTCTACTACCCGAGCTTATAGATAAATTAAATGATTATTATAATGATCTTTAGATTACAATGTCAATTTTGAATAAAAACTGGTCTGCTTTATCAAAACCTAAAACTACTTTGAATTATATACACGGTCAGTTTAAGGAATCTAAAACTAAAACTTATCATCAAGTTAGAGATCCAGTTAGTTTATATTTTTATTCTTTACACCCCTAATAGACCATTCAGTCAACTGATCAACTTATCACCTCTACACCGGAGTCAACAGATGCTGAATTCAATGAGGCAATTGAATCATCAAAGGATGGTTATCAATTTTGGAAGAATACATCGCTCCTTTCTAGACAACGAGTCATGCTAAACTTCCAGCAAGAAATCAGGAACAATGCAAATGATTTAGCTATTACTATCACTCAAGAACAAGGTAAAACATTCAGTGACGCTCATGGTGATGTTTTTAGAGGTTTACAAGTCGTTGATTACGCTTCTAGTATACCAACTACTTTCATGGGTAAAATGTTAGAAGTTTCTAACAATATGGACACTTTTACGAGGAAATTTCCTTTAGGCGTTTGTGCTATGATAGCACCGAATAATTTTCCATCTATGATCCCTAATTGGGTTATCTCTTTAGCTGCAGTCACAGGTAATTCTCTCATCTTGAAACCTTCAGAACGTGATCCAACTGCTTCGCTTTTATTGGCTGAGTTGGCTCAAAAATCCGGTTTACCACCTGGTGTTTTAAACATTATCAATGGTACTCACCCAATCGTCAATCATCTAACTTCACATCCTGATATCAAAGCTGTTAGTTTCGTTGGCGGTGATAATGCTGGTAAACATGTTTATAAACGTGCAACTGAAAATGGCAAACGTGTTCAAGTAAATATGGGTGCAAAAAATCATGGTATCATTTTACCTGATGGTTAGTCATATCCTTTTCAACATATTATTCTAACAGCAATATAGCTAACAAAGACCATGCTTTAAATTCAATAATAAGTGCTGCGTTTGGTGCTGCTGGTCAGAGATGTATGGCTTTATCAGTCGCTGTACTAGTTGGTGATGCTCGTAATTGGAAGAATGATTTGATAAATAAAGCTAAAGCTTTGAAAGTTGGAAATGGCTTTGATCAATCCAATGACATGGGTCCAGTTATATCTAAGCAATCCAAACAGAGGATTGAAAATTTGATTAACCAAAGTTCAAAACAAGGTGCTAATATTGATTTAAATGGTACAAATTTTGAAGTAAAAAATTATGAAAATGGTTATTTCGTTGGTCCTACAATTATTTCTATACCTCACACTGAATTTGATATTTATAAACAAGAAATTTTCGGACCAGTGCTTGTCATACTTGAAACTGAAACACTTGATCAAGCAATAGATTTGATTAATAAGAATAAATATGGTAATGGCGCTTCGATATTTACAGAGTCTGGTTCAGCTGCTAGATTTTTTGAAATTAACGCAGAACCAGGTCAAATCGGTATTAATACACCATTACCAGTTCCACTTCCTTTCTTCTCTTGGTCAGGAAATAAAGCAAGCTTTGCGGGTGAGAATAGCTTTTATGGTGAGCAAGGTATCAACTTCTTTACACAGACGAAGACAGTTACCTCAATGTGGAAACCCTCTGATCAAACAACTTCACTTGAAAAAGCTTCATTAAGTATGACATACAAATTTTGATTTAATTTTATAAGGTAGATTTTAAGTATTCTGAAACTACTTCTCTAATAGTCAAATTTGTATATGTTTCTTCGAATTCATATTGCTTTTCAGGACTTATGATATTTAATGCCTTTTCAATGGATGGCCATAAGCTAAGTTCATTTTATTAAATTAAATTCTATTTTGTCTTAATGGTAACTCACAATGATAGAAATACTACGTCAACGAAGTCAGAATCCTCTAATACTTCTAGATCGGTTCCAAAGCACGGAGAATGTTCATAATACTCTATCTTTTCATGTATAACATCATCACCAAAGCCAGGACAAGTATCATTTGTTACATATCCAATAGAAGTTCTAGTCAATCTAATTTCTTCTTGGTTATTATTAGTCAGGAATGGATGACCTGGTAACTCATTTAATGTTTTCAACATCTTCTTGGCTACACCATACGGTACGTCTAATTAATGGTAATTAGTCTATTTACTATAGATTGTTAAACATACCTCTCACATAAGGTAATGTATTAACGAATGGAAACGCAGTAAATAGATCATTCTTATTTACCTCCCCACTATAAAGATCATAACGTATGGCGCCAGAATTGAGCAAAATTATTCTATACAGATACATTATTCATTGCATGTATTCGAAAAATTTTACTTACTTTGGTATATCTTTACGGTCTTCATTCTTTACGAAATCTGGTAAAACTTTATCTTTCAACCAGCGTATAATTGAATCAGGATGCTCTGCGGGGACTCGATTTAAGTATAAATCTCTATCTAACTTTCCGACCATGCTTCCAAGAGCAAATTTATGCCATAACTGTCCAATCTTCATTTTAATTTCTCTTCCAAGAGTTGTCAGTAATTCAGATGTATTTATACCTAAATGCCACGCATATCCAATTGGATTAGCATCTAAATATTTACGTGAAATATGCATTTCACCATTGTCGCTAATATTTGCGCTTAACCACCCAATAGTCTCTAAAAATTGACCGCTAGCCATGCGAACATCTCTTTTATCTTTAAAGTTATAAACACAATCTCTAATATGCTGATGACCACCTAAACCTATCACTGGTGTATTTGGATGTTTGGATTTAAGCGTGTCTATTATTAATTGCCATTTTAAATCATTTATTGCCATGTGCGCGACAAGTAAGAAGCTGATAATCTGATTAAGTTCCTGATTATGAAATATCGTGACTTACAAATCAGGCTTTTCATCTATAGCCTCTTGAAACCACTTTTCTTTGACTAAAAGAATAAGAGTTAAGGTTATTAACATCTGATGTTAGACTCACTCATGTCGTCAATTGATTGTAATTGAACTCTCCAATTAGGATTTGGAAAATCCTTATATTATTAGACAAAGCATGACCTAGGATTGATATACTAACAAATAATAATCCAAATGCAGTGACTTTCCGACCGTGTCTAGTATAATGCTTTAAAAAGCGTTCTATAAGGGTCTAAGAACTAAAATTGCTTAGGAATATATATATTACCTCCTATTGGTACCGATGTATTTGAAGATGGATCGGTAATATTAGTGTTCGAAGTCAAATAGCGTTCTTGCCTTAGAGAATCATTAAGTAGAAACACATGTTATTCCAGGTAACCTACCAAGCTGGTGCGAAATTCTTGAATATATCTAATGTAACATCCGCATTATATAAACCATGATTCCCGATTGTTAGCACATCAATATCAAGCATGGTAAATATTTTGTTCGTATCATGCCCATTGATGCCTAGATTATAAGTGATAATCTAACCAAATAAATGGTAACTCACCACCAGGTTCAAAGGCATCTGATAGTCCACTTCCGTCATGTAAATCACCGCTATCGATTACAAGCAGATCAACACCTTTCTGATCAGAAATATGACGCATATGTTGCACAAAAGACGCGTAATCTCCCCAATCACCGCTACCATTTGGCTCTGGTTCGCTAGACTTTCTATGGCCAGCTAGCCAGCCTTGATATTGAATCTAAGTTGATAGTACTAAAAATCATTAATCTGACTCACCGTGAGTATCAGTGGTATGTATCACGTTGATATCACCCCATTCTAGTTCCCGTGAAGGAGTTTCAGGGGTATTATATTTGGATATATAGTAATAGCATAAAATAGTTGATGTGAATATTAGTACGTTGTTTATCCACATTCCATCCAATGATTGTACAATCGAAAGGTATTTATATCGAAAATCAAAGCTATACATCATAATTTACGTCCAGTTTATCAGATAATATAAAATATGCAATGAACACCATAACGATTTAGCTTGATGCATAATAAAGTCAATAAACGCACCCTAGATGTACTATTATTATAACCAACAGATGTAACCAACAGATGTATATTTAAATTGTTGTTTAAAACCTTTACTCCGATTCTAATATATGTTTCTCGTTTTTATTACAAATTATTATAAGCTTCCAATCATCAAACAGATCGTGATGCTCTGGAATAAAGAATATGATGAGTTATAGGGAAGCGAAACACGAGGATGGATTATGAACTTTGAACGATACATGCTCATTAAACAACCCAGAATTCCTGCGTCTCAGTATATTTATGATAGATACCTTTAGTAACAATAATCGCATCAAGGAACAAATAAGTAGCACACATGATTATTATTAATGGAATAATCGTCCGTTTATAATTGTTTGAGCTTTTGAAGAGTGACTTTCTTTCCCATGCCATGAAATTTGGAAGGGATATTCTAAAGGAGTGAGATTAGATAGTTGCTTAGATAGGAATACTATTCAAATACTCAACAGGTATAGTGTGAAATTAACTTATGTAGTTACAATCTCATCACAAAACCGTTAGCCTCAAAGTACTATTATTAATATCGGTAATGAATCAGTTGAAACTACTTGCTAGTATACAAACACAATTGATACTTCTAAACTTCAAATCAATTCGGTATGACTATTGACGACCCATAGCGTCAGAATGAAAATTATAACAATTGAATGTCAAATGATATCCTCAACGATACAGAACAACACAACTAAGGGCAGTGTAACTGTCATAGGATGAAAAAAAAAGTTTTGAAGCTAAATCAGTAGTAATTGTGGACGGTTCACTTTATAATCAATAACGATGAGTTCTATATCCTTGCAAAGGTTTAAGCTTGAATAGTGAAACTTCGTACAAGTATTTTTGATAAATAAGTATCTATTACAATTAATGCATAAGGTGAGACGTACGATTATATCAGTACTGGAGAGATATGAATCTAATCAGTCTTTATTGATTACACTTACGGTAGCCCTTGGGACGTGGAATGTATAATTTATAGATACATCTCTTTAGAACCAAGAACACACCTTTATTCCTTCATTTATTGGATTAAATAACACTACTAGAAGCTAAGAGTATGCCATTTGTATTTTTGACTTCATTAAAAATACTGGTGGTTTTTCAGATAATCTTGAATTGTATGGATTGTCTAATATGATATCATTCAAGCAAATACTAAGTAGAATACAAGCGCTAAAAGTAGCGGCTTATCGACATTGCATTTTTAGCCAACAGCAATGATAACAACTTAAGCATAACAGTGATATGTTATTATTCACAATTTAGTAGAATTTTCCCCTTTTCAACATCACTAACTCAATTTCCATCTCATGATTAGAAACTGCTTTAAATAGAACTAAATCTTTTTTTCGTTTACCATAAACATCTTGATGAATTGGTAAGCAAATAATAAGCTGTATAGCAAGATCCTTGGATCTTGTTATCATACTATCAGAAAGTAGCCTTTGAAATAGTACATTACAATTATTAAAATTTATCAGTAACTGAAACACTTTCTTATAACATTCCAATTCAGGATTTAGAACACAAACGATGATATCATTTCAGCTATCGTAAAATATTAGGACAAGATCTTTCTCGCTAACGGGAAAACATGACTATTAGACACAACAACTATATGTCAGCTCAAAACAATCAATGTTATCATAAAGATATTCAAAGCTTGTTGATATACCATTACTTTTGACAAGAGTGTTGGAATATTCGCAGTACACCGAAGGATTGCTTATTCAACTCGTAAATTCAACTGATTCTCCCGATTGTCTAGGTTATCCAAATTGTAGCGAGTGTTACTCCAGACGTTACTGTCAAGAATAAGTAATCATAGTACATCAAATTTAATGTTTTACCATTCAACTAAAATAATATCAAGCTGTTCAGTAAATCTTACAGCCATCCTTCACTCGAAGAATGGATGTAGTTATCGCGGCATACAAACGCAGCTATACAATGCGAATATCATCAAACACGAACAATATTTCAATATCTTTCACCGGATAATTTCTTAAAGTGTCAAAGGGGCCAAATGATAACCAATACAAAGCCTCAACTGAAGTTACCGACTAATGAAACTGCTAGCTCAACACTATTATGCAGAATACATTGTTGACAATCTTTTCGCTTTAGCAAACTACACCTGAATTCCGAAACCTCCACCTACCCTTCTGATAGCCGTACGCATTATTTAAGCATGTTTGCAAATGATCGTCCTAGTACAATGTAATTATCACTCGGTAATCTGTTGAGGACAGGTCATATTTTCAGTTAGTCTTGTCACTTTTACTAGAACGTCGCCGTCTTCGTCAATTGGTCTTAATGCCATTTGCCTCTGACTCATAGTAAATTATGGACAACACACCAGTATCTTCCAATAAGCTATCGTCTAATTTTTGTTGTGCCGAATAGCACCTACTAGTAACTGATTTTACATACACATTACTCTCCGATTATCATTAAGTGGCTCGTACTGACTTCGTTTAACTAATTCACCACGATTTATTATTAAATTAATCATGACTAGACTTTATTTGTTCTTACTTGAAATCAGACACTGTTTATTAGATTACGATGTATTTGACTATTATTACGTTGTATTAATAAAAGAAACCTGTACATTTGAAGCATCTATGCTCTACTACAAGGCAACGTTGTGAACATAAAAGGAATCTGATTTATAGCGTACCTGAAAACAAGTATTCGATTAATTTATAAATCCATTTCTGCGTACATTTTGATAATACTAGCATTGACTAAAGTTCAGCACACGTGATAATCTTGAGTTACATATTGTTCAACCTTGAACTTGACCTGATGTATCCAGTTTAAATATGCACTTACTACTTCCTTCGTTATAAGTAAGTTATTTTGAGGCTTTTTAAATTTAATTCTAAAAGTAAGTATATTAATGAAAATTGGCTATAAATTCAAATGCAAGGTTCCTGCAGATGGAAGAAGGCAATCATTTAACGTCGCCTTAATTAACGTGCCCCCGATAAGGATAAAATGAATATTACTTCTAATTTGATGTAGTACAAACAGAGATGTGATAGCATATTCTATAGAGCAACTCGATACGTATGATACCCTACCACACAATTTGGGTGGTCATCAACGCATGGTAATATGTCATTTGCAAAGTTACTTTCGTAGCCTGCGCTATTATCAACCAAACTTAATATTGGAATAATAAAATACGTTGCTCCTTGGGAGTCTACGTGAGACGCCATGATATCAGCCAATTTAAGCATGCTTTTCGTGTTGACCACGAATACCAATGCTGGTGTTCCATTAGCTACCATTGTACAAGCCGCTCACTATCACGGTACTCAGACCCATGGCCACAATTTAAAAAAAGATGAATAAAAAATCCCAAATATAGCAAGCAAAGTGTACTTTACAAGTACAATCATTTTATTTTTATTTTTGAATCGTACAACGAGGATCAAGAAACATAATATACCTGTTGTCAACATATTAAGACATCCTACCAAGGGCGTCAGAGCAGGTAGCCCTCCAGTTAAAAGTACCTTACCACAACCCTGCAAGTACCTTCTTGAACACCAGCTACTTCGGTATAATAATTATGTAAAAAGGTAACGCAAGATTAAGCTGCTGCAGTGTTTACTTTCTATCGAAATCATTAAAACTATACAAATGATTGTTGGTTTGTAAATATTAAACACGCATATTTTTAGTTGTGAAAATATATCACGTAATATAAATGTACATTATGTTATGATCATTTAGATTATCGTTTTTGAGCCAGGTATTCTTAATAACTCTTCACTGTCCGTATCTTCCATGTTGACTGGCTGATCGGACTACGTTAAAGTTTTTTTGCACCTGATGTACCTTCCTGCCCCTTCTGTCCCTAACTACAAAATGATGCCATATGAGAAGCCATGCATCTGCTCATATTCTGACGGTAATACCAAGCTTCGGGGCAAAGTTTGTCCCACCCATTCACTGAATTTTTACTTCACAGATCTGCTAATGAAAAACCTGTACCTAGCCTCAATCATTTCTAGACACACTGAAAGTAAACGCCTCACAATTACGACATTGGGCATTCTCGCGGGATTATTCTCCACAGGGTGCCTCACGACAATGGTTACAGTTGTTCAACACGAAATACTCCAAATAATCCTGCGCTGCAGGTGGAAGATGACCATATAATTTGGTTGATATCTCCGCTAAACATCCATGCTATATAGCCTAGTCTAACCGCAAATGTAATAAAAAGAAGTTTTCTCGTGAGAACGTGGACCATACCATTCTACTTCACAAGGACGTATTATCTATTATAGAGAAACTCAAGCCGATCTCGATTATTGTTACAAGGTGCTCTCGAGGACTTACAAATTCAGCAAGTCTCAACAGAAATATGACCTCGGCAACAGAAAATATCGGAGTATGTAGACATCGATTTTTTCACAAGTTCTTGTAACCAGCCATACGTTCGCGGAACATGATAGGCCCTGTGTTGTCCCCCGTAAGAAGCAGCCTAAATGCACAAGAGATTACCACGAACGATATATATTCTCTGCAGCTGATTAGAAAAAAGTCTTGCCCTCATTTTCCCTCGTTATCTGTGCTGTTACCTTATAACGCCGGCGATTCCGTGATGTTCCTTTGCTTTACTAGTATGTATGAGCAAACTGAATTCTTGATCATTATGGGTTACTTTGGCTGTCCCGCAATGTCGAAGACGACCGCAAAGAGCTTTTCTTGGTTAGAGGGTGTGATTTAAGAGCACAGTACTACAAGATGCGGCGTGGTTCGCCGCGAGAAAATGTATTATTGAAGGCTGTTTTTCTGTCCTCTCACTGTAATCTTCGCCGTTGAAAAATAAAATGTCCCCTTGAAATGAAAACTTGCATCGTCGAGGACAGGAGCGGAGTATGATTAACATCACTCCTATGTGTGTATTTCCTAACAGCAAGGGAAACAGGTTGTTATAACGAACAATCGACCTTATTGCTCTTTTTAAGCAATTAAGCGCAATTGAGGTTCTCCAGTACTCGTTTTCTTTACGAGAAACGTATTCCTTAAGTATTTTACCATTAGTAACACATACAAAACTGATTGATATCAAAAGCGGTCGACATTGATTTTTTGTTTGCGTGTTGATTATCTGAGGACGAAACGTTGGAATAGCGGCATTGTTCGTCGTTACATTTGTTTATCACTTCGTTTCTCTTAATAGTCCCAATTAAAGTAGGTCAATAACTATGCCGTGCCCAATGTAATATATCATCGATATGAAAGCTATCGGGAAACCTTGGTCATTATCTCTCACAACTAATTCGTCTTGATGGTAATATTTTAAGTGTCACGCGGTAAACTAACTTTCAGCAGGACATAACGCATTGTAAACAAACAGACTCTCAATTACCTCGTGCTCTCACTTATATATCAAACAGTTTGGTGGCTTCACTGTAGGGAAAATTCATGATGAATACGTTTCTCTTAAAGGAAACGCGAATTCCGGTGCCACAAATACGCTCACTTGTCTGAAAATTGCAATAACGTGGCTTGTTCGTTTTACCAACCTCGCTCCCTTGCTCTTCGGAAGTACAGACTAAGGCGTAATGTTAATCATACTCCGTTCCTGTAATCATCCATATACCTTTGGTTTGAAGTTGACACTGCATTTATGAACGGGCAAGATAACAGGAAAAGAGCGATGAACAAGCGCTTCGTCCGGGAAATCGGCTGCGTCGAGATAATCCATGGGTTCAGGATTAGCACTGTCCTTTCTACAACACACCCCAATCTCTAAGTGGGACACGCCGGCGCAGGAGTTCCCGACATTTCAGTAACGGAAAAAAAGGAATGATATTCAGCGAAATTTTAGTGTCTCTGACATTCATTTGAAGGCAAACAACCGTGAAAGACATGATGTCAATACTAGAAAACCCAAGTTGATACAGCCTCTCTATATTTTCGCTGCGATTTCGAAGGCAGGTCGGATAGATCCTCTCCTATCGATCTTTGTAACATTTGTCTTGAAGGATTGAGAATTGCAGAATGTTTTATGATGACTTTTTTACTTTACAAGTTACTAAGTGCCGTTCTTGAAAACCTATTGATATAGTTGGCGGTTACCTGGTTGAACCTATGCAGCGGAAATCTTGCTAGATTGCGTTCCATCGATTTTCCATTGGTATGCAATTGGTGCCCCCAATATGCTCAACTTGTGATTGAATCGTAACGAATTTTGAGCGTCACGAAGTTTAGGGAGCAAATTATTTTACAACTCAGTACAGATTGTAATGGAAGTTTTCATAAGTACACTTAATCCGTCAGGTCTACCATTTGGTTTTGAATTACATTTTCGACTGGGACAGTGTTGTTTTGGGTGACTCATCACTCTAATATGTACTTCGCACCTTACGTTTTGTCCCGTGTTGCGCCACCGTCAACAAATATGAAAGGCGCTGCCATTATGCATTATCGATACTTCGATCTTCTGGCGGAATCCTGATATTTTGTGTATCGGTACGATGAAAATTTGATTAAGCGAAATGATCACAAACGTAATTTGTTAATTTAACAAATATGATGTCAATGACCCAAATATTTCGAAAGTTTTGTTGCATGGTATTGAAAAACCACAATAATCTTGCCCAAGCAAAAGGATATATTGTAGAGTTATACTCTGTGGACGATTTCGAACTCCACAATCATGACCGCAGTCCATGTTGTTTTTTCTCGAAGATGGTGTGCTCAAATTTGATTAAACGCAGATCAAGGAATATCAAAATGTGCAATCCGTGAAAAATTAGTTTGACCTGATGTCACCTAGTCTTATATTATTGAATAAAAGTGGAACGTGTCCATAAGTGCCACAAGGTAATAAGTAATACACCACATGCACATCAATTCGCGTCTACAACCCTGTTTAGTCACATGAATGTGATCTTACGGGCTTAAAAAAGCATAAATAAACAGGGCAACTTCGTCAGTCTTTGCTCCTTTTTGCAAAGAAAAGAGGGGGGGGTACCTTCAAGTATAAATTATCAACTAGTATAAGGCTCCCGGGAACGGTGCCCGGGTATCCTCTATCAGTTTCACCCTCAGGTAACAATAAAACCGATTAAATATGTTATGTACAATATTATGGGTAACGAAAAGCAAGTTAAGAAGAGAATGAATGAATGACCTTAAAATATTTGCCGAGTATGGATATATTGCGGGATCTTGGCAATTTGTAATCATGCTCGCGTAATAAATCAAAAAACCTTACATAATTAATGTGCACTTTACCGTTGCGAGGATGTTCATATTTCCCGTAACATTGCTGAGCGAACAGCTTTTGATAAGGTCAACAATTTCAAGTGTGACTTTCCATTGATAATATGTTGGTCCTTTTTGATGCTTTAAGAAACTAACCGATGTAAATATTATTATATTGTTTGGTTCCGATAACATTGACAATGTCCAGCAACCAAGCATGAGGTGATAACTTCCTCCTTTTTTCGATTGAATCATGCCTGTAATATGAACTGAATAGCCAAACAATAATCTGCTTGATGTGATGAAACGTTGTATTGGACTAACTATGATTACTCATTATTTACAGTTAAAACTGTAGTGAACAGTCACGGCAATTGTGACCTTGAATCATAGGGAAAAATCCGTTAAACATACAATACAAATAAGCGAGACCTCAGCGTATGTTAATAATCCAACACTCTTGTCAACTTCAACGTAAACACCAACAAGTTTTGAGTATCCATATAATAATGTTAATTTGTTTGAGATGACATAGAATTGGTGTGTCTACCAATCATGTTTATTTCTGATAGTAAGAAATATCTGATCTTGCGATGTGATCTCTTCAAATCTTACGATAACTGTAATGATATCATCGTTTGTGTTCTAAATCCTGAATGGAAATGCTATGAAACACTTAAGTTGCTGATTACGTACTAATAATTGTAGTGCAATGTTTTAGTGACTACCTTTTGATGATACAATAGTCAATGTACATGAATTTACTTATACAGCTTGTTATTTGTTTGTTAAGTTCATCCAGATGTTCTGGTTGACAAAAATATTATTTGAGTTTTATTAACAGTATTCTGTAATAATCCAGAGATGATGGTTGTCAATTTGAAAGATGGGAAGTTTACTATACAACTGTGGAACTAGGGTAGAAAATTTACCAAATTATAAATCGTAATATACTCCCATTACATTTAATTGATTATTCTATTGTCTCTTAAGGATGCTATACCAGTAAAATAACTATCAACCAACAGAAGGGTAGCACTCTTAGAAGTTCTCATGAATAGTACCAAACTAGAAAATGTATATATGTAAAGATCATTCGAAAGACCACCTGGTATTTTAATAAATAAAAAAATACATATGAATTATTTCTAGCTTTTAGTAGTGTCATCAAAACGAAAATCGAGGAAATAAAAGAATTTCCTTGATTGTAAAGTGATGTATTTATAAATTGCACATTCCACGTTCCAATGGAAACCAGAAGCGCTTTCAACGAAGGCTGATTGGAGTCTTATATTTCCAATACTGACACTTGACGTCATCCACAGACGTATCACCATATGCATGAGTTAATAAGTTTTATTTATAAAAATTACTGCAAGAGGTTGTACTAGATATTCTTAAACTTCTGGAAGGATTCAAAGGTTATCTTCATCAATCACAAAGTTAACCGTCGACATTTAGTACTCAATCAACTTCAAAACATTTCTTTCGCATTTTACAGCTAAGTAAAACAATAATTATGCTATACACTGTCTGAACTATTAAGTGACGTTATTGAATCGTAATAATATTCATATACAGCCTTATGACGTCAGTAGACGTACGTTAAGTTCTAGATACACGTTGCTGAAATACAGCATCAATGATTGCGCATCATCGGGAGCAGTATAGTAGCTAGGGAAGTTAATGTGCCAAAAACAACCAATGAAATTTAGATAAATATATATGAGCTAAAACATTTTAACTTCAGAAATATGACAATGACTGTAAGGACTTATATTCATGTTTCCAGAGTGTGTAACGAGCTAGCAGCTTCAAAATCGACACAAAGAAGTTCAACACAATCATAAGAAGTTGTGTATGATGTATAGCTATTATAACCTCATCCCAAAAGGAAGAAAACCAGAAGTGGTATATATAAATAGGAATATTGATAAGGCACTATACAGAATACAAATCATTCAGAAATATCCTAATATACTGATGCTAATGAATCGAGGAAATGAGAATAACCAATTTTCGAAAGACTATCAAGTGTAACTAGACCAAAGTGGTAAAAAGGTCACAAAAAGATGCAACCAAAGTTGCAGAACAGATACCAGAGTTTCCAATGCGACTAATATACTTACAAAGAAATGATAAACTAGTTATTTCGAAAGTTGAAGTGCAGGATAATATAAATATGTGATTTCACATATAGCCCGTTAACAAAAAGGTCATTGAAATAAGCTCAAGCAAATCAATCTCTTAAAAATACAATCAAATTCAGTCTTTATAAGCAACTCGAAGCATTGCGGTATAAGGTTGCCTACAAACAGGGCAATACCATCCTTTTGGCTTACGCTTGCGTCTGCGTGAAGGCCTAGTATGGGTTTCGTTATTATTATTGTTATTTCCGGCTTCAGCAGCGATAACTCTGTCATTTTCATTGCTATTTAATGTAGTAGGTTCGTTATTCTCTGTACCCCATATGCCACCATCTCTTTCTGTTTGTGCGCCTGAACCGAAATCTGTCATTCTAGTCGCGCAATCCTTACATGCAACTAGATGCCTACATGGCAATAAAAGCGTATCCCTTGCTGATGCTAGACATATAACACATTCACCACCAACGTGATCGTCAACGATTACTTGATTGACGTCATCGTTGTTTTCCTTTGTATGTGATGATAAACCGTAAATTTCGTGGAGATCATACAGGTTGCTACCAATATTAGCAACACGCTTGTCAACCCTCAGCAACCAGCATTCGTCACAGCGATGTATGTTAAGATATGTAGATTGTTTATTCAAAGGCGAAATTGGGGCACCATTTACGTCAGAACATACTAAGTCAATTCTGAGCTTCAGTTCTACTTTCTTCAAATCATTAGAACTCGTTGAATCTGTCTCTGAGTCCTCAGATTTGGTTAATTTTTGTTCATGTGCAATGAGGTCCAACTTGCTGGGTGACTGCCACATTTTATCCCAACCACCGTCGATTAACTGATCGAGAAATGGCTGTTCAGAATCTGTCCAAGTGAGTAATACTCTGACCTTTGGACTGGTGGAATCGCAAATAAACCTGAGTGACTGTGATTGTCTCGAAATTGGGGCTATTGACATTGAAGGTGAAACTGGTCTGTCAGATTCTGTACTCTTTATTGAAGTTGCTTTATCATTTGTTAGAATGCGTAAACTATTCCGTTTAAGGTTACATTCCAATTTGAGGGTAGACGATGGCGTTTGTTGCTGCTATCTCTGATAAGTTAAAAGTAGATAAATAAAGAATTAACTCACGTTGCTCTTATTGTTTATCCAATTATTGAGCAGTTCATTATCAATTTCGCCAGACGCGTTCGAATTGCGGTCATCAAACTGGATATCCGGTCCGTAGAGACGTTTCTGATTAGGCTTAGATGATTTATCTACAGGTTTCGCACTTTTTAGGCTGACGGCAGGTACTTCTTGCCTCGGCGTATTTCTTCTAAATAGCGAAGAAAACATGGCCGCTTTCCATCAAGTTAGCTACCCCACATCATGCAGAACACAGCGATGTTATAAATATTAAAATTATAACGTATTCTATTTATATTTATATATAGAAAGTCACTTAAATTCTCATTCCATAGCCGTGCCAACTAAATTTAGCGCACGGAATGTAGGCTGACAAGCATTCCAGAGAGCTATTTAAGAAGCTATCAAGCTTCTTAATAGGCTACAACAATCAACTCACACTCTTTCGTTATGGTTCAAGTCGGATTCCTTTCGATCGCCGCTTTGGTAGCATCTGCAGCTGCTGTCCCAGCGAAGCGTTCATGCGATAAGATACATGTCCGTCGTGATTGGAACAGCCTTAATGGAGACGAGAAAGCAAACTTCCTCGGGGCTATTAAGTGTATGATGCAAAAACCAACGATCTCGATCAACGGTGTCGATCAGGTTTCAAGATTTGAAGACTACACTTACATCCACCAATATCCTGGATATGCTATTCACTGGGTCGCAAGATTCTTGCCATGGCACCGTTGGTTTGTCTATGCATACCACCAAGAATTGCAAGAATGTGGATACGAAGGTGCTATGCCCTACTGGGCTTGGGAACAAGATTACCAAGACTTGAGTGCTTCTAATATCTGGAATGCTGATCCTGAGATCGGTTTTGGTACTTATGGAAATTTTGATTACAACAACGTCTATAGTAAGTCATTGAGATGATAAGCACGTATCAAATTGACCCATATACAGACGCAACTGTTGTCACTGATGGCGCATTCGCCAATCATGATATTAACTTTCCATTCCCTCACAAACTCTCAAGGAACTTGCCATCAAGTGCAAACCTTCCATGGGATGGACCTGGTCCATACGCCCAGCGCGGTTACAACCCAGAAGCTATGAAGAACTTGACTAATATCGCAACCTACAAAGAATTCTCAGTCTTGCTTGAATCACCAGATCCATTACACAACCCAAGTGGTATTCCAGGTTCACATGGAGCTATCCACTTGTCGTTGAGTGCAGACATGGCATCAAGTGAGTGATTAGCTTTTGGCTAAACAATTACTAAAACTACCTTTTCAGATCATGGAAACAACTCGTCACCAAATGATCCATTATTCTATATGCACCACTCAAACATAGACAGGATTTGGAGTAGTTGGCAAGCACTCGACGAGAAGCACCTTTATGACTATGAAGGCAATACGGACTTCTACTGGTCAACCGGTATGAGAAGCGGTCTTCCTGCCTCTCTCGATGATCCACTCTTATACGGTGAAGCTAATGCATTGGGATCAGAAAACTTGAAGGTCAAGGACGTAATGGATACTACTGAATGGCCGCTTTGTTATACATATGAAGATCTCGAGCCATGGGTCTTTAGAGGATAAGGGAACACTGACGATAATGGAATCATCTCTACTTTTTACTCTTCTATCTCATAATAATAATAATCTGTAGTCTAATATTGAATACACATCACTCATTTTCTATACCTAGGTGACAATAATTGAGTAATTGTCCTCGTGACTATCTTATCCACATGAATAACTTCCCAGCTAAAATTACTTTTCAATCCAATGATATACTTATATTATTCAGCGATCTTCATTCGTATATCCTATAACTATCCGAAACTAAGATAGAGATATTAGTCTCTTTCAAATATACCATAAAATTATTTCGTAACCAATAATTGTATTTAGACATTAAGTCTCCCATAATCATAAGGTAAAAGGTGACGGTATTATTATAACTGCACTTATTAATAAAAAGCATCCACCAAAAGATGAAGTTGTGTTAATATTTCAGGTATATTCGACGTTTCATTGCTTATTTATTGACTTTTACAACGAAACAGTGCTATCAAAACGTAATGTTTCTCGAAGAATAGGCAATAGCATTCGGATACTTATTTTAGTAGCCTATATGGTATTTCTTTATTTTTAAAATTTTACCAATATGAACCTTCATAAACTCGTCGTATTTGTAGTATTCTCGCCAAGAAATAGATGATCAAGTATCATATTTCCAAGTGGTATAAACTAATCTAAAATAATCTAACACTGTAATACTGTTATTATCCATAAGACTATTCAATTGACTTTTAATTAATATGCAATCATTGTTTTGAAATAAAAGATGATAATTCAATATCCAATAAGATAAACAACAAAATAAATGAATCAAAAACAATTATTTTAAACAAATGAGCGGAGACCAGTACTCTGTGAGCCTATTCTGTTTATTCCCGTCAACGAACAAATAGAATTTGCATATTTTGCGTGGTAAATTGCGCCAGTGTAGGTATCTTCAACAAATTCTTGATCTTCATATACTGGTGTGAGAGATGCAGGACATACGTGGAAGTTGGATTTTTCATCAAAGTCAATTTGAACGGTAGATCGTGGATTGCGTTCTGCACCGTTTACTTGACTTTTAGCTTTAGCAACAACATTTGGAGCTGTTGGTGACAGGTCGAGAAGCTTCTTAGCGAAATATCCAGCTGTAATTGTGTTACCAGCCTTTTCGAATGAGTTGGCCGCTGATCTCAAGGCTAACTGTGAGTGTGCAGATTGCAATTCACACTCAGCGAAGTAGGCAGCTAATTCCAGTATACGAGTAGTGTTGCTAGGTTCCTCAGCTACTAATCTTCTTCTCTCGATTTCGAGCGTAAGACCAATTAAGTATTCACGGGAAACATTTATTATGTCGCGAACCTATGTAATTATTAGTAAGTGTATTGCATCATCATACTAGGCCGATAAACTCACATCCTTTGCTTCTTCCTCATTAGACACCGATACCAACAGCATCTTCACCAAAATATTCCTAAATGCTGAGGCTGACTCGACAAATTTACCCGCCTTGAATAATCTATATCCTTCTTGCAACTCATTTGATGCAATAGATTGCAACGTCAAGGTATTGTTGGATGGCAAGAATTTCTTTGGGTCAGAGGTTCTTGGATCACGACGCAAGTAGACGTTGATAGGTATCTGATTAGCATTTGTTGGTGCAAATAACCTTGATGATTGATAAATTTCCATAAAGAGTGGCTTTAAAGGTTCAAAGTTAACTGCACCTACTTGACGATGAAGTAATTGCATTGCGCTGTCAAATGATCCAGCTGCGATATGATCGACTGCCAATGGAGAGTTTTTAGTCCAAATTTCTGCTTCGGATAAACCTGGTGCTGCAGCAATGGCTTCCTCTGCAGTTATATCACCTGTAACTTCAGTTGTTGCATTGACAAATTCTTCTTCCTCTTCTTCTGGCTCTTCAACAGGAACATCATCATCGCTCAAATCCCATGCGTCACCTTCGACTTGCTCAGCAACTGCTCCATCTGCAGGTGCATCAACACCACCTGCATATTCATCTGGGTTTGCCCATTCATCCAAAGTATCCAATTGATTAACGTCTTCACCTTGATCAAGTACTTTTTCTAATGCCTTATCAAAGTAGCTTTCCTGACTGCTGAGTGATGGCCAATTTTCTTCATATGTTTTGTTAACCACAGTTGGAGGTTGTAAGTTGTGTTGACCTTCTGGTATTTTTGCCAACTTGCTTTCATCTACACCATCCATTGCAGCAATTTCTGTAACGATATCATTCAAACCATTTGATTTTGCTGTCATGTAAGCAAGTGGAAGCATACCAACATCGATCAAAATTCTGGCGCGTGCTTCAGCATCACCAAGGTAGAGAGAGTTATGAAATCTGGACATTTGGTCACCACGCATATCAGCAATCTTCTGCATCTTTTTCAGCTTTTCTGTATGTCCAGTTGTCAGGTATAGGAATGACAATCTGTCAAAGTTCTTGGTTTTTTGGTACGCAATTTCGACAATCTGAGACCTCTTAATTTTTGAAATAAGTCGGTTACATTTTACTCACCTTGTGGTTACCTTGTTTGAGTGCTTGTTGACTCAAACGCTCCCATACGTCTTCCCTATCTATACCCTTAGCTTCTTCGAGAGCAACGTCTAAGTTACCACACTCTATAGCAAGATCAAATCTTGTAGATTTGTCCTGAACAAAGTGTAATGCAATCTAAGAGAAATTGAGTAATAATATTTGGCGATTAAAACATTACACACCTCTGGGTAGCCCTTTCTTTGGAGGTAAGCAATGATACTCTGACCGACCAAAGTACTTGTTCTAATAATGTGTAGTACCTCGTCATAATTTCCTTTGATAAGGGCCAATTTAAACCTGTATTCAGTAGGATCGATCTCAATTTTCCTTGGTCTGGCTGAACGGTCAAGACAGTATGCAGTCTTTCCTTTAACCTTGACAAGGTAGACAGGTTGTTGTAATGTTTTTATAATACCATTGTCACCTTGTGGTAAAGCATATTTGATATGGTTTAATGTTGTATAAATCAAGATACCATTCTCATCGAAAGATGCACTTTTTATCCTGATAGTTTCGTGGATGAGACTACTAGAAGTGAGGCTTTTATTGGCCAAAGTAATTGTGTGCTTGCTCAATAAGGCCAACATCGAGTTATCGGCACTCCAGACGACATACTTGACAGGTGGACAAGTAAGCTCTGATAAAACATTTTGCTGTTGAATTTCGAATAAGACTACTTGCGTTGGACCTGCGAGGAGAAGTGTTGCTGTACCACCGTAGAAAATCTCGTTCGTTTGTACTGGACATTTAACAGATTTGGTGAGGTTATTTGACAAATCTCTAATTTCTATGCTTTGCTCCTCCTTATTGAGTACGGCCAATCTATTGCGAGCGACAAAGACAGCATTTTGACCTGTACCGCGTCTACCGTCGATTGACGAATCAGCGAGATCATCCTCATTTGGAAGATTCCTTGGTAAAGCAGCTAAATCGTAAGTGCCATTGTCTGCTGGTGATGCTACAAGCACACTTCTCTCAGCTGGATTAAAGCTCAAAGAACGTGGTGGAGTGTAAGCATTACCAAGCTTTTTGATAGAAAGAAGGGCAGCATCAGCTCCGGTAGAGAGGTCATGCTGACGAACAATCTTGTCGCGGACATAGTAGAGCATATTTTGATGAAGTGCGAATGCGGGTCTTTCACGCTCAAGTTTGAAGACAATTAGACCATTATCGTGGCCAGCTGCGAATAAGTTAAGTTCAGGGTGAGCAGTAAGAACCCAAAATCTGTCATTTTCTCTTCTGAACGTCTGAACTGCTGCGCGCTTGGACATATCCCAGACTCTGATTGTCTTGTCTTCACCGTTAGAAATTATAAGCTCGTGACGAGGGTGAAAGAGAGCGGAAGAAACGTTATTGAAATGGCCACGGCAAGTGTCGACTTCCCATGCTTTGGTATCTGACATTCTCCAAAGTTTTATCTGGCGATCATCACCAGCAGAGAGAATGAGAGGGAGAGTTGGGTGAAAAGTGACCCAATTGACACCTCTATCATGACCCTCTAAAACAAACTTTGTTGTTGCGTCCATACTGCCGAAAAGATCAGTTTGGCCTGTATTCGCTCTCTGGATTTGCTCTTCGAAAGAGAGGGGGAATGCAGTGGTATTCTTCTTCCTCAAACCGGAGATATCCCAAACTCTAACTGTCTGATCCATTGATGCGGATACGACTAGATCGTCTGTAGGGTGCCATTGAGCACACATGATATAGTGGTTATGACCAGTTAAGATAGCGATACAGGTTCTAGACTGCCAGTTCCAGATTCTAATAGTTTGATCGTCGGATGCGGTCAAGATCCAAGGGTGTGTGTGGTGGAAGAAGACGGTGCGTACGTAGTCGAGATGTCCGTGAAGGGTGAATAAACAGCGACGTGTCTTGTAGTTCCAGACTTTAACCTTGTAATCGTCACCACCGCTGGCTAAGAGCGGCTGCGTGGGGTGAAATGAAATACCTCTGACTGGACCTATAAGGGTGTAAACGAGAGATGACTGAAAAGAAAAAGAGATCTACCATCGTGCTCATCGAACCTATCGACTAGCGTGCCCATCTGATAGTTCCAAAGCTGTATAGAGCCATTGTGCAGACTGGCTGCCAACAAGGGTTGCTTTGGGTGGAATGAGATACCTTTCACACGATTAGACTTGCTTTCAAACTGATAATAGAAATTTATTAGTTTATTTATTTATTCTATTATTTATTTATAGTTTTACTTACTTTCGTTAATAAATTTAGCATTTGATCAACTTGGACGAAAGCAAGGCTATCTGAGCTGTCCAAGTTGACTGCGACCGTCATGGAAAATAATGTAGCATATTGCTTATTGGCGGAATTTGATATAGACCAAGGTTCTACGTCAGTCGTTATTCCTTTTTTATTTATTCTAACCCCGCTCAGGCTCTCTCAGCAGTATCCATTTCCAACCGGTACAGATGAGCAGTAGGTCCTTCTACCAGCTTTAATACATGCTCACGCTCATATTTCTAGCTTACTCGCTGATCTCATGATTCCAGAGGGTGCTCACGATCAAAACGAAGATTGGACAATATTCTTCCTCAATCAGACACCTGCAAATACAATCGCTCCTCCCTTGGATTCAGAGGCTCCTACACCGTTCATAAAACATAGGAGAACTTACTCAAAGGTGCTCGACCAGGAAGTCAACCCTAAACCTCAGCTTCTCTATGTCTTGAATTTGGTGAGAACAAAAAAGGATGATACAGTCCCAAGGTTGGTTTGTTCGGCTACGTAATCACTCCTTCTAATATTCCCATAGAGGTGCTCTTGTCAAGGCTCTGGCTATATGTTCAAAACAACCGTATATTCATATTTACAAACCAATTCTTCTCCTAGCACTTGAAGACTACTTCCAGTCAGGCTCACCTTCTATCCTTTCACGTCTCTACGATGCTATAAACAATATCAACTTCTCCTTAGTACCCCCAATTTCACGTTCAGAAAAGTCAATCCTCAGAGCTGCACCAGATCGCAAGGATTTATTCGCTGAGAAATGGTCTCACTCTTACTTCAAGCGTCCATCTGATGACTCAGACGTATTGAGCTCCGCTTTTGAGGATGACTTAACTGGCAATAGGCGTTCATCAAGCAATTCAAAGACGAATAATTCTTTAGAAGAGGAATTCGAAGAAAAGTTGAAGAGAACCAGCCTTGGTTTCTCTGATCCACTTTCAGAAAGCATTGGGCATCAATCTTACTTAGGTGTGTTATCTTGATTTGCCATTGAAAACAACTAATGGATACCCAGAGACTATCCCAGTTGACACACATTATTACAAGACTACCATTGGCTATGTCAATGTCGATTACAAGAAAATATCCCTTCCGACGCGTGTACCTTTAGCTACATTTGATGAGGAAATTGGTGATGTAAGTTGGACTATAACGCATTACTTTGCTGACGCTCTCAAGTATTCCATAATAAACCTCATTCAGACATTCTCTGCTCATCCAGTTCCATCATCACCTATGCATCCTCACTTGCATACTAGTGGTGCATCCACACATCCAATTATTCTCTTATTTAATGCTCTGATAACACAAAAGCGCGTAGTATTTTTGGGTTACGGTAAACCAGCAAGTTTGGTTACGAATTTTGTACTAGCTGCTTGCGCCCTTGTCAGTGGTGGTGGTGGTGTTCTCAGGGGATTCATTGAAAGAGCGTTCCCTTATACCTGTTTAAAGGATCTGGATAACTTCCTAATGATGTGAGTTGTTCCAACTCGTATTACTACTCTGACAACAAATTCAGCCCTGGCTATATTGCAGGAGTAACGAATCCTCGTTTTGAGGACAACCACGCATGGTGGGACGTCTTATTTAACATAAACACAGGTAAAGTTACGGTTTCGAGCCAAATAGAGCCTGTTCATCAACTCAAACACAATATACTTTCATCACCTTCACCAATACCGACGTATCAAACATTAAATAATGGTATAAGTAGTCAACACACTTCTCTGAGTACTCCTATACCTTCATCCGTGATAATGAATCAATCGTCATCATCTAATAGCGTTAACCACCAGTCTATGCATTCAAACAACCATGTATTAAGTTCTCCACCATCAAGATCAAAGCTTGGAATATCGGATAGCTTTTCTAGTGCAATGTCCAATGCCTCGGATGATGCTTCCATAACCACGAACCAGAAAAACGAAAATAATCATCGCGAATCTTCGGATAACATTTTTATGAATGAGGTTTGTTATATTACGCACGTTTCTAGACAAGTCTGACAAAGTAATGTAGATTATGGCGCTTATTAATGAACACTATGGAGAAGCACATATAAGAGCACGTTTCGCAGATCTGGTTTCGTCATTCGTAAAAATAGCTTCGAGGTACGAGGAAGAAACTTCTCCCAACGGTCAGACATCAATTGGTTTCCCATCTCAACCTTTCTCGAATGGTCAACTTGGAAGTGGAACAGTTTTCACTGATGAAAGTAACCGTGTTCGTGAACTTTCTGCAAATGCTTTCCGGATTGAAGGCTGGCAAGAAACAGCAACATATAAAAATTATGTGCATGTTAGTAAAACCTTACCTGATGCTACGATTATTGACAGTGTCTAGGATTTCCAACAATACCTGAAAACTCGTGCTATAAAAGATATTGATATTGCGCATCAAATTCATAGACTCAGAACTGCGAAAGGTATGAATCCAACTGAAGCACATATAATTTATCGTAGTTTGGCACAAAATACAGAAACCTATGAGCAAGTGGTAGAGGTAAGTCATATCATATAAATAATAGTTATGAACGGATTTAACTAATGAGATTAGATTATTGAGCAATTATCACCGCATCTTGATGGCCTATTACCACTAGGTTTCGGGTTGTTACATCCTCATAACTCTGTAAGAGATGCAGCAATGGATTTCTTTATTAAGCTTCAATCATACCCGGTGGGTGATATTATGAAACTTAGATTTCCTAACTAACACATACTAGCTGGGAAGTCTTCAGTTGAGTACGTTGAACGCTTTCTATAGACTTGCCTTGATGAGGCAAATTGATCACCGATATGGACAACAATCAGCGCAACAGGTACTTTAAATAAGATTTATGTGTATTTATATATTGTACTAATAGTTTAGTAAACAAATTAATCTGTTTTCTGTAATTGCGGAGGATGTGAAACACTAATTCTCAAGCATTTCATGGATTTTGGGATTAGAATAAAGTACTTTCGCAATGAAATACCATTTAAATGATTCTAATCGATATATTTATCGCGATTGCATGATGAAAGTACGTCATCTGATGAGAAAGAGAACTCAACAACAAAAATAGGGATCAAAAGTTAATTAAAAGCATTATACTTTTACTGCATACCAAGATCTTCTAGGAGAAGACTGGATCGATATGAGTGTCCTGTTCTTTACACTGCATTGGACTTATTTGGGAGGATAATACGACATGTAGATTCGTTACATTTTGATACAATCAAACTACGAATTCACCGACACTTGGACTAGAATATCAGCAATTTGGAGTTTTACTCGCAGAGATCTCAAACATATACACACCACTTTTGCTAATAGAAATACTCTTCGATAGTAAGCAAAAAATTAAATGGAAACTACTGCAAGTTCATCAGCAACAGAAGAGATTGGATATTAAACAACGGATTCAAGTATATCTCAGGAAAATAATAGAGTGGAAAGACGATAAACGTCCCCTAAGTATCTCGAGATGTATAACAAAGGCTGGAATATACCAAAACAAGGTTGCCCGACAAAGCTCAAACGTTCATGAGTGAAAGGGCAACGTAAAAGCCTTTAATTCAAATATAATATTATTCACGCTTTTCTAATTGCCTAATTCATTGGTACTGCCTAAGCTGGTAAAAAACACGTTCGATGGGTTCATCGTTATACTAGCAGCATTGGTAGTTCAGCGATACAAATGTGTAGTATAAGGAGAAATAATGATAGAATTGCTTACACTAAAGTACAATGCCATAAGTTAGCGCCCGAGTTGGTATCACGAATTTCTTCAAGGTTGGCTCAAGTAAGAATTTGGCATAAGAATAAAAGAATATTTTATTATTATAGAAATCCTACTTATAATAACGACAGAGGGTTACGTATTGTAAGAATAGCTCGATGACGCGTTCATTGAACCAAAACATCCAAGATGGTTGAGAATATTATGATAGACCAAACAGAAAAACCAACAGAAACGCTAGAGACTAGTAAAGAGGGAACAAAACCAGAGCAATCTGTTCTCGCTGGTGTGTAGATTCCGTCTCATTCGCCAATATCCTAACATTAGCGCAGAAATCAAGCAGAATGCATCACTTATTGAAAGGGCTGTTATAACAACTGAGACTAGAATTACCAGTAGAGTTTTGCGCACCTTAACGACACTCCGCAAGCGATTGACTGATCAGATTCTCCAAGAAGCCATACAATTATTAGCTTGTTCGTCTTCATTTATTTCTTATCACTCCTCTAACTCTCCCTTCAGCACAAAAAATCAGGACTCATTTATCCCCCTACCTTTCTAACGACATGCAGCTCGATTCGTCATCAGTTGAACCAAGCGAGACCGGTGTTTTCCCTGAAGTAGATATTTACCTCTCATTGCTCGTCATTCTACGCTTAATTGATAACTCAAGTTTGACTAGCGTAAGTCTTCTTAGCGTTTATAGCCCACACTCACAATCACAGGCTCTCGAGTTAGCATCTAACACTTTGAATACGATAAGGGCACTCAACAAGAGATCATTTGATCCACTCGCTGCAAAGGTTTGGTTCTACTACTATCGCATCCACGAGCTCCTCGGACAAGAACAGAGCGCATGCTCACATCTTCTCGTCGGACAAAGAACCGCTGTCCTTAGAAAGGATGGCGATTGTCAGGCTGTTATTCTTAACTGCTTGCTCCGCTGTTATCTCTCTGCAAAAGCGTATGATCAAGCTGATAAGCTAATCGCAAAGTCAACTTTCCCAGAAGGTGCTGGAAATCCTCAACTTGCCCGTTACCTCTATTATCTTGGTCGTGTGAAAGCTGTACAACTCAATTATAGTGAGGCACACGATAACTTACAGCAAGCGATTAGGAGAGCACCAAGTGGTACGATCGCGCCTGGATTTTTACAAAACGTGAGTTGTTTCAAAGTTAATAGAATGAATTTTTAAGATTATTATAGGCTTACAAATTCTTCGTTGTCGTTGAATTACTAATGGGCGATATCCCTGAACGCTCCATTTTCAAGCAACAACTCCTCAAAAGCTCTTTAGAGAAGGGTGGTTACTTGGCTATCACACAAGCAGTCAGAGTGGGCGATTTGTCTTTATTTGCGGACGCTTTAGAAAAGCATAGCGAGAATTTCATTCGAGACAATACCTACACACTCATTCTCAGACTCAGACACAATGTTATTAGAACAGGTCTTCGTATGATTTCACTTGCTTATAGCCGTATTCCATTACGTGACATTTGCGCTAAACTCAGACTTGACTCTGAGGAAGACGCTGAATACATTGTTGCAAAGGCTGCAAGAGAGGGTGTTATTGACGCAACGATAAATCACCAACAAGGTTACATGGAAAGTAAGCAAGGTGGAAATATCTATAATAGCGAAGAACCACAAGTACTCTTCAGACAAAGAATACAATTCTGTATGGGACTTCATAACGACAGTGTAAAGGTGGGTAGAGGAAGAGTGATATAGATAACGAAATGTAGCTAATATACTATCCCAGGCCATGCGTTATCCGCTTAAAGCTAAAGATGACGATCTCGCGAAAGCTGAAGAAGCAAGAGAGCGTGAATCAAGGCTGATTAGAGAAATTGAAGATGGTGACATTGGAAAAGGTGAAGAAGAAGATTAAGTAGATGTATTGATATTAAAAAATTGAATAAATATCTTTAAAATAGCATTATCATATTATCGTACCTTGTTGTTGACGTTGAGGATGAAATTATTGGCCGGTCTGAAATCCTTAGTGGTTTTAGTAACAGCGACAGCTTGTCTAGCAGATATCACGCTAGTAGAGCAAGCTAACGCCCAACTAGCAATTGGGAGATACAGTGATGCCGCTAATCTATTTACGAAAGCAATCGGTGAGTTGACAGCTGATTCGACTATACAACACTCATGCGCTTATTTTAGATGCTGATCCTAGTAGCTATCTATCACATTACAAAAGAGCAACTGCATACCTCAGTCTTGGTAGAAATGCGGCTGCGTTAAATGATTTGGAGACAGTACTCGAGTTACAGCCTACATTTGAGCAGGTGAGTGTGTATTCTAAGCTAATATACAGCTATTAATACCTACAATAGGCGAGAATTCAAAGAGCTAGGATCTTCTTGAAGGATGGAGAATATGTGCAAGCAAAGACTGAATTAGATACCTATCAGAAGAAGAACAAGGGTGACAAGATAGCGAAAGATATGGTTAGTATATCTTTTATAATATGTACACCCCTAATCAACTCTCAGCAAGCAAGTATAAAGAGTCTACAGAAGCTCATCAATCAAACAGAGAAGACATACAAAGCTAAAAGATGGTCTCAAACACTAGATTCAGTTACTAAAGCATTAGAAATTGCTAGTAACTCTTTGAGGCTCTATCAGATTCGTGTTGATTGCTACCTCGCTCTTGGTGACATAACTAGAGCGACCTCAGATTTGAAGTGAGTTATTATCTGATTAATCAGTTTATGCTAACGCATATTAGTCGTATCGTTCGTATACAACCCTCCATCCAATCAGATTTACTACTGAGACTTGCACACCTTACTTACTATTATCAAGGAAAACCAGAAGTATCCTTGAATCAAATGAAGCAATGCTTACACACAGATCCGGAATCTAAAGTATGTAAAAAGTTCTTTAAAGTGCTTAAAAACGACACGAAAGACATAAACCGCGCTATCATGTTCTCACAATCGGGTAATTGGAGGGCATTAGCTAGCGTAATTAATGGTAGCAATGGACTGCTCAAACGTTTAGATCAAGGGATGTTAGCTGGTAGCACAGTAACAGAATGGAGTGGCTTAGAAGAAGCGCCAATACCCAAAGCAGTCTATGAGGCAGACTTGAGTCCAGGGTTGAGGAACTATTTTGTTACTTTGGTGTGTAAAGCATACGTACAATCAAACGATCTCAAGAAAGCTGAGGCTTTCTGTGAAGAGACACTCAAGTTTGACGTCAACAACCTTGATGCTTTAATCGCAAAGGCTGAGGGATACCTCAACGCAGAAGACTATGAAAAGGCAGTTGAGGTGTTTGAGAAGGCATTCGAAGCCAGTGGTAGATCAAGTAGGGATGTAAGTGGGGGTGCTCATATAAAGAGAGAACTGACGTTTGCCAGGTTGCGTCAAGATTACAAAGAGCTAGAAAGTTATTAAAGCAAAGTAAATCAAAAGATTACTACAAGGTACTTGGTGTTCCTCGCAGTGCATCCGACAAGGAGATAAAGAAAGCATAGTAAGTAACATATAAATTTTAAACATAACAACAAACTAAGTTAATCTAGTCGTAAACAATCAAAAGAAGCGCATCCAGATAAAGGAGGCTCGGTAGAAGCGATGGAGAGATTAAACGAAGCGTATGGCGTATTGAGTGATCCAGAATTGCGTAGAAGGTTCGACGAAGGTGATGATCCAAATGATCCGGAGAGTGGACATGAACATCCATTCCAACAAGGTGCTGGTGCATTCCAGCAAATGTTCTTCTACAATGGATTCCCGGGTAGCTTCTCTGGTGGGGGATATCCCGGTGGATTCGGTAGCAGACATTTTATGTTCAATTTCTAAGCAATGCATTTTATAAAAATTAATTTTTTTTACAAAAGATGTCTGCCTCCCTAAAAGTGGAAGTAATATTTTGACCTGCAGCAGCGCCACAATCAGGAAGCTAAATTTATAATTACCGTAACAAGTGTACGGATAATATAAATATAAATATAAGATATATTTTTAATAGATTACTATTTAAATTTCGCTTATTCCCTTATTAGCACATGATCATTGAATGGATTACAGGTTGTACAATCAAGAGCAGGACTTCAGCTGGTCACAGCCTAAGCAATTCAACTACGACAATGATGAGGAGTTCAGCGAACTCGACAGTCAGCTCGTAGATAAGCTCAGCTTGGAGACTGACTTGTTGTTTGGTTTTAACAATACAACGCCACAATTGCCGCAGATAAATAACCCTAATTTAAATATATATCCCATAACTTCAACGTCAACTTCAACTTCAACTTCAAAGCGCGATTCCCACTTACAAAACCTATTCAATTCAAAACCAAATACTTTCTCAACGTCATTCAACAGCCAATTCAAACAACAGCCGAGTTTTTCTCCTTTAAATTATAGCGATTCTATTCCTAGTTACAATACTTTACAGTCAGTCCCAGTCCCTTCGACTATTACTATCTGGTTCGGAGGTTTACCTCAAAATATCACATCAGAACTTTTCACCAAAGCTTTACAAAAGCATGATTGCCACCCTATATCTTTATCAACCGTTATCGATCGTTCACATTGCGCTTTCGCTTCTTTCATTGATCCAAATGTTCTTACACGGTTGGGTACTTTCGAAATTGGTGGTAGAAGAATCAAATTTAGGATAAAACACGCTACAGGTAAGATTGCTAACCTACTCAGTGATGTAAGTGTAGTTTTTGTCTCACTAATCAACCTGATGATATCTTTTCTAGGCAGGTTTGTTCCCTCATCCTGTAATGAACCTAGATAAGTCTTCTACACCATCAGTTCAAGGGTCTGGTTCAAATCTTAGTCAAGGTCATTTACCTCAAACGAGCCAAGTACCTTTCACTCCAAAGTCGCATCCACAAGATCGACCAAAGAGGCCAACTATGTCTAGTAATCCTAGCTTTTTCCAATCAAAACATAATACACCTCAAGCTCAGTCACAAACCCATTCTTATTCGCAGTTCAATCAACCTTCCACTTCATCATCTATGCGACATGAAAATGATGCGGTTGCAGCAGCAGCCGCTGCTGCATCACTTACTGCACTTTCTGTACTTAAAACACCTCATGTTATGCAGGCTGCTTCAGCTCCTAATGGCCCTGGTCAAGATGTTCTTGAGCAAACTCAACATTATTTGAGTTTGTTGGTTGAAGGTTTTCAAAAGCAATCATCGAAACTAATTAATGAAGGGAGTGGTCAACTGTTTTCACAAGCTGAAAAGATCGCAGAAAAGCTTCAACAATCTACTGCCTCGAATGATAAGGTTGAGTCATCACAGCCTCAAGTGGAAGGTGAACCAAATGTAATTTATACTTGGAAAGGTGCTGGTAGACCAAGACGTTACTTCATATTGAAAGCGCTTTCAAAGGTTTGCTCCCTAATTTTTATGTCATTTTTACTGACAATATTTAGAGTGATCTAGATACCTCAAGAGAAGAAAACAAATGGTCAACACAAGCCCAGAATGAAGAAATTTTGAATAAAGCTTTCAATGAAGCATCACACGTGATTTTGTTTATGTCTGCTAATAAGCAGCGTGGCTTTTATGGATTGGCTGTAGGTTATTTTAATAGTATTTGGGGAAAACTAACAAAGTATAAGCGTATGACAAGTAAGATACCAAATGAAGAAAACGCAAATAAGGATCAAAATGCACCTTCATCTGATATCCCAGCAAGACATTCTAACCCAGATACTGATAGAAAAAGTAATGAAAATGAAGGGATTGAATCAAGTAAGAATTCCATATATTTTATGTAAACCCAACTGATCATATTTTAGATTCGATAAAAACTCTAAAATCAAACGATGAAAAAACGTGGTCAGGTATGTTTGATCAGTTTACTTTATGTGCACCACTAATATAATGTAGCTCCAGTAGCGGAATTCAATGATGATGTATCCTTGAATGTCCAAGGAGAACGTCAAAACAAAAGCGATCCAATTATTCCTATGAAAATATCACAATCACCGAAGGATGACGATAAACAACTCGCAAAGGAGGAAGAAATTGAAGATACAAAAAATGCACCTGGTGCGCATTTGGTATCTCCAACTGTGACTCCTTCTCAATTTCATACATTGGATGCGCCTTCTCCTATGGAGAAATTGCCACCAGCAGAAGACCAAACCAAGCAAGCTGAGACTGAAAAACACACACAAAGGACAAGAACTTTCGGTCGTCCATTTTCTGTTGAATGGTTGTCTACACAATCTGTACCATTTTCGTAAGTAGATATAATGATATCAAGACGCGTAGTTAATGATTAAAATAGGAAGTTGAAAGGTGTTAATAATCCATGGAATATAAATAGACCAGTAAAGGTTTCTCGCGATGGCACTGAAGTTGAAACAAGAGTTGGTGAACAGCTTGTTGAAGAGTTCGGCATATCAGCATCAGATTTAGATAAATTAACTAATAACGATCAAAGAAAACTACAATAATATAACTATACACGAGTTCATGACGAATAAATTAAATAATATAATGTAAACAAAAATTTTTACCTGCTTAATTTCTGTATCATTACTGTTATGACATACCTCCATGGATCGCAAGCCTAGCTCAGAAATAAGTCAAAGGCTGATATCTGGTGCTACAGTAGGTGATTAATGAAGTTTATAACTAAACTAAACTATTTAGTCTGGCTTCGCTGCTGCTGTCGCTTTACAACCTCTAGACGTCATCAAAACGAGACTGCAACAAGTTGAAGGTCATAATGAAAGTATAAATAAGAAGAATTTGAGTAGTTTATTAAAATCTACAAGGTTTGTTAACTATTTCTTATATTTTATATACTTAATTCCTCATAGAGTCTACGATATCACTAAGGCTATCATTAAAGAAGAAGGCTTACGGGGATTGTGGAGAGGGACTAGTCCAACCTTATGGAGGTGAGACTATCATTCATTATGTACACCACTCAAATCATTTATTAGAAACGTTCCAGGCGTTGCACTTTGTTAGTTAATTAGGAAACTATTTAGATTTCACTAATGAACTTCAGACTTTACATCATTACAATCATTGAGAAGTTACATGATCACTACTGGATTATTTTTACCAAACCACACTTCAAATGGGAAATCATCATCTGAATTCTCGAGGTTAAACAGTCGGGGAAACCTCATTTCAGGTGCATTAGCGAGAACAGCTGTTGGGTTCCTATTAAACCCTTTCACAGTTTGTAAAGCTCGCTTTGAGGTGAGCGATTTCGACTTCAATGACGCGATAATGATTAACTGACACATTCCTATTAGAGCAATTTATACAAATATAAATCTATCGTTGGAGCACTCACTGACATTGTCAAACAATCTGGTCCACGTGGTCTCTTATCTGGTTTCTCTGCTTCGGCTTTACGTGACGCTCCTTATGCTGGTTTATATGTTGTTATTTACGAAAGCATGAAGGATTACGGATGTAGGTTCTTATCATGTGGCATTAGATGTCAAAACTGATTTATATAGCTCAATTCAACGCAAATGGGAATAATATACCTCCTCCACTCATATATAGTGTCTCGGGTAAATAATTTCTAGTTGCTATTTTGAACTTCTAATGTTAATTTTACAGGATTATTTGCTGGTACAACTTCCACATTGATAACACATCCGTGAGTGTAGATATAACGATAAAAATTTCGCTTAACTTACCATTACGATAGATTTGATGTAGTAAAAGTGAGCGTTTTTACAATCATACACCTAAATATAATTCTAACAGCGGGTTAGACCAAAATGCAAATATTTCCAAATCAATATAGAACGTTATCGAGATCAATAGTGACAATACTCAAAGTAAGTATAATAATAAATGCCTAAGATAAGATTGAACTTAAATTTGCTTAGAATTCACCGCGTTCGCTCTTTGCGGGCAGTGGAATAAGGATAACACGTAAAGCATTATCATCAGCCATTGGTTGGACTGCGTTTGAAGAGTTAGCGCGTCTATTGAAGAAAACAAATAAATAATTTATATTTATCTAAGAGACATTGATTGAGATTATAAAGTATACATCAATGTAAAAATTCGTTTAGAGTAACAACATTCCAATGGTTGAAATAGCTGATAAGCCAAGAACAGCGTATCCAGATTGATAGGCACCTTTGAGTGTTAAGACTGGGGTGTTTTCGTTAGAAACTATTCTCAGACATAGAAAAATGAAACTCACACTTGCCAGTATCCCATAACAAGTGTCTAATACCATTCAAAGAGTGGAAAGAGAAGGCAGCAGCTACTGGTGCTTTAACGAGTGTTTTAAACCAAACAGGAGCTGATTGTACGAGCTCGATAAGCGACTGGCTGTCAAAGCCCGCACCAACAAATGGAAGGGTAACGTAGCCAATCGCGAAAGCGTAAATACCGGCAGATAAACCAACGCCGGTAACTCTGTGTCCAATTGAAGCCAACCAAGTTAATTGTGGTTGGTAGATGGTGAAATGTGGTGATGAAGGTCTGAGATTTCTCTGGCGGTTAAGTAATGCGAGATTTTCTGATTCATTGAGTGCTTCTGTCTTTAAGAATCTTTGCTGGAGAGCGAACTTGGTAGTAAGTCTAAGGTTAGCTGCATAACAAAGTAAATAGGTGTATATATAAAAGCCAAAAGCGCCTACGTTGTGCGAATGCTCTTACGCAATTTGCGTGTATTCCAGTTCTTGAGATCATCATCGTCGCTAATAAAGGTTGACTATGATTGGCTGAATTCCTTGGTTTTGAACTAACAATCAATAAAAAAGGATGTTTGATAAATTAACCTATAAATTCAATATAGATCAATCAATTGAACATTCTACTGATATACCTATCTTATGGCTATACGGACGCTCTTCAATTTCATTCGAGCGTACGTCAGTTGTTGATTCGCTCTAGTAAACTAACAAATTCAGCTGAATGCTTGAAATGGCAAATATATTTATTATTTAACAACATAAACTTTAGCTTAAAAACTATAAATGAACCAAAAGCGTCGCCTAATAGTTAGTCATTCGCTAGTATTTACATAGAAGACATCTAACAAGTAATCAGATAAACTACCCCTATTAGAATTACCGCATAAACCGAGTCAGCGCGCTGTTTTATTAAAAGACGATGAAATCAGAAAGTATGTTGAAAACATTCAAGATATTCCCGAAGCCGATACAACCGAGCTTGATATCCTAGAACTAGTCGAGAAACAACTTAGATCATCATTCGTTAGTTATATAAACTAACTATGCGACCAACTAACCAACTAACAGCTTACTTACTTTTTCTTTATGCCCTCTACATCCGAACAAGCATCTAAACTTTATTTCCCAGAGTCAAATGATACAGCTTTGGTATCCGTACAAAGATCACACAAATTCAGTCGATTGAAAGCTGCATTAAGCGTAGAAATAGCTAAGGTTGTTAATGGAACTGACAAGTTAGAGAATGCAAGCACAACATTAACTTCTCTCATTCTTTCACGCTATTTCCCTAGTGATATGCCGTATGAGAGCGTTCAGATTGATGTTGATGTAGTAGATAGGATCGCTGCATCCACTTTAGCGACACTATCTTCCAAACTTGGTTCAAACACTTGGATATTAGGTAAAGAGTGAGTGAAGATAGGCATTTGTTGATTGTTCACTAACTTATAATCTAATAGTAAGCCAAGCTTTGCTGACGCAACTCTATTTGCTTACTTATATCTCACACTTTCACTCCTTCCTCCTTCGTCTCACCTTCGCAGACGACTAACAGGACATATAAACCTGACTCATTATACGCAACACATCGCTAGTGACTACCTGAAAGCTAGAATATAGTTAATGTATAAATAATGAACAAATTAATGTGGAATATTTTCACGTGCTTGTTGTCTTACTCTCCGTCTAAAGTAAATTAGAATGCGTAATTTTGAAGCATTATTTACTCACTCGTAGCCCGGTTTGTCATTTCTGAGAGTTTAGTGCGTTAATATAAACTTCTCTAACTGAGAGGATACTCACTTGAACATTGTGTATGCCTCTACTTGAGCAGGATCTGAGGCGTTAGGATCAGTCATGAGCTCTTGAATACCAAGAACAATCTAGTTAGTGTTAATTGTTTATTTATTATACTAGTTTCGTATATTACCTGTTTTATAGTGATTGCTGGTTTCCATCCCTTCTCTTCGTCAAGAATACTCAAACAAACGGTACCACTAGTGTATCGTTAGTTTATAAAACGATATTAATAGTCAATCTAACTTGCCTAGGGTAGACATTTGGATGGAATAGTGGTGGAGTGAATTTACACTTTGGCGGCTTAGACGGGTAATCTAAGAAGATAAGGGAAGAACAACTCTTAATCGCATACAGCTCACCTTCAGGGAATTGCATGTTTAACTTGTATACACCGTGTTCCCATGCACTCTAGTTTACGATTAAGAGCTATATAGATCAAGTAAAAGTATACGTACACCTGATTTACCTGGAATACCAACCTCCCATATCAAAAGATTCAATGAACCATCAGGAAATTTAGTTGGTTTAGCCCAAAATCCCTTTGAATGTTTAATAAATCGCTCTAAAACGCCTTATAAGACTCACGAATGGATGATCTTTCCTCCAGATCTTTCTCTCTTCTGCAAGCCTCGTCCTAGCTACGCCTGACCTAAAAGTCGCGTTAATTTTATTTCGTTATCGCTATCAGTTACCGATTACATCTTGAATGTTCAAGTCTAAGAAGTTTAGATTACATTTATATTAAAAAATACAATTATACATCAGTTATTTACTATTATGTTTTCATTCTGGACATTAATTGGTCCGTGTAGTACTGTATTTGCTCTTCCAATGTAACCCAGGATGACTGGAGAAGATTTATTTCTTGCTCATGACTGAGCTCTAGTTCACGTATCTGTTATCTATATTAGCTTTGATCTAACTACAACCTCAAACTCACATCTTGTTCAAGCTTCGAATTCCGTTCTAGCTTTTGCTCATACTCTTTACGACGTTCTGATCTTTCAGTAGAAATTGCTTCATGCTCCGACCTGAATGCTGCCATCTGGGCTCTGATAGCTTCACGCTTTTCTGTTGCCATACGCTGGGTACGTTCTAATCTTTCCTTTGCATTGTCAACTTGCTTGGAAAGTTGCTGAAATTTAACATCCAAATCATTATGATCCTTCTGGTTCTGGTCAATTTGGTCTCTAAGTTCTGCTGATTGTCTGAACGAAGTGTCGACTTTGTTCTGTTCTACTTCGATTACTTCAAGTATAGAAATACAAGCTTGGATATCCTAATAACTAATAAGATTATCTATCTCACTTATATAATTTCACTTACGGTCTTAAAGTTGTCCATATACTCCAACCTGATCTTGAGATCCCTCGTACGCTTCTCAAGTTGTTGCTCAGCCTGTCGTTCTGCAGCGAGCTCTTCACCCATATCACTAATAGCTCTCTTTTGCCTCTCAGGTGATTGCACTAGACGTGCGCTTGAGGCTTGGCCGACCTGTTGAGCATTGTGAAGCAGACTTTGATAATGTGTCTATGGTTATAAGCTTTAGCAATTACGAAAAGACGAAAACTCACTATAGCCTTGTTAAGCTCAGCTTTGTGGTTCTTGAGCTTATCAATTTCTGTTGCTAGAACAGTCTGATGTTGTTTCAGCTTTGAAAGTTCACTCAAAGATTGCTCGATTTCCAGTCTAGCTTGTTTAGCTTGTGGTTCATCTTGAGCTCTTTGATCTCTGTTTTTGTTAATTATGTACTGCTATAATAACCATACTAACCTCAATTTGTTTGTTTCTGTGCGGAGTCTTTCATTATCGGCGCGTAATTTATCGCGACGTTCCTTCAATTTATCACTCTTAGCAGCAACCGCATCCACTGTAGACTGCCTTTCATGTTTAAACTTGGCAAAGTTAACCAAAGCTGACAATATCTTCCTGGTTCTCGCTGGATCTGGCCTTGTGAGATCCTGTAAAGAGAAGAAATCAACCTGAGCTATCTTTGTGAGGTTTGTAACGTGTTGATGGAACATCATTAATGGTACAGCATCTGAAAACAACTCCTGTGTTGTTATTAGAACTATTGATCAAGACTAACTGAACTTAGCTCACAGGGTACTCCATTCGCTCTAATAACAAATTCTTTGGTCCTTCTAGGGCTTCCGGACGTAATCCCATAAAGAAATCGAGGCATGCAGCGTAGATCATTTGTACAACTTGTGGTGTTGGTCTGTTTATATCATCTGCTGTTATTCTGAGATTAAAATATTGAGGATCTGATAAACATTGTACTAATTCCGCAACCTTAAAGGCTGGTAGTACAACTGACATTTTATCTTAAACTTGATGGTACGAGTTAAACGCGTCGATCACGCGTCTTACCTTCTTTAGAAGTTACACCCAAGACTATTTTTATAAGGAAATCTAAGGACATTTACAAATACAGCGCTTTCTAGTGTACCACTCTATGCCTGACGTAGTAAAATCGGGCTCATAGTCGTAATAGCCACTCCGTCACTCACAAGTTGCGCAGACGCGTATTTCCTAACCTATGGTTTCAATACAGTCTATTCTTTATATTTTGCTGATTTAAGGTCTGCTCTTCACGTAGGCATCAGAGCCAGTGCTTGGCTAAGTACGTTCTGACTCTCCCTACATGTAGCTTTAAAATACCTTAGATTCACGCGACAGACATATTTCTGAATGGCTGATCACTTCTTTCACTGTCCTATTTGCTTTAGCGAGCAATTTAGGTCGGTTGGCAGCACTTTCAAACTCCATCTTGGAGTCTGAAAGCGCTCTAGTGACTCTGGTATATTCCATGAGCTTCCGTCTTAACAGATGGTTTAATGATGGCTAAAAGGAGTGTCGGCATGAACGCGGAAGCGTGATTTGTTGATAGACGAACTTCTGTTCTGTTCCATAAGATATCCTGAGTATGTTTGCTCATTAGTTTGGGGAACTTCTCATACGACACTCGATTACAATGTTTTTGCCTCTGGAATTGCAAAGCTAATGCTTTAGCATGTTTGAGTTAGCTTTTATACTCAGCTTTGAGATTACGTTGGACACGTCTTCGTGAGAAGCGTGTAGAGTTACGTACTCGCCTACCAGCATCTTTCGGGAGTCACTTAGTTGAGATAGAAAAGTTATCAACAAACTCGCTTGTTCTTGGTTTTGCTAAAGAGCAGCAATTCAGTATAATCAAGGAGGTTGCATCTGCAGGCAACAACAATATACTGCATTGAAAGTTGTTTGTCGTATCATTGACGGACAGTTACATACTGTCGGAGGGTTCTAAACTGTATTCATTCTCTCACGTTGGAGTATGGTATTGTTTGGTCCTTCCACCCTTTTATCAGATAAGTGATTGTATAACCACTTGATTTGGACTAATTCAGGTGCTTCAGTGTATTACTATAGTTATTACTAAAATATATGCATAATATTATTCTGTTTTGACATGAAGCCCCCGCGAGAACTGTTTAATGACACTTCCAATAATGAAAGCAAACGCGAGAAGTGTGATTGTGACATTAACACGACCGACAATTTGTTCATGATCGCTAGATCCGGTTGGTAAATATACTGTATTGGTATATTGACTATCTGATTGTATAGCTGGCATAAGTTTAGCGAAAGATTGATCGTAATGATATCACCTACTATCACATGAGTGATAAGAGCTAATCAGAGTGCTCTCAACGACGCCTGTTTCCAGGTAGCTCGTTGGTTCTTTCTTAACTAAAGGGTATCTACCATGGACAGGTACTTCTATCAGCTGGTGATTTGTATGGAACTGAACGATAGTTCTGTTGTCATCGCTATCTAGCGCTACTTCGGGCAATTCCACGTTTGTATTTCCTTGTAAAAGCACTGGGGTTCTACTACCCAGCTTATGTGCGTTATCAAGCCTAGTAATCTCATCCCAATCTACATACAAACTCGGAGAGAGTATGAGTGTAGAACAAGCCTCCTCTAGTCTGCCATCCAGAATAACCTTAAAATGCATTGATTGATTTGGGTAGACGTTCATTCTACTCGTTAATTTTCTACTTAAGAGATGACATCCAAGAATGTTATCGCACAATCGGTAAGATAAAGAATGGAAAAATATGAAAATCTAATTATATAAAGCTTAAACAACCAAAATCTATTTCAATAATTGGTGGTGGTATATCTGGCTTATCTGCTGCTTATTACGCTTCGAAAGCGTTCCCTGCAACGAAAGTTCACCTTTTTGAAGCATCAGATAGACTTGGAGGATGGATAAATAGTGAGAGAATAAATCTAGGTAACTATGGCACAGCGCTTATCGAAAGTGGTCCACGAACTTTACGTCCAAATGGCGTTAGTGGGGCATTAGTACTCGACCTAGTAAGTTTTGATAGAATATGAAGTTATTCACTGATAGTAAACAGATAGATAAACTCGGATTAGAAAGTAGTTTATTATCAGCTTCAAAAAGCTCACCAGCAGCAAAGAATAGATTCATTTATCACCCAGATAGATTAAATCAATTGCCATCTTCATTAGCTTCAATTCCTAGTGCATTATTAAAGTACAAAACACTTCGTGCTATCCCTGCCGCTATACTTAATGATATCAAGACACCAGCACATAAGCGCGAAGAAAATGAAGACGAGAGTGTGGACGCTTTCTTCAGGCGCCGCTTCGGCGATAAAATAGCTGATAACATTGCTAGCGCTGTGATTCACGGTATATATGCAACAGATAGTCGCGATTTATCGCTGCGTACGGCCTTCCCTTTACTTTATAAGTTAGAACAGAGGGCTGGTTCTGTCGTAAAGGGGTTGCTTAAAGGTGTTGGTAAAGACAAAAAGGAAGAAGCATTAGAATTGGCGATATTAGATGGTATTTCACCGTCTTTACGTGCAACTATGCAGACTGCAAGTATCTTCAGCTTCAAAAATGGAATCAGCGAGATTGTTCAAACACTAGAATCAGCTTTACATAAAAATAATAACGTGGAAATCTATAAATCATCTCCAGTCAAGGCGATTACCCAACAGCCAAACAAAGATTTCGTCATAGATACCCAAAATGGCTTGAGCCTAGAAAGTAGTCACTTGATATCGTCAATACCAGCTAAGCAACTTTCATTACAGAAGCTTAAGTTATCTATCCCAGTCTTAAAATCGCCAGACGTTGCTGTGGTGACTTTAGTATACCCTCAAACTGAATTACCTATTACTGGCTTCGGATACTTGATACCGAGATCAACGCCTAGACAGAAAAATCCCCATGGTGTACTTGGAGTTGTGCTTGACTCGGACGCCATGCCAAAGCAAGACCCCAAGCCAATTACAAAGTTAACAGTCATGCTTGGTGGTCCATACGGTTTGAAATCGTTCGACGATGATCACTTGAAGAATATGGCCATCGAAACTGCTGTTAATCAGCTTTCAGACAATTTACACACACCTATAGCGTCCAAGGTTAGTGTTGCAAGGTCATGTATTCCAACGTATCCACCAGGATATCAATCAACCTTACAGGAACTACATGACTCACTCTCAACAGATTATGATAGTCGATTTGCAGTTATAGGTAGCTCGTTCACAGGTATATCAGTTGGTGATTGTGTTCGCAGTGGTTGGGAAACTATTGAAAGTTATAAAGCATTTGGTAAAGCAACAGGCCTTGAACGTTGGAAGCGATAAATTCACTTGTATATCATATTAAACCGTTATAATGCATTGAACATAGAAAGAGCATCTTGATTGAAAATTACGATATGCAAGCACCACAAGTTACATACCTTTTTTACAAGTTAGAAGTATCATAACAATCCTTTATAACGTATGGACTGACTTTCGCATACATTTTCCTGTACATATATGTTACAACTTGGTTGTACGTCACCTTTAAGGAGCCACCTCAGTAGATTACGAACAAGCAGAAATTTTAGTTGACTATGTGTGATTTAATTTACATAAAAGTTACACTAAGTTAGTACTTCTTTGGATGTACTCATCTCTTGATACGGAATAAACATTATCTAAGACATAAGCTTAGTAAATATCGGAGTGAATTCAATCGTTAACGTTTTACAATATACTTAAATAGTTTAAGTACTTATAACAAAAGCGACAGTGATACAATTGACAGACTATAATGTTTATTGAAGACAATACTGATAGTATTCGTTCAAACTTTTGGTTTAGATCTTTGCCATTCCTTACACCCTACAGAATAAAGAACGAATAGCTATAAACTCATTTTATACAATAAAAAGAGAAGAATTGCAATAAAGATAAGTCCACAATTCTTAATTCCAGTTTCAATATAAAAAGTAATCGAACCTCTGAAGCCTGTACGTGTTCAAATAATAGAAAATAAATGATAAATCTTAGTATTCTATAACGCGTAGGGTATATCATTAGTGATTCCTAATAAATGTTAATTGTTGCTTTAAAGATAATGAAGACACCTACTTTGGAATTCATCGTACGCAATTGAACGAGAGTTCTCGTGTGCGTTTCTAATGACACCAATCATGTATTGGGATGCAGCACGATCATCCAAATGAAGCATAAACCTATCTCTCAATCTACTGATAGTGCCTTCTCCCTTGAATGATGGCAATTCAGTTCCCAGCATGAGCTTGACGACATTTACAATCTCGTTGGCATAGATTCGAGAAGCTATGAAACCCTTAACAATGAGCTCCTGGAACATCTTATAACCGTCACTATCTTTACCGCCCATCACAGTAACCATTTCGTGACTCAATTTGAACGAGTTAGGCTCAAATTTGATACCACCAGGACCGATATCGAATAAGAAACCGAAATCAATGTGAACTATGTGACCCTCCCCATCGATCATAATATTACCATTATGTCTATCTTTAATTTGCAATATGTAGCAAATGAGAGAGTAAGCAGCCATAGATCTAATGAAGTTAAGTCTACTCTTTTGGTAAGCCATACTCTCCTTAGATCCAAACGTTTGTAAGAAATACTCCGCGAGATCGTTTACTTTGGCTCTTCCCATTTCATCTCTTGACGTTGCGTTTGGTACGACATCAATGACACCACACTTAATAACGTTAGCAATGAGTATTCTAAATTGACGACTACTTACACCAGGGCCTGTAGCAGTGACGCGATATGGGTTTAAATACAGAGCTAATCCACTTGTGAAGAAGATAGTTTTGAATATAGCTATGGCTTGTAAAGCAAGGACATCTTGACGGCAATCGTCTCCGACCTTGAATATAGCTGCTTGCCATTTCTCAAACACATGCTTCTTCTCTTCTTGGTCATTGTCAAGTATACCATCATCAGCAGACTCAAGGTTAACGACCTCTTTGCGGACCTTGAATGTCGCCATAAATGGAGCCTTTGCATGACTTTGTAAAGGTCTACCGGAAACCTTATCGATATCGACAACAACACCATCTGGATTACTTGGTAAGTATACACCAGGATCTACCTCGATCTGTTTCATTTCCTCGTCAATCTTTTCCTGGAATAGTGTCAAATCACGATAACAATATAAAAAAACAGAAGCTTACCTTCTTCTCTGGTTTGCTCTTTTTCACGAATGGTTTGAGTTTACCGGAAATCGAAGTAACGGAATCGAAAAACGTGAACTCTCTTTCGTAGAAATCCTTAGCATCACCAGATAGAGATGAAACTATCATATTGATCATATTTTCTAACAATGGTTTCATAGGATCAGCTAATTCACCATTATCATCTCTATGCGTGTTAGCTTTCATGTTCCAGATAATTTGATGACAGAATAATTGAGAAATCTTAGCTGTCTCGAAAATGAATCTTTCCACGTATCCTAATTTATCATCACGAAGAGCTTGTACTATTTGTGGAACGTAGAAGAAAGTAAGTTGAACTGTGTGATGTTCCAAACATTTCATTGCATATTGTAATATCATTGAATCATTTTTATATTCCGGTTGGAAATATGCCAAAGCAGAGGAAGGAGAAACAGGTGCCCAAAAGTTGAGGAATCTTAGTGATGTTGAAGAGAGTTCTTGAAGGCCACCATTGAGGAAGTGTTCAAGAGCTTCTGGGATATCAATAAAACTATTTGTGAAGTGTCTCGCCAGTTTCTTCAACTCCCTTGTGATAGTTGGTGATTTAAATCTGCTTGCTAAGCCCATCAACAATTCTGTCGAATGAGCCCACGCAATGTTAATGTATTTATGCCATTCATGCTCGGATATTGTTGCATTATGCATTAGTGATGGAAGATAACCACCTCTCTCCGCATCGTTCAAAGGATCGAGCCATACTTTCAATTTGTTCACCTCATTATCGAGCAATACTTCTAAAAGTTTTATTCTTTCTTTGTAGGTGTTATCCATAGAGGTTGAAAGACTACCAGATGATTTAATATTTAATAAGAAGACATTCAGACATTGAATGTCTGACTTGATTTGTAGTCTGTTACCACCGAAACACCAATGTGGCTTAACAGTGAACCACGAGAGTGCACAGTTGAGCGTTGATTCTCGTAACAAACTCTCAGAGTTGGAATCCAATGAAGCAGTTCTGATGACTCTAAAAGCCGTGTTCAAGATTGTGAACCTAAGTTCCCTAGATAATGGATGTCTGCTCATCAGGCCAGATTTCGTTGATTTATATAAACACTTTGAGATGGTAAAGATTGCGACTGGATCGTGTGATTCAAGTGATGTGAGGAATCCATTTAATAATTGAATAACGTAGAGATGGGGTAGGAATGTTTTCTTAGCTACTGTCGCATTATTGTTCATTTCTTCTTCGTTCGATGGTGAGTACTCAATACCATCGTGGAAAGGATCAATTTCGGAATTCACTGTAGAGAACAATCCTTTACGTGCTTTGATAGTTGATAACCATTCATTGCATATTTCCATAATGGTTTTAGTTTGAAAATCTTTTCTTTCGTGGAACAACCAAATCCATACTTCAAGTGCAGTGGAAATAGAATCACCTGTGAATACTTGGAAGGGAACTGAAACCAAATAATGGAGGAGCTCAAAATCAAGCTTATTCGATGCAACAAGGATACCTGCACATCTCCAAAGAAGACGCTTGAGATCAGGTAGAGTCAAATCACATTCCTTGTTGTGTATACCATAAAGTAAATCTTGTGTTTGCTTCTTTAGTCTACGTACATCCTCCTTAGAGATCTCATTGTCTGGTATTTTGTGCATTTCGTTAACTCCTTTGAAAGCGTTAGAAATAGAACGAAAAGCTTTAGTTACGTTCTCACCCTTCTTTAATGCTAATCTAACACCTGTAATTTCACCATTAGTTTTACAACGAAGTCCGAATCTATTGGAGAAGGCACCGGCAAGGTCTTCATCCAATTGTGACTTCGAAGCTAGGTGAGAATCGCTTGATGGTATCTTGAGTGAATATTTCAGAGCCAATGAAGCGCCATAGTGGGTTGGAGATGCTTCACTAGTCTCACTGAGATATACCTATCGACTTCTTAGCGTAAATAATTTTAGAATAAGAATACTCACGCTCAACGCGGAGCTGAGCTCCAAATTTGCACCAGGTAAAGCCGAAATAACCCATACATCGAGAGAATGAGTAAGCTTTTTAATCAAGCTATCCTTGAGCGAATAATTGTCAGGAAGGTCAACCTCAAAAGCAGCGAGTGTTGAACTGTAATTGAATTTGAACGAGTATTCAAATTCCAGTTGGTTAGTACATGACTCATGAAGCAAACTGAGCAGTTCAAGGATCGTAAATATTATTACTTGCTTGGAGACCAAATTTGGTATTGCTGTCAAAAGCCTATTCGAGAAACTGAAAGCAATGGATCTCACAATTTCCAATCTATGGCAGGTTCCCACGAGTAACGCTTTGATCTCGTCAAGGAGTTTAACATCTATTGATTGGGATCTCGATCTTATTGCCCAGGATTGTATGAAAGTGTTAGTCAGTGAATCTGCAATTGACTTGATACATTCACTAGATGACGACTCGCTGAAACAGTCATCTTGGAAATAGTTGAGTATTCCCGAAGGATGACAATGTTGGCAGCGTATGTTTTCAAGTTTGTACACTGTCAAAAGCAATACGACATCATCAGAAGATAAGTAACGGATATCATTAGCTTGCTTTGGTAAGAGTTTTACCAAAGATGCGCGCTTTTCTTGTATCGATGCGTGACTGGTGATATCTGTCTGACTAAAGTTCAGTGATGGTGACTTCAAAGCTATCGTTTGCATATCTTTGGTGTCCTGTAATGCATGAGTTGTTGAAATAACCCAGAATTTTCTCAGCTTGGCCAATACTGTCTCATCCCATTCAAGAGCACTATTGTCAATGAGAGTTGCAATGATGTGAACATACTCATCTAAGCGCATATTCTTACCGCTGGATTGTATGAAAAGGCGCAAATAGTGATCCAAGACTGTAAGTGCGAGTGATTTCTCTGGTAAAGCGTTCAATGCGAGTGATCTTTGAGCATCGATAGTATTTTCCAATTGTGAGAGTGTTTTAACTATTTCAAGAAATGTTACCTTGTCAGTGATAGTAGACAGGGAGACTAAATTGTGTGCAACATCCTGTGTGTTAGTATATCTGTTCAAATTCTGCAGCAAAACGTTGATAGTGAGGTTCGTAATATTGATTGAATTCAATTTCAACGAGATATCAGTAACAATAGCAGCAGTTGTAGAGGATGAGTGATTAAGGATCGATTGTAGAGTTGATACTAGCAAATCTTCATCGGTCGACTTCTTAAAAACGGTCAACAGGCAATGAGAACAACTTGAAATGATCTCTTGGTCATCAATGACATTTTGAATAATGAAACTCTTCAATTCAGTGAGTGTGGTATTGGTTTGAGTTTTGTTATTGAGGGTTAGGATTGTGAGATTGTCGATAACATCGTGGCTATTGATACTTTTGATTAGATAATCAAAGTAGTCAGACTTATTATGTGATAAAATGAAGGAGATTGTAGATAAGTATAAAGAGTGACTGTCTTGGTTCTCTTGGTATCTAGTCAGGAACTCCAAATGGACTTTATTGAAGAATTGCGCGTGTTTGTCGAGAATTTCACTGATAGGCTTTTTAGTTAGACTATCGATGCTATCAAAACCGGTAGCTTTGATCAAGACTTTCAATAGAAGTTCGGAATTGGTTCTAAATTGTTTGTGTAGTTTGACAAAGTGGTCCAAGTTCCAATTAAAGAGGTGTATCTTGGCGTATGTATTCTGAACTACTACTGGATACTTTATAATGAAGTCTAGTAATTTGTCGACTACTTTGACCACGTCATCCTGGCCAAGCACGCTCAAACGTGCTAAGATAGAGTCTACCAAATCAAGACGATCGTGATAAATGTACAACTGATCGAACAAGTCATCAACAGAGTTGTTATTCCTGCTATAAACCTGATTGAAATCCAACCAATGGTAGCTAAGCTTGTTATCCGTAGCTGGCTTGTAATCTAATAAATCTGCGACGTTATCTAACTCAGATAATATTAATTTATTGAACTTATTTTCTATTCTGTCGCTATATCAGCCATAAATCTCCTTCAACATCGACACCCACCTTGTATTCATCGACGTCGATCAGCAAAAGATGAATAAAATAAAGGAATTGCAAAAACCGCCGCAGAAGTTCATAAATCATATAAGCAGCCCTCAGACAAGCCAACTGCTACCTTCTCAAATCTACAAACCGTTGCAGATCGTCGGTAAAGGCGCATACGGCAGCGTTTGGAAAGGCTGTCACTTGCAAACTGGCTTTGTAGTCGCTATAAAAGTTATTGACTTCGATATTGCAAGCCAGTCTACTACTATTGAAGATGACGTCGCTGATATTCAGCGCGAAGTTAGCGTACTATCCAGATTAAGGGATGTAGAGAATAAAAATGTTACACGCTATTACGGCTGTCATTTAGAAGGTCCTAAACTTTGGATTATTATGGATTATGCAGGTGGTGGCAGTGTACGCACTCTGATGAAAGCTCAGCCAAGATTAGAGGAGAAATTCGTCGTCGTAATTGTCAGGGAATGTTTATACGCACTTAGCTTTCTTCATAAATCTGGTATTATCCATAGAGACATCAAAGCAGCAAACATTTTGATCAACTCTGCTGGAAGAGTTCTGTTGTGTGACTTTGGCGTTAGTGCTAATTTACCATCTGCTCACTCTAAAAGAACAACATTCATCGGTACACCTTATTGGATGGCACCCGAAGTTATTGCGCACGGTGCTGATTCTATCAATGGCAGAGAATACGACATGAAAGCTGATATTTGGAGTTTGGGTATCACTACGTACGAAATGTGTCAAGGTAGACCACCGCTTTCTGATCAAGAAGCTATGAAAGCTATCTTCTTAATCACGAGATCACCTCCTGCTAGATTACCAGAAGATGAAAAATACTCAAAAGAGATACGTGACCTCGTCGCTTCTTGTTTAGTAATGGACCCGAAATTGCGTCCTAATGCCGATGAGCTACTTAAATCTAAATACATCAAGTCTACTTCAAAGATACCAACCGCTATACTTAGAAAATTACAAACTATATATAATGAATGGGAGATGCGTGGTGGTCAAAGAGCTAGTCTTGCTGGCCAAGTCTGGGATGACGAAGAAGAAGAAGAAGTTGCCTTCAACACTAATTACCAAAGAATGAGTGGTTGGGATTACTCCACGATCACACCTTCTGAATCTCAACAGACCAGACAGGTCAATTTAGAAGATGAATCTAGTTCTCAAGGTGAGTAGTTAATCTGTTTGGATGATAGCCTACTTATTACTTCTTTAAGACAATAAATTTAGACCGATTGCTCCTAGAAATAGACTTTTAAGGATTTTTGATGACCCTAATGCAGAAGATGAAAATGATTTAGCAACACTTGGCTTAAGTCAGCCCCAAATGAAGCCTCAGATCAATAAATCCGAGGACACTGATCAAACTATGCGTCAAATTGACCTTAATGCCGTGTCTTCAGGAGATGGCTTGATTGATTTGAGTGCAATTGACAGTAATTACACAAATGATGAAGTTATAGATATTCCATCACAAAGCAGCTTCACGCCTGACTATATCGATATCGACATGGATACCAAATCGCAAACAAACGGTGGCAGGACAGTTAGGGCATCCTATGGTGCTTTCCAGCCGATGGCTCAAATAGACACTAGTTTCATGAATGGGAAAACGAGTCAAACACCTACCTCACAACACAGACATAAATCATCATACGCTTCGAGTCGAAATTTATCGATAGATTCAACCAATTCAGGTTCTATGTTCGATTTCTCGCCAAAGCCGACAGACGATGAACCACCACAAGTGAATAGTGCGAATGGTAAAAGTGTATTTGAGGGTTCGTTTGCGTTTAGATCGAGAGGTAATTCTTCTGCTACAACATCACCAAGAAGTGCTTCACAAAAGTCTAAGTTGAGTACAGGACATGGTTTATCACCTCAACCGAGCAAAGATTCGTTAGGATCACTGTCACCTTCATTCCAATTCCCACCGGTGCCATTACCGACGAAGCGCGAAAGAAGTGCGTCAAGATCACATCAGAGTCCTACTTCACCTAGTATTACACGCTCACCTTCGCTAGTGCGATCACACAGCCACAATCCATCGTCGAGTACGGGTACTATGTGGGAGCTAGATGATGTAAACCAAGAGGCGGTCAATCCTGATGTGCCATTAACGTCAGGTGGTGGTCTCAAGCGCAGACCTACGGTTACACGTAACAGTTCTGTGTCAGTGATGGAAACTATACCTTCACCAGACTTGAAGCCGTTAAACTCGTCTTCAAAGCTCTCACAGTCAACTCCAAGCAGCTTAACACATCAGTTCAAAGGATCCAGTGGGGGAGCTCACAATCACAAACGCAGGTCAAGCCAGATACTTGAAAGTGGAAATCCAAGCAGCGCGAGATATAGGAACATCGGCAGAAGAGCTAGCAGGAGCGAAGGACAAGTAGTTGTAGGTGTTGCATAAAAAACACGACGGTTACTGATTAAATAGCAGTTCAGTACGTCAGTTTCATCTGATCTGGCCACACTATCCGAGGACGCGACGAACAATGATCCACTAATGATGGTTAATAGGAGCTACAGGCTTAGTGAGGATAGCGCACAGACGCCTATGGCTGTCGGCGAGCAAGATGTAGTCAAGAGGGTGATAAAACCACTAGACTACAATCGGTTATGTCAAACGCAAAGCAAGCAAGTCTTAGAAGATGAGTTGAATAAATCGCTCGAAGGATTGCAATTTTATTTAGATACTATACAAGACAGTGTAATTTAAATGTATTATTAAAACTATGAATGTGTTAGCGTTGAAGAGAGAAGAAAGGACTGCTCAGCCAAGGCTGAAACATCTGTCTTCACTATGTGTCAGACGAAAGATGGTGTATGTTTGGTTTATCATCATCGCAGTCTAAAAAATCACTCACTCGAAGTGTTAGATGAAGAGAGAAGACGAAAAGAGGAGGCCTTTTATATGGGAGGGAAATAAAAAATGAAAAAATGCAAGGCTCTATAATCTATAAAGTGTAGAAGATCTCTAAATAAAATAAAAGTATGAGTTTTAGATAGTAAAAGAGCAAATTTTTTACGGTATTAAATTTGAATCTGCCGTTGAATATAAACCTTCATCGCCTTTGGTGAGTAGGTAGTATTAAAAATGAACTAACTAACTAGAGTTCAGTCACCTTCTGACTCTCCAGTAAGCAGCAAAGATGAGTTACGTCGCAAAGGACCAAAAGGAAGTCGAACAAGCACCAGTTGCTCAAACCCACAAGATCCGTATCACCTTGACCTCACGCAACGTTAAGGCTATTGAGAAGTTCTCTGCAGACCTCATTAACCGCGCTAAGGACAAGGATTTGCGTGTCAAGGGTCCAGTCCGTCTTCCAACCCGTGTCCTCAAGATCACCACCCGTAAGGCTGTAAGTATACTATATCGATAGCTTACTACCTCGTTTGTCTAACAAAATTACAGCCAAACGGTGAAGGTTCAAAGACTTGGGACAGATACGAACTCAAGATCCACAAGCGTTTGATCGATCTCACTGCTACCTCTGACATCGTTAGACAAATCACTTCTATCTCCCTCGAACCAGGTGTAGATGTCGAAGTCACCATCGCAGCTTAAGCGCTTGTTATCTTGTAGAAACTGCATAAATAATTGTTTTATGCTTATTTTTTATTTTTATTTCTTATCTCTCCTCTTTCATTACTACCATCTCTTCTATATCTCGAACGACTAATGATTGATGGAGATGTGATAGCTAAGCATAAGAATCTACGCGATTTAAACTTGAAAGCATACACTGAAATAGAAGATAGTTGTATGTATATCATGTCTCTTACTACACTACTCATCTCTACATAGCGTCTGCGAAATTAGATTCATCTCTCAAACGACACACAGCGTTCTTAAAGCGTATTAAACTTGGTTTAGGAGCAGAGAACGCAGCTGCTAATATAAAGGATATTCAACAACTCAGCTTATCGAAGCACGTCGAAGAGATCGTCGCAAATATACCTGAAGGTGTACTCAAATGCAAATCTGAGAAAGATATTTGGGCAGCAGTTGAGGTGTGTCTAGTATACCTCATTTACTCCCTCTAAATTACCCTACATAGATCATCTCAGCTCTCCACCAGCGATTCCCTCAATCATTCACAACTCCATTAAGCACTCTCTTATCAACAGCATTAAACCCTCCTAATAAAGCTCAACTAGCCCAGTCAACCCCTGAACAAAAAGAGAAGGATGAGATCGCTAGAGTAAACCGCCAGAGACCAATCTTGAGAGTTACAGGAGAGCTTTATTTAGTTGGTGTGTTGTTAGATCCACCAGTTAAGAAATCTACAAAGGAAACAGATTCCGCAAAACCCCCAGATGGTTGGCTATTTATCAAATTGAAGGAACTCTTGGCCACCGACAAAGATCACGCTAACATTCCAATATTGATATCGTTTATCAAATACTTTGGCAACTTGATATACGGACATGGCGGTCCAGAGCTTAGATTCGTTGATGGTCACACCCAGGATCGCTTCAGATCACTCAGCGCTGCATATTACGAGACTGTCTCTAGAAAACTCGTGAAAGAGCACCTCAAATTACAAGAACAGGACAAGAGAAATCATGAAGCATATATTAAGTCTGGTGAAATCTTTGAAGACAGACAACAAAATTATGAGAAGCTTACAAAAGTCTACGAAAAACTTCTGAATTCAACGCAGACACTCTCAGAATTACTGCATATAGCCATGCCTGAACTTCCAAAGGAGCAATCAAAAGGTCTCGGTGGTCTGGTCGTTGCTGATGGAAGTACCGCTTTCAACAGAGAGACAGAGGAGTACGATTCAACAATAGGTAAATGGGAAGATGAGGAGTCTAAAAACTTTTACGAGGATGTCCTAGATTTGGCCGATATTGTACCGCCGTCTGTCTTGGCTAGTGTTAACGCCAAGACGTCTGAACAGAATGAACAAACGGCTGATGTGACCGAAACTCAAAAGCAGGCTGAGGTTGAAGAGCAGCAGCAAAAGGAAGAGATTGTCAATACTATCAACACATCAAATGATGAACCTGAGGAAGGGATGTCAGCTGGTCCTGCTGCCCAGTTAAATGCACTATTCGCAAAATTACCTGAAATGAATAACAGAGCGATGATTGATCAAGTTGCCGTAGAATTCGCAATGTTTAATTCAAAAGCAGCAAGAAAACGTGCAGCCAAATCAATAGCATCTGTGCCAAGAAATAGATCTGATGTTTTACCATATTATGCTCGACTTACAGCAATTTTAAGCAAACATATGCCTGATATTGGTAAAGGTGTTGTCGATTTATTAGATGATGAATTCCGCTATCTCCAAAGGAAAAAGAATTTAGTCAAGGAGTTGGCAGAATCGAGAACAAAGAACGCAAGATTCATCTCTGAGTTGACTAAGTTTGCAGTTGTACCAACACACTACATTCTTCACTGTTACAAAGTCCTCCTTGATGATTTCACTGGTGTAAATGTAGATGTTCTCGCTATCTTTTTAGAAACTTGCGGTAGATACCTCTTACGGTCAGAAGAAACAAGTGAAAAGATGAAAATATTCTTAGATTTAATGAAAAGAAAGCAACAACTTCAGCACTTAGATCAAAGACAACAGTTGTTGCTTGAAAATGCATACTATCAATGCAACCCACCTGAAAGAGCCGCTAGACCTGAAAAATATAGAAGTCCAATTGAATTATTTATTAGACATCTCATATACGATGTTCTCGCAAGGAAGTCCATCGATAAGGTATCAAAATTATTACGTAAACTACATTGGGAAGATCCTGATGTGATAAGAGTACTTCTGAACGTATTTACAAAAGTTTGGAAGATCAGGTTTAGTAGTATATCATTATTAGCAATTTTGGTTTATGATTTACAAAGATTTCATCCAGAATTTTGCGTTATGGTAGTTGATAAAGTCCTTGATGATATAAAAACAGGCGTTGAGCAAAATATATTCAAGTATAACCAAAGGAGAGTTTCGAGTATAAAGTATCTAGGTGAATTATACAACTATAGAAGTGTTCATAGTAATCAAATATTTGATACTTTATGGACGTTGGTTACATTTGGTCATCCTGGAGGCAGACCATTACCTGGCTTATTCACTCCGTTAGATGTGAGCACAGATTTCTTTAGAGTACGTCTAGTCTGTACTTTATTAGACACTTGTGGTACTTGTTTCGATCAAGGTAATCAGAAGAAACGACTAGATTACTTTTTGACATTCTTCCAAATGTATGTCACCACGAAGGTTTCGCTACCAATGGATATAGACTTTATGTACACGGATACGCTTGAAGCTTTGAGACCGAACATGAAGATCTCACGTACATTTGAAGAAGCCGTTACCGCAGTAGATGAAATGATATCGATGGATAGTGAAATAAACCAAGCTGACGACATATATGAGGGTGTATATGATGATGATGAAAGTGATAATGAGGAGAACGGTATAAGAGAAGGTGCTGCACCTATAGAACAAGCTGAAGATGAAATTGAAGGTGTAGTAGATGGTGATGATCGAGAAGCTGAAGTTGAAGAAGATTCGGACTCGGATTCGGAATTGGATGTGCGTAAAATTTAATGATAATGATACAATGACTAACTTAAGGAAGGAGAATGATCAACCAGATGACGACAACGATCAAGATGTCGTATTACGCGAGAAAGAAGCAGCTGAAATACCAGCTGAAGATGAAGACGAATTTAATAGAGAACTCGCGAAGATGGCAACTGATAATTCAGATTCAAAGAAAGTCGACAAGCGCGCTTTATTTGATCTGAGTTTACCGATGATAAAGAAATCTTCAATGACGCAGCAAGAATCTGAAGAAAGGGATCCATCAAAAATGAAATTTACAGTCTTGACTAAGAAAGGTACCAAGCAGCAGACTAAAACAGTTGATGTACCTTCCGAATCGGCACTTGCTGTTAACTCGCGTACAAACGCACTCCAAGATCAATACGAGCAGGCTCAATTAAAGAAACTTGTCCTTGACTATGAGAAGCGTGATGCGCAACAGCAAGACGTAGATGAACGTAAACGTGAGTATCTCATTAGATTATAAACGAAGACTAATATCCTATAGGTTGGGATAACCTATCTAAAGCAACAGGAGTGAAGATAAACTTTAAACAAGAAACCTAAAGATATCATTAGCAAGTATAACTATCAACTAAATGTGAAATGCTTGACAATCGAGAAAGTCGACGCGAGAAGTTGCAAAGGGCAATTTTCTTAAAAACTTGTTAATTAAGAATAGATATAATAAAACTTGTTGTTTAGTCTAACGTTTAAATAAACAATATTTTTTATGACCAAAATTGACCAATCAGGAATTAGTTATCCGGCTTAGCGATTGACCACCATCAAGAATGATCATTAATAGAGCTTCACAAGCTACACAGAGGCAGATAAGAACTATTTCAACGAGTAGAGTGTGTAGAGGTTCTGATAGCCATTCTCATGGATACGACGATGGATCAAACGAAGTCTACGCACCAGCTAGTGAGTTTAGATAGCACTAAAATCAGACTATTAACAAATTTATTCTAAGACTTATTGAGCGCTGGTTGGTTGAAGCTTTTCGGTTTTGCTGGTCTCTCAGCTGTCGCATTATCTGCTTACAGTTCAACCCAAGATGGTAAAGAACCATTCCTTACACGTTATTTGTCCTACAATAAATCATCAACTGAGGAATCAAAGACGAACTCAGATAAATTGTTAGCTTTAAAGAAGGAACTCGCGGATGAAACTCTCTTAATGTCAGATGCACACCGTCCTACGCTCATTAGACTTTCAAACCCTGGTACATTCGAGCAAGCGTCACCCCACAAAATAGCAGTTGGATCACAATCAGACCTCAGTGATCTTAAAGTAAAAACCAACAAGGAATAAACTTAGTGTACAAGAAGAAAACTTACATATATCAACAATATAAATTGAAAAAATAACAAAAAAGGGTGTCCTTAGAATATTTGCGTGTTTGTGCTTTGGTATATATTACAATTCTTACTCATGGGTAGTCGATTCATCATTAGCTTGCACTTGAAGACCTAATCCACCAATGCCAATATCACGTTCCATTACGCAAGCTAACCTCTCAGTTTCTACTTCAAACGATTTTAAACTGTTTGCGATTGATTTGGCGTCATCATTGATAGCAGCTTTATCAACTGATTGCTTGCTAAACGCCGTACGGTAACTGTCTAATGACAATTGTGGTAACATTCTAGTATAAAACGATGGCGTTGGTGATTTATCATTATTATGTGATAATGATGATGGTGTAGGTGGTGAATCTATGTATACTCCAGATGATCTATTTGAAGTTTCTATACTACCTTCAACATAATCATCTGACATAGAGATACGTGTGTTTTCAGTAACTGAGCCAGCCCTCGTCCTCAAGGTGACATCATTGAATGTTTCGCTTTGTCGCCTGCTTGGCAGGTCATAATTAGGAGCTATCTGTAAGTTTAGCTTATCAAGGCGATCTGAATTGAGCGTTAGTAAGATCTAATAATACTGATCAACACCTACCTGATATAATACCGAATCTTATTTGCCAATCTTTTAATATACGTTCTGGTGTGTGTTCATGATTAAAAGTACACCACTGTTTGCACCATTGAAACCTTAATGTATGACTTTCATTATAGTATTCCACTTGTAGCCTAACGAACTGTTCAACTATCCCCCGAAGCGCTTTCCTAAGCCCTTTGAGGAACTCTGGTAACTCAATACGTAATTGGACATCCAGGGCATGGAATTTCTCAAAAACTTCATGAGCATTACTAACTAATTGACTTGATGAAGCTCGACTTTTTGATGGTATAGCCATGAGTGCAGTCTCAAACTCCTTAAGGAGTTCATTACGCTTAAGTATAACAATACGTGGGTTCGAAGTAACTTTCATCACTTGTTTCAGTCGATTATGTATCTTGCTGTCAATTTCTCGTACTAAATTCGCATAAGGTCTTCTGAAAACTTCTCTAATGATACGGGCATATGCTTCAATTGTCATTGTTGATTCATTCTCTACAACTGATACACCATCTAATGAACTAGTTGCATACCACTTTCCAACTAATTTAGCCAGTTGATTCAATTCTAGACTTAAGCAACCTATCCAATCATTGATATGCTTAGCGAATGCAGCCATTTGTTGTAATTCGAGTTCTAACTGACCAACTATTCTATCAAATATTATTGATTCCTCAGGTGCATAGGTAGGTGGTCCATTTTGATTACCTTGATTATGTTCACCAGCCAAATTTTGTGGTGTCTGCAAGGGCGACGAAGATATTGACGAACTTGGTGAAGAATGAGTAACAGATTTAGCCCTACGACGTAAGAATGTACGTGATTTCTTTGAAGGCATTTGTGGAGTCTTTTTGACAGTGTTAAGATTAGGTGTTGGGGGCGTTCTACCAACCTCATCTACACTATTGTAACCAGAGTTACCAATTGTGAGTAAAACATGGTCAACTGAGTCTTTTCTAAATTTCGCATCGTTAATGCGTGCCGCAAGATTTTGTAAGTCTTTTAAAGCTCTTTCAAGAGAATTAACGCCAAACTTGTTTTCGTTGCATTTGATAAGATTATTTAATAGCAATGGGTATTTCAAGATACGTTGAAATGGCTTGACGAGAAGTGAAGGTAAATCCCAAGCATTAGTCAAACCTTGAAGTTTCTTGCTACAATCATCATGCCATGCCTGAACTCTAACATCAGTTTGTAGAAGATGTATGAATCTATTATTTGATGATGTTTGTCTTGAACAATAATACATGTAAAGTGGCTCAAAGTGTGATTGGATGTATTGACAGAATAAGTCACCGACATTCAAACCTTTACTTGTGGTATTCTCTAATTCAACTAAGAACTCTTGTGACCAAATTAAAAGTGCGTGTATATTCAAGAAAATGGCTCTCAAGTCATTATTTGCGAGTATAGGCTTATTTTGACCGTCAATGAAAGTAGGTAAATTAGGACTATTAGGGAATGCTTTCCTTGATAATTCATAGGCTTCTAATTCAGCTTGCTGATTACATTGAAAACCAGTATCTATGTACTGTTTGTAATTTCTCGTACTACCAGTTGAATTAGTGGAAGAAATAGATTTTGAACGCGTTAATTGCGTTTGTTTAGGTTTCATAGCAGATTTAAAGAAAATCTCATAACAAAGTTTAAGATCATTGGCATACGTCCTCTCCGTATCGAGTAACTCATTTAAAATGAGTGACTGAGTTGATGTAGAAGATTGCAAAGAAGTAGTAGAAGATGAATTAGTTGATAGAATCGTGTTTTTTCTCTCTCTCCGCCGTGGATTCTTTGGTGTAAGTTGTGGTGGGGTAAATAATTGAGAATCTGAAGGTGGCGGGGGAAGTGGCTTCTGTGGAGTTGGTTTCTGATTGGGTATTGACATGTTTCCCAATAAAATAAAAGGTGATGATGGTTAATAACAAAGGAGATAATGCCTTAAGTCACTACTTCCAACAATGGCAGACCGAAAAGTCTTGAATAAGTACTACCCACCAGACTATGATCCATCTATTATACCCCGTATGAAAAGGGGTAAGGAGCGTCAGCAACAAGTACGTCTGATGACCCCTTACTCTATGAGATGTACGAAATGTGGCGAGTTCATCTATAGAGGAAAGAAATTCAATGCCAGAAAGGAAGAAGCTAAGGGAGAGGATTATTATGGTATAAAAGTCTTTAGATTCTATATAAAATGTCCACTATGCTCCTCAGAAATAACATTCAAAACTGATCCACAAAATACGGATTATGCGGCTGAACATGGCGCTACACGTAATTATGATGCATGGCAAGAAACAGAACCAAAGAAGGACCTCTCAAAGATCGCTGCAGAAGGTGATGAACCTGAGGAAGAAGAGCAAGATCCTATGAAACAGCTTGAACAGCGTACATTAGAATCTAAACGTGAAATGGAGATAATGGACGCTTTATCCGATATTCGCACACGTAATGCTAAGAACGAAAGGGTGGATGTTCAAGACATCTTGACAAAAGTTGGTAAAAGATCAACGAAGGAGTTGAATGAGGAGGATCTCCATAAAATTCAGCTCGAGCAGCAGGACGAAGAGGAAGTCGCTAAAGTATTTGGTAAACTTAAACGGACTAATCAGGATGATGGTAGTGACGAGACGATCAACGTTAAACGAAAGTTCAAAGAACCCTCTCTCACTTCCTTACTATCAGAGAAATCCAAAGCTAGTCTTAGTTCGACTCCTAAACCAGCACCTCCTGTCAAAAAGAAGAAAGAAAGTAAACTCGGTATAAAACTCGGAGTAAAAGTGAATAAATAAGGTACTTTGTAATTTTTAAACTGTATGCATATATTTATATAGATTAATCATTGATGAAATGATTCATTTTGATCACTATTAACCATATAATCAGATCTTGATTCTAATCCATTTTGTATTTTCTTAATAAGAGCCCGCTTAAAAAATTGCTCTCTAGATAATTCTCTAATAGTGCGTAAAGCTCTCTCGAGATCAACTCTACCGGCGTTGAGAGCTCTCCCAAGGTGATACATAGTATCCTCAATAGCTCTATCTTCAGCGATAAGATCGACTAGTTGATTTGCTACCAAGTTATCACCACATACAATCTCATCAACACCAATTTCACCCTTCCTACGTCCATTTTCGAGAACACTCAAACCCTGTTCGGTCGTTTCATTTACTTTAAGAGCCACACTTTTACATATTTCGTTGACTGATTTTAACCTTGATTGCTCATCATTTATAACATCTTTCGCGCGTTCAAGATCACTTTTCAGAGTTAACTGAGAATTGTATAAATTACCGTGATTTTCTAATGATTGTGAGACCTTTTGTGAGAATATTGCATGAATAGTTGCGTGTAATTTAACTGTATTGGGGTTTAATGGCCGTGTTGGAGCCGGCTTGATCTCATCAGGTATAGTATTCGCAGTATGTGGTATTGAATTGGGTTCTGTAGTCAACAAATCGGCGGTATCAGATGTGACTACATTCTTCACTGGGCTTGATATTTGATTTATAGAATGTGGTGGTGGTGGCCTACGAGGAGGTGAATCGACTCTCGAAGTCGATGGTGTCTGCTCGAGTGTAAGCGTATGATGACGATGCGCTGGCTGATCACTCACGCTCGATTGTGACAGACTAATAGAAGGCGGTTTATGAGGTCGGCTTGGAGTCGTTTGGCCTGTCTGTGCTCCTTGTGTCTGCTGTTGTTGCTGTGTCTCGGTTGATTTGGCGTACAATGGTGGATTGATTTCGAAGCTGTTGCGCAAGACAAGTGATAGATCGACGAGATTGAAAGCCTAATATTGATTAGCACACTCGAAACAAACAAGTAAGACCCACTTCTGGTTTCTTGTGCCAATTCTTGACATAATCCAGATTAATTAATCCACTGGCATCGACACCATTACCTGATTTTACGAGCATAGAGGACGTAGGTACTACATAAACCCATGGTGCTATTTCTGGATAATTATGAGGTATCCAAAATGATATCGGTATATTATACTGTACACCGCGATAATGTATTGGTAAAACGCCATGTAAATTCAGTAGCAACTCTGATACACCATTATCGTGTACTATATCGCTAGTAAGTTATGTATTCATTTATATATACCATAACTCACTATATACCTCCGTACGTGGTGATAGAGTCTGATAAGAAGCTAACAGATTAGAAACATCATTGAATACTCTCTCTCTATGCTTATAATGTGAAGTAACTTGCTTCAACCAATCAGATACAATAGTAGATATCATCATCGTTGAACAAAAAGAAGGTATGTATTAAGTATTAACAGGCGTATAAACGTAAAATAAGTAAAATCATAATAATATCTGTAGGTTAAGCTCCTAATTGGTAGTGAACTTGTATTCCTTCTCAATCTTCAATTTAGTCAAGTTCTTCTTCATTGTCTCAGGAGTGTTGAATGGGAAAAGAGCGTAAACTGAATCCTTATCAAGAGTGTTTGGAAGAGTGTTTTCAAGGAGTGTGACAAGCATACCACCGAATGCCTTGTTGCTGTTATCTGGTTGAATGTAGTTGTAACCCCATGTAGTCAATGCTTGAGGTGTGCATTCATTAGTCAAGAATCTGTCACCACGAACGAGTGAAACGGCATCTGATAAGATAGCTCTTGAGACTGTGTATCCTGGACACAAACCTGATCCTTCGATTGGTGGTTTTTGCTCTTCAGCTAATAAACCTGGGTATAACTCCAAGTTATCGATGTGTCCATACAATTCACGAGCTGCTTGAGCGACTTCCTTGTCACTGTTCCACTCTTCGAAGGACTTGAATTGAGTCAATGACATTGCCTTTCTAAATTCATTCATTGTACATAATCCCCAAACTTCACGTGCTTGTTTCATACCCATGATATCAACGACACGGAGAACAGATGGTGTACCTCTAGCTCTGAATGAACCAGCTGGCTCATCAATAGCTTGCTTCAAAACACCAACGAGATCTTCATTCTTGAAGGTACCATTTTCTTGACGGCTGAGACCTGGAATGTTACGCTCGGATGGTTCATTACCAGAAGCTTGAATTAAACCATAAGCCTTTTGACCAAATTCTCTTGGAGTGATCTTGTCAAAGTCAACATCATCACCAAACATCTTCTTGAAGAAGTTCTCAGTCCATTCTGTGTCAGATTTTGACAGAACTGAGTGCCATCTGTAAAGAACATTGAATTCAATAGAGACAGCACCACCAGTACCAGTTTCGAGTGGTGGTTGACCCATGTTGTGAACTTCTGCACGTGGATCGAGAACCCAGGTTGACTTTGAACGTGTGAGACCGAGGATAGCTCTCAAGTAATCGTGTAAGACAATGTTGGCGAAGAAACCACAGTTGATGAGCTTAGCGGTGTGGAAGATGTCCTCATCTTGTTTCTTTTTGTTTTCATCGTCAAGTTCTGCCCATGGTTTGTACCACTTCTTCTCGTTTTCGCGGAAGATGTTCTCACAGATGTAGTTGTGGTTTCTGTTCAATAAAATGAGAAGTGTGGTAATTGCTGGTGGCATCATGAACAATCTTGACTCAGAAATGGTATCTGGTTTAAGATGACCGTTCTCGAATGAACGAACGGAGTGTTCTTCTTCAACGTTGTTACCGTATACAATAGCCAAATCCATGTAAGATGAAGTACCGTTAACAGCTGAGTTTTTGGTGTCTGTTCTGAAGATAGTGTGGATGACGCATGTAGCGAAGTTAAAGAAAAGTGAGCTCAAACCAGTTGGGTGAGCCAAGAAGTCACCTTCCTTTCTACGGAGGAGCTTGTTGAAGACGTCTTCCTCAGAAGGGAGTGGTTGAGTGTAGACATGCTTCAAGGCAACGTTACGAGCATATGCTAGTTATTGTATTAGCGAATAAGAACACTTGAATAACTAATAGACTCACGAGTGTTTGCTTTACCCAATGAAGGTAAGAATGGGTTGTTGAGTGAACCATCGGCATGTCTGATACGGAGACTACCTGATACGTGCTCGTTACCGTTGAATGGAACATCACCAACGTAGTTTAATGGTGGATGTGGAAGATCTTGCCAGAGCATTTGAATGAATTTACCGGTGAGTCTATCATTCTCTGGTGTAGACTGCGTAGGGACGTGCTTAGAAACCAAAACACGTGAGTAAGAATACGAAACTCACTGGAATAGTTGAGAGAATACCAACCATTCTTTCTAACAAAAATTCTCTGTCATTTTGTGCACCGCCGTTAGCTGCAGTCTTCAAAAGATCGTGAAGTACGCCAACATCTTGGAAGAACTTGCCTTGGGCGATTTGTGATTTAAGGTTACCCAATAAGTTCCAAACAGGCTTGAGTAAAGATTGTTTGTTCTTATCGTTTGGTGCCATTATGGTGGTCGTGGTAAAAGGAAGAAAGTGATTTGTTCTTCAAATATGACACATTCCAAACTTTAAATTCGAGTGGAGGTTCCCGATGTCATATGGCATGAAGTGAGAGATAAAAACTACAATATATAATGTATACACCTAAAATATTCTCGATATCTTCCTGCTTTCGCCGCGGCACCTATTAGATAAAATTTGATATGTGTTCCTTAATAAAACTTTAATGGCATCGATTGTAAGTACATGAAAAAAATGGGTTTGTTTCACTTTTTGTCTCATATATTTTTACCTTGGTCTTATGTTTATACGACATGCTCCACCGCGCTTTGGCCCACGAGGAATGATCGAAGAGAATTAAATTTTGCCGCGCAAGTCAAAACCATTCCTCCAATAAAAATTCCGTAGTTTGATTACAAATGTCATCAACACCAGAAGACGTGAAACAGCAACCAGAGGTCGAAACACCTGGCGACCAAGCTCAACCACGCGTATTAGCATGTGATGATTACAAAGTAAACAAATTCTTAGGTACATGGTTGAAACTTAAAGGGTTGATAACATTACCTGTTAAATTGTTACCTTTCTTGATATTACACACTTTGGATCCAATTCTCTTCTTACTTAACATCCTCACTTTGCCATTCCCAAGAGCTAATCCATCAAAGCAACACAAGTGGACTTTGGCTGATAGACTTCTCGCAAAGTCATGTGAACTCTCTGGATGGGGAAAAATCACCGACTCAGAAAAGAAAATGATCCTCAGCGCACTCAACAATTTCAGTGCACCAGGTGAAGAAGACTCACGTTCACCTTGCCCAGGTTTGAACGCGATGGCCAACCACGGTAAGTACGCTATTATCAAAAACATCCCTTGTAACAAAGCGATTAGGTTTCATCCCACGTCACGGTAAACACGTTTCTTTATCAGTTATCTGTTTAGCTATAAAGAAGACATACGATTTCGCACCAACATTCGCATACCAATTGACATCAGCAGCTGGATTCATTTCAAAATCTTCAGGAAATGGTAAAACATGGATAGACTTGAATGATATCGCAGCACCAAACGTCATTGAACATGACGCTTCACTTTTACGTCATGACCGTATATTCCAACCAAACCAAGGACCACCAGCAGTCGACCTCTGTGAACGTACATTACAATTTGCACATCCACCAAAGCAACCAGGTGCAAAGGGTAAAAAGGGTGTTGCATGCCTTAACACAGAATCAATGTCAAAAGCATTATTCGAACGTCGTTTGCTCTGCTCTTCAGATAATGATCCAAATCGTGAACAAAAAGTTAGAAACGGTCAATACTTCTTACCAGGAAAGCTCAAGATTTTCGGTGCAGGTAACTCAGCTATTCCACTCATTCTTTGGGATGGTAGAGAAGATTACCTTAGACCATTCTTCGTTGAAGAACGTCTTGCATACGACGAAGGTTGGCACCCATACACTCGTGAATCACCAGCGGGCTTCTTCGGTTTGAGTTTCTTATACTTCATGTGAGTAGTATATTTCAACTTTGGACATAATTTACTAAGACAACCACAGGCTTGTTTTCGCAAAAATTGAGCACGGTGTAGGAAGCATTTTCCCAAGAGACAAGAAGAACTAATTATTTACTGTCAAATATGACACTGCCCAAACTTAAAGTAATACCTTTCTTTTAATGTTATTATGATTCGTTAAATCCAATTACATGTTTTAATATATCTGATAAAGCGACTATGCCAACTAAAGCGCCCTTCTTCCTTATTGTACCATTAGGTAACTGCTTATCCTCATCCTCAACCATGACTAATCTATGAACTCGTCTTTTAGCAATCAAAGAGAAGACATTAGCGAGCGTTTCTTTCGGCGAACAAGTGATAACTCCAGGGAATTCAGGTGACCGTTGTGAGAGTGCCGAAGAAATTGTCAAATCTAATGACTGATATGAGCCCAATCTGACCAAAGTGATGACATCAACGGTTTCGTAGAGGTTAATGACAACACCCTCTTCATCAATGATCGGTACTGCTGAAATACCTTTGGCTGAGAATTGGTGTACTACATCAAAGACGGTTGTATCCATCGTAGCTGTTGAGACTGGTTCGAAGGAAGTATCCTGTATAGACTCAGCTGTTGCATAAGTTCCTATGTTTAATTCAAGAAGTGTCTTTTGTAAGCCGAGTGTTTCTTTACACTAAGAAGGTTCAGTTAGTTAGTATCTAAGTAGAATGGTAGACCAACATTGACAGCTATAAACTTAAGAACACGATATTGTGTGAGAACAGAAAGAACAACTTCTACGTCAGTTCTGTCGTCATGATCAATCAATGGTAATCTCCGTGCATGAGATGTCATGAGTATATGACACGCTTCAAGTAATGGCCGCATTGGATGAATGGAGTGTAAAGGAGGTGGTAGAACTTCAATGGCGGTTTCTATGTCTGCAAGTAATTATGAGCTTATATTCACGCCTTTATAAGCACTGACCTCGTAGGTTTCCCAAAGTAAGCTGTTCAACGTCGTCTGCAGCACCTTCATAAGAGTTTGTAGTTGAATAATAATATTGCATTAAGTGTACTAAATCAGATATAGTGAGCATTCCCGCGAACTTGCTTTCTACGGACGACCAAAGGGGGGCAGATACGACACCTGTATGACCGAATTAGGAGGTCTGATAGAATACAAAGATAAACTAACCATTCTGTACTAATGCGTTTAATGCTTTGATAACCTGCAATCTCGTATCGAATACAATCATTTTAGAAGAGACTGGCAGGATGGATAAACAATCCTTTGATTGTAAGAAAGTGCGTATAGCTTCTATAGATTTATCGTGGTCTACTGGGGATCTTTGTACCGTATTCCTACGGGGTCTACCTTGTATTGGGATGGCTGCAGCCATATTGATGATGACGATAGTGACTAAAAAGCAAACAAATGATTTTAAAAAAGAATTCATTTTTATTGACAATAATTTTCTACTTAGACGGATTCTGAAGTTATTGTTAGTTAATTCTACTGTAGGAAAACATTCAATACTCACGTCTGATAAGCTGGTTGAGCTTGTTGACTTTGCTGGCAACAGAAAGGTCAACGGTCTTCTCTCCGAATTCGACAACTAAACCACCCAAGAGTGATGGGTTTACTTTGTTGACAAACTTGATCTTCTTGCCGTCAGCTGGGATGCTTGAGCTCTTCAAGCTGGTTTCGAGGCGTTGTTGGAGCTTAGCATCCAATGGTTGAGCTGATTGTACGACGACTTCAACGTCACCATTGTGGGCGTTAATTAAACGCTCAAATTCCTCTAAAACCTTGCTGGTATCACCTAATCTGCCATTTTCGGAGAGCGCGACGAGGAGGTTCTTGGTGATGTCAGACTTAGCGCTGGCAGCCTTAACAGCCTCTTCAATACCCTTCTTACGTGCGTCAGAAGAGAGGGTTGGGTTGGTGATCAAATCGACTAAAGCCTCGTTCTTTGGGATAGCAGCCTTTAATCCAGCGAGATCTGATGAGACTTGGGTGAGAGTCTTTTGAGATTCCTTCAATGCTGCTGTGTATGCTGCAGTTGCGTACTTTCCAGGGAGTGAGTAGAGTGTAATTGGTGGCTTAAGAGATAAACGTTAATTTTAAATTTATTAAAATATTCTACACTCACGGTAACCTTAGCTTGGGTTGCGTAAGTTCTAAGGCCAGCTACAGCTCTGTTACTGAACATTTTGTGGTGATGGTCCAAGAGATGATATACCAGACAAAATAAGGAGATGAAAAATATCTATAAACTAATACACTTGTTTACTATCATTTATTTATTTATTCTTTATATTATTCCTCCTCCATTTCTCTCCTTCGCCTTTCCTCAATCGATCAAGTCCGAAGATGATTTTGCAGTCAAATAATAATTAACAACATGGTTTCGAAAGAGATTTATTTCATTTATGAGTACTGCTATTATATTATATACTTTTTTATTTTTTTTATTGGTACACTATCAACAAGTTGTTATACATACTATACTCATTCATAAGAGCGACACAAGGGAGCTGCATATGATTACTTAAATGTCCAGCTATCTACAAGTATAATTGCGTCTTTGTATTTGCGTATTCACTTTTTTGAGATATCCGAACTAACAAGGTTGAACCGAGATTGGCAGTTACATTTTCAGTGAAAACACACCTAAAACTTATTCATAGGTAAACACAAAGACTACTGATACATTAAGATATCTCGCTGTATAGGATTTAGACGTCATGGCGTTGCTATTGAGGCTTGATTCAAATAACATTTATGAGTGGTTGCTAGACAACATAAGCATATACGAGAAGGTATTTACTGTGTATTCGGGTCTGTTGAAATTGTCTTAATCGTTGTTACTTTCCAGTCTTTTGGGATAATCTAAAGTTGTAATTTATATACGCTATCGAATGATATCGTTTTCGCAGCTCTAGTTTACATACTAATATCTTTGATATCATTAGATAATGTGATTAACTAATATATGAGGTTTCGATAATTTCGGTAGGAAGATGTTGATCTAAATTAATAGGGCACCTTCCGAATATTCAAGGCCGAACTATGAGCCGTCATTTTATATAACATTCGCTTATATACTCTGGCGAAACGTGTGACTTTACCCGTAATTTCTTGCTTCAATTCCTGTTCAACCTGACAACACTATATGCAAATGAAATTTTTGGGATGTCTATCCATACTACACGGACAATCATCGAAAGTCGCATTTTTGGAATCTAAAAGTCTAAAAATGTGACCATCTTCCATTTTAATTCTCAATCCAAGCTTTTAAATAAATGCTAGACAGAGAGGTCACCATAGAATAAATAACGATCAGATCGACCGCTTTCATATAAGACCAAGTTGTATTTTTGTAGAAGTATAATTCTATCTGATTTCATAATGTTTATTACCCTTATTGGTGTGATTGTGTCACAAATCTAGATCTTTTCCCATTGTGAAATAAGACAAAATCAAACACGCATATTCGGTACTTATATAAAACCAGTTCATGTATTTTAAATGAATTACAGACAATTTGTAAATCTTAAACACTCAAGGAAGAAGGCCTTCTTCTAGTACCGGAATGGTAAGGTCATCAGGACCGAATGGAAGAGGAGTATGTGGTGCTTCTCCATTGGCTCTCAGCTTATAATACTCTGGCACTTTTGAGAAATCTTCAGGTCCTTGGGCGAGTGTATAAGCCATACCACCATTCTGATGGGCTAGAATGTGACAGTGTAGGAGAACAGCAGCTGATGTCTCACCTTTATAGCGGACCACAAACCAAGCTGTGTCGTTAGGAGGTGCAGCAAAAGTCAACCATCCGTCTCTGATAGGAGGAGAGTCCCATACGATAGGCAGTCCAGCTGATTCTGCTTCGGTGATAGATGAGTAGTTGAATGGACCAACGCCACCACCAAGAACCCAGACGTGTTCGAAATGTTCTTCAGATTTGTTAGTAAGCGTAAATCTAACTAGAGGAACTCACTATGCAGAGGATGTCTTGGTGATCCTGGTGCAGTTACGTGAACAATATCTACGACCGATTCTTTAGGATATTCTGCAATTGACTTGTTGAGCCCCAGATAGTACTCAGGGTGTATCAACACAGGAGCTTGGCTCGTTTCGAGGAGCGGATCATAAAACTGCTCTCCGATACTCCAGAATAATGTACCCGAAGCATTCAAATCGAGCCTTAAAAGTACATCAGCATCTTCGTATGCCTTTGGTACGAGCGAATTTGGCCAAGATCTAAGCGCAAGATTGTCCATAATACGCGTGTCATTCGAGACAGCATTACCAGCATAGTCTATAAATGGTATTGAATCTGGAAGTGCAGGTAAACCAGGTTGTTGGGTATAGCTCGTGGTTTCGAACTGGTCTAATCCATACTTGATGATTGCATAACCAGTTATGATCTGTGGATCCTGGTATGCAGCAACCCTCATGACATATTCACCAGGCTTGTCAAGTCTGAATGCAATACCCATTCTGTTAGATACACCAAGGATGAAAGCGTCGTTGACAAGTGGTTCATGGAAATTACCATCAGCTGCGAATGTGAACACCTCGTGCTCGTCAATTGATATGATCATATCCCAATGATCAGCATGATTGAGGAAGTGTATAACACCCCAGCCATTTTCGTAGTCAAACTCAAAGACTGGAGGCGCAGTATCAGTCTCGTTGCAAGTAAACCAGATATCATCATCGAAATTGGTAGTTGAGTTTGTTACTACATTTGGATTTAAGCAACCTTTGTCAGTAGTGGTGTTAGACAGTGTTAGGCTACGTAGGAAATCACTTCCTGGACAGTTTTGACGACCGATGTTATTGATAATGATAGCATCATAACATAAGAATCCAAAAGCCCAATTGAATTCAGATACTTTTCTCTCATTACTTGGCATTACGGTATAGTCACTCAAAGTAATAATAACCGGGTCATCATTCAAGGCTTCCAATGTAGATATCTCCTGACTGTCATTAGTGAGCAAGCTGAATGGTTTTGGTCTGTCTGGAGCTGGTCGAACATAAAATGGGAACACGATGCCGTCAGAATAGGTCTCACGTAGATGTGAATGAGCCTAATGAATTATCAGAGAGGTGTTATCATAGCAAGTAGTACTTACCCAGTATAGACCGTGTTGATCCATGATACGGGTTCTGTAAATGAAACGCTTGTTTTGTGGAATGACGGATTGCGTTACTCCTGGCACACCATCTGCCCAAGGAGAGAGTTGTTGGAGGAGGCCATGAAGATGGATCGTCGTTTCGGTGAAACTGTAATTGTCGATGATAAACTCGACCTCATCACCTTCATCTATGATAATTGGTGTGCCATACACTTGATCATTGATCTCATAATGAAAACGACTTGAGCCGTTGGTGAGTGACTTGCGACTCTCGGTGATGTTGATAGTGAATGTCTTCAAGGTTCCTCCCAGACCGTTGCCCTCTGGACTGGCGAAGATGTCGAACTTGTTGTGATAGCCATGATCGTCATGATAATCGTGGTGCTTGTGATCATACTCAACCTTCCAACTGTCACTGTCACTATGTTTTGGGTTTAAGTTCACATCTGTTTCGGTAGAGTCGAGGACAGCTGAAGCCAGAACTGAAGCACTAGCAATTGTAATACCCAAGAAATCTCTCATGAACATTTGAGGGGTAGAATGCGCGATGATTGTGGTAATAGAGGTAAGAGAAGGGCTTAAATATCCATGAATGAGCTATTTTCATCTGTTTGTGATATGTGCGCTATTAAAAAAGCACTCCGCTAAGGCAAACAGAATGATAATCTGAGATTTAGTACATTATTGCAACCTTAGCAACAACATATTAGCTCTCTTGCTTGCAAAATACTGTGTTTGTTCACTATCGATACCAGATGTGACGTGTAGTGATGGCGATCGGGCGACATCACAAATATAAACATTTAATACCAAAAGCATGCTACTTATATTAATACATCGATATGCCTCATCACATAATACTGCAAATATCTTGAGATATTGTCATATCTGGCTGTGGTTCCTATTTGTGAATGTTTGTAGTTGCTATCTAAGGATAATAAACAAATCTAAATATTCTATATATCAATATAGAGTAATCCTAATAATATTTCGACAATCTCTCATCATTTGTGTTGGTTGTCAACCGTCAAGATGCCTCAACAGCGAGTAGCTAGAAAATCACTCAGGCGTCCGACAACATTCTACGGTGGCAATGAAGATGTCCCTCCGATGCCACGCAAATCCCAGGATCTACCGGCTACCGCAATAATCGCAGCTGGAGGAGGGAAGCGTTACAAGCCAAAAGCACCGAATAAACACTCAGACAATGATCCACGCAAGTCGAGATTAGATGAGAAGTTGAAGAAAAGACTCTCAGTTAAGTACACATACCAACAACCAAGCGCACATGATGCACCACCAGTACCAACGCTACCGAAGACACACATACAGGATAAGCACACTTTACAGCCTGAGGATGTCAGAGAGAGTCTATTTGAAGATGGGGACGATCAGCGTGTCAGCAGCAGTCTTGATATCATCAACAGAGAGTGGCTACAACAGTCAGATTTCGACGCACAAGCATACGTTAGAACCCACCTGGCAAATGCCAATCCAACCGAAGTTGCGCACTTCAAACAAGCGCTCAATGAATCGATGCACTCTACGAATACTCAACTCGAACAAAGCGCATTCAAGAAGTGAGTGGTTACCGAACAATAGAAAGCATTGCTTACATTTACAGTTACTCTGACTTTATCTCTATCTCAAAAGAAATTGGTTCACTTGAAACAGAAGTTCTCGAATTGCGTGAATTGTTGAACGAATGGAGAAATCTCCCTGAGGCTTTCGGTATTGACGAAAATGCAGAGTCTGATATGGATAGAGTGAAAAGAAACAGATCATCAATAGCAGACCTTGCTGTTGTTTACAGAACACAACTTCAGACGCTGCATTCTACCGTGGAAGGCTCTCTTAAACATGTTCCACACGCACCAGGTAGACACATAGTAATGACTTCCGCAAAATTCGTTGAACTCAATGCCGCAACATACAGAATTGCACAATCTGTTGAAATTGTTCTCCTTAACGATACCCTTTTAATTGCAAGCAAGAGAAGACGCCAAGCTAGTCAAGGTCGTGAGAAATTAATTGCGGATAGAGCCTGGTCATTCTCTGATATTACTATCCAAGATGTTAGGGACTCGTCTAAAGTGAAAAATGCAATAAAAGTCAAACACAGTAAACAGTCATACGTGTATATGGCAGATTCACCTAATGACAAGTCTGTCCTTCTGAATGCCGTCAAGCGTGTCGTAGAGGAATATCAAGCGCAGATAAAACAACAGCACAATCAGGAGGGTGATCTATCGCCTAATTTCGTCCTGAGTCCGTCGATGGCATCTGTGGGTTCAGCTAGTTCGCCTATGAGAACACCTATCACGTCTTCCAACAAGTATTTACAGTGGATGGAAGATTACGTCGACGAACTATCAGTCAGTGTCGCATTAAACGATTATGGCACTGCCGTTGAACATATTGATAAGGGTCGCAAACTCTTGAGAAGTACAGATGGCCAAACTGAACGTGATACATTGCAAACTCAGATTACCCACCATAAGAAAATTCTTGTCAAGGACCTGCTACATGTTATAGAAGACTCCTCTAAAGTTAGAAAATCTGTGGTGATAGACACCGTGGCGTTACTCCATAGATTAGGCGAGACAAGCTTAGCTAAGGAGACTTACTTCAATAGTCGCAAAGAGCTCATAAGACGGAGATCCCGTCAGATGGTATTTGATGGTGATGTAGTGAACTACCTTGCAGAGTTAGCAGCTATTACATTCACCATAATCAAGCAATCAGCTGAGTGGTTCAGAGCAGCGTTCAACAGTACAAATAAAGCCAATGGTAAGTATGTGCTTCAGGATATATAAAAAACCAACGTGTCTTCAGGATTTGGATACTGGGCGTCTGAGCAAATCAAAACATTTGCAACGATGTTTAAACGACAAATTAGCGCATCATACCTCGACAAAGATGTCATAGAACGCGCTATTGAGATTACGAAAGAACAAGGATTAAAGGTAAGCCTTAGCAATATATCTCTGAACGCAGCCTGACCACTAGAAGATACTCAGAGGAGTCCAAACATCGACCGATTTATGTGCAATGTTAAGCAAAGAAATCGAAGAGCAAGTATCGCCGAGTTTGATGTAAGAGAAAGTAAATGTATGCTTAGATATGAATTTATTGAATATTGAAGCTCTGCGAAGGTATAAATAATATTAGTAATGCCTGCGTGATGTAATTTATGTGCTGTCTAATCAAAGTGTGAATAATGGCCTTTAATACCAAGTTTGCACTTTAAGCAATCTGCTCGTGGACCCATTGTAAACCTGACTTTACGCTGCTGTTGTTTAGCTCTCTTATCATTGTCAATTAGAGAGGTGGTGTCTCTCATTGTTGTATCGTGCATGTGTAGTGTTTCTGTTGCCATTATGATATCAGGTGTAGTGAGGGGTGCCTGTGGTGGGGCGACTTTATCCGTGTCTTCGTGTGTTCTACGCTTCTGTATACAGTTAGCTATACCTGCATTTTGCTATTTATACCCACTGTTCTTTGATTGTTTGGCTGTGATGTGCTCAGCTTACGTTTCTTTTTCGATACCGGTGAGGTTAGATAGTTAGAGTACGGGCTCTGTAGCGGTTTCGGCAGATCAATATCAATCTCCATACTGTTTAGGCATTCGAAGATGACGGTCGAGTGAGAAGAGATATGAGCTCAATTCAGCAGATATAAGAACAACTTATAGAAGTATATATAATTCTTGGAAGATGGTTAGGTAGGTGTATCTAGTTTATGCGTACTGCGTCTATTTTACCTACTTTTGCCATAACAACATACAGTCAATATAAGCAAAAGATAGATAGTTTGTAGTAAAGAAATATTTACATGATATGTTATGCAGACAAATACACCCTCTGATGTTCATCTCGTGTGCGAGGTTCAGCGAGATAGCAACAAACAGAGGCCTATCTAGAGTTTAAATGAGCTTGAGGATAGAAATATAGACCATTTATCTACTAATAGAACCTTATGTTCTCTTAAAATAGCTTGAATTCTACAAAGCCACACAAATTCTACCTTCTTCTCTCTTTATCGTCAACAGCCACCAGGGCAGGAAAAAAGAAAGGGAGAATGTCGTCAGATCACTCAAGAGATCCATGTCCATATGTTATTTTAAATGATTTCGGTGGTGCATTCGCTATGGGTGCACTCGGTGGTACAGTCTGGCACGGTATCAAGGGAGCAAGGAATAGTCCACGTGGTGAACGTCTTCCAGGTAGTTTAGCAGCTATAAAAGCAAGAGCACCTGTTTTGGGTGGTAACTTTGGTGTATGGGGTGGTATGTTTTCCTCATTTGACTGTGCAGTCAAGGGAATTAGACAGAAGGAGGACAGTTGGAATGCTATAATCTCCGGTTTCTTCACAGGTGGTTGTTTGGCTATAAGAGGTGCGTTTTGATCGTTTTTATGACGCAGACGTTTAACACACCACAGGTGGTCCAAAGGCTGCTTTCGGTGGTGCTGTCGGATGTGGTATTTTGCTTGGTGTATTCGAAGGTGTTGGTGTACTCCTTAACAAGGCAATGAGCGATATGGGTAAACCTCAGATGCCAGCTCGTATGTCTTCTCTTCTCGTTTAATAACAGTTTCTAACAAGCAACAGCGGCACCTGAACAAGCGCCAGCCGTGATTTCACATTAAAATGTTAGCCTCAATCCACTTGCATAGATTTGACTCCTTACCCCTCCTCAACTTTTCCCTTAATCATATCTTATCTACATAAATACAAATTTATTCATCAAGACGGTTATTTTGCGTATTGAATAATTTGCCACGTAAGTTTGGTACCCCACTATATCATTTTGCATCTGTTGCTTTGTCCCGTGTGTTACCGACACTCATCCTTGCATTTTCCTTCTGAAATTGATCGCCTCTTTCTCAACTTTTGAGTCATAACCGTCGGTGCATCAATGGTGGCTTCTTATTCGATAGTTACTCATGATAGTATGGTTTGGCTCCGTTTTGGTGTTGTCGGTCTTGGAAATTGCGATACGCGATAAGAATGAGGATTTCTTCGTGTAATAAAATTATATTACTGTTGTTTAACATCAGTGGAGGTTTATCAACCACTTTGTTCTTGCATACAAGGGTGTCTGATTTCCTTAGTCACGAAGACGAATCGACGGTTTGTTTATTTAGAGGTCTAGGGAATTGTAATCTGGCTCCAACCAGATAAGACATGATCCTAAGACTAGTCACTCAATGAAACTGTCATTGTATTGCTCATAAAGAACACTTCTCTGTCGAGAAGGTGGATGTCCTAATCGAAGCTTATAAACTCATTGAAATATTATTATATGATACATTATAGACAATATATTCGTTAATCATCTTTCTCTAGCCATTTACCAAATTCGTTAAGTCTTTGTTCTTCATCTTGATCTGTTGTCTCAGCGTACTTGTTTGCAGTTTGGCTAGACTTGAAGCTCTCCTTGCCATCATAAAGGTAGCTGACTACTCTCCTACCACCAAAGAACCTGCCTTCGTATTTCTACAAACATGTTAATGGGTTTATAGAATTGCTTGAAAGACTCACAAGAACACACGCTTGTGCGGCGATATGATCAGAGAATTTGACAGTCATCACGCCTTCAGGTTCGGCCTAGTTTTGTAAGAACAGCACTGCCATAGGGATGCCAACTCACATCATAGAGTACGACATTCGTAACTTGACCAATCTGCTCAGCATCTTCACGGACATCCTCCTTCAAATCCAACAACAACGTTGGATCCTCTTTAAGCTCATCTAGTGAGAACATGTGCTTCAAAACGACAACCCTTGATGTTACTTTAGATGGCAATTTGTCCGCCAAACCAGATTCATCTTCTGAATCCCAATCATTGAGCTTCCTAGGAGCTGTTAGGGATTTCAGGTTACATTCATCGACCTACTCATCAAGCTTCCTAAATTTAGACTGCTTCTTTCTCTTCTCATCTTCTGTCAATGGCTTGTGTTTCGATTGCTTAGTTTGTTCGTTTGCTGTATCCGCCTTAAAGTCAGCTACTGAGACCCTGATAGAGCTACCATCCCCATATCTAAGCTCTGTGTCATCTAGAAGCTGTATAGCTAGACTGACGCTCGCTTCTTTGTAGTAAACAACCAAAGCCTCGCCTTTGAAATTACCCTGGTCGTCCCTGTATAGCTTCACCTTGGGTCCACCTTCGTCGTTAGGCAGGAGTACTCCACATTTACCAAACACTTCTGCAATTTCGTCGATACTAACATCTGGGGGTAAACCAGTAACGAAGACGGCGGTCTTTGGGGGCGGACCTTTCTGCTTCTTATTCTCAGTATTTGTATTATTAGATGTATAGTCCTTGCGCTTCTTCTCCTGACGTCTGGCTATAACGTCCGCTGGTGTCTTCTATCGTCAGATAATAAAGACGTCATAAAAAGCGACATACACTCTCATCTACACCTTGGATAGAGTAGGTAGCTTGCTGAGCTTTCATGTCATCAATACCGACCTATTCAGGTCGTTAGAATAGCCAAATAGTATAGAATGACATACTAGACTTATAAAGCGCCTAGATCTGCTATCCCACTCAAGTTCATTGCCATTATCGTCCTCTAAAACCCAATTCTGCTTTGATTTGTCAAAACTAACGCGTGGATCATTCGCAAAATCCTTCGTTGGATCATCCATTTTGGTTGTCAACTAGAGAAAGGCATTTTAACTGAAATTGTTTATATTCTGTGTTTCGTTGGCTGACTCAGATTTCTGACTAGTTTTCAACTTCTTCCTTCTTCCTTATCAACTTTCACAATGGACGCACTCACACCAGATACTTTCAAGCCAATATTAAAGAAGCTGACGACAGACGCTGATAGCTTCAGTGAAGACGATATGCGTGCTGCATTTGAACACATCGTTAGACCGGAATCGCACACAGCTGCACAAATATCTGCATTCTTAACAGCATTGAAATTAACGCAATATGACTCAAAGTCAGCATATATAGCTGCTGCAGCTACAGTCATGCGTAGTCACTCCGTACAAATTGATGGTTTATCGTCCGTTAGTCCAACTTGTGATATTGTCGGTACAGGAGGAGATGGTCTGGATACATTCAACGTATCGACGAGTGCGGCTGTTGTAGCAGCAGGTGCTGGTGCGACTGTCACAAAAGTGCGTATCATTCCCTATTCACTCTCCGTCTAACGAAGAAGACAGCATGGCGCACGCTCAGCTTCTTCTGCATCAGGTTCAGCGGATTTATTGCTGTCACTTGGTTGTTCGCTCTCTATCGAGCCTTCCCGCTTACCTTCAATACTCTCAGAGAGCAAGTTTGCTTTCCTTTTCGCATCGAATTATCACCCTGCGATGGCACACGTTGCACCTCTACGCCGTGAAATTGGCTTCCCTACTATTTTCAACTTCCTTGGTCCTTTGATGAACCCAGCAAAACCAGCGCGTATGGTCGTCGGTGTTGCGAAAAGGGAACTTGCGACAGTCTTCGTCGACGCACTAAACAGACTCGGCGTAGAGCGCGCCATGGTAGTCCGTGGTAAGGAGGGTATGGATGAGATTAGTCCCGAGGGCGAAACAGAGGTGCGTTTTTTGCAATTTTTCACAATCTCATCCACTTACATAACATAGATTTGGGAATTAGAAAACGGAAATGTTAAGGAATACACAGTTTCACCAGCTAGCTTTGGTTTGCGACCACATCCATTATCAGCCGTCAAGAGCGGTACTCCATCCAACAATGCCAATATCTTCAGAGCGATCTTGTCAGCGTCAACACCATCATTTGACGATATACCTAAGGGTGTCGAGATTGCCGCATTGAAGGACTGGATATTGATGAATGCTAGTGCACTCTTGGTGGTTTCGGGACAAGCTAGCAACTTTGGACAAGGTGTCGTAAAAGCAAGGGACAGTATTGAGAGCCTCAAGGCTAAGGCCGCTCTTGACGCATTTAAGCAAGCAGGTCAGGAAGTTAACTAATGTATAGAAGTTGTGTAGATAGATACATGCCAAACATAGAACATCATAATTGATTAGTGTACAAGGTAGTAACTGAGGAATAGCACTGCGAGAGTGATAATGCTTCCGCGCAGACTATCCCCATAACCCAACGTATATAAGCTAGCCCAAGCATAACCGACTGACCTGTCAGCAAATAAACCGAGATAAGCTTTATACTCTGCTTGAGGATCGAAATCCACGTTGGTTTTGATAGACAGCGCCGACTTGCTGTCATCATCTAGACTAACTATTGCTGTCACTGGTTTATGATCGCTGATCGTGATGTTAGGGAATGAATCATAGAACAATGTCTTGGAAGCGGTACTTGAAGAAGCATAGAGAACTCTATCTGTCCAACTTGGTGTTCGCTTATTGTTTACACCATCGACTGTACCAACGTGATACTTGTAGGTTGGAAGGAAAGAAAAGAATTCACCCTCTTGCAATCCAATCATGGTATTACCTTTCTGCATTTCTTGAGTAAGCTGGTCATCGTTCGAGAGTTTATCCAAGTCGACTATCTTCTGATCTGGATTGGCCTTTAGACGGTAGTTCAAATCACCGAAGACAAACAAATGGTTGGTATCGTAAATAGACGGTGAGAGACGACTAACTAGCGTCCTATAATCTATTCAAAAGTTAGGGATTATGCAGGCCTTACGAATACGCACACACCTTGGTTGCGTCTCTCGAGGAACTCATCGTGTGCTGCCAAATGAGCGTTTACGAACGTGTAGACCTCACCATTGGTCAATGTAAGACGTGTGGACACCGCGCCCTTGTTAGACATGATGTTCCCAACACCAAAGCCGACGCTAGATGTCGTAGTACCTTCAATAGACGGCAAGATCTTAGGACGAGCATATATGAGTAGCGTGAGGTTAGAGAATGCGGCCTGTGATACTGAAGAGTATATCGGATCGATGCTGCTTGAATCAGTGTATTTCGATAAAGTTCTGTGTATAGTTGAGGATGTCTGTCTTAGGTTGTCGGTTGTGTTGAAGTTGCTAACTTTAGAGTTGCTCTAAGCGGAATTCTAGAGGTAGATTTACTAACTCACGCGCTTGGTGTAATTGGAGTGATTCCTGAGTACCGACTACCAAAATGTCAGGCAAATCAGCTGGATCTGAGCGAGGCAGCAACCATTGTGATATATCACCAGGTTTAACGCTAGCTAGAGATTTTTGATTGAGATTGAACGTCGAAACTTGAATTTTCATCCGGAATCGACTTGAGAGATTACAATCAGAGTGATAAAGGCTGATATGCAGAATTTAGACAATTTCGTGGATATTGGTGAGATATTTTATAATACACACGCTGTCCTATGCTTAAGATCAGACTAGCTCAGCCGAGATACGACCAGAGTACATACCTCGGTCGTGTACGTCACTTCATCGCTGCTGTGTCCCCTTTGACGCTCTTTGCATCATCTGAGCGCCTAGCAGAAGCTCAGAAGGAGGTATACTCTGTACAAGAGCGCATAAAGAAGTCACCTGACGGTGTGTTTGTCACTCCAGAGGATGCACACAAGTTTTGGAAGAACAAGCAGCGTGAGTACTCGTGCGGCATTTTCATGAGATGCTTACAGTCCCTTAGTCGTTGATTCTTCTATACACCCTGGTATGTCGGCAGCAGCACACATGACTCAACTCATACAGTCGAATAGACACTGGCGAACCAATTGTTCTGCCGTTTAGAATGTCAGCATTCATGCCAACCAACTTGGTTAGTATTGCTGTGTATTCCCTATCAAACAAGCTCAAACAACCTGCAGATCATTATCGGTGGTATGCTTGCACCAAATCCATCTGTGAGGACACTAGACTATCACTCTACCAAATCTTATCGTTTTGCAGCTCGGTTCTGTGATCTTCTGGCAATGGATGAATCGTGAGTCAATCCCGACTGATAGCCGAATTGTAAACTGACGGATAAAGAATCGCTTAACGTTTGCGTTAACGTAGGTAATATAAGGTTGTTTCACGTTATCTGACATCCCACAGTCAGCCAACGCTAACAAATCAACTCCATTGAGTACCAAAGAATTGGCTTTGTCATACGTCGCAGCTACCGCATCTTCAGTCGGTATTGCTGTCAGCTTGACAAAGGGTGTACCAAAACTGAATGTATCAGCAGCAACTAAGGTATCTCTCGGAAGGATGGTAGTAAGTGTTTTTAGAGCGTTTTCATGAGTTCACAACTAACAAACATACAGCCATTTGCATCAGTCGTTACAGCAGGTTGCGTGAACATCGCTGCTATGAGATATAAGGAAATGCGCGATGGTATACAAGTAACAACGAGTGAAATTGACGGAAAACCAGTCAAGGATGAAGAGAAGATCAACCTTGACCAGCCATCACGCGTAGCAGGTACGGTAGCAGTTGCACAAACCGCAGCTAGTAGAGTATTTACCAACATCCCAACACTGATCTTTGTCCCACTCATCCAAGCTGCATTGACAAAGAAGGGTGTTTTCAAGGGCAAGCGTGGCCCAATGCTTGAGCGTATCGTATCCCTTGGATTGGCAGGTACATCTATGATCATTTTCCTTCCTCCAGCTATTGCCGTCTTCCCTCAAAAGGCTGCTTTGGACACTGAGACAGTCTTCGGTAGGGATCAGGACATCAGGGACGACAAAGGAAGGAAAGTAACGAGAGTTGAATTTAATAGAGGTCTCTAGATGTGTTTAGTTTAAAAATATTAAATGTAGTTGAAAATTAAATAGATTTCTATCCTTATCATATTACGATCATCATGGATTATATCAAAAGCTGGTTCGGAGGAGGTGATAAAGATGCTATACAACCACCAGCTTACGATCCTAGCAAAGATAAACCAAAAGATTTGCCGAAATTTGACGATAATGTTAGCCAAACTGAGAAGGAAGAAGTTGGTCAACAGCAAGCAACATATTCGCCTTACTCCTTACCGTAGGTGTTGCACAATAAATAAAGGTGTACTCAAAAATATAATAGTCCAGATTCAGGTTTAGATAGTGCTCAACACGTTGAAATGCGTAGACGAATCGGTCAGGCCAGTCTGGAGAACTGTTCAGTGATAGAATCGATGCTCTCAGAATGTATAAGGAATGGATCGTTTACAGAGAAGAGAGTGAGGGGATGCGATTGGTTGAGGGAGCAATTCTACAGTTGTTTGACTGAACAGCGGGTGAGTGATGTCTATAGAGGGTTGCACAAGCTAAAGAAACACTTAGAATGCCTTAACGGAGCTTGGATATGCTATCCCGGGTAATACACCAGAGAGAGATTTCAAGATACAGAGTTTGGCAGATAGACTATCCCAGGAGAAGGAGAAGGAAGCCAAAGAAGGCAAAGGACCATTCGACAGTCAGAAGAAGTCTAGTAGTTGATTATTTATGAAATGCATGTATGTATCTATAACCAAAGAGTCCTACCGTGAAGTAGCAGATGATAAGCATTGTTGCACGACGTCAATGAGGTGGTTGTTCTCTAGTGCAGCTGCTACTCTCTCTTTATCGTTGAGCTGCTTGTTTATTGCGTCTTCTTGCTGATGCGTGCCTTCGCGAACTCTGACATCAACCTTAAAACGAGGTGGCAACGCTCTCAGGAGCCTAACCCTGAGGCATAAACCAATGAGCGTCGACATTGAACAGTGGGGGATAGTTGGTGTGAATAAAATAACAGCTTCTGATTCCTCGTCGTTGATTTCAATCTGAGCTTTCGAAACTACAGCGAGTTGTTCAAGTGTGAGTGGATGCTCTGGATCGTTTATGTCCTTCAATAGCTCAAATACTTCGTCATTATCAATGCCCTCCTCGACAGCCTTATCCAAGTCCAAGTGGGCGTGCTTCAAGTCGTTGTTGCCATCCTCCGAAGTGAGGAAATCGGTAGACCAAGGATCGCTTGTATCGTATGCACTCCCGTTAGAGTGGCTGATCTCGTGTATAATTGGATTTGCGTTTATCTTATCGTCCGACATTTCGCGATCGACGTTTGAAAGCAACTTTCAAGATGTTAACTGGGAAGATACGAAAAATCGGACTATCAACGAAAGTACAATGGAGATCATTCTCTAGATCTAGGAGTCTCTCTCTCGCTAAACCAGTCGATGAATACATACCGACTAGGACTACACAGTCGCTATCTTCTCAGATTTCTGCGGCGTTTGATTTGCTTGATTACAAATCGATAACGCCAATTAGAACTCTCCTTAGTCAACTCTCAAATCGCTCAATGAAGGAGCTTCAGATGGGGTTATCTTATGAGAGCACACCCGATAACGATCGTGCTGTCAATACTAAGCAGACACCATCAAATGAGGTCCTTCTGATCGCCCATATAGCTAGACCTTCTCCGCATCTCAGATTAGCAGATCGGATATCAATCTGCGCTGGATTCGCTGTTGCTGCTGGTGAGAACGACGAAAGTCCACTCGTAGTGAGCTGTACACACACACTCAATTCCGTACGTAAAGCTATACCATATGTTATATTAGTTATTAACATTTCAATCGCAGATGAAATCCGCTTTGAGTGATACTTCTACTGATACTCCGTCGGCAACACTCATCTTGACATACGATAACGGATCAATTACTGAAATAAGGTCCGCAGAAAGCTTGGAATCATGCCTACCACTGAATGACATCGTATTCTACAAACCTTCAGCTACATTGTTCGGAAAAGGACAAAACTTGCGGACATTACCAGTCAATCCTTACCCACCACCACCTAGAGCACCTGTGGCAGTTTGGCTACCTCCAAACACAACTATGGATGCTCCCGAATGGACCTTTGGTAGTATAGATCGCTATACAACGCCTAATGCAAAATTAGCACAGATAGGCACCTACGATCATCTAGCGAACGTGGAAATAAACGACGCAATACCAAGGTTGGGTGCTAGTGGTTCACCAATTATTGAAATTGAATCTGGTGCTGTCTGCGCTATTGTCAAAGGTGCGATAAGCACTTATCCGAAATCCAGGGGATGGGCTACGCCTGCAGAAAGAGTTTGGGAATGTTTCGATCTCCCTGGTTTAAAATTTAGATAGTAACTTGTAGAATTCTTCTTTATTTCTTTGTTTTCTACCTTCATGAGTAACAACAACGCGAATGAGCATAAGCTCAGGGTTGTAGTGAGGAAACTACCCGCTAATCTGCCTGAGGAGATATTCTACTCTGCTGTACAGACATGGGTAAACAGCGATACCGTCAGTCAGTCGTACTATTCGAAAGGCAAACTCCGAGCAGCGTGTGTAGATAGCTGTAGCCCTGTATAAGCTAACATCTAGATAGAGAATCTAGTAAGGAGAATATAGCATCGAGAGCATATATCACTTTCAAGGAATACGCCCAGCTGTTGTCTTTCCATGCTGGATTTGATGGCCACTTGTTCAAAGATAAACAGGGTGTGTTATAGAAGCTACATAGCGTAGACATGTCTAAAATAACCTTAGGAAGAGAAAGTAGAGCCTCTATTGAGTTCGCTCCATACCAGAGAACACCACAACCGAAGCAGAAACAAGACCAAAGACAGGGCACGATTGAAGAAGGTGAACACATCCTGCACTCTCTTACCAGCCAGCTCACAAATCATCAGATCCTGACTTCAAATCATTCCTTGAATTACTTGAAACGACACCAACCAAGCCAGATTTTGAAGCTAACCTGATGGCCTCGAGAGCAGTCGACAAACCAAAGCAGACTCCTCTCTTAGCCCATCTTGCAATCAGAAGAGAAAAACAGAAAGCCAAGCGCGAGAAAGCGAGAGCAAAATCCCAGCGCAAAGCAAAGGAGAAGAGTATAGCAAATAATGGCACACCAAGCACACCAGGTGTACCCTCAGAACCGTCCGGATCTAACACGCCTAAGGATAAACAAAAGAATGCGAACCAAAGACCGAAGAAGACACGTGGAGAGAAAAGAGCAGCTAAGAAGGTGCGCGATACGGAAATGCAACCAGAAGCTCAATTCAAGGCACCTATAACGATCCTATCCAGACCAGATGGTGGTGCAACTCCCTCTATACCCTCAAGCACGCCTAGTCCAGCTCTCAATCCACCGAGAGACCCACCAAAAGGACCGCGTGGAGGAGCCAAACCACGTGGAGGACCACCGAGAGGACCAAGAGGAAGGGGTAGAGGCAGGGGCAAGCCGGCTGCCTCCAGCTGAAAATATCTCATATGACGTACCACATTTGTAATCAATAATGTCATAAATATCTTTATTAAAGACGATCATCATGCCAAACATCACGACTAAGAATCTAGTATTAGGATCAACAGCTGCCAAACCAGGACTCGAGACCTGGTACGGTACACACCTCGAAGAGCGTACAATCGGGGACTTGAAACCAAACGAAGTTGTACTCAAAGTAAACGCAGTAGGATTCAATCACAGAGATAAATGGATTAGACAGGGTCTTTATCCTGGCATAAAAGAGGGTGTCACCATGGGTTCAGATGCAGCTGGCGTCATTATAGCCGATGGTGATGACAAAGATACGTTCGTCGGAAAGCGCTACTTTGTGAACCCTTCGCGCGGATGGATTGAAAACAAGAAACACAGTGAAGAACCGTTCATCATTCTCGGTGGATGTGATAACGCAGAAGGTGTATTTGCGACTGCAGTTAAGGTAGATAAGAAGTATATTCTTCCAACACCTGAACATCTGACAGATGAGGTGAGCACGGTGGTTATATTTGTCATATATATATCTGAGACATCAAAAGCAAGCTGCCGCATGGCCACTTGCAGCCGTTACAGCCTGGAGAGCGACATTCGTAAAAGCTCAAGTTGAGAAAGGTGTGTGTGATAATAATAAAACCGAGCTAGCTAATAAAACATAGGTCACAATGTTCTTATTACAGGTATTGGGGGTGGTGTAGCACTCCAAGCACTACAATTTGCAGTTGCGAAAGGTGCAAATGTCTACGTTACCTCCGGTAACTCAGAAAAGCTCCAACGTGCAATCAAACAGTTTGGTGCAGCTGGCGGTGTCAACTACAAAGACGCCGACTGGCCAGAGCAACTCAAGAAACAGCTTCCATCGGATCACGTATATTTAGACGCTGTAATTGATTCATCTGGTGGTGATATCGTAACGAAGGTAGGTTTATATAGAATTATCCTACCGTCATTCACAAATACACATAGGTAAATAACTTACTTCAACCTGGATCACCAATTGCGATTTATGGTATGACAAGCGTTCCAAAGACTCAATTTACTATGGGCGACGTTATCAAAAACTTTGAATTGAAAGGTAGTACGATGGGGTCCTTGAAGGAGCTCCAAGAAGCTACTGCATTCATATCTCAACACAAACTCATCCCTGTTGTAGACCAACCAGTCATTCAAGGTCTCGAGAACGCTGAAGAGGGTTTCCAAAGACTGGTCAAGAGCTCACAAATGGGTAGCGTAGTAATAAGCGTTGGAGGTGAATCAAAACTCTGAGCTAGTTACAATTTTCACCTATTTATGGGGTCCTTGGGTATCCTTTTATGTATTTTCGGACCTAATGCAAGTAATGAATTTGATGGTATATTATTCGTGTTTGTCAACCTATTGTGAGAGTATGATAGAAGTTTTGGACCATTGTTAGAATGAGTAGCTCGCTTTTTGTTAGCAGTAGCGAATGACGGTAATGGCTCGTCTAATGCATCATCTACGTCGTCAGATGGTGGTAGGATGCGTAATGTTTCGTCAGACTTCCGCTTTTTTCCGTTATGTGCTCTTATCGATATGGCAGAAGTGGAAGGTGAGTCCATATCAAGGTCACTCGAGTATGTCAAGTCTATTTTAGGCTTCTCTTTGGGTGTATTTGCATGCTGCTTAGATGTGTTTTGCTTAGATGGAGTTTTTTCCTGTCTGGATTGAGATTGTCTTGCTTCGTACTTCTTCTTCCACTCTACTATATTCATCTTGAGTTTCGTATTCTCAGCTTCTCTTTCTGAAAGCTTGCTTAAAATTCTCCTCTCGTTACTCTCTAAGCTAGATATCTTAGCATCCTTCTTTGTTAAAGTGAGAGCATAATCTTTCTTGAGTTTCTCGTTGTCTTGAAGTGATTTCTCGAATTTGTCGCGTAGATGTTGTTCTTCTAAGGATATTCTGGAAAGCATCTTCGTATGACCCAGTTCAATCTTCGATATTTCCTTCTTCTTACCCGTCTCAAAGTAATTCAACGAGTGCGAGAGTGTTTTAATCTTCTCCTTGAGCTCTTCCACTGTGGCTGACTGATCGAGACGTTCCTTAAGACCTCTTAACTCTTTTGACAAGACTTTGAGCAGCTTCTGGGTTTGCTCGTCGCTCACATCGCTCGCGCTAATAACTTGTACTACGTCATCAAAAGTAACCCTCAATCTATTGAGATCTTGTCGAAGTGATAACGCGTGTACTTTTTTAGAAATGTCTAACAACTTTTCTACATTCGCATCTTGTCCACTATCGCCGCCATCATCACTGAGATGCAACTTGATTAGATCTTTATTACTACCGATAGAGTATCTGCAACTAGGACAATTGGGTGTTTTCGAGGACTCTCTAAAGCGTTCAATCCAAGTGTGTATACACCTCGCGTGAAAAACATGTCCTTATGGATTTTATCAACACAATTGATAAACTAAGTGATATCCTTACCACAATTTATAGCCAAAGTTGTACTATTAATCAAACTATCATAACAAATTGAGCATTCCATCGCATTTACAAAGTCGTTACGCGTTCTTGGTGGATTAGGAATGAGAAGTTCTTTATAGGTTATGGAATATGTTATAAGAAATATAACACCCGTGGGATTACTTTTGGTCGATTCTAATGTACTCAATCAAACTTTATTCCTTATTCCTTTGTTCTCCTCTTTGTCTGTTCATGTAAATTGTCTCATTGTTCTTTCGTAAGATAAAGCCGTAAGCTCAGTGTATTTCTATAAAAGCTATTGTAATGACAGTAAGTATATCTTCTAAACCTTCGAATGAAAATCCCTATCCAAAATGGCACAAGATGCATAAAATAATCAACCTCGAGCATATCATCAAAGTAGGTAACTTTATATAAAAAGTATTAGTTTATAACGCCCCATAGAAATCACAACAAGAGCTTGATTCACTTAAGTCAAGCATTTCGAACACTCACACAAAGATAAAAACACAAACACAAACCTCGTCGACAAAGAGTCGGTCACAAAGGCCAATAAACCCACCAAGTCTACCAACTGCATCGAGAAGACCATCAGCGAGGGAGATAAACGATTATAACTCTGTTTACCTCATGCAGACAGGCCAAGCTCAGCCTGTGCACCCAATTGAAAATGCGTATTATGTTCAGCAGCAGCATGAAAAGTATAGAAAGTATCAGGAATACCAGCAATACTTGCAATACCAACGTTATCAACAATACGGAGATAATCAGAGATACCCATATGGTTATACATACGGCAATCAGCAACAAAGATACCCTTCGCAATACCCTACTCATCCTCTTCAATACCACTCACAGTACTCATATAATACCCAAGCTCACCCTAAAAAAATACAACCATCACCATTCGATCATTGCACGAGCGAAGACATAGACAAACTCGTAGCAGAAGGCAAAACAACTTGGGAGGAAGTTGATGAAATTGATGTGTGTGTTGAGTTTAAAAGAAGAAAAAGGCCACTAACGAAGCCATTAGCGTCGTTGTTGGATCAACCTACCACCTCTATCAAACTAGTTCGTTAGCAAATAAACACAATATAAAAAACAATTTTCATGCATTATTTTCATTTCCTTAGTTCAAAACACGTGCTAATTTCTGTATTGAGTTGAGTAAAACATCACCATTTTGTACGACCTGTTGATATTGCTTATTACGGGAGTCTGGTCTATTTGATTCAACAACGTTTGTAACTTTATCCAAAACGCAATGCAGTCTACCAGCTGGGATGAGTTTTGAGAATTCCTTATCAATGAACTCTTCAGAAACGCCAAAGGCCTTGGCGAGTGAAGAAATATTAAGTGATTTATAACTCTCGAGTAATTGTGCGTAAGCTCTTATTCTAATTTCACGAGTATAATATCTGCTATGTTGGTGGAGATAGACAGATGGCTTGAGATAGGTCTCTTCAATCTCTGCAAGAGATTTGAAAAGGAGAGCATAATCACAATCATAAAGACTGTTAGCGAAGTTTCTTATCAATGGTTTGGTGTGCATCAAAGCAACAACTTCTGGTGCGTTGATAACTTTAGTCTTCAAGTCCACTCTATCTAATGCGAAAACGCTGACTATAACAGTGTATATAACGAATTGATCGTAGTTAATAAGTTCTGTGGAAGTGAAAGTGGACAAAGTGTCCAAGAATTGTGTGGATGCAAGTTTAAAGTCACGGATACTAGCTGCATGTAGACCGATGTAGACTTTAAGTCTGTTTCTTCTATCCCAATCACCGCCCTGTTCTACTAAAGTCTTAGCAGTAGCTATGTTCTGAACGACGAGATTGAAATCACTGAAGAACATTCCAAGTCTGATAAGTGTAAGTGTAAGATCGATTTTGCTACCAATACCTGCTGTTTTCTCTATAGCGGTTGTTATTGAATCGATTGACATTGATTTATCACCAATTCTGGCGTAATACATAGCTCTCTTTCTAATACCCTCACTTATTTCACTCTCACCCTCATTCTCAGTTGCTTGAGCGATAGACTGCTCTATTTCCTTCAAAACAGCGTCGTTTGCTTTCGAGAATTGAGTGACGAGTGCGTCTCTTTCTGGTAGGATTGAGGTTGGTAGAGTAGCAGCGAACGGTGCCATTTCTATTTTATTAGTAAGGTGATGTATAGGTAAGATATTACTAACCATCGTTCTGAATACCAGCTAATAAGGTTTTATGTGCTTCCTCGTGGAGGTGTGATAAATTCTCTGATTGCAATATAAAGACAGATTGCGGTAATTCTAGATTTGGTATAGCTGGTAGATTGTCGCTATCAGTTAATGACATGACGATTTTGGTTCAAGGAGACGATGAGCTGACGCGTCGCTATTTCGTTAGACAGAGAGTAAGAATATTTAATTTATAAGTAATCTATATCTTATTCTTTATTCTTTTACTTCTTTCAGCTTCAGTTTATCGTTTTTACTATTTCAATAGAAATATTTCATCAAATGCTACATGAACGGTCGATTTATTCAGTCTAGTCGATCTATGCGACTTATACGACTTATTCAACTTATTCTTCCAAAGATATCTTCTCATTCTTAGCTTGTGCTTTACTTTCGTTAGATCATCATCTACTATCATACAAACACTTACTATCGGCTATGATATCAGAGTCACCGCCAATATCGCACAGTGTGAGTGAAGCCCTCTCTCCAACCTTTGCTCTAGCACATACAACACAATTGTCCAACTTGGCTCTTTTGAGTTCTAGGTTAGCTAATTGTATGAACTGCTAGTATCACTCACCCGTCTTTGACAACAACATTGTCTGCGATAATACACCCGATAATCTTACATCCCTTACCAATTTCCACGTTACGTCCAATTATACTCATCTTAATGAGCGACTTCTCTCCAATCTTCACTGGTTGACTAACTAATGATCCTGGTGCGACTGGTGGTTTTCCAGCTTGTGGAACTGGTCTATGACTGCGCAGGATCTTCGACAATAAGCAAGAATAAGGAAGGAAAAAGTAAACTTACCTCTCTGTTCATTTCCGCGTAACCACCCAGAGTGTTGGCTCTGGCTATGAAACCATCACCAGACTTATGTATGAGCGTTTGAACGCGTATGCGTTGGTTTGGTGGTACATCTGAGTGGGCATTATCAGCACTTGCGTAGTCACCTGTGTGTTTTGGTTTTCTATCAGGGGCGTTCTCGAGAGTCTGCATAGTGCTATGTGCGAGTGCATCCTCGAAAGGATCAGATTGGGTTTTGAGTGCTAATATACAATGAGAAGTGTATTGACAAATGCGAATAACTCACCTTTACCCCACTTATCGTAAAGAGCCTTCTGGTATGACCATTTACTCAACCAGGGCAGAAGGTCTTCTCTAATAGATGCAATTTCCGGTCTAGCGGTGAGCAAATCGAGGACGTTTCTCCTGACGACGTAGACATGCGCATCGAGCAACTTAGTGCTGAGCGTGAGATTTGGGTACTCCCAGAGCAACCTTGAACGTAAATCGAGTGCATCGTTTGCATCATTTGCTGGCATGATTAGTGTCTGACTCTCCTGGTCGTATATCGTAATACAGCGAGATGGACCTTCCCTGCTACCGTAATCTATACTATTCTCGTAATGAAGGGAAGTGATGAGCGTGTTGCTCTTTGATCTCCTGTAAGATTCTAATACTTTTGATAAGGGAAGCGATTTTGGTGGGAGGATATCGCATGGGAGGACGACGAAATCGGTTTTAATCTCATCCTTGAAATGTCTAAGCCAGTCTGCAGTTTCCCAGCTAGCGCAATCGTCGTCATCAACTGTTTCATAGCGTATATGTAAGTCTTCTTGCTTCGATTTGGTTGAATTTGGGAGATTTTCCGAGTTAAAAGAGCGCAAAAAAGGAGACAGATAGTTTGAGAAGGAGGAAGGTGATAAAACGAGTATATCTGAGGGATAACTGTTAGTCTTGAGAGTGAAGAAGACGGAATACGGACCATTTACGGCGGAGTCTTCGCACCACTTAAGTGCGTAGCTGATAACGGGCTCGTTTCCTACTGGTAGTAGTGGTTTTGGCGTGGCTTCAACTAAAGGGAACAGTCTGTATGGTAGATATGTTATATTAAGCGGTGTTAGAGAAGGAAACCCACTTCTGACCATAGCCAGATAAGATAACGGCCTTGAATTCATTGTTCAATTTCGTATTAGCCTTTTGTGAGTGTAAATTATTCGGTAATAACATTTTGAACGTTGAGATGGAACCATCAAGTGCGAGAATAAAAACATCGTAAGCGAATAATACAATTTGCTACAGCCCTAACAGTCACTAGCTACCGTCCAGAATCAACTTTCAGACCAATCTACACTGGAGGCAAAGTTGATATCACAAAAGATGGTCGATACATAGCGACTACAAGGAATGGTGAAGCTATCATAACGGATTTGATACTAGCTAAGGAGGTAGCTAGAACAAAGTCTGATACTGAAGACCTCACTTCGATATCCTGGTCACACCAAACTTTGATAACTTTTTCGAGATCAAATAACATGAAATTCTACTCGTTGGATAAGCAAGAGGGTCCTTACCTTGCACCTATAAGAGTCGTCGCTAAGTCACACGACGCTCCCGTACTCGTCAGCGCATCTGAACCTTCCACCGGGGCATTCATTGCATCTGGTTCTGCCGACGGTATCGTCAAGGTCTGGGATGTGAAACGGGGGTACATCACTCACGTATTCAGAGGCCATGGTGGTCCTGTTTCTTCCATCTGCTGGAGGAAGATCGGTAACTCAATCGAGTTGATCACAGGAAGCACAGATACACAGATCAGAATATGGGATTTAAACGCTACTGCATCAAACAATAGCGCAAAATCAACTCCAAAACCAAAGCATGTTTTACAAGGTCACGTTTCTATCGTTAGAGGTTTGTCCTTAACCTCAGACCAACAAACTCTGCTTTCAGGTGGACGTGACAGAGTCGTCTTGAAATGGTCTTTATCAGGAAAGTCACCGAAATTACAACGCACAATAACTACTCTTAATTCAATCGAAAGTGTTGGAATTCTCGATGATGATGAGGTATTTTTCACCGCAGGTGATGGTGGTTTGAAGACTTGGAGTATTGATGATGGTTCGCTCATCAAAGACTATGGGGGCGGTGTGGTTAAATCCACAAGAGTCGAAAATAATGATGACGATGATGGTGTTGGTGGTTTAGCAGACGCCTTACTCATTCCATCCGCGATAGTCACAATTGGGCATGACCAGATTATTACATTCCACTCACTAAGTGATGCTGACGATGTCCATATCATTGGTTATCCAGATCAAATTATCAGTTCATGCTATGTCTCTAACGATGATGTCGCAGTAGCTACAAACTCACCCTCAATATTTATTATCAATTCTCAACGTCTTCCATTTGTAAAGCAGATAATAGATGGTCACACTGATACTATATTATCAGTCAAGGCCATTCCAAGCAAGGAACTCTTATTAAGTGGATCTAAAGACGGAAGTGTAAGAATTTGGAAGAGATTCAATGGTAGATTTAAATGTATAGCTATCGGAAATGGACACGGTGAAGCAGTCGGTGCTATCGCGATTGCACCAAGGTCTAATGCATTCGCTATCTCCGCATCTCAAGATCGTATGATTAAATTGTGGGACTTGGCAGGTATGGAAGAAGTTGAAGAGAATGACGAACCAATCTCAATTTCTTCCTACATAACTCAACGTATTCATGACAAGGACATCAATTCACTGGATATTTCACCGGATGACAAGCTTCTAGCTTCAGGTTCTCAAGATCGTACATCTAAGGTCTTTGATATCCAATTTGATGGTAAATCCAAGAGATCTAGTATTAACCTTAAAGCAACCCTCAAAGCACATAAGAGGGGTGTATGGTCAGCCAAATTCAGTGATTTCGATAGAGTTTTAGCAACTGCTGGTGGTGATAGAAGTGTCAAAATATGGAGTTTGAAAGACTTCAGCTGTATAAAGACACTGGAAGGTCACAGCAACAGTGTACTCGACATTGGTTTCTTGGCAAATGGACAACAACTTATGACATCCGCCGCTGATGGTCTTCTCAAGCTCTGGAATCTCAAAACAGAAGAATGTGTAGCAACTTTAGACGGTCATGAGGATAAGGTGAGTGTACTACTTTACGAAATATAGTTTCTGACGTATATACTCAAGGTTTGGGCATTAGATTTGAGTCCAGATAATACCTACTGTGTTTCTGGTGGTGGAGACAGTCTACTGACATTCTGGAAAGACTCTACTGAGATAGTAGAAACTGAGAAAGTAGCTGAACGCGAACATGTTGTTATGAGAGAGCAAGATTTCAGTAATTATGTCCAACTGAAAGACTACAAAGCTGCTATCTCACTCGCTATTGAAATGAACCAACCACGCAGATTGTATCAACTTTTTAGCACAGTAAATGATGAAAGTGACGGCAAGTCGATTACAGGTCACGTAGCTGTTGATGGTGCCATCAAAGAATTAGATAGTAACGATTTGAGGAAACTTTTCGTTCATATTCGTTCATGGAATGCTAACAACAAGACATCACCTGTTGCCCAAAGAGTCCTCCACGCGCTCTTAAAGTTGAAATCATCTATTGAAATTAGAAAATCTTTCGAGGAGGCTAGACAGAGCGATTTGGATAAGGTTGCAGACCCATCCATTGATCCAAACACTGGTGAATTCGTACCACACACTATACAAGCTGATGAGAGCAACAAGAGGAAAGTAAAGAGCGCAGATGAAAGCGCATCTTTGAAGGAGATTATTGAAGGTTTAATACCGTACACTGAGAGACACTTTTTACGTGCTGACAGAATGGTTATGGAGAGTTATGTCGTTGATTTCATGTTACAAGAAATGGACGGATTGGGTGAATTAGACGCGTTGATGGATGTCGACAATTAGTATTGTAATTTATTGATAGATATTTGCATTCATAGAATATGGTAGTGTATAGTAAGTAATTCAACGAGTAACTATTTGAAAGCTCGCAAAACCTATCTTCTGGTGGTAATCCTGCAGATGTGATTATGAATAAGAATCGATCTTATCAGATAACTTCACAGAATGGCAAGATTTTATGCACATGTTTACTTAAAAACACAAGTTACTTCTTAATCAATGGCTTCAAGTTCAGACATATTTGGATAGTCAAGGAAATAAGTATATAGTTAATGTACAAATACACGAGTTAAATAAGCGATAATCTAAACTTAAAGGTCTTGTGAGTCAATGCCTTCACCCTTCTTGGTCTTTGATGGGAGAAGTTCGGTGTGGATGTTTGGAATGACACCACCTTGTGAGATTGTTACGTGACCGAGGAGCTTGTTAAGTTCATCATCGTTTCTGATGGCTAATTGCAAGTGACGTGGAATGATACGAGACTTCTTGTTGTCACGGGCAGCGTTACCAGCTAATTCGAGAATTTCAGCTGCAAGGTATTCGAGGACAGCAGCAAGGTAAACTGGAGCACCAGCACCAATACGTTGTGCGTAGTTACCGTTCTTCAAATGTCTGTGAATACGACCGACTGGGAATTGGAGACCGGCCTTTGAAGAACGAGAGCGACCTGCGTCGAGAGCACCTGCTTTACCACCTGACTTTCCACCTGATTTACCGCCGACTTGTTGAGACATTTTTACTTTGTAGTTGTAGTTTGTAGTTGATGAGTAAAAAGCAGCAAAACAAGACAGCTATTTAAACAGCGCGCGATCAAATCAGACGCGTTTGGTGATTCTGAGACGCGCATGATCTGATCTGTGATCTGAGTAGTGTAAAAGAGTGTGTAATAGAGGAATTGGAATAAAAATTATATAATCTAATAGCTTAAATTTAGAGGAATATTTTGATATAATTTTTGTATCATCATCCTTATTATTTATTTTTGGATCAACGATTTTAGTGTCGCCCTCTCCGGATTTATGATTTGATGATTGAATTCACGTTCCAAATTCTCTGAACTATTTAACGCGTCTTAATTCACTGTTCATTCTCATCAACCAAGTCTCTATCAAATAATCAACAATGGCACCAAAATCAGCAGAAAAGAAGCCAGTTTCAACCGCCGGTAAGGCTCCAGCCTCAGCTACCAAGCAACCACAAGAAGGTGGTAAGAAGACCGCAAAGGCCCCAAAGCCAGACAGTGATAAGAAGAAGTCAAACAAGTCACGTAAAGAAACCTACTCTTCATACATTTACAAGGTCTTGAAGCAAGTTCACCCAGATACCGGTATTTCAAACAAGGCTATGAGCGTTCTTAACTCATTCGTCAATGACCTTTTCGAGAGAATCGCCTCAGAAGCATCAAAGCTTGCCTCATACAACAAGAAATCAACCATTTCATCACGTGAAATCCAAACTTCTGTTCGTCTTATCCTCCCTGGTGAACTTTCAAAGCACGCCATTTCAGAAGGAACCAAGTCTGTCACCAAGTTCTCAAGCTCAAAGGCTTAGATTTAGTCATTTTCACTTTATTTATTTGTTGTACGAGTAATAAAAACTTGCATTTTCTTCCTTTGATAAATCAAATAAAACACGCGTGATTTGAAAATAAAAAAGTATGCATAAATATCTTAATCAGATTCTTCTTCCTCACTCTCACTGTCTGCTTCGAGTAATGCTTCAATGAACCTTCTTGACTTCTCCCATAATACTCTCATATCTGATTCACTTTCTCCACGAGCTGGTTGAGACTTATACCATGCGAAGATAGCCTCTTCTGATGCAATTTCGTATTCGTAGAATATACGCAAAACAGCCAAGAAGATTGATAAATGACTTTGTGGATGTCTAGCGCAATATTCTTGTGCGATGAGTATAGCCTGACTTTGATCTTCTTTTGTCATTTCAATAACCAATTGTGCCCATCTTCCAAAGACTGCCTCGACCGCCTTGACTGGCTGGCCATCAGTAGTTGATATTCTCGACATACAGAAATCGATGACTACCTTCCTTACTTGGGAAAGTTGTACATTTGAAGCCATCCTCAAAGTCTTTAGTTCTATAGCGGCATTCTCAGATGTGTGGCCCTCCTCGAAAGCTCTTTCAAGAGATTGGACACATTCATGGGAGAAATCAGCTGCCGCTCCGACCTTACCAGCGTTTTCAAGTGTGAGACCCTCGACAGCGTCGTTGATATCATCTTCGTCGTCGTCGTTCTCTTCGTCTGAGCCGCCGTTTGAGATTGTGGAAAGGGATGAAGATGTCGACAATGCAGGTGATGGTGGTCTAGCACCCATTCTAGAGTATTTCATAGATAACTGGAAGTCTTCATCTTCCTCGTCGTCAGAATCTATCTCGTCAATTTGCATATCAACCTTGTCGGATGGCCACAAGTATCCGTTTGACTCCTCTCCGAGTATCTTCAATCTTTCTTCTAGGAAAACGTTAGCAATTGACATATAATATGCTGAATACTCACCTTTCTCTGCTTCATCTTCTTCGTCTTCTTCCTCTTGATTCCATCTCGTTGTACCGACACGAGTAAATGGCGGCAACTTCGTCCCAGAAGCAATAGTAACGTTTTCGCCAACGAAGCAACCATTAGAGATGATGACTTGATCGCCAATACGTGCGCTTTCAGCTATAATACTCTCACTAATATCGCAGCTATTGCCAATTGAAGCTTTGTTCCAAATATATGAATGAGAGATTCTCGATGATTCACCAATTTGGACAGACTGACCAATAACTGATCTCTCAATTTTAGATTTATCGCTCAACTTCGATTGTGATCCTATAACTGAACAAACGCTAATTGAAGCTGATTCACCAATCTGCACATTATCTTTACCAAAGTATCTGTGTCCACGTTGGTGATGAAGTCTTTCTGAATCTGGCATTGATTCGTCTGGGACCATAGGGTAGGTCCACCTTGAAATGATATCTTTGCTAATCGCATCGTAACTTCTACCATCCATGACTCTACCAGCGTATCCACCAGTTTCATCCTCAATTGTATGCATATGTATCGTTTTACCGAGAAGGTCTGACGTTAAAATACCATTAATGAAATCTAAACGGAGGTCCTGGTAATCGAAATTCTCGGTGAAGAGAAGCAAGACGTCAACAGAGCAGATATCAATGTAACAATCTGCGAGATCATTTCTAATTTGCAATTCTGCGGCTTCAAGTGCTTCTGAAGGGATGTTAACGCGCTTGTGGGTTGCACTTGAAGATAATGAAGGGTGTGCTAAGGTAGTGTAGGAGTGTAGCTGGTTATTTGAAGGGTCTATAACGAAAACAGGTGATTCAGCTGGAGGTCTTGGATGTATGTTATTAGCTAAACTTATCAAATAAGAAGCACACACCTCAAACGATGACTGGCGCCAACTCTTTTCGTGACCATGGTCATAATAGCGTCTTTGTTTGTCTTTCTGCGCTCTTTGTGTTCGTCGACAATCTTCTGTATGTCGATTGTAGAAACGACGTCGCCAGAAATAAGGACAAAGTCCGTTCTAATCAATTGTTTTGCGTCGAGTTCTCTAATAGCGTCACCTGCGCTTACACTTGTTGTTGATACGATAGGTGTAACGGCGAGAGTAGACAAGGCAGATGAGAAATGAGACTTCCTTGATTGACTGTTAGGTATATAATGTATCTAATGATATCACCCACTTCAACCACTCCTTTATTTGATCTGCGTGTGTGCATGTAAACAAGAAGACATGGCGTATTCCAGCAGCAGCCAAAGACTCGAGTGTCCAAGCTAACATGGGGACATTAACAAGTGGTAGGAGACACTAATGAGTTGTTAGATGCACGCTATAGTGAGGAACTACTCACTCTAGGCTTCTTGTCTGTTAATGGCTTGAAACGGGCATTGAATGAGTCAGCGAAAACGATAGCTTGTAAACCCTGCTCCTCATCCTCGTTCTCTACTTTAGAATTTGGTGGCATTTTTTATTTTTTTGATCGTATATAACCAAGGAAGCTGACTTTCACTCTTTCAACTGAACTTCGATGTAAGTAAATCTAGAAAACTGTCTAGAGGATGAAGTATAGCACTGGGCGCTGACGTTAAATGAGCCGACAACGCTTAATGGTGGGCCTCAGAAACCCAACCGCTACTGAATAGACGATTTCTTATTTTAACAACTTTTACTAACCATCTATATAGTACAATAGAGTAATAATCTATTAACAGCATCTAGCTACATATGCATTCCATTTTTCTATCATTGGTCGGATCAGCCCTTCAAATTCTGTACCCTGCCTTGTCTGCATTCTTCGCAATCTGAATATTTCCTTGTGTTTACACCCGCATTCTTTGCAGATCTGCTGCTCTATGTCGTTGTATTCACTCAATTCGAGGTGAATCAGCCCTATAACTTTTAGATTACTCTACTGTTTTTGACATCCACTCACTCTCCAATCTATTCACATATACGCATTGTATTTTCGGATCAACCGCAAATGTCGTCAGCAAGCGCGAAGAAGGAGCTACTGAAGTTGGGAAATGCTGACGCAGTACTAGTTCTCTATTACATTGCTTGCTCCAGCTATCTAGTCGTCTGTTTATATTGTTAGTCCGACCTATCTTATACTCGACATGTGTTACTGTAGTAGAACCACTAAGAGTGTATACGTAGATATAACCAGGTGCATCAGTTGCTGATATAGGCTTCTCCATTAACACCCGTAGCTGTATCTGAGTATATGACGATAAATGTCGTGGTATCCAATCTTCGTTCGATTTGAGCTAAGAAATCGATTGAAATGGATGGACACACCTTCAAATGCTATCCAATCTCCTCGCGTGTTGTAATATCCCTTCTGGGCTAGGATATCTTTCGAATGCTGATGACAAAACCGCGGTAATGTCTCACTATTCATGCTTTTGACGCGTCGTGTGCAGCGTTTAGCTTGCTTAGTTATACCGTGGCTAGTGGCGCCTCATCAGAGATGATCAAATATGACAATATACCCACCATTGCTCGCTGTGAGGTTTCTCTGATGGACTAGTAGGAAAACCGTTGGGCTTTGCCGGTGAATGAGGTGGCGTCTTTGTAGATTGTATAACCAATGAACCCTCTGAATGTCTAGCTTTTGCCTTAGGAGTTGATATCTGTTGTTCTGCTTTACCGATTAAGTAATGTTGATATCATAAATCTACACCCACGCGCTTTAATTGGCTCTCCACGATAATAAGGCGTCGGAAAGCTTATCTGAGGCTTATCGAATGCTGAATTAGGTTTACTGCTAGTGTATACACTTTTGCTAGGACGTGGTGGTAAAGGAGGCGCTGGAGGGGTTCTAGGGAGCGGTTTATCGTCTAAATGTATTCTCCCGAAGTTATCTACAAAACTATCGTCGATATTGTAAGGTTTCCTCATAACATTCTATCTTGGTCGTCGACTCCCAAGATTGAAATGCAGGCCAGGCCAGCTTCGAAATTGACGATACGGAAACCAGATAGTGGTGTATCTAATACGACATATGCCACACTCTGCAAGGTTTGTATACCGTATATCCATATATCATCCGCTGAGAAACCACAGCTCGTTTTGCGGAAGCGTATGAGCCGTGTATTAGTGCTCTCATTGGTATCTAAGATAGCTATTTTTGCATTATCTACTTCAAACGTTAGAGACGGCTTCAGTGCGTCTGTTTTCTCAATTGTCGACAAACTAACAGTAGAAACCTAATAGGCATTATTTTATCACCATTTGGATTACAGAGAATATTATTTGCTCTATTAGCTTTCATACTAGCAGATATTCCGGTCATTATAACCCGTAAATTGGCCCTTCTAAGTTCGTTCTTCTATGTCAACAACGCGTATTCACTCACAAAACAATCAGCAAAGTCTCAACCTGCTCCAGTTGGCCCTTCTAAACACCTTAAAGCACTCCTCCTCGATCAGAAGACATACAATCTTGCAGTAACCTATGCATTCTCTGCAATTGCATATGGCGCTGTCTATATCTCTTGCCTGAGTGCATACGAGGACGAAGCTGGGTTCACACCCTTCACATCCCACATGTGAGTCTTGATTGAGTCCAATTATCATCTAATCAATCGTTTAGACGTCGTGGATGGCAATTCAATGAGCGTTTTATATTCCTCTTCTTAAATGCAGCTTTACTAGGCGCTGTATACGCTCTCCGTCAACTTTGGAATGATCGCTTTGTCACTAGATTCCCATCTAATCTTGTGGGTCACCTTCATTTCATTCATCACTGGTCTAACTAATATGCCTATCAGTCATCGTCTATTTCATCAAGAGCACAATCGCATCTCAAAAGGAATGTTCCTATGGCTATGAAATTCGCCCTCATTGTTGTTCTCACCGTGCTTTCGAGCTATCTCCTCACCAAGAAATCAATTTATAGGACAGTAGCAAGCCTTTCTTTGGCTACATTTAGGTTAGTTTGTCTATTTCTATTCTTCCCAACTAATATATCTTATAGACCACACTTATTCACACTTTTACGTCAAAATAATGTCACCTTCGGATTAGTCTTACGCACTACAGTATTCGCATTAGGTTTAGTGTCGTCTTGGGAAGTTACAAACACATTGTTCGATATCTACAGTGTTCATCCAATTATTATCTCAAAGATAGCCCCAAATCCAACAGATTGTCTCATAAGTGGAATGCAATCTACCGACTTCTACTACAAATATTTTGCGTATTTAGAATTCGTGAAGGTGTTCTCGAGTAGTCAAGAACGCCGTCAAGAAGTATACAAGGATATACACAGGAAGCCATCATCATGGGATAAAATCCTTTCTGTTGCTGTACAAGAGCTCGTTGAAGGACGTACGAAGGTGTTAACGAAGGGTGTTCCAACCAATAAAACCCCAACAGTTGTTAATAGTACACCTGACGCTACTACAAGCAGCAGTAAATTGCGAGTTGTAGATAATCAAGAAATATTCAAACGTAATCCTAAATCAACGGTAGACAACTTCATAGCGGATGTACAAGTCGACAAGAAAGCATCTATGTTTTCAAAGCAAACTGAAAACGTTCCAGCTGATCAAGGTATTGGATTTGATAAAATACTATCACCGGAGATAGTCAAAACACTCAAAAATTCGATCTATGGTAATGAGGAATCTAACGTTAATGCTAAAATTAGATTATTAGCACCAGATATTAAATTAGTTTCACTTTGTTCACTCGGTTTGGCTTATCTCGGTGCTGCATCTATACAAGAGGATGAATTTGGTCTTATTCAACACAATATACCGCAAGTAATTCATGAGGTTACATCAACTTTATTAACATACGAAGAATTACAAATTGATTTAGAAAAATTAACCAAAAATTCAAACCATTTGAAGGAATATTCAACACGCGTTCAAGAAATCCAAAATGCGTTATCTATTTTATTGTTTGCATTCAAAGATTACGTGAAATCGTTCAACTTGGATGAAAAAACTCAAAAGCGTGTTGAACTTGCAATAAAAGAAATGAAATGAAATAACTTATTTAATAATAATACATGCATATTTATGCTCTTAATGATATAATTATACCCCAATGTTGAACCAATGAGCGTACTTTCTTTTCAATTAGGTCGTTTTGTTTGATATCCATGTTCTCTAAATCAAGTAGGCGTTCCACCCAATTGTTGACATCCTCAGAGAGATTCTCTAGTACACCTATAAGAGAGTATATACAGTCCGATTGAGATGTGATATCTTCCAACTTTTCATAAACTCCTTGTGCGCGTAAGAGTAAGTCTTTTGCAAGTTTGAGTGCTATCGATTGCTATTAGAACACTTTTGAATTCAAAGTGACACCTACAACCGTCATTTATTGCTTTCTCAGCATATATCACACAAGCTCGAGCTTCAATTTGCTTATCTGAAGAATTCAGAGCTCTGGCTAGTAAATCATCCTCATTTGATGACATATTTACGCCATAATTGTATCGTGTTTCAAATCCAGCTAGCTCTAATTGGGCTTTGAGTTTCAACTTCAAATATTGACGGTCGTCAGCCATTTTGTATGACAATAGAAGTTGCTCAAGTGCAAGATCTCTGTTGCCCTAGAGTAAAATTGATGAGACATAGTCGACAGAAGCAAACATAAGCTTACATCGTTTTCTACTGAATTGCCTATGAGCGACTCTATCTTATTGACCATCTCTTGATCATTTGAAGATTCGACATCAGGACCAGTCCATTGTCTGTCCCTGTGGACCAGTTGAGTGACTTAAAACGTCTAAATACTACTTACAATCTATCTGAACGTTGCTTGAGTACAGACCAGATCGCATTAGCCCATATTGTGTAATCACTCAAGTTAATCTCACTTAAGAGTTTCTGGTTAAAGAGACAATCTAGAGCCGACGCGTATTCTCCATTTTGGGAATACTGATGGGCAATATTTATACGACAAGTTAACTGAGCTGACGTATGCCAGGTTTCACCTTTTAGTGACAGATCTTGGTAGATATCTCTAATTGATTTGACGCCTGAGAGAGTATGAGAATACTGTAACATATCTAAAGTTAACTAACCAGCCATATCCCACAAAATTGCATTTATAGTTGACCATGTTTGGAGAGATGCATCTACTTTATCCTGGACGGTGTTCTCCTCTAAGCGTATAAGAGCTCTTGTTGAGCGTATAAATAAGTCTGATAATTTATCTCCCTTAAAATAGTCAGAAAGAGCAGCCATCAAGAGGACGATCACACTCACTTGATTAAGAGACAACTTTATGTCGTTCAATTCATCCATTATGGTGAGATCCTCTGTTGAGGACTTGTAGATGTCGACACAAGTTTTTTGGTTTCCGAGTAAACGTCTTAATTTTATCGACTTTTCAAGTGTCTCTAAATCCTTCGATATTCTAGAAATGATGATCGCTTCATTGAGTAATCTGCTAGATTCTTCAATGAGGTTGTTTGAGTAATAGAAGCTTGCCAGCGATAATAAAGCATGCTGGTGTGATCCTATGCCAACCACGTCATTGAAATTGGTTGATCTGTAGTCGAAAAATTTCCGCAAGTTTTCATTTCCTTTATGTATATCACCGAGATTATTAGAGGTGAGGAAGTTGTCGAATGTCTTAACTTTATTTTGCAAGATCTCATCGTGATCGTCGTCATTGTTGTTGCTATTACTTGATAGTTTTGGTATAGATGGACTCTTATTATTGACGTAATCTAGAAAGGCCTCAAATAGTTCTAGATTACCTTTGAATGAGAGATTGTTCTTCAACATTAACGATTGTCTGACGAATAAACCAAACAAACTAAATGGATCGATTTGCTGCGAATCGTAGAAGCCATCTTGACTTGGTTGGATTAGTAATTCTAGAGAAGCGTAGAAGTCATCAAATTCGCTTATACTCGTTAGTTTGTTAGGCTAGAATAGTTAAAGATGGATGTTACGTCATAAGAAGCCACACTAACAAAGTCAAGGAACTCGTAGTAGATATCAACATCGAGGTCGCCAAGTTGAGCCAAGTACTCTCTCCAGCTTAGGTCGACTTTGTCATTCTAGAAGCTCTATAAGATAATAGCTAATTCATAGTATAAACGCACCTGTAGAATCAATTTTGTTATGAAATTAAGCAAATTTAAATTATTTTTATCGTTCTTTTTTATCAAATAAATCAAAATCAATTTTATTAGTTCCATGGCATTTGAAATTCAGAGTCAAGAGTCTATCAAACTTCAACAACCGCGTTTTATAAATTTCTACGCGTTTTTTATGATATTAAAGCAGTTAACTAATATTATCTTGGCTACACAAACGTCTGCCTAGTAAACTACCCCAGCTTATCTCCCGATCAACATCGAGAAATGTCAAGTCAATCTATAATCAAAGCACTCAATTAAATTGTAAACCTCGTTGAGATGGAATGATGCTATCAGTCTGGTCGATTATACTCGACAATTGGTTCCTCCATAGATATTGTTATCTGGTACTAAGTTTGTACACTCAATCGAGATGCAATGGATAATAAGGTGACATTTGAAGCATCCAATGAGACCAATGAATTCAATGTCGCTGTAAAATTGCAACAATGAGAAATGAATTGATGGATTCAAACTAAAACAAATGTGGAAATCCTCGACTGAGATAGATAATAAGCAATGTAGTTCGTGGAACGTCAAAAGAGCATCAATAGTGTTAAGATCATTTCGAACCTCATACCTGGATGGATTAAGCCTATTATAATCACTAGACACGCGTTTGGTGACTATCGAGAACAGTTGGTATTATTTTGGAACATAGACATATTGATGGTATGGTCGCAATGGCAATAAAATCCTCCAATAGGTCTGTATGGACCCATAACGAACTACGACAGCAACGTTCAGTCTGATGTCCTTGCCCAAGGGTTCGCCCGTATTGGAATGATGCCATCTAAATTGATAACAAGTGACGGAAAGACGCTCTTAACTGAAGCTGATCATGGCACAGTCGCGTCATTTTAGGCAACATGAGCAGGGTCTAAACACCTCTACTAATCCTGTAGCATGTATGTTTGCATGGACAAGAGCGCTATCTCATCGTGCCAAGCTAGATAACATGCCACAATGGCGAATTTCTCTCAAAATCTCGAAGCGATTTGTGTTGAAACTATAGATGTTGACGGTATCCTCACTAAATACTTTTCTTTAGCAATCCAAGGTAAAAACCTTCATGAGTAGCACTACGTGAACACTCGTACAGTCTTCCAACATGTCAGAAACAAATTCAATGCTATCTATTAATTGTATATATACATATAAATAAGGAGATAACTTAACAATTTAACAATCTCATTCTTCATCTGAATTGTATGTAAGATATATCATGTCACCTTCGTCAGGAGAGATGATCAAGACGAGCAGATCTCGGGCTATATCTGACAAGTACTCCAGATCTTCCTTGTAATCATCAGATATGAAATCAGGAGATTCCGCGAATGCTATTCTACCTAAACTGACTATACACATATGTTGAAATGATGGTCTATTGTTTTGCAATTTACTCGCAAATTTAGTCTGATTCGTGTTTGTTATAAGTAAATTAATGAGTTGTGTAAGTGGTATTATCCTGTCTATAACATTCTCAGTCGATAGTTCATCTTCTGATGGATACAAGACGATATTGTCCTCATTCCATAAGATACCACTATCCTTTGTTAAGAGTGTGATCAATGACGGTATCAGGACTTTCGAATCGACAAGGGATGTAAGCATGACCTCATCGTTTTTTATGATAGTATGTAGTAGTGCCAATATCAACAGTAAATGCTTGTGCTTATCAATTGGTCTCATTTTCGCATGCGGGTTTGTCAAATAACCTGATAATAAGTGAAGTAGTGTCGAATTGTAACCATTTTCGGCATTAGGCAGCTGTTTACTTCGCGGTTGGTTGACTATCCCAACTGTCATCATTCTATGAGCTGCCGCGAAGACAAGAAACCTCGTCCATCGATAAACACACCATGGCTTCTGACTTGACAATAATGGTATCTGAATAACGGCAGCATCTTTCAATAATGGCATGAGTTTCCCTGTTTGAGAATCTTGAGAGTGCATGACGACAGTTTCGACGAAGTTGAGAACACAATCCATCAGGTTATCCTGTATCATCTCTTCAAGTATCTCCTGGGACCCTTTCATTTCCTCGCTTTCGTTCACTTGAGTTTTAGGCTTCAGGTGCTTCTTCACGATCTTCATGATTGACAACACAAGCGAACTGCCATCCACCTCGTGCACTGGGGATAGAAGGGAGTCTAGTATCTTCTCATTTGCATATACCAACGATGCCAACAGCGCTAAAGTCTCAGCAAGATGCGTCAACATACCACAATTAAGGAAAACTTCGACGAAAATGTTCAAATTCTTTACTACCTTCGCGAATGCTGCATCTGTTCTGCCTTCCACGACTTCCTCTCCGAACGTCTCCAACAATTCTACAGACGCTCTGTTGTACTTGTCCAATTCGAGTGACTCTACGTCGGCGTTAAGGATGAGCTGTATCGTCAGCTGCCTGTACGCTCTTGTCGAAGGATAGCAACAAAGATGATTAAAAAGTAAATGTGTGAATTTTTCCCAATCACTGCTATCGTTTTTTGAAGTTGTCGGTCGAGGTTGAGAATGTGCACGTCGTTCATTAGTCTCGCTCTGCCAGTCCATTTCATCTTTGCGGCTGGCGATAGGTGGAGCGGGCATGGCTGTTTTACCCCGTGACAAACCTGCGGTGTTCCTCGCAAAGGAGTTTTGTAAACCTGGAAAACCCATTGAAGACGCTCTACTCGTCCTTCTCTGAGGACTGACGGTCGAGCGGTTCTGTTTGCGTATGGATGTTTCTGCTTCGTGCCTCTGAATGGGGTATCAGAAAGAAAAATACGGTAACATAACTGCTCACCTGAAACATCATATCTATCTCCATTTTTTCATTGCTAGTTTCATTCTTTGTGTTGAGATCGGCGTTGAGTGCTTGCAATCGCGCAACTTCAGCTCTTAGTTTCTCTTTTTGTGCCTTCAACTCTTCTTGGTCCTGGAATATATGAGCTAAAAAAACATACATGCGAAATATAACCCACGCGTAAGGCCTGCCTCCGTACAGTCTCAATTTCACCATGAGCACGATAGTTTATTTCGTATTGCGCCTTTAATTGATTTGATGTCTGCATTCTTTTCTCAATTTCCTCATCCTTCTGTCGACGCATCCTGGACAACTCAGCGGCCAAAATAGCACTATTATCACGCGCGAATGTGGTAGCTGGGCTTGACGATGGTGGTATATGTTGTACTGGTGTAGATTTCGCTTGTGCAGATGCGCCAAATGATCTATCGCTATTATCTATTGATAATGGATGTCGATAAGCTTGGGATTTAGGGAAATTACCAACGCTCTGCATGTCTTTGGCGATTGAGTGTGTCACAGATGGTCCAGTTCGTCGTGTCAATTTCCGCGGTGGACCTTCCTCTGGTGAAGGTACGGCTGGGGGTGTATTTAAATTGCTCACTCGAGGCTTCTGCGATGCCATAAAGTGAGCCTCAGTCGCCGCTATTCTATTCAGCGTCTCTGTGTCTAAATCAAAATCGTCGAGATCGTCATCCGACATTCTTGATAACGGTGGTATGTGTACAAGAATATAAATATTTCTTACAAATCAGATAAAAATACTAGAAAATATACTAATTATACTAAATATTACTTAAGAGTGACAAATAAATGCAGCGTATTTGTCTACTGTTGTCCAATCAATCTCGAACATACCGTTGTCGTTATCAGCAGTGAAATCAACTGAGCCTTCGCTCGCGATGAGATGTACTGTGGCTTTAAATGCTTCGAATTGATCACCAGTGTATTCTCCCTTCTCAAGGAGTGCGAATGTCTTTTCGTAGATCGCTCTGTTGACATCAATGAGCACAATCGGCTGATGTATTTGATCTTCGAAAACCCTGGCGTATTTGTGGATGCTTCTACAATCTGAGAATACACGCAACTCGCTCTTCAGCTTATTGACGTCTTCGAGAGGTGTAGCAGCTAGTTGTGCTATTACTGAGCTAAGATCATTGAGAGAAGTGAGCGCCACTTTCTGCTTGGAAGATACCAACTTCCACTCGAGTTCCTTCATGTCAAGAAGCTTACCAAATGTGAATTCCATGATCAAGCCCGAGTAGATACTGACTGTCTTAAAATCGAATTGTTTGGCTTTTTCAATGTGACGCGATTTAGCGACGAATACGGGATGAGATTTGTATTGTGTTTTGTTGTAGTCAACGCCATACTCTGATGGGATGTAGAGCTTGACTTTATTGAATGCCATGGCTGTCTGCGAATTGTTAGCTATAAGTATAGTCGAAATGATACATACCAGCAGCTTGTCAACATTAGTTAAACTATCTGGTGTGATACTGATCGCTGAGATCACAACATCTACGTCTTTCAATTGCTGGTTAAGATTTTCATCATCATGGTAATCAAGCTGGATAGTTTGATCGACGTTTGCAAGGTGTGTTGCATGGTTCACACCGGCGATAACCTTTCCAATCTTATTGTTATGCTTAGCTTGAATCAGCTCGTTGAGAATTCTACCACCGACAAAGCCAGTAGAGCCGACGAGGAGAACAGTAGCGTTGTTATTATTGTAAGCCATAATGTTGGTTGTATAGAAGCTACTCTATATGTTGAATAATCTAATTGAACTCGTCATCCAAATGATGACGTTATGGAATTCTTTTGTCTAGATCTTGTCTGAGAGCTGTATATGTTTTTGTACACGTACATTTAATATCTCAAATGATTCTGTCATCGAAATCGTGATGACGTTATTGACTTCCTTTTGTCTAGTTTTTGTCTATTATTGTCTAAGAGGTTTATATGTATATTTTATTCTTTTACGCTAATATAATAATATTTTTAAGCAATTTTTATCTCCTACATCGTTGTTGTTCCCTATCAACTTTCTTATATGTTTTCCTTTCGCTCAAGAGCACTAGCAGGAACGATAAAAAACGTCAGAATGTCGTCTACGGTATCTCAAGAATGCCCTTGTCCGCCACATCGCAGTGACGCATCACCTAGACTATTACACGATGATGAAATTAGAAATACGCTGTCTAAGTTGGATGCATACAAGCAGCGTGGGAATAGTATAGAAAGATTGTACACATTCAAAGGATTTAGAGGTGCTATAAAGTTTATCAATAGCGTGGCTGACATATGCATATCCCACAACGTGAGTGCCTAGACTTTCAATTTACAAAATCTAATAATGCAGCATCACCCAACTATAACAAATATGTATGGCCACGTTAGACTTAACTGGATTACGCACTCGACAATGGAAGAAATACCCGGTGTGACAAGCAAAGATATAGAGCTTGCTTGGGAGTGCGACAAACTCTACAGCACTGCATTTGGTGCTAGACCACTTAACGATAAAGAACTAGAGTTAGAAAAGTTGTAAATATTATCGATTGTTTGCTATCACCGATCTTAACATTCCACAACCATCACTGGATACAAAGATGGCGATAATAGCGCTATTCTTCCCTCCATTACCTGCTTATATACAAACTATTTTGTTATTATGCAGATACCTCGCTTTCAGCGTAACATTTCCTATCGTATTTCTGATGTAAGTTGGCCCGTTCTAGAAGTAACAAACTAATCGGTGATAGGCTACTCGATGCATCTGCATACGTCGTATTCAGAACATTAGGCATTTACGCTAGGAGAGTGCGCGTTGTCGACAAAGCTGGCAAATCAGTAGCCGTTGATATGATACCCCCACTGTCTAGCACATCCAACACGCCACCAAAGCAGAAAGGCACTCTTAAAGCTTCATTTCTAGATGGAATAAATAACGAAAGTTTAAACAGGCGTTCAATTAACCAAAATTGCTTGAAAACACTCGCAAACAATCTGAAACTAAACTCAAATGAGTTAACAGCACACCAAGCAGCAAATGTACCACTACCAGCCGACGCCGATAAGGGATTGAATCATCGCCGTCCTCTAGCGGCGGCCTAGCATTCCATATTTGGAAATAACGACAGTGAGACGATACAATTGTAAAGTACGACACAGACAACTTCAAGGACAGTTCTCTTCATTCTTCATTCTCGGTTTTCAAGGTTTACTTTTGGTTTGTTTTGTTATGATGTAAAAATAATAATTTGATGTTATAATACAACAGTAGTTTGGCGTTATCATCACTTGCGTCTACGCGCTTTTATTTCTTCCATCCGTTGCTTGAGCGCTGTTACTCGTGCGTCTGCTTCCTCCTGTGCTCTGGCTTCTTCTTCTAGACGCTGGGCGTAATCTTCGTTCTCATATGCCTGTATTCGCTTTAGCTTCTCTTCTTCATCTACCTGTCGCTGCTCTTCACTGATAACTTTCTGGCCGCGTCCAGTGAGAGTGTTTGTACCTTCTGGCGTGGCCTCTTCTGTAGCAGATGGATTGAGAACTGGTTCAGCTGAGATTGTTGCATTTGCAAATATCGAGGGATTATACGATGGTGCTGGTTGACTATCTAATTGTGAAATTTCATTATCGAAAGCCATTAGCTCTTCTTCTATCGATTTCTGATGTGTTACTTGATTATCTACATTTGCGGGTTCTGTTTCTGTTTGTCTGACTGTATTATCATCATTCTTCTCCTGCTGTTCTTCATGGTCGTCATTCTCATTACTAGCGCTATTATCAAAGAAATCCGTTGGTATTTCAGCGACTTCTGATTTCCTTTTCTTCTCCACTTGTGGTACATCCAAACTAGATTCAGCTTGTCGCTTATTTGATCTCACAGGAGCTCTTTCTGCTTTTTTAGCTCTCAATAACGCCCTTGCGTCCATAATGAATGTAATAAAGTAAGAACACTTCTTCCTTCCAGACTACCAAGTCATCTATAGAAATTATTAGTAAAATGTCAATAAATTGGCTACAAAGGGCGTTACCTTATTTACCTAAAAACGTTTTAAACGCATCAACAAATCCAGCATCTGGAAAGGGTTTCTATCGTGTAGTTTTGACTAGATCTGCTATTGGTTTACCAAAGGAATCACAGCGTACATTAGAAGCACTTGGTTTAAATAAGAGAATGTCGGTCGTCTTACATCCACATTCAGCTGATACCGCAGGTCAACTTCTTAGAGTAAAGGAACTGGTAAAAGTTGATAATATCTATGGAAATGATCTAGTACAGGGTAGAGTTAGATCCATTAGTGGCCCTTCATCTGGTTTCGAAAACATCGGTAATTCACAAGATAGAAGGCGGTGGTAGATTCTTTCAATCAATGTATAGAGATTTATGTATCAAAAATTATTTAATCCTTTGGTGAAATCATCAATTCTGGTCTGACGAGCTCATCAAAGCGTTCGGAAGTGAGTAAACCAAGTTGGAGTACTGAGTCTTTAAGGGTGAGACCCTCACTGTGTGCCTTCTTAGCTGCTTTTGCGACATTATCGTAACCAAGTTCGGAGTTCAAGCAAGTTGCCAACATGAGTGATTCGTTCATGATTGCTTTAATCTTTGACTCGTTTGGTTCGATACCGACTACGCAGTTGTTGGTGAATGATCTGCATCCATCTGCCAACAATCTAATTGAGGTGAGTAAGTTTGAGATCAAAACTGGCTTGAATACGTTAAGCTCAAAGTTACCTTGGCTACCTGCGAAAGAGATAGCTGTGTGGTTACCGAAAACTTGGGTGCAAAGCATTGTCAATGATTCACATTGAGTTGGGTTAACCTTTCCAGGCATGATTGATGAACCTGGCTCATTCTCTGGGAGTGACAATTCAGCTAAACCACATCTTGGACCTGAACCTAAGAATCTGATATCTTGTGCGATCTTGAAGAGAGATGCGGCGAGTGTGTTGAGCGCACCAGAAGCTTCGACGATAGCGTCGTGAGCGGCCAATGCTTCGAACTGGTCGTATTATTAGGATATATTATTATATAAGAACCCTACATACCTTGTTTGGTGCAGTCTTAAATTGAACACCGGTAATCTTGGTGATCTCCTCTGCGATCTTGACATCGAAACCTTTGCGGGTGTTCAAACCGGTACCTACAGCAGTACCACCTTGGGCGAGCAAGCTAAGTCTTGGGATGACAGCTTCAACTCTCTCAATACCGTAAGTGAGTTGTTGGGCGTAACCGCCGAATTCTTGACCAAGAGTGAGTGGAGTAGCATCCTGCAAGTGAGTTCTACCAATCTTGATGATATTTGACCAGCTTTCAGCTTTGTCAGCGAGTGCATTTCTCAAAGTAGTCAAGTTTGGTAAGAGTGAGTTGTTGAGTTCTAAAACGGCAGCAACATGCATAGCGGTTGGGAAAGTGTCATTAGAAGATTGAGACATGTTGACATGATCGTTTGGATGTACTGGGTCTTTGCTACCGAGTTTGCCGCCCAAAATTTCGATAGCTCTGTTGCTAATGACTTCATTTGAGTTCATGTTAGTTTGGGTACCTGAACCAGTCTGGAATACGACCAATGGGAAGTGTGAGTCGAGCTTTCCTGTAGCGACCTCATCTGCGGCTTCCATGATTGCTTTACCGATTCTCTCGTCCAAACCGTAGGTCATGTTGACAGCAGCAGCTGCTTTCTTGAGAACACCGAATGCTCTGGTTAATGGTACAGGCATTCTAGCTTGTTCACCACCGATTTCGAAGTTTTGGAGTGAACGCTGGGTTTGTGCACCCCAATATCTGTCTAATGGTACTCTGAGTGGACCAAAAGTGTCCTTTTCTTCTCTGAACTCTGATTTGCTGATTGCTGACATACTAATAAATCTCTGTATGACGTTGAAGTGGTAGTAGAAGTGAGAGTGTGACTTACTGGCGCGGATACGGTCACGCGTGGTGCAAGACGTGGTGCAGCGAGTGCTCTCTTATTCAACGCACGACAAAGCATTTTATAATCTAGTCGATCAAGAAAAAGATATAGTCTTCCGTTCTTTTTTCGATGAAGAGATTTCTCAAACGTAAAATCATATACACAAGAGCACATATAAGCTTTTATATTCTATTTTATCCATCTTTTTCTTCCTATGCACCTTACAATCCTCTCTGACAGCTCTTCTTATAGCCGATAAAACCGACACGTCATATTACCTCAATCATCGAGCTCATACTCACCTTCGGATCCCAAGCTATCGCTTAGGTCAAGTTCGCCAAACTGCGGATCAGAGTTGTAGGATGAATGTATCCGCCAGAACTGCTCAGCGAGCTCTATCATTTCATCCCGACTAAGTCCACTACCGAGTCCCCCGTATTTAAATGGGAAACTCTCAGCTAACTTTCCATGTTCTTCTACTTTACTCCTAACTGCGTCAGATGTTAAGAGCGTCGACAATGTGCTCAGATCATCATCCTTGTATATATCTTTTGAATGGGATGGATGAAGTGCGTAAGCTGGCTTGTCAATCCAATACCTGTATTGTATTAGATTCACTGTGTGCTTTCAAAAAGTAGTACCCACCTAGATATCAATGGGTGTCTGAGTTTTGTTCGACTGTCTAATTTTTCTTCCAATTTTTCTTGATTTGGTTTGTATGGAGGCCTTACGACATCCATCTGCGCAAATACATCGTTTTCCTTGCTCGAATTTATACCGCTATAGTCAAAAGCGTCAAGAGTACCACCGACGGCTCCACATAATGAAACAATCTTGGTACCGCCACGCCAGTTCAACTGCGAAGATAATTGTTGGATGTTCGTACCTCCGTTGAAAAGTTTCAAAGGAAGACTAGTAGCATCGATGTGCGGGTTCAGGATGGATGAAGACACGAAGAGCGAATCCAACTTGACATCTGTTAGAAAGCAAATAGCTAAACATGCCATCCTTACTCACCTTCAGATTGTAATCATTGCGCCATGTCGTAGGACAAGACAATGGTATGACCATGTCACAAACGGCTTCAAGTCTCGAAAGAGCCAGCATCTCATTCATTCTGAGAACACTACTTAGGGGATGCTTGACATCATCTTCGATATCTTCGTATTTCCTTGATGCTTTCCAAGGAGCCAAATGGTCTCTTTCATGCCCGAACACCATGATTGGAGTTTTGGCGTATGTCTCTCTGACTTCTTCGAGATATGCAGAGGAGAAACCACTCCAGGCATCGCTTATATCTGCATTGACGTGGAAGCCCTTTACGAAATGTGAGTACAATGTATTGATAAGATTTTCAATCTCACCTGCAACAAATCGCACTCTTCTGCAAAATGTCTCAAGTCTTCATCGAACGAATAGTGCTCCTAAAGTATGTTAAGTATACTGATTGGTTAATACAGCCAACCGACCCTCTCATAATCCTTGTAAACATCCTGGCCGAGTTTGAATCCGTCAAAGCCGACCAAACCACCAGTGTCTTCCATAAGTGTTGATCCAGACTGCACAAAACTAGGTATTTGATGTATAGACCGAGGATGAAAATACGATCTGTTGAAATCCGTCCAAGATCTGACTTCATCGTTGGTTGGCGCAGCCGGATCCTCACCTTTATCTAGCTGCTCTTGATATCTGCTCTTCTGCCCTATAGGTTGTTGATGGTATTCTATTTGTTGTCTACATTGCGTCAGACCAATCGAAAATGCGAAAATGAAACGTCGACGAACCCAGAAATGCTATCAAATGTACTATCACGCTCTCTATCTTGTTCATATAGCTCATTAACTCTCTTTATACTACCAAAGTTGGCTATTTATGTAAGTTTGCATTCTTCTAGTTTATATGAGCTCACACTTCAGATCGTAGAGCAACAATCTGGGAACGTAAGTCTCTGAGCCGTCGTATCCTTCACCGACTCTGTAACTGACGTCGTGATCAATTGGCTGTTGATCTGCGTCTTCCTGACTAAAGTAGAATTCCTACTACGTCAGAATAGAAAGCGCTGATAAAGCAACTAACACACCTGCTGGTTAAAGTATTGTACAGTAGAATATGCACTACTATTTCCAAAACTAAGATGCACAATTTCGTGCATTCTTTCTACCAAGTTGTTGGATGTACTTCCTTAAGGGTGCATTCATCATATACTGATAAAAATGAGTGATTATGATAAAGAGTTTGACGATAACTGGCTAGATACAGCTGAAGTGAGAGCATTCGCAGAAGAAATCGAGGCTGGGATTGATAACAAAGATAAGAAGCGTGATAGGAGCACTTCAATTGAAATCATAACGACTCCCCCGTATGAGAGATTCAGAAAGAAGGCGGGATTCCTAGCAGCGACTGATGTAAGCACGTTGGCATAGAATATCACACCTAACAATCTCAGATTTCTGAAATACAATGGTGTGCATATCAGAAACTATACAATGAAATAACTGGAGGTAGCACCATACCCGTAAACAAACGGACAGCTGAAATAATAGGTGATACAGGCAAGAAAGTCACTATTGATAGAAGTAAAGCACTCGCGAAAGAGGAGTTAATGAGCAAAGGATCGATTCATCATGATAAGCTAGAAAGAGAACTATACGGCTACCTAGAGGATGATTTAGTGGACATTAGATTTGAGGATGATGTTGATTACTATGTTGTCTGGCTACACCAATGTTGTGAACAACTCGCGACACTTGAAACGCAGGGAAGATGTCGTGAATTCGGTGTGAGAGGCTATATAGATGGGCATACGGTACAGGGTGATATAGATGAACTCAAATTAGACAGAAATACCAACAAAGTGCGCGTCATTGACGATAAAACTAGATCAGATGGTTACATGCCGAGATACACCAACAGAGGCCATCGAGCACAATTAATGGTTTATCACAAACTTCTCTCCGGCTTTCCAACATTTGATTGGGAAGCCTGGTTTACAACTCATCAGATTGACATTGATCAGGAAGTTAAAACACCGCTAATTAGGCAACAACTGATGACAGAAGATAAGCCTAGTCTCACATTGAGGCCTTTAATTGCTCAGTTGAGGCGTGTGTCTGTATTTATGCTTGGAAACATTGATGAGGAGGTTGAAATTGTTTACCATAATGCAAACGATGGTCGACATATCGGCAGAGATGTCTTCAAATATGAGGAAGAGGAGTTCGCGGGATATATAAAGCAAGCATTTGATTTCTGGTTCAAAGGACAATATCAGGGAGTGGATATAGAGGAAGTTTACAAGTGTAATTCCTGCGAGTATCGGGAAAACTGTGAATGGCTGGATCTGCAACACAAGAAGGCACTATCGCGTAACAAAAAGAGTAAATTGATTTAAATGTTCGATTTCACATTAGGGAATTCAATCGGCTGGCTGTGTAAAACGCCCTGCCTATTTAGACCAACGTAGGGCTGTATGTCGTATGTTAAAGTGAGCGTAGCATTGGAATAGTCTTTGAAAGACTTTGACTTTAAGGAATACTTCTGTTTTGCGTTTTCGATTCTGGTGTGCTGTTGGTGTGGTTTGATGATCTTATCCCATACGACGGTGGATGATTGGGTGTTTTTGTTGTTGTAGTTTGCTGTAAGCTGAACGAAAACTTGCTTTGTATTCCAGTTGTCGAACAAGTGAGAGCTGTCAATGAGGCCGTCGAAACGGAGAAATGCGAACTCGTTGAGTTTGTTGTAGCTATTTACGACGTTGAACTGAGTGAGTTGGATATTTGATAGCGTGCTTTCTGGGTATCTTAAACTCGTCAGACTAATCATCCCGATGAGGACGAATAAGCTAGAGCTGATGATAGCGGAGAGGCTATTTAACCTTGCGAGCGTTGTGAACATCTTTTTTGAAGTCTGGTGTTAGCCTTTGTTGAGTCTTTTGGCTTGACTTCTTTATGGAATGTGACTGTAGAAGCGATAGACTCGACTGTCCGATTTCGTTCAAATAGACAGACGATTGTAGTTGATAGTTGAGTGTCGTAGCCGCTTCTTTATCTAGAATTTATTTGTTAGCAAATTCTACAGATTCTACACTTTAGAAATTCACTCAACTGGAATTTGCTTTCTTTGGCATTTGAAGGACGTCTGAATAAATTCCTTCAATTCGACAACGAAGACGAAAATATGCCAGCAAACCCAGACACTTCAGCAGCTGCTCAGGCTTTGTCAAACCTCAACATCGCACTCGGTTTGGAGTCCTCTGATCTCGTCAGCCTCGCGAACTCAATTCGAGACTTATCAGCCCAACTTAGCCAGCAGTACAACGAGAATGCCGAAACACAGAAGGAGAACTTGTCTATTCTTGCTAGGCAATCCGAAGAATCACAGCACCAGTTGTCTAATACCTTCACCGCTACTTTGCAGCAACTCGTGCACTCATTCGAGAAAAACAATCTAGAGTTATTAGCACAGAATGAGAGACACCACAATCAAATGCTCGAACAACAGAAGATTCTCTCCATAGAAGAAGCATCTCGTCAAGACCGTAACCACAGCGAGCTCATGTCTTTCATCCGTACTACCCATAACGAGCAATTCGAATTCCAAAGAGAGCAGCTCAGCCACGACAGAAAGCTCCACGCTGATACCCTTGAGGCCATCGAGCACCAAGCCCGTCTCATCCAACAATCCACACAAGCGATCAAGGACATGGACAATGTCAATCGCGCAGTTGGTTCACGTGTCGATGACATTAGAGAAGACCTTGAAGTTCACAGATCTGAATTGAGAAGATTAGGTGACACTCTTCGTGAAATGTGAGTGTCTTACTTTTTTATACTATATTTTCACATCTAACACACACCTACAGCGAACAAAGAGACATGATTCGCACGGCTAACTCCGCGTTCAGCGTCGAGACTGATGATCATGCACGTATACAATGGCCATCACCATTGCGTACTCCGGACCCAGACTACCCTGCATTACCACCAACTATATCCGCATTGAAGAGAATGCCAGAGAACGATTTACTCGCTCTCTCATCAGCTCACACTTCCGTTTTACGTTCCGCATGGATCGACTATGGTAAGAGAGGTGGTGACCTTAGAAGAGAATTACCAATTAGAATCGCTAGTTCAGTTGGTTTCAGATTGGGTAATAACTAATTCGAAAAATACCTTAATACCCGTTAATTGTTTTCCACATATCGGCTTATTTAATGACATACACGAATTTAAAATATTTCTGTTATAACTCTTAAGAAAGTCTTTAATACAAGAATGAATAAATAATTGGCTTTTCTAGGTTTACCAGTCTGCCATCATTTCTTCCGCAAGTGGCTCTGGCTCCTTGGATGGTGATTTTTCGGGTTCATTTCCTTGACTATTACTTTCACCTTCCTTCTTTGCTTCTTTTCTTGCCAGGATCTTGTTTACGTACTCTTTAATGAACTTTTTCATTTTGACTTTCTTATCATCAGTCACTTCCGTACCACCTTTCTTCTTCTCCTTCTCGAGAAGCGTACTCGTTAGCTCCTTCGCATGTTTCTTGAAGCTATCATGACTGAATCTGTCTTTATTCTTCGACATTGTGTTTACGACAACTTCACCGATCTGTTTATGAAGTTTCTTAAATGGATCACTAGAAGAACCAGATGTGGGCTTGTCACTTGAAGTTGTTTTCCCATTGGATGACTTTCGCCGCTCACGCTCTTTCTCCTTTTCTTTCTTCTCTTTTTCCTTCTCCTTTTTGGCAGCTTTGCGCGCTTCATTGTCCTCTTTCTTCTTCTTCTTCTCAGCCTCCTCTTCTGCCTTTTGCCTTGCGAGTTCTTCTTGTCGTTGTTGCTCGACAATTCGAGCATTCTCTATGACTTTTTGTATAGCTTCTTTTTCGAGTTTCTGGTTGGCAGCATTTGAGAACTTCTCTTCGCGCTCTCTTTTCCGTTCTTTCTCAAGTTCGAGCAAGGTAGGCGCTTCGCTCTGCGATGGCGTCGACGATGCTTCTGGCTTAATAAATTCTCTTTGGGATTTAAACAAATTTTCTTCTTGTAATCTCAGCCTCTTATTTTCTCGCTGTTGCATCAAATCTGTTTGATTCTCTGCTTTGAGGATGTCGTCTTCAGTTTGGTTCAGACCCCTCTTTGGTATCCTATATGCACTCTCGAGTTTATTCCATAATTCTAGCAAGTCCGTTGCATGCTTCTTTATTTCAGGATTTTCGAATTTTTCGAGAATAGCTTTAACTGGTTCGTCTATTTTTGATGTTTCTATTTTGTTCTTTACTTTAAGGTGCTGTGACCATTGTGATAACATTTCGAGGACCTGGGCGTGTTAACACGATCACTGTGATGTGGATGAACACTCACTATTGTGTTAATCTCTTCGTCATCTGGGTATTCAGAGAGTAATGATGAGTGTATTGCGAAACCATGCATACGCATCATTTGACGTTGGATATCAATTTCTTCAGTCATCTTATTGTAAAGTTTAAGTGAGGAATGTCAATAAGAGAGTTCACTTACCCTCATACGTTGGAGTAACTTTATAAGAATCTTTCTATTAGTAGAGGACTGTCTAACGGCCGTAATAACCTTGGGTACATCAGTAAGTACCATTGGCTTGAGGGTGAGTTCATAATCCTCGTCAAGCTTCTTGGATTTCTTTTTCCTGGAACCTTTAAGCTGGTGTTGGAAAATCTCCTCTGGTGTGATACCTAAAGCATCAAGGATTTGATCGTCCATACCACCTATGTCAGTTTGGGTTTTACCACCAATGAAACCGACACAATTTGGTTCTCCACAGTAACAGGGTTGGGCGTCATGTCCATATCTGTCTACATTGTAGTTAAAAGTGAGTTCTTCGCCTTTTTCGATCTTCCGTTTTGTGAAAATACCCATTTTGACATATTTTCCAACGACCCATTTGGATACAAAGCAGTTTGGTGCACATGAATGGTTTGCGAATCTCCCTATGTTTCCTCTGCGTGTGGCATCGATGAATTCTTCGTTCTGGAGCATCATAAAGTAAAAGTGCTTGATACCTTCCTTTGAGTAGGTGTTCATACGTCTAAGAAACTGCGTTTGAGTGACTACTTCACCTATATACTCAATCAAGAACGTGTCCCTATCAAGGTCGACATTAGCTCTCAAACCGTATCCCTTCTTTTCAGTCTTGATAATGTCGATATTTGCCCATTGTTTACGTTGGAATCGCTGGTTGTTACACTGTGGCCCAGTCTTGCAATCGTCAAGAAGACACTCGACTTGGGTGAGTCTATTGATACAATCCGAGTGATTACCGCACTCTCCACCTGTGAGATAACAATCACAGTAGGCTTCTTCGAGATTCTGTTTCGTCCTTCCTAGACTCTTATTCGCGTATGTGCATTCTTCGAGACTATCAAACGTAGATCGCGCTTCTTTGGTAGCGACAGGTAAATGTGACATATCAATTGGTTTACCGGGTGTCCTGCCACCTTCTGGAGTATCCACAGGCGTCGCACTACTACTCTCTGGTGATTTCACGCCTTTACTCATCGCGAGCGATAAAGAAGGAACAGTTTGAATCTCAACGATGACGATGAAAAATATTATTACAGTTATATTAGAATACGCTGAAAGCGCAGAATATCAGAGTTGTTATTGCGAAGAAAATATCTACAGACTCGTTAAGAAGCTAGCTGATGCAGGCGTTCAGCGGAATAACAGAGTTGCTTTTATAAGTAACACTAAGAAGCACGTTTTGCTGTGTCAACAGAATGCTAGTAGTCGCGGTGATCCTTATCCCGTTATTTGGGATTATCACGTTATTGCATTGTTTTCATTGGATGATGGCGATTACGTCCTAGACTTGGATACACGCCTGGGTCGGTTGTGCAGGTTAGATGAATATATACAATCCACCTTCCACTCTTCAACGTCTAAGGAATTACGCGCTTGGTTGCATGTCGTCGATGCGGAGACATTTATTGCCTCATTCGCTTCTGATAGGCGACACATGATTGTAGATGGTCAATATCTCAGTCCACCACCCTCTTGGGCACCCATTCGTGGTAAAATGAGCAACACAGAACATAACCTTGAAGAATTCATTGAAGGTAGTTTCCAACCAGCGTCTCGCGTAGCTCTTGATTGGAGTGGTAGTAAAACAAAGATATCTCTATAGAGTATAATAGCCAGCACACCCATTTTGAATAATATAGGACGATTCATGGCATTTCATTACAATTTTTTAACCCGTAGTATAGCGTTACATTGAATGTGGTGAAGCAATATCGATTGCACTTTTCAAATTTCAGGTTCCTGCCAAATTTTGAAAATTTTTTCGGGAAATATGTCGCCACGCAAACAACTAGGCAAAATTTCTATTAAAGTTTCAGCTGTAATGGCATCACGGAAGTTGATGAATAAGCTAAAGCTAAGGAGGATTAGCGATGAGCGCTGTCACGCACATCTCCGTTGAAGTCCTGGGTTCGAGGAGCGATTACTGAGCAATTAGTATTTTCGTTTCCTCGATTAAGAATCGTCTACACACAATTCGTAGTCAGGCAACTGCACACGATTAGACGATTTACCTGGATATTCATTAATGGATCGGATGTGAGAACGTACAGACGCGCAACGAGACTCCTGTTCTTCAACGACTATTCTTATTATCATTTTCTTTTTTTGTTTTTAGACATGTTTGTGGCTGATATTAAGGCGTTTTCAGCCTAATAATATTGTTTTGACTATATAAACATGTTACATCAAGTCGTACATACATTCACAATGCTCGGGTTTTCTTTTGTTTGCTTCGCGTTCATTTCATTTGCTTATATAGCATCTTCTGATCCTATAGCACCTTCATCTGTTGAATATTATGACAAAGTGAATACTCTCCTTCAATCTTATCAGGTGGGCGACCTATTTGTAGAGTGATGATCCTGCTGATGTAGTAGACAACCGAGGAGGATGCACTCATCACTAGTAATGCCCAGTATGAGGATGCTATGCAAGTAGCCAGTATGAAATATGATCAGGACAGAATCAGAGATTATAATAAAAAGGTCTACAACAGAGCTGTTAGACGTCACCACGAAAAACAAAGAAAGTTTGAAGAGTATGTAAGTAATATTAGAAAAGCTAAAATGAAAGGAAATCATTCAAAAAATGACGGCAAAGTCTTAAAATGGTTGAAATTCTCATAATCATATGGTTTTACACAATACCTATTTGACTATGTCAGATGTAGCTTATTTTAACCATTCATGTACCCACAAAGGTGTAATAAGATGAAGGGAACTACATGAAAAGCCATTCCTGAATGTTATGAGATTACAGATACTGAATATCCAGCTAACGCACCTCAACTGGACACTTGTATGCTAATACCACAGTTCTTCAATTTGATAAGGGTATCTTTAAGAATCGGCAAAACATCTCTGCCACTTGGTTCATTTGCCAGTCTCAGTATGAGATTCTTGAGTGTATCGACCAAACCGGATGATTGTATTGCAGTTTTAGCCTGATCGTCACTAACAAGGATATCCTTACATGCCTCCAGAGTGGCATCCAATATGACCAAAGCTCTGTGCACCAAGCCAAGATGACTATCTTCGAGTAGTGCCATAATAACTCTGAGGAATTTCGCAGGATCGCTCAAGATATGTGCGCAAACAATAGGAGACATTCCACAAAGTTGAGCAAGAGCTCCACTTGCACCTAAGCGTGTTTCAACAAGTTCTGCATCCGATAAAGCCAACAAGATCCCACAATTAACTTTCGAGCGCGCCGACGTGGTGTACTTTGAGAAAGCGCTCTCGGACATACCGACGAGATTGCAGATTAACTCTGTTGATGCTCTCTGGAGGAGCTCATGGGAGCTCAGAAGACATTCTTCAGCAGTGGATAGCACGCCACCGTCGAATGCGGTAGCAACGCGCTCAGCAAGGTCCGGCCCGACAGACGACACATTGGTTAGTGCCATCAGGGCTTCAAATTGTTGAAGCTGCAGGGCATCAGGATGAATCAACATTTCATAGAGTGGTCTTATAAATCCAATCGCTGCTGTTGTTATAGGTGGTGCATATAGCGTACTAGGCGGTGTCGTAATCGTCATTTTTGCAAGTGCTTGATTGGCATGTAAGTCATCACCTGTCAATGGAGATGGCTGTTGGGATATAATATTCAAAAGTGCCTTCACTACTCCATCTTTGAGGAGGTTTGGTCTGTTTGCATCGTTTGTTATGAGTGCAAGGTAAACTGTCGAGGTGTTGCGTCTGCTAAGGAGAGATTTCGATCTCGAGAGGGCTGACAATGTCGAGGCGACACCTGCTTGAAGCATTCTGGAGTTGCGGCCGCGTACTTTCTCGATAGACATGTATTCTTCATCTTCAGGATCTACCTGCTTTGTTGATTTTTGAAGCTTCTTGAGCGTCTTCTGTTCTTCAGTTAGTGGTTGTGGGTAATGGCAAATGTTTGCTAGAACTGTCGAAAGAGTGAACTCGATGGAGGTGTCTCTAGGAGCTTGCTCTTGGGAGTAAAGCTGAGTTGATTGTTTCGTAGGAGGTAAATGCAGAGTTGAAAGCATTAAGTTGATAAGTCTGACGTCCCTTGAGAGAGTATCTGCTATCAAAGGCGTTGACGATAAGTAAGACAAAGCCTCTAAGAAGATGCTGATGACGTTGTCTGGGAGTCTATCGAAAGTGGAAGCTAAGCGAGATATTCTGTCATAGTGTGAATGCATGCTTTGCTTATTATTAAGGTGTTTGTTGTGCTTGATGAGTGTGAGAGTAGATAGAAAGCTGATCTGGGCGTCATTACTATTAAATTGAGAGTTTAAGTAGAATATAGATCTATCGTCAATCAAATTGTTGCCTAGTTTAGAGGAAGAGGCTGAGTTTAGGATGTTTAGACTGTTTGTTGGATCAAAAGAGAGTATATCTCTATTTATTAAAGAAGTAGCAAACTCTGGATTGACTGACAGTAAAATTGCTATAATATCTCCATATTTGTTATCATCTAATGCTCCTATCCTAGTTTCTAATTGCTGTAAGCCAGATAACTCGTTCAATTTATGTAAAACAACTGTTCTAAGTATATCAGTTGTATTTTCAAGTAAATCTGTAATATCATCTTCAGTTAAATTACTATTCCCTTCATTCACTCTTTTCAACAATCCATTCATTTCTCTCATCTCTTGATCTTCTTCCACAAACTAAATGCCACCAAAGAAAGGCGGGAAAAAGTCAAAAAAGACTGAAGATGACGACTTCTGGTGGGTATTCCATTCTTCATCTCTAAAATTTATCATCTCATCTCTCATTTAAAGGGCTACAGCAGGCGAATCCATCCCTGCAAACGATACAGCAGAAGTAAGCAGCGAGGAAGATGCACCACCACCTCCAAAAAAGAGTGCATTCTCCGCATTCTCCGCTATGGACGTCGAAGGTGGCGATTCTGACGAGAACGATGAATCAGACGATCAAATCAAGCCATCTCCAGCTGTCCCAGATGAGGACGACGACGACGACGGTGGTGATCTAATGGCAGCAATCTCAAAGTCAGCCAAAAACAAGAAGAACAAAAATAAGAACAAAAAGCAGCAACAGCCTGCAGACGAGGATGATGAAGACGCTTTGTTAGCAGCTGCTATGGAAAAGAACGCTAATGTCACTCCAAAAGATGAACCAAAGGCTGCTCCACAACCTCCAGCGGAAGATGACGGTGCTCCTAGACTTTTATCGAAGAAAGAGAAAGAAAAGCTCAAGAAAGAGAAGGAGAAGGCCAAGAAAAAGGCGCAAGCTGCTAACAAAAAGACCGCACAACCTCAAAAGGAGGAGTCTCCAGCTCAGGAAGAAGCACCAGAGCCAGCTGAGCCAACAGACGCTCCAGCTGAGGATGAACCAGAAGAAGCAGGCGCTTCAGCAGCTGACAAGAAGAAGAAGAAGAAGAAGAAAGGTGGTGCAGCTGACAAGCCTGAGCCTGAACCAAAGGCAACTGATAAGAAGAAGGGCGGTAAGAAACCTCCTGCTGGTTTGGCTGCGTTGAGAGCTCAACTCGAAGCCAACAAGCAAAAGGAAGAAGAGGAAAAGCGTCGTAAAGAAGAAGAAAAACGTCGTATCGAAGAAGAAGAGCGCTTGGCAATTGAAGCTGAACTTTACGAAGAAGAACAGAAACAACTCAAGAAGGAGAAAGATAAAGCTAAGCGTGAGCAACTCAAGAAGGAAGGAAAGTGGCTCACCGACAAGCAAAAGAAGGAGAGGGCTGCTGGTGAAGCTCGTCGTCAAGCTTTGTTGTCATCTGGTGTTCGTGTTGCTGGTTTAGAAGAAGGAGGCGATAACAAGCCAAAGAAACCAATCTACGGTAAAAAGCCAGCAAAAGGCAAGCAGCAACCACAACAACAACAACAACCAAAGCCTGTTGAACAAAAGCCAGTCGAGGCACCAAAACCAGAGCCAGCTCCTGCCAAAGAGGAAGAGAAGGAAGATAGATGGGATGCAACCTCATCTGAAGATGAAGGCAAAGACGATAAGAAGGAAGAATCAAAGGCTCCAACTGCCGGTGATCCTCACCTTGATGACTGGGATGCATCATCTGATGAAGAAGAGAAAAAACCAGCTCCAGCGGCCGCTAAGGAGACAAAGAAAGAAGCTCCTAAATCAGCAGAGACTAAAGAGGCAGCTAAACCAGCAGGCAAGCCAGCAGCTAAGAAGGCTCAAGAGAGCTCATCAGAAGAGGACTCAAGTGAAGAAGACTCTGACGATGACTCAGAAGATTCATCTGATGATGAGGAGCTCACAAGCACTCAAAAGGAGGCTCTTAAGCGTAAAGCTGAAGCCCATGAGCGTCGTATCAAACGTCACGAAGAGGCTCTTGCCGCACGTAGCAAAGATAACCTTCGCTCACCTATTTGCTGTATCCTCGGTCACGTCGACACTGGTAAAACCAAATTGCTTGACAAGATCCGTCAAACAAACGTCCAAGAAGGTGAAGCTGGTGGTATTACTCAACAAATTGGTGCAACATACTTCCCAATTGAAAACATAAAGAAGAAGGTTGCAGTTCTTGATAAGGAGGGTAAGCAAGAATACAAATTACCTGGTTTGCTCGTTATCGATACTCCTGGTCACGAATCTTTCACCAACCTTCGTTCTAGAGGTAGTTCGTTGTGTAACATTGCTGTCTTGGTTGTAGATATTATGGTGAGTAATAATCTTCGGATTACTTTTTTCTGACTGAGTTATCAGCACGGTCTTGAACCACAAACATTAGAATCACTGAGATTGCTCCGTGACAAGAAGACTCCATTCATTGTTGCTCTTAACAAGGTGAGTTGATTTTCATATCTTTAAAATCTTATCACTCATACCTTTCAGATCGATCGTCTCTATGGTTGGAAGACAATTCCAAACAATGCATTCTTGGACTCATTGGCACAACAATCAGAGGCAGTTAGAAAGGAATTCCATATGAGATTGGACAGAGTCAACTTAGAATTCGCAGAGCAAGGTCTCAACTCTTGCGTCTACTACGATAACAAGAAGATGGGTAAGGTCGTCTCATTGGTTCCAACCTCTGCCTTCACCGGTGAAGGTGTACCAGACTTACTCCAACTTCTCATCAACCTCACTCAAGAGCGTATGAGTGGATCACTTATGTACTTGTCTGAGCTCGAATGTACAGTTCTTGAAGTCAAGGTTATCGAAGGTCTCGGTACTACCATTGATGTTGTATTGAGTAACGGTATCTTGCGAGAAGGTGATAAGATTGTAGTATGTGGTCTAAACGGTCCAATTGTCACTCAGGTCAGAGCCTTATTGACACCTCAACCAATGAAGGAAATGAGAATCAAGGGTGCATATGTGCATCACAAGGAGATTAAGGCCTCAATGGGTGTTAAGATTACCGCTCCGGATCTCGAAAAAGCAATTGCAGGTTCGAGGTTGATGGTCGTTGGTGAAGATGATGATGAAGAAGAGCTTATGGAAGAAGTCATGGGTGACCTTCAAACACTCTTGTCCTCAATTGACAAGTCAGGTCGTGGTGTCTGTGTTCAAGCTTCAACATTGGGTTCTCTCGAAGCTTTGTTGGATTTCTTGAGAGCTTCAGAAATTCCTGTCTCAGGTATCAACATTGGTCCTGTTTACAGAAAGGATGTTTTGAGAGCTGGTGTTATGATTGAAAAGGCTAAGGAATTCGCAACTATCCTTGCGTTCGATGTTCCAGTTGATAAAGAAGCTGAAAAATATGCTGATGAAGTAGGTGTCAAGATCTTCAAGGCTGACATTATTTACCACCTTTTCGATCAATTTACCGCTTACAACAAGTCTATCGTTGAAGAAAAGAGGAAGGAAGCAGCTCCAGCAGCTGTCTGGCCATGTAGATTGAAGATATTACAAGCATTTGTCCGTAGAGATCCAATCATTGTCGGTTGTGATATTGTCGATGGTACTTTAAGAGTTGGTACCCCAATCTGCGTTGCGACTGTCAACGGTGAAGGTAAAAAGGAAATCGTAAATTTGGGTAGAGTTGGTAGTATAGAAATTAACCATAAGCCTTTGGATATTGTTAAGAAAAATCAAACTGGTGCTGGTATTGCCGTTAAGATTGACAACCCACATAACCAAGCTCCGAAGATGGTTGGTAGACACTTCCAAGAATCTGACTTACTCTTGTCACACATTTCAAGAAAATCTATTGATGTTCTTAAAGAAAACTTCCGCAACGACCTTACAAAAGAGGATTTACATCTCATCAAGAGACTCAAACAAACACTCGACATCCCATAGATCAACTTGCCTTATTTTTTCATTTTCTCATGCATTTACAATCATCTTTATTTTAATATTTTGTCTTGAATATGCACATAGACTAAAAACCAAAATTTATACATGTATTAAAGCAGAAAAAGAAAAGCAAATTGGAATTGTTCAACATAGCGTAAACCAGCGCTAGTAAAAATATTACAGTGATATACTAAAGATGATCAACTTGGTCTAAATTTTGATCTTGGACTATTATCGAAACCCTTCTTTGACTTTTCAACCAGATTGGCTGATTGAAGGTTCTTTATTTCATGCTCTAATGTTTTTCTAGGTCCTCTCCTTATTGAGCTATTAGATTTAAGACCGTCATATGCAGGTAAAGGCTCAGGAGTATCTTTGACACTACCTGTACGTGATAAACTATCCATAGGTCTCGACTTAGAAGGCGTTGCCATTGAAGATGCTCTGGAATGTCCTCTGCGTTGAGGAGTGGTGTTTTGAGGCGTTACTGGTCTTTCCAATACCGATGATGATCTAGATAAAGTGGGTGTTGGAGCTCTGTTTTCATCGAAAGTGTCCTTCTCCTTACATAATGTTAGCGTATATATAGAAATGCGATATAGACCTACCCCTTTCCAACTCATAATATTCTTACGTAGATCTGCTATTGTGCTTCTCTGTATTCTTACGACGTCATTTAACTTATCCATCTCGCCATCATCAGCTTTGGTCAAAGGAGTAGACTTTGCTCTGAGATTAGGTGATGATGCTCTATCAAAAAGTCTCCTGATTGCCGTACTCTCTGAGCTGACTCTCGATTGTGATGGTGATTGCGTAGGCTGTGGTAGAGGCAATGGTCTTGCTTTAAGTTTGGATATCTCTGAAGCTTGTTTTTGTATGACATTATTGAGTTCACTAACACGATCTTGAAGTTCGACATACTCTTCCATACGTTTTGCAATGTGCACTTGACCGAAACCTTCATTCTGTTCTGTCATATCTTGTCGATTAGAAAGCTCTTCTACTTTGGCTTCCAATTCTTTTATTGTAGAATCTCTTACAACTATGGTGGAAGTAAGTTTAGTGGCCATACCACGAGCATCGTTGCTTTCTCTCTCTGCTGTACTAAGGCGTTCTTGTAATTCGACATCCTCTTCAGCTCTGTTATTAATAAGTGTAGCCATTTCCTCTTCAGACTCTTTTCTAGCTGCTGTTTGGGCCTCTGTTGCTGACTTAAGTTCTTGCTGTAATCTGCTCAATACATCCTCATGAGACGACCTCATAGTTTCGATCTCCCTTTTGTGAGAATCGCCCAATGAGTTAGACTCGTGTCGAAGGGCTTCTTTTTCTGCCAACAACTCAGCTACTTGTGCTTTCAAAAACGTGTGTTCACCATCACGTTCTTCATTACGTGACTTGTATTCGTTTAGTTCTTTAGTGCGCTCTTGGAGCTCATTCTTTAGTTGCTGTCTTTCCTTTTCGCTTTCATCCTTATCCTTCTTCAATTTGTTAGCATCTTCGAGTAGTACATTGACTTCGCGCTTATGCTCATCAGCTTCAGCTTGCATGTCCATTCTGAATTTGGTAAGAGTATCTTTGAGAATATCATATGATTTTTGAAGCTCTTCGTGTGTTTCTCTCAAGTAAGCAATCTCTTCTTCTTTTTTCGTCTTGAAAGAGTCATGAGAATCTTGCAAAGCTAGGAGAGTGGACTTGGTAACGCCATGCTCGTCTTTGTGTTCATCTCGCTCCTTTTCGGCTAACTTCAGAGACTCTTCAGCTTCTTTCTGGGCTTGAGCAGCCTTTGTGATATCGTCTTTGTAGCTGTCACGTTCTTTCTGAATAATATCTCTTGCGTTGATAGCAGCGACAAGTTCTTTTTCGTGGTGATCACGTGCCTTTTCAGCCTCTTTTTGCGCTTGCAAAGCCTTTGATTTGTCCTCCATATAACTATCACGTTCTTTCTCAGCGTCCTTTTGACCTTGCAAGGCCTTTGAACTTGCTTCTTTATGGCTATCACGCTCCTTCTCCGCTTCTTGACGCGCATTCACAGCAACGTTAAGCTCCTCTCTGTGAGAATCGCGTGCTTTCTCCGCTTCTTCCTGTGCTTGTATTGCCTTGGTAATATTCTTTTTGTAGTTATCACGTTCCTTCTCAGCTTGTTTCTGCGTTTCAAGTGCCTTAATACTATCTTCCATATAACTATCACGCTCCTTCGCGATCTTTTCTTGTGCAGCTTCGGCAGTTCTCAGAGCATCTCTTATAGTAGCAATGTCTTTCTCAAGGGTTGACAACTTTCCAAGAACTGTATCCTTTTCTTTGATCGCATTCTCATAATCATTGTCTTTCTTCTTTGCATCTTCTTCGAGCTTTTCGATCTTTTCCGCATTCCCTCTAGTCTCAGCTTCGAGTAATTTCTGGCGTTCGAAAAGGCTGTCACGCTCACTTTCAAATTCTTTCATCTCATTTTCAAGCGTTTCTTTCTTTTCGGCAGCCATTTTAAGATCATCCTTGAGCATTTCATTTTGTGATTCAAGTGACGACAAACGTAATTCGTCATCTTGTCTGGCTGATTGAAGGTTATCGAATTCAGATCTCAAGTCTTCGAAATCTTGGCTACTGTTTAAATCTTTCTCAGCTTGTTCTTTTTGGAGTATCATGGCCTGCTTGAGTTGTTCAAGGGTCTGAGACAGCCTGTTGTGCAATTCATCATTCTCAGCCTTCGCTTTATCAATCTCTTCTCGTAGATTCGAAGATGCAGTACTATCTTCTTGCGTTGTATTCTTTAGATCTTCAAAGCGTGAAGTGAGTTCAGATTGCTCAATACGTATTTCTTCTAACTGAGTCCGCAGCGCTTCAACTTCTTCTTCTTTCTCGCGCAACCTTGCTTCAAATTCATCCTTAAGGATATTATGTTAGTAATTGACATGTTTCACATAAGTAACCCACATTTTCATCTGTTGACACTGGAATACCAGTCGACAGTACTCTCCGCTTGCTCTGTGGAACACTAAAACCTGGAGCAGATACACCAAGACCCATGTCCGAAAGACGTCTAGATTGTCCATGACGAAGTTGTGACTGACGCCTATGACTTATATCTTCACCATCGATACTCGTACTGTTTAGTACTAGCTTGCGAGCATCGTCCAATTCTTTCTTGAGTTGATCAATTTGATTATTCTGATAAAAGACCTTCTCATCATTAGCCGCTCTTTCTTCTGCTATAGCATGCCGTATTTCCTCATACTTGTTGGACTCTAACGACGCTACTTCTTTTTGTAATATCTTAATTTGAGTGATATGTTGTTGTAAGAGTGCATCTTTAGTTCCATCAAGTATGTCACCCCTCTTAGCTTGTATTTTAACCTTCTTGATCGTTCTTGCGAATTTCAAAGTATCGAGAGTTGCATTGTGATGTTCCATTCCGTCTGCAATTGTGCAGACTACACCAACTCTTGCATCACCGGATAGGGAGGGTTTAAGTAAATAAGTTAATTTGCTATTTCGGAACGGAATATGTGTTGGTTTCGGTGTTTTCACAATTTCACTAATGACGGTCGATAACGCGAGAAGTGATTTATTAATATTGCTACCCTCTAATCTCCGTGAGGTGTCTGTGGTAGCCTTCTCACTACCAGCCAAATCGATCAGGTTGAGAGTAGATTTACGAGAAACAGAATGTTTCGTCAAGTTTGATTGTCTTTCTGATGATTCTACAACTATTTGGAAGACACAATGTGATCTACTACTTCTGTCATTCCAGTCGGTTGCACCAACGTGTCTATTCATATCACCTTGGTCTTTGAGTGCTAAGACTTCTTGCGGGGTCGTAACTAAAACCTCAGTGAGATTCTCTACGAAAGTGTTGCCAGATTTGTCTTCTCTCACACGCAATTCTTCATTCTGTGTAGCTGGCCCAAGTAAATCGCGTAATTTTTCATTGTAGATTTCCAAATAACGAACTCTCAGCAAAAACTCGCGTGTAGGGTCCTTTATTGAGGCGTTAAACTTAACGAAAAAGGCAAGAGGTTAATACTTACATCGTAAATCTCTTCAAATACTTGCTCAACAGCTAATGGAATAATACCAGGCTCGTCTTCCGTACCAGTAAGAGTGTGGGTTTTACCAGAACCTGTCTGACCGTACGCAAATACCGTAGAATTATAGCCAGCCATCGAACTATGGATGAGTTTTGTTATGTGACTATCATATAAAGAGCAGGTACGCGCTGGTGGGAGAAGTAACGAATCAAATGTGAAATCGCTATTCTTTGAATGTCTAGTTGGCGTACCTGCGCTTCTCTTCTCAACTAAGGGATGGTTACTTGACAGGGTTATTGTGTTTGTTGGCTTATTTATATCGTATAAATGGTGCTTCTTATGAATATTCACGTGATTATTTGCCGTAGGATTAACATCCGCTGGACGCATTCTAACAAACACCTGTACTTGTTCTGGTTTGGCATCTAAATCGTCATCAATCACTTGTTTCCTCCGCAAGTGACGTGGTGTAGGTGGTAAAGGAACTAAGTCATCATCACTGAGTTCACCTAAACTAGGTGGATTGCTCGTTGGCGATGGTGGAGCTTCCGTTGGTGTAAACGCGGCGGTTGGTTTCTTATAGCCTGTTGGAATCTGATTCCTTACTTTGATTTTCATTAAAATTTCGTTAAAATCGTAATAAAGTCCAATAGATGTAGAAATTACGCGTATTTTTTAATTTTTAATTTTTATAAATCGCGTCGATGGATTGCAGTCGTAGCTCTTCCGAGAGAGTATGGACCCTAAGATTTTGTAAGAAAATATTTTAATAAACGGACTGGAAAAGGAAACTAATTATTAATAGGAGAAATTTCTCAGTTTTATTAGGAATTGCTGGTGTCGTCGGCTATAACGTTAAATTGAACATAGATAAGCGTAGATTCGAGAAGGTGAGCTTCTTTCCTGAATAAGCTACGAATATTAAGACATATAGCATCAACAATATCGTAATGAGAAAGAATTACGAGCAAGGAGTGGATAACTACTACAAACAAGTCCACAATAGTTACAGGAATCCACACTTTTACGGTATCACAAAAACATTAAACAAATTTCTATCCACCTTCCCTAAGCCATCCTCTATCGTCGACCTAAGTTGCGGAAGGTAAGTTCTAACGTCTATCGAGTGCCTTCTTTCTAACGACTCATTCAGCGGAGAAGCCACTGAGATTATCACGAACTTTTATAAACGTAGAAATGAAGAGTCACCTTCAATTATCGCAACAGATCCTTTCACAATGTCTGCATACACTCAAAGAACAGGTAGGACTTGCCTACCTTTATCATTCCAAGATATTGCTCAAGGAAAGCTAGAAGGCGAATTCGAATTAGTTATTATATCATTTGCATTGCATTTAATCTCTGATAATAGTGCATTATATTCATTCTTAACTCAATTATCCTATCAATCAAAGTATCTCTGCATATTAAGCCCGCATAAAAAACCAGAAATTAAACAATCTTGGGGTTTTGAAAGACTAAACCCCCTTACATTGGAGGTTGATCAATCTGATACTGAAGAATTGTACATTGAGAGGGTTAGACTGCGATTGTTCAAGTCTTATAATTACTTTTCATGACATATCCATCGATGTATCTTCTCTATTTGATGTATTTTGAGTGTTTTTAGCTAAATAATCGTCATATAAAGCGTCTAACTCTGCGTCATTAAATAAATCATCAAAATCGTCTTCTTCGCTTGGTATCTCGACCATTTCTTCTAAATCTTCGGGTATATCCTCGCCAGCGTCACTCCAGAACTCTAATGGATCATAGTCTGATCCAACATGTATATCGTACTTCCGTTCTTCCCTTCTAAGGAACTTGTTGTAATCACTTTCTGTCATTTTATCCATTATCTTGAGTTCCAATTAGCTAAATAAACATGTTAAAGTAAATAAACGCACTCTATCGCCCAAGAAATCGTCCTCCTCATCATCTACCTCATCCAAATTGAACAGTTGTTTGGAGTTCATTCTCGTGCTATCTACATCTTTAGCTCTAGCGATCTTACGCAGCTGTTGCGATTTGAAACGTTCCTTCCAGAGTCTCTTTTTTGGATCTGCTGCATCCTGTGGTGCGAGCGGAGACGAAGACAGTATCGCGTGGCTAAATCGACCAGCGGATGAGGGAGAAGAACTTGAATTATTCCTGTGGTTGTACCCACTCATTCCCATACTATTAAGATCGCCGTCACTTCTTAATTTTGTGCGACTTGTCGGTCTATATCTATATCTACAGCCGGAATCGAGAGAAGCAGGTTGAGTTGGTCGCTGTATTCGTTGACGAGCAGCTTTTGGTTTTGGTGGTGTGCTTGAACCAGCGTCGAAATTGAAAGAAACTGGATTGCTCGTCGTTGCTTGAGCTGAATTCATCACCGTAATGGTTCAAGAAGCAGTACAAGGAGAATGGTGGATATCCCTCTCTAAAGACATTACAGATGATTCTTTATTACTTTCTAGCAATCGCGTCTCTATCGCGTGAAAGCGTTTTTTGTCTTCTCATAAACGCAGACTAATAAAAACGCGCTAAATGAGACATTCTGAATGTTTATTCAATTTGATAACATATCATCGAAATCGTCATTATTACTATCATTGTATATCTGCTTAATAAAGTAATACATGCATCAACATAAATTCTAAGCTCTCGCCCTAAACATCAACCCAGAGACAGATGAAGGCGGATGAATACCAACTTCAGAAATGATTGCTTCTAAGAGTTTTGGTGGTGTAACATCGTATAACAATGATTCCTGTCTAACATTCTGTCCCAAACCGTTTACATCCAATTCGAATAAATCAGGTGGTGAAATTTCATTCGTCGTGATAGAATCGAGCATCATCCTGTCAACAAACTTGTAAGATTCTGCTAAAGCGTACACCGGAACGTTATGGAGTTTTGACAAAAGAGCTACTGAAGCGTTACCGACTCGAGAGTATAATGCACCATTGGCTAATATCGCATGAGCACCCAAAAGAGTCATGTTAATATTTGGTAAGAGTGATGGTAAGGCTGATAAGTGAGCATATGTACATTCAACGCCCATATCTGTCAATCTAGTGAGGAGGTTTTTACCTTCATTCAAAGGTTTCGAGTCAACTATAATAACTGATAGCATTTTTCCTGCTTTTTTCGCCTCTATTAAGGTCTTCTCGACGATAGATGATCGCGCATAGACTAAGATTGTTGTTTGGACAGTTGATGAGAGCTTTGAGAGTGTGTTCTTAACTATTTCGTCATCTGCGAGTGTAATCCTGTCTCTAACGTAACAATCTATGAGCATGCAGAGGTGATTACGAGCCTTTCAGTACATCAGAAATACATAGCAATGTGTAGTCAACCCACGTCATTATCATCCATATCAGGATCAATATTGGCTATTTGCAATTTAAGCCATCTAATAGCGCTACCGTTTGATAAAGATTTCGGTCTACAGCTCTCCAAATGACTAATCTGAGGTGAGATCACGGACAAGAGATTCCTAGAGAGGGTAGTACCAGCTGGAGTGTTATATGAACCAATAACGAGCTTCAAACCGCTCATTAAAGCTAAAGTGCGAGCGTTTGCGCCAACAATAGAGAAGTTTGATAGTAATGAGCCCAATCTCGATATTTGAGGATGTACATTCTCAGGTTTCACGATAGTATTTGGAGACTTATGAAGGTGTTTGAATGGACTGGCTGTCGTCGCTACTGGTGCTGTACTGTTCACTACACTCCCTCCATCGCTTTTGACACTACCATGATGCTGTGAGGCCTGCTGCGTATGCTCTGGTCTCTCTCCTCCACCTCTAGCTTCAACCTTTTGCTTTCTCCTCTCAGATTTTTGATTTATTTTCTTTTGCTTCGCTTCTGACATTTTCTTCTTGAACTTGAACGACGAAGTGTGAGTTTTAAAAGAAGGCGAGAAAAATGTATGATGAAAATATAAACACAAAACTGTAGTCAATTTCTATTAAATAATAGAAGTACTTGCAATTTCTAACTGTTTTAGTTGATTTTGTAGGGTTTGACCGTGACAATTTTTATAGTCATAGTTACTCTGACATTTTTACGCCTTCCTTAATCAATTAACTTATGCTTACTCCTCCATAGTCACTCTATCGACTCCAATTGGCGCACCTAGGTCGCTTAGCACTAATACCCAGTTGTACCTCTTCTTGAATCCTCCATTTATCATTCTTTGATCATATTTGAGTGCTCTGCCCCATTCAATGACATTCACGCGTGAATTCCCAATTGTACATGCGTGTGCTATTGCTGCACTGGCTTTATCGTACCTGCCTACTGATCTTCTATCCCATTCTCTCCATTTTTCTGTGTTAGGGATGGCTAATGGAGATGGATCACCGTATAATTCATCTAGATTGAGATGTATTGTTATCTTTTCAAGGAATGGCATCTTTGACAACATGTTTATGACCTTATCAGGCCAGTATTTCAGAGGTACATCTTCAGCATCACCGAATACTAGTGCTATATCTAGCTCTTTGATGGTTGGTATAGAATAGCAGAGCCTCTCCAAGCTGTCATCTTCTGTGATTATAATTGAAACTTTTAGTTTTTCTAGTTGCTTATCACGCAAATCTATCAAAGCGTAAGCCAATTCATCCGGTTCTAAGAGTCCAACAAGCTCTAGTTCTTTGAGTTGCTTAGGTACACGAAGAATATTATCACGCGTTGAAGGTGGTCTATCAGCGAACTTGAGAGATTTCAACCGCTTGAACATATCATCATTGTCATTAATGCAAATGAGGTAAGAACGTTCTACACCTGCTATAGTGAGTGTAGTAAGTTCTTTGAGTGATTTAAACATAGAATTATAAGATGTCTCAATATCCTTGTCAATTACGTCTGATGGAAATGGAAGCGGACCCAATGAGAGCTCCTCGAGGGTGCTACCAAATTGTGCAATGAAAGAGAATAAATCGTTAAATTCTGAGTTGCTCGGCGGTGGTAATGGTTGGGGATCACCATCTTCATCTGGTTCATCTCCCTGTTTGATTGATAAGAACACAGGAGATTGGTTAGGAAAGTGTCAACTCACATATTTTGCATCACGGGGATACCATTCTATTTTACAATTCTTTAATTTTGATTTTGTGAACCGCCGTACAGATAATCCGAGTAGGAGGGTATCATAGAAAACTAAATGGAGTGATGATATAGTAGGTATATTGCTCAAGCTCTCGGCTATTGAATCATAGATCGGTTGGTCCCATGCGAGTGAAACGTGATGTAATGAAGGTAGTTGTCGCATTCCTCGGGCAACTTCCTTGGCAACTGAATGAATGAGTCTATAACTAGCTTAAAATGGCTATATACTTACGTGAACTAGGCTTGTAGAGGCATATCCGCAGGTCGATATCTAAGGTCGTGATACTAAACAATCAGATTGATCCACGATTGCGTAGTAGCACTCACTGCTTGAATTTACTAGCTCTACACCGTAGTTCCTTCAAAGTACTCAAATCATGTCCCCTTATTGTGATCTTACGCGATAGATATTGTCGCAGGAGTCGCTCTAGACGCTTACACGTGAGCGAAAGCTGTAAGATATCCTTATATCCCAAAGTACTGGCTATTTTGGCTATCTCACCATCCTTTAAAGATGTGATGTTCATAGTCCCGCGACAAGGTGTTCCGAGTGCAGGAATGTCTTGACATTCTCAACGAAAAATAATTAATTAGGTATGATTTACAGTATTCAACAGAGTTATTCGGTTATCTTTTATATTGAATAATAATATTAGCTTCTCAATAGCCCTTAGTCTTTCTCTTATCAGGTGTAGATATGATGAAATCTGAGGCGAGCCTGCACTTAGGACTTGTTTGAATTTATCATCATCAACTATCCAATCACTGCTCATTGACATCCTGTCAAATACAACCGGGGGTACATCGACAGCCATCATCGCTTTGCTTACATTCTCGTACTCTTGTAGTGCATTTTCAGCTATAATCTATGATTAGCATCGTTTTCAGAGTAGAAAAGAATAACACACCTCTATCGCTCATCAGCGCCCTATTGCGCTTATTAATCCTATTTTTATTGTCATCCTTTTTGAATGACCATGCAATCTCGCTTGGCATTGCGAGATGTATATCAACACCCGGGGCATCCTTTTCATGCACCCTTGCAGTCTCTTCTTGTGTCTGTCTTAATTCTGAGAGTTTCCTCGATAAATAATCGACCAAATCATGTCTATCGACTGCATAGCTATTTTAGCTACATCGCCAGAATATAACAACACTCACCTTCTTCTTCCGACTTTTTAGATAATGTATTGCGTACTTTCATTACTGTACTGTTAGCCTTGAGAAGTACAAGGTATGTGATACCTTCTCCTCTGCACCTCTCCATTAACATGTCGGGACTCTGGTAGGCATGTGCGCCGTCATACATCTATATCATCATTTAGGGGGAATACTATTACAGATATACAACTTACAACGTCTGCAGAGATCCCTGCATCCCACAATGTAGATGCTACGTCCATTCTTTCACTCATCATGCCATTGTAAGCATTACCAAAACTACCAACATAGACGTCACATCTTCGTGGCATGTAGCTCTTATATGATGACATTGCTTTTGAAGGTGTTTTCTTGTTACTCGACTCCATCAGGCAGTTGGCTACGACATCAGCATTTATACGCAATCCGACCATATAAGGTAGCGATCTAGTCGTATGTGAAAGCCTCTCCAGAAGATTGTCAGAGCGTCCACCAATTGCCATCACCTCTCGACGGCCTTTCGCCACTCTCCTGCTAATATCCAAAACTAAACCAGTTGCATAATCCTCATAAGAGTTGTTGAGCATCGTTGTGGTATCAAATATAATATTTCGACGATTATGATTACGTGCGAAGTATTCAAACGTATTGTTTAGTTCTTCTAACGTCTCCTTTAGTTGTTCTTTATAATGTGGGAGGACTTTCATCATATCATTCAGTATAGTCTTGTAGTCATTACCTTTGAGAAGCAAATGATCGAGTTCCTCTAAACGTGTGACACTTCTGCTATTATCGACTTGACTAGCCAATTGGCTGCGTATGTGAGGCATACTCACACCTTTACCGAGTTGGTCAAAGATACCCAAAACAACAGAACGTTTCTTATGAGGAAAGAGCGAAAGGATTATCTCGATAATAATTGAGTGATTTATACGCACTTCCCAATTGGATGTCTTCAGAAATGGTAATTCAAGTGTTTTGTTGACTACTGACATAATCTCGCCTTCCATCGCTTTCGTTGTCGTTGGAGAGACGATGTCAAAGTTCGCCTCAGATTCTTTTATAGGTTGGCCACCTGCGACATTGCGCTTGAAGCGCCCACCCATCCAGAACCTTTTCGTACGCACGATATTTTGCTTAAGAATCATCCTTGCGAAGCCGAGCAAGCCGTTATGGGGGAGATGAACAACGCAACCTGTACTATCGAGTAAGCTTACTACATCCTTTTCTTTAGTTTTGTCGCTGTTGTCCGGCTTGGGCGATAGAAGGGGAGGCTCTAGGGGAACAGCACCATGTAATCTGAATACCCATCCAAGATGTTCTTGTACCAAGCGTATAATAGCATCAGGAGAGAGCGGTCCACCGCCAGTGTCATAGGTATGGTACTGCAGAGCATTTGGTGAGTTGTTGAATAAACGAGAAACCAGCTTTTGATATCTTGGCTGATCGGGATGTAAAACTCTAAGAGCTTCCTCGAAATACTCCTCTTCCATTGTTTCAGGAAGCAAACTCGAATGTAAGACCTCAGCAGCTGATGGTCGCTCACTTTGGTCATGTTTTAGCATCCATTCTATCAACTTTCTCTCAGTCGTTAGGTTATCTGGGAATGTAGCTGGGAATCTAGGCTTTGGCTGTCTCATTTGATGCAATACTTGGACTCTTTCCATACCTGTCCTAAACTTGTTACACATCTCAAAAAATATGATCTAGGATGTGTTAAAAGTAATATCTCAGATAATTATGCACCTACACCTAAGGAGAACATGTCTACTTTCTCAGTATAGCGACCGCTACTATTTGCAATTTCAGGCGCGATGTATAAACTCGTACCAACAGCAGAAGTCGTATCATTTGACTGATTGACCAGCGCTTTGTCAAACACTGTGCTGTAATTTGGATCGTTCACTCCAAGTGTCGCTAAACCGAAATCACCTATTTTTACATCACCTTGAGCGTCAATAAAGACATTACTTGGCTTGAGATCACGATGGACAATTCCAAGGGTGTTTATATATGCCAATCCATCTAGTATTTGACGGAAGATCTTCCACCTCTCATCCACACTGAGACCTTCTTCTAGGGCTTCAGAGAGTGTAAGTTTCTCACAATACTGCATTTGAATATAGAGAATTCGGGAATGGTTGAAATTTCTATTATGCCGCGTATCCTGATTCGTGCTCAATTCGCTATCACTATCGCTGCTACTGGTGCCGCTTTCACTCTCAATTTCTTCTTCTTCTTCTTCCTCTTCTTCTTCATCTTCTTCGCCATTCTCAGTATCTTCATCAGAGTCTGCCTCGAAGAAAATACCGTCATCTCTGCTAGCAGTCTTCGCAACACTCAATGAATCGTCAAACTTCGGGTTGAGAAGTTTGTGCATCGAGAAGCTATAGCTGTCTGATGTACCGGCTTTTTTAGTGTTCACGTCCTTCTCTGCAAACGATTGTGAGACAGTCTGTGCAGCTTCTTCAATCCAACAACCAAAATATCTAACCACGTAACGACTGTTAAGTCTACTCAATGATAAAACCTCCCTAAAGAGTTTACTATCTGTGTTTGACTTCAATCTGACTTTCTTTATGGCGTAGAAAAGACCATCTAGTCTGTTACGCGCTTTGACTACCTCTCCGAATCCACCTTTACCGAGGTGTTCAACTTCTTCGAAGTCACTCCTAAACCTGCTTGTATTCGATTGCTGGTTCGTTGATTGCCAAAATGGATCTATCGGTGGAGCGGCTTTGACAGACATGGATGGTGTTGCGGGTGGTTTTGGCGTTGACGAATTGTGATAGAGAGCTGATGATTTTGGTCTGGTTGTGGCCACACTTGAGGAGTTATCAGACGAATTGTATAACTTATCCAATAGCTGTACAGCGGAACCACGCTGTGATGGATTTGATTCCAGCATGTAGGATATTATGTCGAGAGTATGTTGTGGAACATCGCCTGATTTATCCAATAACACTTTCGGTGATGGATAGGACATTGCATCCAGGCCAAATAACATATTAATGAAACAAACACCAGTATCCCATATATCTCTTTTACGACTAAATTGCTGTGTCTCTAGACATTCAGGTGCTTGCCAGCCCTCATTGACGAAAATTTCTGAAATCTTTCGCTCATTTATTGGATTGGATCTGTGAAGATTAAGAATAGTTTTCGCATATGATGGCCGTATAATAGTCAGTGTTTTCCCAGGTAAGATCAGGATATTTGATGGGCTTATATCCATATGTACGACATCCAATTTATGAAGTTCTTGCAAACCAACAAGTATCTGGGTGAGATAACTCGTCGCGAGATCAACTCTGAAATTATCACAGGCTTGGAGGAGGTCACTGAGAGTGCTCATACCACTCGTTCTCGAATGCAATATGAGTAATTCCCAAACAATCGTACCGCTGGCTTGAGGGTGAGGCCGCAATTTAGACGCATGAATATGCTCAATATGATCGCTCTTTAGTTTAGATAATTTGTCAAGGATCCTTGCAACGTCTTGGAGCTTTCTCTTTCCAGCGCTCTTATCGTAATAGTCCGAATTGATCAGAAAGACTTCCAATTCAAGTAATTCATCGCTGTTGGCAACTGAGCATAGATAGATGGAGCTCAGCCCATCTGAAGAGATGTGATTACCGACATGTACTGTTGTATTGTTATCGAAAGTCTCAGTCCAGACGTCATGGCTTTTGTATTGTCTTTGACGTGACAATTGGGTATTTTGCTTATCGGCTTCTGATTTAATTTGTTCCTCTTTGCGCTTGATGTCAGCTTCAATTCTCTGTGCGAGTGCGTCAGCTTCGAGGGATTGTTTGTGTCTCTTCTTTGCCTCATATGATTCCTCTCGCTGGATCTTCTCTGCTTGCACTGCATTTAAACGCTCTTGCATTCTCGTGGCTAGACTGGCATTGCCGATAATCGTATGATTAGTAGAGATATACTCCTGGCAGAAGATTGCCAAATCGTAAAGCATTGGTTGGCCGATAAGATCACTATCTCGGGATTTCTTTATAACCTGCTTGGTGAGATAGTCACGTTGACTGACTGATAGACCGCGTGTGTTGCGTATTGACAATTGCGGTGGTACGTTTGGGTAAGTTTTCGGGATCTTTACGTGGAGCTCAATGCTGACGTAGGCTTTCAGATCATCCTCCAGTGGCTCTAGCTTTATCATGTACTCTGGCAAACTAGCTGCACCCTATATCATCATATAAGAGGGCTTATCGGGAAGATAAGCTGGTGCTTACCTGCCAGGCTGTTTTGAGCTGCTTCTTGAGCTGAAATAAATCGCCGTAGATAGCACTTAAAGCTTCTAGTTCATTCGATTGTATTTCTTCTAAGCCTTCCATCACTTAGTGATGAATGTTGCTTGAAGAGGAACGTCGAGGATGACTCGCGAGGAAATATTGACGATAGGCAAGCATTGTAGTTTAGATACCTGTAGAAAGACAGATTTTCTACCTGCGAAGGTCGCTATAGTGTTATCGACGTAGATAGCTAAGCTGACGCAACGACAGTGTGTCTATTGCAAAGTAGACTATTGTGCAGAGCACGCCACACCATCGCTCGAGTACTCAGACGAGAATCACTACTGTGAATCATACAAGGAGGCGGAAATCGCGAGAAAGAGCAAGTCAAAGAATAGCTACAATGAGCTTGATATGTGCAGTCAGGAGAGTTGTAACACGAAGCTCATATCACCCATAAGCTGCATCGAATGCAGTCGGACATTCTGCACCTACCATTACCATCCCACCACTCACCGCTGCCAGACCAGCAGACGACTAGCGAACAACGGCAGAAGTGCGGCATCGAACAACGCAGGATTGGCTGCCCTCAAGCGCCTAGGGCAGTCTAATAGTAATACCACAGCAAAGCAGCCGCCAAGAGAGCCACAAGAGCGTGATACAGGGGAGAGAAAGACAAACAAAGAGTCGACTAGTATCCTAGCGAAGGTTATACCGAACATGGAGAGAATCCAAGCAGGTGGCCCTATCAAAACCCCACTCGCTTCCCTCAAGCATGACAAAAGAAGCAAAAGTGAGCGTGACTCACAGATGCGAGCGTTGTTGGATCGAGAGAAAAAAGGCATTCTCTCCTCCAACGACAAGCTACGTCTAGCTGAAATGCGGGCCTTGGAGAGCCAGTCACCGAAGGCTAGGGATTGCAAAGTACAATAAATAGTATATAGTACAACATTCTAGTCATGTATTAACCTATGAATGATCAGTATGCGAAGGCTGCAGGGAAGCGACTCACGCTTCTTGGTTGCCGATCGCGTCGACGATGTTCTGCCTCGTTTTGCTGGTCTGCCGCCCCTGCCGCGCTTGGGAGCGTCTGCGGCAGCCTTTGCCGTTCTCGAGCGGGACGAGCGGGTATTTGTTTCCTCCTCGTCGACCTCGTTGTCGTCGTTCGTTATCTGGGCGTCATCCTCTTGCAGATCAGAGTCCTCGTGCTTGAGAGAACGGGCAGCCGAGCTCCTCCGACGGGTCTGCACCGGCTGGGGCTCCTCTGTCGTATCCTCGGCCTCGCTCAGACTCGAGTCATCCTCTTCTGAGGGCGAAATGATAGGAGAAGAGGGCGGCGTCGCGCGGTCTTTCGCCGGCCTGAAGGCCCTCTGCTGGCAGAGCTCGATGAAGTCGCTGTCGTGCGGCAGTTCGAACTGCTCGACGCTCGATAAGAAGTCGTCCTCTGCTAAGTCCTGGGAGGCGTCAGAAGGCGGGTCAAGAACGGAGGGCGGGCTACCTGGCTGTCGAGACCGTCTAGATCGTAGAGGCTCGCGAGCTTGCGCTTTATATCCGCGAGCTCAACCTCGTGGCCGAGCTCGGTCGTCATAGACTGCTGGACAGACAAGAAATGGAAGTGTCTGTTGAGACCGACGGGCCTGGCTTTTATGACTGCCCGGAAGAGCGCGATCTCAAATTCGTCGTTCGTCATCATACGCAGCGAAGAATCTCGCTCTGGGGATACGCAGCTCACTCCTTAGAAGTTACGACGAAATCGAAAATAAAAAAATAGCGAGGAAACAATAATTTTGCAGCCTATTATGTATTCATCCGCATCATCCTCAAGAAGGCCTTCCTCCGTGCGCAGAGAGACTCTTATCGTGATCATCACTGACGATAGCCCAGGAATTCAAACTTGTGGACGCTGAGAACGGCCAGAACAGCAGCCCTGCGACCACACACCGTCGCTTTGGCCCCTCCTCCGGCTGGAAGAAGTACGCCGTCGGGGGCTCACTCGTTCTCTTCATTCTCTTTCTCCTATCGAAGAACAGCCCTGGGTTTATCTTGGGCGATCATACACCGCCACCACCGCCTCACCGTCAGTAGCCCGCTCTTTCACACACCCCACACTGACTTCATCCGCAGACGTCCACCCCCAACACACTTTCGATCTCCCGAACCAAGACGTAGCCGACCCTCTTATCGACGTCACAAAGGACGAGTCGATCAAGTTCACCGGTCCAATCAACGAGGCTGAAGCTGCACTCCCTGCGTCCCACGACTACATCCACGCCGATCAGTCCTTCCCTAGCTTCTCCGAGGACGCATCATCAAACTCCGACTTGCCGACGAGCTTTGAAGACGATCCTAACCCCGCTGGTACTACCGGTTGCCAATCCCCACACCCAGACGCAACCGCTAAGGGCAGACCACTCGTTCAATATGTCGTCATGATAGACGCTGGCTCCACTGGCTCCCGTGTGCACGCTTACAAGTTTAATAATTGCTACAGCACTCCACAGCTCGAATATGAGACATTCAAGGCTACAAAACCAGGACACGGTTTATCTTCTTTTGCTGATGACCCACTCGGAGCTGCAAAGTCACTTGATCCACTTCTCAAAGAAGCTGTCAGAGTCATTCCAAAGGAACTCCACGCCCAAACTCCTGTCGCTGTTAAGGCTACAGCTGGTTTGAGAATCCTTGACTCAAAAATTGGTCCAAACGCCAGTAAAGAGATTCTTGACGCCGTTCGCAATCGTCTTACCACCAGGTATCCATTCAATGTGAGCGACAGACCGGGTGATGTTGCTGTCATGGATGGCAGTGACGAGGGTGTTTACGCCTGGATTACAATCAATTATCTCTTAGAAAGAATCGGATCAGATGTTGACAATACTAAAGTTCCAACCGTCGCAGTCATGGACCTCGGTGGTGCTTCAACACAGATCGTCTTTGAACCAATGTCTAGGCACACAGATGCTACTCCATTAGCTGATGGTGATCACAAGTATACACTCACTTACGGTGGTAAGCAGCATGTTCTTTACCAACACTCCTACCTGGGTTATGGTTTAATGCAAGCCAGAAGATCAGTACACAACCTTATCGCTTATCTTTATGAATTCGGAAACGTATTGGTACCATCTTGGGACGAATGGAATGAGGACATCAAAGTACCAAACCCATGTATGCCACACGGAACCTCCAAGCATGTTACATTAGACCCTCCACACAAGTCACCAGTAAATGTGACGATGGTCGGTTCATCAAATGGTTGGGATGCCTGCAACAGAGTAATTGAATTAGTCATGGCCAAAGATGCTGTCTGTGAAGTACAACCATGTTCCTTCAATGGTGTCTATCAACCATCACTTATGGAAACATTTGACGGACCACTTCTCGCTATGTCATACTTCTACGATAGATTGTCACCACTTGGAATCAATGACAAAACTAGCTCATTCGCAAGAGGTGAAATCCAAAAGCTTGCATCACACGCTTGTAAAGGTGAAGCAAACTGGAAGAAATATTGGAGGGGAAATCAAGAAGCGCTGGATGTACTTTATGACAAGCCTGAAATGTGCTTGGACTTGACATTCATGAATGGATTGTTAGGATTGGGTTACGAACTTGGTCCACAAAGACCTATCGGAACCGGAAAGAAAATCGATGGCGTCGAACTTGGCTGGACACTAGGTGCATCTATAGCCGTATTGGACGCATCTTCACTTTAAGAAAAATTTACAGCATAATACATAATTAGAGGACATTGCAATATTTAGAAAAAAAAAATTCAGGTTTACAAATCTCAATTTACAATTTAATAACAATTTTCAGCTTTCTTCAGACATTTCTTTGTACTTTTCTTGTTTTATTATCAATCATCATCGCGTCATGAATTTGGCTGTCGTTATTTTGCTAGTAGTAGCATGTGCAGCATTGCAGAGTTTCGGTTTGACAGTACAGCGTAAATCGCACATCGAGAACTACAGCTCGTGAGTCTTGAAACCGGCTATACGTCATAACTAACGCAGTTCAGTCAATGGATAGTCGGCTTCACGATCTATTTAGTTTTCAACATCCTCGGTACAATCATACAACTCGCTAGTTTGCCACTCATCGTTCTCGCTCCTTTGGGCGCGATTTCACTTATTCCGAACATCGTATTCGCCCGGTTACTATTGAAAGACAAGCGTAGAGAGCTAGTACAGGGGATCATATTAATTTGTATTGGCGCCACATTGATCGCATACCACTCAGACCTCTCTCCTGATCACCTCAGCTATCACCAGCTGATGAAGTTGTTTAGTAAGACTAACAATGAGGTTTATTTGGCACTGCAGGTGATTGTTATAGGTGCAACCATTTCAATCGGTCATTTGTGGGAACACAAAAGAGATACTTCAGTTGCGGAAGCCAGTCCATTTATAGAAAGCGCAAAAAGCCACAAGCGGAATGGACCAGCAGTTTTGTTCGCCTCTAGTAGCGGCATACTTAGCGGCTTCTGTCTCCTCCTAGCCAAAGGCGGTATAGATGTGCTCTCTAAGACAATCATTAAGAATGGCAAGTGGAAAGTACTTCTGCACTGGCAGATATGGCTCTTAATTGCTGTACTCGTTGTTTCTGCAGTGTTACAACTTTGGTATCTCAACAGGGCTCTCAAATTGGCCGATCCGAGCTTGATCTGTCCACTCGCGTTTTGCTTCTACAATGTATCTAGCATATTAAACGGTCTGGTATTTTTCAAGCAATACACACACACATCGAAAACTGATTTGCTTACAATTACAGCTGGCACGACAGTATTGTTAACTGGTGTCTGGATTATAAGTCTAAATGAAAGTCTAAAAGAGAATACTGGGGTGGAATCGACGGACAACTCAGATACGATAACTGAACAGCATTCTCCACCAATTTCTCCTACCATTCAGCAAGGATTTAGCATCGGTATTAGTGCGAACTCGCCAAATTTCACAACACAACATCAATCACGTCAGAACTCACTCCTCGGAACGATAACTTCGCTTTTTAAGAATAAATAGTTTGTACATTAGCCATGTATTCTAGATACCCGTTCTTTATCTAAAACGATGACGTTTGATTCACGTAAAAAGTCATTATTGAGGAGTTTGACGGATGTGCTCGATAAAGTGGGTCACAGTGGTTATATTTATGAGTATTCTGACTTTATATCAAGGTGACCGGTAGTAAGACGCTTGTTTTACATCCTGACCTCGCTGGTCCACTTGGATTAATAGCCCAAGTGTCTACATTAAAGGTGTGCATACCGTATTCTTGAGTACTAGTCACTCATATAATGCAGCATCACGGCGTAGATAAGCTTTTCTGGCTAGAGAATGGCCCTCTGAGATCGACAACAACAAACCTCGTTTACTTTAGCAGACCAACTGTAGAATCTACTAAGACGATAACTGATCAAATACTACAATCTAATGAAGAATATCACAATTACTTCATCATTTCTGTCCCTCGCACTACAAAACTATTAGAGCATCAATTCTCTCAGGCTGGTTTACTAGATAGCGTCACATTCTTAGAATTTCCAGTCGGTTTTATTACCATCGAGAATGATGTGCTGTCGTTAGAGTATCAGAACAGTTACGTTGACTACTTCGTTGTGAGTGTCGTCACATCAAAGCAAACACTATCTGATCATGTGTCAAGAATGGCAATTCTACCATCCTCTATGACTCAAGTTCAGCTATTTTATCTTTAGAGAAGGAATTTGGAGCATTTCCCACAATCGTCGGTAAAGGCAGAGCAGCTGAGGTGTGTGTGCGTCAGTATATCTAACAACACTAACCACTCGAAAGGAACTCATACCACTTATCAGACGCAGAAGATTGGAAGAGCAATCTTTACATTCCGACAACAAGAAAGAGGTCGAAAATCTGAACTACTCATCGAACACCTTTGACGCCTTGATTGTGGTAGATAGGTCGACTGACTTGATAACACCTATGTGCATGGAATTGACGTATAACGGTTTAATAGATGAGTATATTGGGATCAAGAATGGTGGGTTTGGCTTGGGTGATAGCACCTCCATTGACATGTCTCAGCGCATATAGAGGTTGAAGCTGCTTTGTTAGATGGTACCCCCTCCACACCCTCAGTCTCAACTTCTGCAGCTAACATGACTCCTAAGAAAAAGAGGAAGCATCTGCTATCAGCCGTGACTGACCCCGTTTATGAGGAACTCCGCGATATAAACTTCTCACAGATTGGAGTATATTTGAATAGAATAGCTAAAACAATTGACCAGAGATATAAGGTGAGGAGAGGAGCTTGTTTGAGACCGCGCTAACTATCCTAAACAGGACAGACACAGTGCGAAGACAGTGAAAGAAATCAAAGACTTCGTTGGTAAACTCGGAGGTCTTAAATCAGAACATCAAAGCTTGCGTTTACACACTGCTTTATCTGAGTTACTCCTTGACGCAACAAAAAGTGATACTTTCGGTACAGTGTTGGAGGTACAACAGAGTGGGTTTTATACTTAGAACGTATCATTGAGATTGACAGTCGATAGATTTACTCGCTGGTTTCGATTTTCAATCACAATTGTCAGCTGTCGAAGGACTCATATATGAGGAAGCCCCTATTCACAACGTCCTTCGTCTGCTCATTCTAGGGCACATATGCGACGGAAACATAAAAACCAAAACTCTTGACCAACTCAAAAAGGATGTCTTGCAAGTATGTCCACAATTCTCTCTATGCACTTATCTAACCATAATTAGACATATGGATACCAATACCTAACACTATTGATTATTTTAGAAGAACATATACTCAATAACCCTTATTATTTCACACAAATACGCAAAAATCTTAGACTTTTCGTAGAAGATGTTAATGAAGCCATACCAACCGACGTCAGTTACTCTTATTCAGGATACGCGCCATTGTCATTGCGAATGGTACAATGTGCAGCCCAAAAAACCGCGGTGAAGAGTAGCCAACCTGATCCTAAAACTCAACTAAAAGCCCACAAAGTGGATGCCTTTAATGGCTTTGTTGATGCTTTGAAGCCAATCAAAGGTGATGTTATAGTAGATGATTTTGAAGGACCATCGAATGACAATGTTGTTGAGGAGGATGTGAAAAAGACTCTCGTTTTCTTCGTTGGTGGCGTCACATACTCTGAGATTGCATCTTTGAGATTGATGTCCAGTCAAATTAAAGGTTTGTCTTGACAATTTTTCAAGCGTTTACAACTGACAAATATCAGATCGCGAATTCGTTGTCGCTACTACAGATATGCTCAATTCGGAAACATTTTTCAAACAACTATCGAAAACTTGAACATGTAATTATATGAAATGTTTTTCATTATCAAATGAGATAGTTGGTGACATACATAATAATATTCTATAATACATATCACTAATATGTTTTCAAGCTTCAGAGTAGATGAAAAAACCCCCATGAGTGCACAATACAACTATAAAATGTGGTATGTATGGAAAAAGTACATGTTATGAGAAATAATGGAACATAATTTCCAATCATATGAATACATGAATATAACATTGAATGTTTCACTATGATTAGACACCCTTATTCGTCAAGCTTTAACCTGAATGTATTCCCTCCTCGAGGGTCTTTCTTCTTTTTCATCCATGCTCTTTGAATCTATGTGAGATCCCTTGCAACTGAAGCAGCAATGAAACCAAGGAGGTGAAGAGTTCTCTCTCATACGCCTTTTCATACTTTCCCCGCGAAATTACCTAATTGGATATCAAGAATCTTATAAAATTGTAACCTAAATAGCATAATGTATATTGCCTTATTGATATGGTGAACGTTATTAGGGGATGATTTTGATAGTGATCTTTTTATTGTTATTTGCGGATGGCTTGACAAACATCCTGAAATATATACAAAAGTGGCTAAACGAGATTTAACATTCTATTAGCTGATTTATATATCACATTAGACTTAAAATTAACCACTTTGGAACTGTCTTGGATATTCATAAATCAAAATTTTATGCGGACTCTCAACGTTAGCGAGAGCTCTCATATTTGCACATAATCTACAGATAAAAGTATTCCAATGAGAAAGCTTATAAACAGTGATTTATATGTAGTTTACAATTCAAACACCTTCTACGTAAAGGAAATTTTAGATATTCAATTAAGAACTTAGAATTGTTGCTTATGCAATATTCTCGAATACATTCCAACAACACGTTTTCAAACTCTTAGAGTAGTTGCAATAACCTCCATGAATGTACAATAAAACACTGAATTATGGTATGTATAAAAATTGTATCCTGTGATAAAAAATGGAACCTAAATTCCAATCATGTGAATATTATACTACATGGGTTTTACTATTCAATCAAAATGACTCACCTTAGTCAAGCTTTAAGCGAAATGTACTCACTTGAAGGCCTTCTCAACTTCATCATCCGCGCTATTTGGATCTATACGACATTCGTTGCAGCCAAAGCAGCAATGAAACCAATGAGGTGACTGATGCTCTTTCAAGAGCTCATGCGTACTTACGCCTTCAAGTAATTGTAAGTCAAATTTGATAATTTTATAAACTTGCAATCTGAATAACATGATAAATATTGTTATAACTGCTATAATGGATGTTCTTGATGGGAAGATTTGATAATGATCTTTCTTATTGTTATTTGCGGACAGCTTGAAAAACACCCTGAATTATGCATGAAACAAGCTAGAATTGTATTAAAATACATTTACCTAATATATATATATTAAGTCGCCCAAATCAACCACTTTGAAACTATTTTGAATTTTCATAGATTTAAATTTCAAGGACTTCTAACATTACCGAAAACACATATAGCCATAGTTTGCAGATGAAATCATCCTCATTGAAAACAAACATAAGCGGTGATCTACACGGATTTTACAATCAAGACACCTTCTTTGTGAAGAAAACACAAGATGTGTAATCAAAATCTTTAAATGTATAATGTTTTTATTATGAGTTTATATGCCATATAGAAAAAGAATAAATAATCGAAAAAATAAACTGAATGAGTTATTAGAAAGTATCCATAATATTATATTTATAAGAAAGGAACTTGGTTCATTTCTCTAGTTGCTAAAATATCCTCGTCAAAATCATCTTCAATATCGTCACCAATTGTGTTCATTGAACGTTCACCTGTGCTGTTCGTTCTATTTGCTATATCTGAGTTTTCGAAAGTGAGATCATCGACATCATGTATATCACATTCATCACTATCTTCTTCATCGAAGGAGTCTTCATTCTCTTCATAATCATCGTCATCCTCGTCCTCTTCTTCCTCTTCAGATAATACAAAATCAGAAACTGGTGACGTAGCTCTACTATAACGTGAATCTGGTGATGATGCTCTACTTCTTCTATCCTTCCTATCTGGTTCGTCCAAAGCGGTCGAAACTGGACTTGTAACTGTACTACCCCTTCTACTCAAACTAGATGCTAATGAGGATGGCCAGAACATACCCAATTTCGAGGTAGTTGATTGATCACTCCTTGCGCTCAAAGCTGGACTTGGAGGCGATAGGTCTGGTAATTCTACTTCAGGAATAGGTGGTTTCCAATAATTATAGTCAGTGAAATCTGGTTCAAACGCATTATTGATTGATGGGAACATTTGATCAACTAAATCTGTCATGTGTATGTATGATGATTTATATCCGGCTAACTCTAAGAGTTCCATCTTTACTTCACCTTCACTGTCGATTGTGAATATTCTCGAAGACGGTACATTTACTGATCTATACGACATTGCGTCTGTTATTCTATTACCGAATCCAGCATAGAATGGATTCTTTTTATCAAACACTCTCTGTATATCTCTCAAAGCTGCCATTTTAAATACCTCTGGTTTACGCATTATAACTTCACTTCGATGTTTGTAAGAATAAGATGTTATACTTGTGTCAAACACTTACCGATGCAAAGATGCCATCAGACGATCAGGTGACATAATGACTGGACCATCTGGCAATTGATAATGATTCTGTCGAATATTTCGAAGGTAATCTCTAGTCGTGTCTGCTTGACCGATCGCTCGTGAGGTAAGATAAAGTATTTGATAACCATTTTGAGTGATATCAGTATAGAGTTTTGCAACACCAATATGCGTCCAGTCACGACCAATCATCGTGAAAACGTGTCCAAGGGCATCAGATCTAAAATAAAATTAACAGTGTGACAACTGAAGTACTCAACACCTACTTTGTAATTGTACCATCAATATCAGAGATAACTACCTGATCAGTTGAACCCCAGTAAAATATCCTAGCGGTAGCAACGGCTACACCAGAATAACTGCTATTGACAGAAAATGTAATATTATTGACACCCTTCTTAAGATTAAGCGACTTAAGTTGATCAGAAGTAAGACGCAAAGTCTTTGCATAATGTTTCTTATCCTGCTTCTCTTGTTTTGGTGGAGTAACTGGAGGTGCTGGTGGTTGCTCAGTCTTAGCTTGAGAAGCGGCGGTAGCAGCTAGATCAGGATCTGATTTAGATTTAGACCACCATCTTGACCAGCCACTCTCGCTTGTTTGGGGCTTGTGGGTTTGTTTCTTCGTTGTATCTACATCTGTATCGTCTTTATGACTGACCATGATTGGTTCATTCAATGATCTCCTGTATATCGCTAATGAAGCAATGACAGGAGCTGACGAATACCAATCGAGGTAGCTATCATTGTATCGACATACCAACCCCTTATTATCTACGATGTTGACATCTTGGATAAAAGTATCAAATGTGATCTTGTTCTTTTCGAATTCTACAGCATCGATGTGATCCTCCTTGTGTCCGAAAATTGCCAACTCGAACACATGTTTGGCATTTTCCATCTCAAGTATGAATTCATACTCATTACAACCGCAATGTAATGTCGGTTTCGAATCATTTGAGGTGCTATCCTTTACTGCAGTAGGTAACTGGCTGAATCCGAGTGTATTCTTTTCTATTCTTGGAGTAGGTTGCGTTGATCTAGTTGGGAAGCCTCCCCATTCCCAAGTGTACTCATCGTCTGGCTCTTTAGAGCTTGCCTTTGATAGTGACAAACCTTCTAAGCTGCTTTTGAGTTCTTCGACATCAAATTCGTTTTCATCGTTATTGTCGTGATTGGCGTCATCAGTTTTGAGTACATCATTTTCATCGACACCATCAATATCATCGATATCTCTACGTTGATTATTACTGTTTGATAAAGAGAATTTCCTTCCGTGAGCAGAAGTTAGAAGGTCATACCCAAAAGTAGCCAATGTGAGATCTTCAGTTGTGTGACTTGTTTGCTCATCTTGAACATCATGATGGAGGGCCTCAGAAACAGCATGTGTCTCATGTTGTAAATTACTTTTACTGGGTTCAGCTTCATCAACTGCGTCGTCATTTACTTGTTTGTAACCCTCCAAATCGAGAACTACGTCATCTGCATAAACAACCGAAGGTGCTTTCGCCTCGTACGAAGGGAGATACTTGTCTGATGGTTCTTCATCCCTTTCGAAAGTATTGATGTCCAATTTTGATGGACGGGAACGCTTAATCTTATCTCCGCGAAGGTTGCTCACGTTCGCAGCACCACCAACTAAAGCGGTATCAACTTTCGAAACCGCTGAAGCTGCATTATGAATTGTTTGTGTAGTTTGGTTGCTACCCTCATTGTTATCGTCTGTTGATTGATTGTGGTCAGGGTTCAATAGTAGAGGCTCCGGTTCTTGTGATAAGTCCAGATTCAAACCTTGCACATGTGCTTTATCTGCTGGTTCAGGTAACGGACTGACTGGTACGCTGCTATCAGATTGATCGACGGGTGATATAATTGGTGATGTTTGCAAGTCCTCGGGTACATCTATATCAGTCTCAAAGACAAAAAACGCTTCACCAGCTTCACCAACTTTCATAGAATAATCTAAAGGCGTTTCCGATCCATTCAAATGGAGTGTAACCTGTTTATTGGAGTGAGTGAGTGGCCGATATCACTTTACTACAAATGAACGCACCTTCTTCTCTGCAGCTCGCAATACGCTTAGTTTACCAAATCTGACATGGAATGGTGTGCAAGCTAGCTCATAGCCATCTGCCTCCTCACAGTTTGGCCTTTGTACGACGATAACGTCGATAGCACCTGTGAGAGTGGCTGGATTTATATCCTTGTAATAACTTAATGCTGAACTCAACGCTCTGGCTACGAATGCCATGAGTCTGGGTATATGATGATGGTTGTTAGTGAATAAGATGTGTATGATATCAGATATGCTGATAGAGAAGAGATTGTATAATGTGGCTATAACAATGTACACAAAACGAGCTCAGCTACATGAATTTACTTTCCATCTCTCCTGATTTTCTATCGCTCGGTTAATAAAATAAAGCTCCGATTGACAGTAAAACTCATAAACGTCAAACTAAATAAACGTGAATATAGACAAAAGTACAAATAATATTTTGCTAATTGAGGAATACTAAATAACGTTAAAATTTGCTGCTGTGAACCGACGAAGAAAAACATAAAAATATTATGTACACGCGAGCTTAAGAGACGTGGTGTTCAGCTGTTGTGGATGTTGTTAGTAAAGTCATACAGTCATCAGTCCACTCACTTTGGTGCTGAACTTGAATCTTGACGGGGTCAAATGGATTGAACGCGTTTCTAGGTTGTTCAGATCTGTACAAAGATTCATCATCCTTATCCTCAGTGTTGTATGATCCTTGTCCATGGTGGTTGAGTTGCTCCTCGTTAACATCGGCCAAGGTTCCTACAAAGTCTGTAGAGAACTCGTTCATCTTGTATGATCCGAATGTTGTCGTCTGTGGTTGTGAAACATTTCCACGACGGTTTGTACCACCAATAGTAACAACTGGGCCAGGTCCACGTGAGTTTGATCTATCCCTCGAGGTTGATGATCCACCGGATGTATCATCGAGTGCGCGCAATGACAAAACCAATCTGCAACCCCTGAAATAACTTATCAGCAAAAGCACTTCAGCACCAATGATGTTCCTCACATAATAGCGGTAAGCGCAATCGCAAGTGTTGAGTTTGCTGCCTTAATATTCTCTGGTGTAACGAGATAGCTGGTCGCGTTTCAGTAAGACAGGCAAAACAATTTACCGGGAACTCACAACTGTCAAAGCGTTAATCGGAGTAAAGCTAAAAGTTTTTATACTCACAACTGTATTAATCAAGTTGATACCGAAAATGACAGAGAAATACATCAAACCATCTCTCAAGAAGACTTTTGCGATCTTTGATCTTGATCCGTTGCGGTTCATTGCGAGTTTGGTAACTGTCATAACAACGACAATGGCATCGAATATAAGTGGAACGATCCAGTATGCTGTTGTAAGAGGGTGTACACCAGTTGAAATACAACCTTGTTCGAGTTTACCCAAACCCGGTTTAAACTCAACAGGAACATAAAGAGCTGCAGCTGCAAACATAATAGCAGCTTCTACAATCAAACAAAACAGCAGTGGAATGAGAACGTAGATTTTCTGAATCGCGTAAATGCCCTGTGATAGCGAGAAACAGCTCACTCACCTTTCCCCAGAGAGCCCATACACGGATAAGAAGTATAGCTTCAGTAGAAGCCACAGTAATAACACAGAGGACCTAATTATACTGTCAGTGCACGTCTAGAACGAATATGATCGAAGTACCGGCTCCATTTTCGCGTAAGTTTGGCATTGTGTATCTGATAAGTATTGGTAATGGAATCCAAAAACTACGAGAATGGGTTAATGTAAATACTCTTGTTCCCACGGTCGACCTACCGATGATTGTGACACAAGCAATCGCAGAGTAACGGGTCTTTTAGAGAATGTTAGAGACTTCAGGTCGCTTAATAATGAACGCACAATAAAGAATAATACCTTGACAATTGACCAAGGGGCCTTCCAGATTCTGCGGTACTGAGACGGTCTCAGTAAATCTGCGATGCAGCAAAGAAGGTTGACTAACCTCCAAATGAACAGTAGTTGCGTAATCCCAAAGCAAGATAGCTAATGCAGCTACAGCGTAAGCTCTCAGAGCTGTAATTTGGTAGCGCCTTTATAAAGTTACTATGTGGGGTGTCGTGGCGTTTATAACTACCTACGCAAGGTCAAGCTCTGGCGATATCTCTGTTGCTGCATCAGCCATTATTTATGATTTTTATTGTTATGGTTGAAGGCTAAGAGATCTTTAAATGTCAAGTCAAATTATGGGGTTCAACTTTTTAGTGACCAACGGGAAATGATCGAGTGTAGAAACTAAATTCAGCGGCACCTTTTCCTAATAAATGCGCACAGACAGATGTCAAAAATTTTGCCAATTTGGCCTTAGATCATTTTATTAGTGATTTCTTTGTTTGACAGCTCAGTTGCCCACATTTCTTATGCATGTGAAAATTTTGCGGGCAAAGGGGCACGGTACCTTGAATCGAAAATCTAAAATCAGCTACGCTTTCCCTATCTGTAACCTTTCTTTTCCCATAATTAGAAGTAACTTCTAAAAAATGTCTGATATAAAACAATCAAACGTAGATGTTTTGGTCATCGTGGGTCTTAGGAATGTCTCGTATTTTTTTCCTGACAGTTCGATTTCCAGGGAGCTGGTCCTGCTGGTGTCATTGCAGCTGACTGGCTTGCAAGATTTACCAAGTATGGTGTTAAAACCAGAGTCATTGACAAGCGTTCCCACAAGGTCTTCACTGGACAGGCTGATGGTTTAAACCCACGTTCACTTGAAATGTTCCAATCTTTCAACCTCATGGGCAAGATTGGCAGCGAAGGTCAGTTCCTCTCGCATTGATCGCTGAACTCTGCTAAAACGATATTCCAGCAAACCCAATGAATGAAGTCTCTTTCTGGGCTCCAAATGAGAACCACGGAGGTATTGAACGTTCAAGACGTATTCCAGATACTATCCCAGGTATTTCAAGATACGTACAATCCGTCCTCCATCAGGTACGCAGATTTCCAAAATCCCGAGTCTTCTCTCTGACGCGCATATTCAGGGCAGAATCGAGAGACACATCATTGACGATATGCTCGAAAAGAGTAATGGTACAATGAAGATTGAACGTGGTGTCCTTCCTGAATCATTAGAAATCAATGATGATTTGATCGACGAAGATGACGCTTACCCAGTCAAAGTTGGTGTCCGTCAACTTAGCGAGGAAGAATCACGTCCAAAGTTAGCTTCCAAGCACGGTGAGGTTGAGTCAGGTCTCTACAAGTCAAACCTCATTAAGGATGAAGAGGATGACGTAGAATTCAACCCAAATGTTCCTGTAGGTGACAAGGAAATAATCAATGCTAAATATGTTATTGGTGCAGATGGTGCTCACTCATGGGTACGTCGTCAATTAGGTTTCAAGATGGTTGGTGAAGGTACTGATTTCGTCTGGGGTGTCGTTGACGGTGTTCCAATCACCAACTTCCCTGATATCCGTTGTCGTGCTGCAATCCACTCAAACGCTGGAAGTTTGATGGTTATCCCGCGTGAAGGCAAGATTGTTCGTTTGTACATCCAACTCAACTTGACTGTCGACGAGGGTGGACACGTTGATCGTAGCTTAATCACACCAAAGATGCTCATGGAACAAGCCAAGGCTGTCTTCCATCCATACACAATCGACATCCCAGAGATCATCTGGTACACTGGATACCAAATCGGACAACGTCTTACAACTGAATACGCAAAGAATAACCGCGTTTTCATCGCTGGTGATGCTTGTCACACCCACTCACCAAAGGCTGGTCAAGGTATGAATGCTTCAATGGCAGACACATACAACCTTTGCTGGAAGATTGGTCATGTCTTATCTGGACACGCACCACGTAGCATCCTCGATACATACGAAAGCGAGAGACGTCCATTCGCTGAACACTTGATCATGAATGACGCCCAACTTGCCAAGTTGTTCTCAGGCAAGCCATTGTCATCTGCTGAACTCAACGAACTCGGTATCGATATGAAGGAATTCGAAACTGTTCTTGAGAAGGGTATCTCATTCTTCTTGGGTACATCAATCGAGTACTTCAACTCAGCTGCTACCGCAAATGGCAAAGACGGCAGACTTGCTTCAAAGCAAGAGTTGGCCACAAAAGTACCAGTCGGACAACGTTTCCCATCATTCCAAGTTGTCTCTCAATTCGATGGTAGACACTTCCACTTAGTCGACACTATGTTCGCTGAGGGCCAATTCACTATTGTTTTGTTTGCTGGTAACATGGAAAACCCAGTTCATCGTCAACGTTTGGAGACTATCGCTCAACGTCTTGACAGTGATGATGGTGTCGTCAGCAAGCACACACCAAACAACAGAGAAAGAGACTCTATCATTGACATCAAGACTGTCCACTGTGGTAACAGAGTTAACGTAGAAGTTCATGACTTCCCACAACCAACTGTCTATCCACCAGGCACTTACAACAAGCTCTATGTCGATGATGTCTCATACCATGCTGGGCATGGTGAAGCGTACAAGAACTATGGTATTAGTGAAGAAGCTGGTGCAGTCGTCGTTGTTCGTCCAGACCACTTTGTGGGTTTAGTCACCTCACTCGATGGTGCTGGTTTCGATGATGTAGAGACCTACTTCAGCAACCTCCTCAAGACTGTTCCAGCTGGTGAGCGCAACTCAGCCAAAGATATCAAGGTTATTCCACAGCCAAAGATTAACTAGAGTGTGACACTCTTCGTTGACTATCTTTGACAAGATTTAGATTTTTGTTTTCTAGGATTCCGTTGTAATATTTATACCAAAAAAAACTCTCATACACGTTCGTTTAAATCTTGAATACATAATAAAGCATTAATGAAGTACATCTCTCGCGTATTGTGCTTGCCAATAGCCAAAAGCTGTTGTTAATCTAAGTAAAACGGGTAAAGGAATTATTAAAAGTATTGAAAGTGGTACGACTGTAACTGAAACAATTAGAAGTAAGAGTGCGATTGGTGGCCTGAATAATAAAAAGTACATAAGAGACCTGTATGAGTATGCGTCTTGGAACATCGCCAAGCTATTGGTATAAAACGAGGTCTCGTATTCGACGTGTCCGAATGGTCTTACACGTCTAATGCGCTGGAATATTGGTCTTTTCTTAATGACATAGTTTGGAATGGGATAAAAGTAATTCTGTATTTGAAGCTCGAGACGCGCCATTGCTCTAGCACCCACTAAAAGAACCCAGCCGAATCCCAATCCAATTGGTAGAGTGATCAGTAAACTCGCGGTGATGACGCTTCCCACAAAGCAGAATATCCAGGCGAATAATGCCAAAGGGAATGAAATAACGGACAAATGAGCTAACGCCTTCCACTGGAAGGTACTAAACGTGCCCGCCCAGTACCTTTCCCAGACTGTCCGGTCATCGTCAACCAGTTCCTCCTCCTCATCGTATTCCTCGTGCTGCCGCAATAGTGGTGCATCTTCTGGTGCAAATTCGTCCGATACCCTTGGCGTAGCTGACGTACTCGCTCGCTGGTTGTTCTCGTATGGCTGTGTTGCTCGTCAGAAAGCATTCTACCAGGGAAACCGACGTACAGGTGGTGGAGTATCTAATACACAAATCGTCCTCTCATCTCCCACATTCAGATAAAGCAGTTTCTGTTGGCTAGTATTCTCAGCCATCGTGGTGGTTTACAAACAAGGAGATACGAAAATCATTTATTTCACAACAGAGTATAGCTCTTCGTTAAGTGCATTCTCTCTATCGTCTTCACGGGCATGCAGTATACTGGGTCTACTTGCTCTAAATCTGGGTATCCCATCATCGAAAGCCCTGCGAGGGTATTATTTATGTTTTTCCTAACGTTATACACTCACCTGCAACACCAAATAATGTGTGGTAGACATCAGCCACGTCCCCTGGTCTGTCTGCTATTCCACCATTGTCAGGATCCTATTCAATCGTCAATTTAAGCGATAATCGAGTGATTGCGCTCACTTGCGAGCTCAAAATGAATGACATGAGCTTTTCTTTGTTTATCCAGTGTAGTCTATGCAGTATGCTCAATCCCGAAAGCACCCACCAGGAATAGCACACCTGTTGTGTATTATTAAGCACATGCAATAATAGACATCATGCTACCCACATCTTCCAACTTCTGAGGACGTCCATTGAGCCCTCCACTCTCTACTTGGCGCTCAGACAGCCACCAGCTCAGATTGTCTCGGTCGATGATGTCAAGTCTGTCAAGAATAGCGAGTGCGGCTACAGCGGTGAATACTTAGATGTTTTAGTAAATTACTGTAATTGAATGTAACTCTTACCCTGTCCAGAATGTGTCTCCGCGCTGATATTGTTACCAAATCCTCCGTCGAAGTTCATACATTGCTTGAACCAGTCTACAATTCTATCTTTGATGGCTACACCATTCTCCTTCTCATCTAACTTATGCAATGCACCTAATAGACTCAAAGCACTGACCGCGCAGTAGGTGAAACGGGTGTCTGACTCCCCCCATTCATCGCCGGTGAAGAAACCCTCGTTCTTTGGCCGGAGGGAGAGGATATCTAGTGGTGTAAGGAAGGTATGTTAAGAGTATAATATTCACCCACAATTTATAACTTTATCTGTGTCAATTCCCGATTCTTGTATTGCGTCGTGTATCGCCAACACTTGAATGGCTGATAACGTCGATAACATGTGCGAATCATGATTAGGATGGCTACCAAATCCACCAAGCTTATTATCCCAACAGCTGTATACATAATCAATCGTTTGTTGTCTATCTAGTGCGTCTATTCTCTTTAATAAAGCTAAGCAAGTGACAGCCCAGTATATCCCATTCAAACGGAGGTGTTCTGTGAGGTGGAATCCTAGTGTATTATCTGCTTTGCCAAGTTGTACGATATATTCGACGTGTTTGTCCCTCAATAAATTCGCTGGACCTTCCATATCGATTCCTTGAAGAAGACAGTCAAGTTGAACGATAGAAATGCCACCAAAGAGAGACGCAGAAGAGGCTGCATTGGATAACAACAATGACACACAAAAGGAAGCTTCTTCTTTGAATAAATTTGGTCTGCCAAAAGTTAGTCGGAAGATTTACATCGTCAGCGTTTAATAACAGTATCACAGAAAAAGTTCTACAGACAGCGCGCACACGCCAATCCATTCAGTGATCACCAGCTGGACGTTCCCCTTCACCCTCATCACAAAGATTGGGCTGCACACTTTCCTGCATATGCAGACGAGCTCAAGAGCAGAACAAAGGGTGTAGAAATGGCGGATGTCGGTTGTGGATTCGGTGGTATGTACATTATCGGGTTGTTTGTCAATCTGACGATATTCAGGTCTTATCGTATCACTCGCACCAAGGTTTCCCAATACACTTATGCTTGGTATGGAAATACGTCCACAGGTTACACAATATGTTCACGATAGAATCACTGGTCTTCGCAACCTCGCTGAGAAGGGTGAGACAGAAATGCCGGCGAAGTTGGAGTCACAAGCTGACGGTAAGGGCGGTTATCAAAATGCCTCAGTTATACGTGCAAATGCAATGAAGTTCCTGCCGAACTTCTTTGAAAAGGGACAACTCAAGAAGATTTTCTTCCTCTTCCCAGACCCACACTTTAAAGCACGCAAGCACAAGGCAAGGATTATTACGTGGGTCTCGAGCTTTTTCAGGAAAATTCTCTAATGTAATCCAACAGACAAACACTTCTCTCAGAATATGCCTATGTCTTGGCTCCAAATGCGATGCTTTTCAATATAACAGACGTGCCGGATCTCTTCAGCTGGATGCAGATGCATTTAGAAAAACATCCATTATTCGAGCGCATACCTGATGAGGAACTCTCTGAGGAGGACCAAGTTGCACTCAGCTGCGTTAAGAGTGAAACAGAGGAGGGCAAGAAAGTAACGCGTAACGGTGGCGGCAGACAATGGGCCACCTGGCGTAGAATACCTGATCCAGTTATATAGAATATGTATATTTTTATTTTTATTTAATTCGTCCCTTATCACCTGGTTTTACTTTATCAAGTGGTGTTATTGTAACATACAGATGGAATTAGCAACTTCAGAAGGTTGTAAATATGCCCCCTATAACGTTGGGGAGACTCTAACGCTGCTATTTAAACAGTCATCTGCATCTTCTCCTGTTCATATTACACCCAAAGTTATACATATTTTCCCAATGACTATGTCAGCAGTTTTCCTGGTAGAACTAAATCAATCAAAGAAAGCGATTGTGAAGCTCTACGATAGAAGAACAGCGTTCAGTCTGCGTAAAACAATGATACGGGAGATCAAAACATCAAATAATAAAACTCGCGAGCATGATTACAGGAGGTTCATTGAGACGGGATTTGCAGATACCCTCAACTCAACGACCTATGCTGGTACATCAGGCGAGGATGAAGTGTTCATACACAGGGCGTGCATAAATCTTTTTAATACTGAACTTGGAGCATACGAAAAGCTGAAAATACTTCAAGGGAGCTCCATCCCGATTCTCTACGGTGTCGTCACCTTACGTATCAGCGAGACAAGCCAGACACGGCAACGCTACTTCGATATACCCGGATTAATGCTCGAATATGTAGAAGGTTATAATCTCCTAGATGCATCGCTATTTGTTCAAAAGGAGGAAGTAAAACGTCTAACCTTTGAAAGTACGCGAGTCCTAGCTCAAATTGGAGCTCTAGGTGTACATAATCGTAAACCACATCCTTCCCAGATATTAATACGACATGAACGACCAGTTTTTCTTGATTTTGCTATCTCAAGATTGCGCGATGACTTTGAATCACAAGAAGAGTGGTATGATAAAACGAAAAGCGCTGAAGGGACGCTAGAAAGTGTGTTAGCAGAAATACTAGCAAGGGACGAAGAAGTCAGTTCTCAGCCTTCTTCGGACTTATTTACTTCGTCAATTTAGATGTTCAATGATGACGTCACTCGGACACCCGTTGCGAAGAGCTTCAAAGATATTCGGAAATACATACCAGTTAGTTTGCATCTTTACGAATCCTGTAATGAAATATCCAATAAAATCGCAATTTCGCATAAAAATCACGTGCATTTCTTTGTTTTAAGGTTCCTAAATGGTCATCATACCGACCTATAAAAGGATACACGAGAAATTCCGCTTAGAGTATAACAACAACCATGACTAACAATAACAAAGACGAATTTATGAAATTTCCAAGTCGGAGATCGACAGTTCACTCACGTCGCGGGATAGTGAGTTCATCCCAGCCGCTGGCTTCACAAGCTGGTGTGAAAGTGCTCGATATGGGCGGAAACGCCGTAGATGCCGCGATAGCAGTATCTGCAGCTCTCAACGTCACAGAGCCTTGTTCTACCGGTATAGGCGGTGACATGTTCTTGCTCTACTATTCTGCGAGCGATAAGAAAGTACATGGTCTGAATGGATCAGGAAGATCCCCATCAGCTCTAACACTCGAGAAGGCGCGTGAAATCGGCTTAGATGGCACGGAGATTCCGTTTGACAACATTAACGCAGTTACCGTACCCGGGGCACCAGCAGGATGGTGTGATGCATATGATGCGTTCTCTAGCAAGAAATTATCACTCAAACAGGTTCTAGAGCCTGCTATACGCCTAGCGAGGAATGGATATCCGGTACATCAGATAACCGCTGAGCAATGGAGCAGATCTGAAGAGCTTATCAAGAATGCTTCCCCAAATGCAGAAGAAATGCTGCTAGATGGCAGAGCACCGAAGGAGGGTGAAATTTTGTATATGCCAACACTCGCGCAGACCTTCGAGGAAGTTGCTGAACACGGAAAGAAGGGCTTCTATGAGGGTAGAATAGCGAATGAGATTGTCAAACTTGTACAATCACAAGGTGGATTATTGACACTCGAAGATCTCAGTTCACATACTAGCACTTTTGTCGAACCTATGAAGTACACCTACGCCGATGAGTATGTTGTACATGAGGTGAGCATACTAATATTATAAAGTCATACTGAAACATTTCAGTGTCCGCCAAATGGACAAGGATTGACAGCCTTGATAGCACTTGGAATCCTAGAATCATGCGAAAAACTCGGTATGCTAAGCAAGCCACTCGTAGAATTACCACACAATGGTACAGAATACTTGCATTTTCTTATCGAAAGTTTGAGACTCGCATTCGCAGACACAAGGTACTACGTTTGTGATCCTTCAAAGACCAATTTCGATTTTAAGCAATTGCTCGAAAGGGAATACCTTGATTCACGTGCTAGATTGATCAAGAAAGACGCAATCAGCAAAGTAAGACATGGAAGTCCAGCAAACTCCTCAGACACCGTCTACTTTACAGTAGCAGATGAGGAAGGTAACGTTGCATCATTTATAAACTCAAATTACGCAGGCTTTGGTACGGGAGCAGTACCAAAAGGATGCGGATTCACACTTCAAAACCGTGGATCCAATTTCACTTTAGAGGACAACCATCCGAATGTCTTAGACGGTAATAAGCGCCCATATCACACGATCATTCCAGCAATATGCACGAAGAAGAGTACAAATGAGCTTTTCATGAGCTGGTCGGTCATGGGGTCATTCAACCAACCTCAAGGACAAGTCCAGACACTCTTGAATGTGTTAAGAGGGTTTACACCACAGGAAGCTCTCGACGCACCACGATTCTGCATCGGTGCAAAAAAGCCATCCAAGATCGTTCCACATAACACACCGATCTTGTCAAAGGAAGCTGAATTGGAGAGCAGCCTGGCGGATTCAGAAATAAACTCCGAAGTCAATATCGAAGAAGGCGTCAATGAGAATACAATCAAGCAGCTCAGGAAAATGGGCCACGATGTACGCATATCGAGAGGATTACAACGAGAAATTTGCGGTCGTGGTCAAATTATCAAGAAGACCAGCAAGGATGTTTGGTCTGCGGGTAGTGATATGAGAGCAGACGGATGCGCTATTGCCCAAATATAGATTATGTATACATATAATTTTACTATGAATTTTACTGCTAATTACTGTATGTATTCAACTAACGACATTAAAGTACTATTTTATTTTTCTAGTTATCATTACCACGTTTCGAAATACGGATTACCACCTTTGACGGTTTCGAGTCTTTCTACTATTACTTTACGAGTTTTGTATGGTGTAGGTGGCATCCTGTGGGCTTGATGAACACTCGATGCATGTGTATCTGTTGAAATTCTACCTGGTCTCTGCTCAGATCTGTCATTACCAGATGCGTATGTCTTAAGCCAATTCTCTGCATTTTGACTAGCTTCTATGTCATTTTCATCTCTCTCAGCGTTGACGTTGTTAACTTGAGTTTGGTCTTGCTCATTTGCAAGCTGATGCATTGAATGCTCGACTGCATCCAGCTGGTCCATGTGCTGTAACACATCGACACCTGACGCAGCATCAAGACTCTTGGCATATATACTAGCCGACCTCTGTCTGGAGAAAGGTACGGGGCGGCTGTTTACCCTACTCGATGGGGGTGAATGTGGAGGTGAAAATGGTGAATTATGACTATGAGCTCTGTCAAAGCTTGGGCGAGCACCATCGAATGACTTGGACACCCTGTGCCCAGGCAACGACTTGACTTCATCTTCATCATCTTCCTCATGTTCATCTTCGGTATAGCTGTATCGTCTCTCTGTGATATCCTGCTCTTCAACTTCGCCTTCATTATTATCAGCAATATCAATCACATCATCCCATACGAGAACTTTAACTCTCCTGCACAATTCCAATGGTCCTTCATCTGCATGTCTCAGACTCTGCACTATATTCCAACCCTGACCTTTAACGATGGCCATTTGACGCGCGAACATACCCTCATTGAAATCTGGATCAACTTCAAATACCTGCCTGAGAGCTTGGGTAGTCTCTGTCCACCATTTAGGATCACTAAGAAGTGGCAAAAAGTGTCGTCTGGTCGACGCTGAGAATGGTTGCCCGATTAAGGAAACTGGCAAAAAGAGCCATCCATAGGTATATGATCTCCATCCTTTTGGATGTTGATGTGGGAAACTTAAAGAATTATCTATTGCAGCTATGCGAATTCGTGGTCTGTTCTCTGATATTGATTGTCTCGATTGGGATGGAGAAGGAGAAGGAGCCCTTGGTATGTTTAGATTTGACTGTTTTACGTCAAGTTGATTTTCATCATAGAAAAGTGATTCTTGTGGGTTATTAGGTTCGTCAGGGATGTATGAACCATTTGGTTGATTCGATGCGAGGGGGGTAGGTGGACCTGACATTGAAGAGACATCAGGAACGAATGGTTCAGCATTACGAGTTGGTGGTCTATTGATTATTCCATTTTTGCTAGCATTGTTATTTACTGTATGGCCTGGATCAAATTGGATCATCTAGGTAATGTTAGTTAGGCTCTTAATTGCAAAATGACTCACAAAGTTATCGAGACCTCTATCGGTATTGCGCATTAAGTAGTCCAAAATTACGAGTTTCTCTAATTCCTCTCTAAAACTCTGTTGAAGTTCGGGTGTCCAACTGAATGGTCTGTCTGTATGACTCGAGCGTGGTGGCCTCGTCGAGTAGAAATCACCATCATCGTCATCCAACTGAGCGTGTGCTTGCCATTCAGCGTCGGCATCTACGTCATAATCGAAAAGGTCATCATTATCTCCTTCTCTTGTACCGCACATCAATTGAAGTGGTTGACATCTCCAGAAATTGTTAGAGCGCTTCTTTCTGCTAGCTGCGAAAGCATCTGCTGATGTTCTACCAGGGAAAGGGTGATCTGCCAAGAAATTCGAAGCGTCTTTGTAGCCATGCATAAAAGTCTGAAGACTACCGATCTTATCAGGGAGGGGCTTTGAGCCTTTATGCCAGGCTCTTCTATCTGCCCACTCGTAAAAGAAAGAAGGGGAGGCTAGGTCGACTAAGCCTGTACGTGGGACAATACCCAACTGCAGTCTATCATCCAGGATTGACGCAGCAGCTTCAGAAATGTAAGATAAATTGGGAATCAAGCAACTCCTTCCAAAAGCAATCCACCAAAAGAAATTCCTGTGAGCCCACTTCGTCCATTTCGGGTTTAATCTACCATAAGGTTCCTCATCTTTTGGCTTAAACACGCCGACGATCTCGATTTCGTTGTTGACTTTCCCGCGTGCGAAGTAGCTACCACTTGAACCTTTTAGGATCATTTTTGGATGCAGACCTTCGTTAATAGCCGTCTTTACATTTGAAACTAGATTATCATAGTCAGATTTTGGTGGTAGTTCAGGTGGAATGTAGGTAGCATCAGATGGAATTGGTGTGAATACGCTTGATAACGTTGGTATTTGTTGATGTTGATGTTTTTTTGATTTCTTTGAACGGGTAACTCTCGTAGATAACGATTTTATAGCCGTATCAATATTGAACTTATTATGGCTAGATCCAGGTTCATCTATTGATTGCCGCAGTGGTGCATAGCTCATCTAGAAGATGGTCGTGAGGGTTCAAGAGGGTGGTAACTGCGCAAAGGGTGGCTATTTAATATTGTATCCATTATTAATGTAAATATGCTATTTATTATTATATAGATATATATTCACATTTACACCAGATGTCATACATTCTGTTGAGGATATAAATAGTAGAGGACGTAATTATTGTTATGATATCACACGATTTAGTAAGGAATAATTCAAATTATGTCTCATTTTCTTTGTAGATTCTTTGTCTGTATCAGTCACCATGCAAACCTGGGAGTGGTGTTTTTATAAACTATTATTTACCATAACGTACTAGAAATATACATTATACACATAACGATATGACCATCTTGAAGTCAATTTCGAGGAGGCACTCACCCTGGATTCGAATGGAGCAAAAACACTTGAGCAATTAGTGTCCAAAAGATAACAAGACAGAACAATATTAACTTGAGCAATGATTGTTTAGCACCATGACATTACACCCAGACCTCAAAGACAAGAGAAAGGACGATTTCGCTAACGAATTCATAAAAAAAAAGCATGCATCCAATGATCGAGAGCCAAAACCAAACTATAGAACACATTTGTCATCTATGAATTATGTTAAATCACTCAAAGGGCGTCTCACATATTTTGCACTGTTCGATCAAGCGACTGAAATCACATACACTTGTAGATAAGACCTCTTACCAAAAGACAATACGTCGACACAGCTGGCGGCAGGAAAAACAAAATCTAGGAACGACGCATCTTAACCTGGGATATCATAACGGTACAATAGTTGGGTGGAGACAGACGTACTACGCTCCAAACTTCTATTCAACACTCCTCTCGGACGAACTACTCATAAGTATAATTTAGGGCTAGACTATGAACCCTAGACAGTGCGATATTCTACCATAGACACATAGAGCATTCGCACAAAAAATATCATTCACCGATGGTAAATTACTTTTCAAACTCAATGAAAACCAAAATCGATCATCATCCAAAAAATAGGAAATTAAAAATTGAAGACTTACTTGTAGGCGAGTTTTCTCTTCAAAAACTCTGAACAGTAATATGAAATATTATGCTTTTGTCATTCTACATTTGTTAGTGTTATCCTATACAGTATTTTGTTGTTTTCTGGTCACACAGAAACTATCACAAAATATGGAAAGGAAGCATGCAGCGGTTCTGATATCTGTGTTATGGATCAATATAGCTTATCAAGCTTTTCTAAACAATCAGTTGTCGAAGAACCAGATGTAAGGATCAACACAAGCGGATTGTTTACCGGTCTCAATGATGAAGAATATAATCAATTGCTAAGCGAAGGGTACTCAAATGATAAGAGGGGTTTAGGAAGCGTTTGGGATTAAATGCTTGTTGTAACGGACAATATAATGAAACTCCGCGTAAGAAGGACCTTTCTTATGAAAACCTAATTCTCATAACAAAGAAAGCCCAATGAAGAGGCAAAGTGATACATATTTGGTGGCTCTCAGAGCTATGGAACAGGCAGGTATGAGAGAGGCAAACCATTTCCATCTTGGTATCAAAATCAGGCCAACCTAGGTACAGTAGTGTTGGCGACTACTTCTGTACTACCCTACATAGAAAGAGGCATAAGTGCTATCTTAGAAGCTCGGAGAAACTCACAGACCTATGATAACTATTTTCTAAGATGCTGCGAACAAGTCCGGTGTTAAAATTGCTATTATTAATGAAGGAACGTGTTCCAAGGAGACTCTGGACGAGACAATTATTGAAGGTGTAGCTGCCGTAGTTGACTGGCTATTCGAGTATAAATGTGCTAAGCGCTGTGCTCGCCTAACACATGGAGGAGGTTGGTCAGCTACATTAAAAGTGCTATCAGATTCAAAAAGGATGGACCCAGCTATTCTGAATTGTGAGCAGACTACTAAGTACAATTGCAAGTGGAATGAAGATGGACCCCAGCCAAGTTGTGGTTTATGGTATAACCATGATGTATTGTAGTAGAGCATATTGTAGCAAGTCTGGGATGGGCTGCATAAGATGAATTGGTTAAAAAGTTATTAAATAAATAAACAATAAAAAAAACTGGTAAATAACTGAATCATATACAATAATTATGATAGTAAGCCAGTTAACTGAAATGAAACACAAAATAAATAAGTGCATGTGGTGTTAGCTTAAGCGCAGACATACATATATCTGGTGGTACAACAAATCGCACCCATATGTTTAAAATTAAGCATATTCCCACTTGCGATTTACATGACAGCGTATCTTCTAAAGGTTTGATTCCTCAACCTGTGCTGTTAGGCAAGTAAAATTCAAGACTTGGCAGGGTACTAAATTAGAGAGATCAACACAGGGTTGTACGTGAGTTTAATTTATGAACAAAATGATCAAAACTCCAAACCAAATTACTTTCCTACCATTTCAAACACCAGCCTCAAATATTTGACTGAAGACGGAAGACCTATTATATTTCATAATGGTGTATATGGGGAATACGATGATAGTGGTGGTGGCCAGGAGATCAACCATTGGAAGTATAATTGTTCCAGCATACGTATTCTGCTATTAGGCATGAACATTATCATAAATGAATCAAAATATAAAATCTATGCACTAAAAAAATATATACCAGTACGACAGTCGCAGGGAGATGTTATTTACTGAAGCCGATCAAGTCAAAATTTTCGAGGTAAAACTTCATGTGGGATTATGATGAACCTCCATACTTTAAGTCTAGCTAACATTGTTGTTATAGCTTGCAGGCAGAAATGCAACACACTTGTGCGCTCGTTGCAAGTACAGTGATGGTAATCTAGAACATATTATGTCTTACAGAAATTTCATAAGAAGTTAGCACACCAGGAGGTACCAAAATAATGATAAGAGCACTAGGAGAATGGTATCAGGTGACGCTTAATTTTAGACATATTTTTGGTCTGGATTTTTCAAATGCATATAAACGCGTTTCGAGGATGATAGATCACTTCAAAGAATGGCGTAGAATTACACAAAGCTAGAAGCATCTACAGGGCCACTTCATTTTTTGTTTGTGCTGTTCAGAAAAAGAGTCACTAATTTCAGCTTGATGTAGATACGACGTGGATTGATCGTTTTAGTGGAAATCTTCAAGTTTTACTATTGAGAACCCAAAATCAAATTTGCTATAATATTGTAGCTTTTTAAGAACCCTTGGCTAAGGTAACCTCGGTTATGTTTAATGGTATGGTGCAAACTATGCATAACCCAATATCGAATAAAATTAAAAATGGGGAAATTTCGAAAAAGCTGAGTATCATCGATCGGTCCTGGCTATAAGTTAACTTACTTGGTGCTTGTTTTAATAGCAACTATGGTAATAGTACTAAGTTTAGGAACCTACCGTATTTTTGTATTTGGTGGATTTGCGCTCGCTCTATCATTCTTTTTTTCTCACTATGTCATATATGTCCTGGGACCATTTTAGCTCAATTACGGCGCTTTCATCAAGTAATTTCATTTTAAATCAAGATATCTCTCAGTTTATCAGTCTTATAATCGGAAACATGCGAAGGCAGCTGATAGCAATGTCTTTACTATTTTGTACAAAGATGATTTGATGATAGTAAGCCAGGAAATGCGATAAAATACCTCAAACAAACTCGGTAACGTCAAGCCAATTAACCTCGAATGAAGCACATATTGTGTATTAAGTCACAGAAAGTGTACTGGATCGTATCAACAACATTGTTAGTACTCCAATCTTTAAAAGGCATCTTAGTTTTAATGGCTAAAGGTATTTCATTTCGGTGTCAAGAAGTAGGATTCACCAATCAGTACTAAACAGTGGCCGTGCCGAAACCGTTCAGAAACTTTATTTGATCTGAAGACACTTTATAACTAGAATTGATTCGAGCCAAGTCTGATGGTAATAGAAGCTTATTGATGTCTGTTAGGTATCCAAAAGAGGTTTTTGATATACAAAGAGCCACTAATAGCGTTCTGAGCAGAATATCAATGCTAGATTCGAAAAACAAATATCAAATGCAGCTTTCTTTGGCAGGAGATATAGCAATTTATGCGGATCTAGTCTAGCAGAAGAGAAAAGTCCACCCTGCAATCAAGGTAGAATACCTATTGGTGTATTAAATGAGGAGAAAGTGGATGTAGACCGAATTCGTTTACAAAGATACTAGATCCGGTGTCGGTAAATGAACAGTCGCGCCGATTCTGTTAGCTTCCAAAGAACATTCATTCCAGTGATATTTAACCTTCTAGAGTGGGCAAGTTCATCAAGGTATTGCGCTAGGTCGGAATGCTAGTTACTTCAAGGATTACTGCTCTTGTCAAGTGAGACGAGGTGATGAGACTACTCCCACAACGAACTTATATATAGAGTAGCAGCTAAAGCAATTCTGAAACACTTCGAGCTGAATCAGTTTGAGAGAGTTCTTTGATTATCAATTACTATATAATTTACCGTTTCCTCCTTGTATATCGCTTTTTCATAGATTTGTCGTCACTTCTCTTATCTTCTCTCAAACCGTCATCTGAATGGCCACATCTTCCATCCACGAGATAGACGTTGGGAGATGCACACGTCTACTAAAATCTCTGAAAGCTGAGATAAACAATTTTAAGAACGGTGTCAGCCATCCGCCGCCAGCTGATGATCCTATCTACACGCCACCATCTATAGAAGGCTTAGAGATATTAAATCACACATTCACTATCATTTCACAATCTAGCAGAGATGACAATCAATTCATATCTGCACTCACTGACGTCAAGAAATCACTCCCGAAGCCTTCTAGCGATGCCCATGTTATCGATTTTGGGAGGGTTTATCTACAGCCAGCTGGTTTATACAAAGGAAAAGATCAAATGCCAGCTCGTGTACGTGTGGCTGGTAAATTCAAGGACGCTTCCGAAGGTTTCATTGCATCGTTGCCCACTCAGATAGACGACGACGAGAAAGACTGGCTGAAAGCGAACGGTTTTGGTTATATAAAGAGTGATGAGGAGTCTAGCATTGTTAGGAGGGTAAATGGATGGGTCAACGCCACAGTCGCACTCAGCACGCTCAGCCAGAGCCAATCCGTAGCAGATGTCGTAGCTAGTGCACGTTTAATTACTACACCCGCACCATCGAACTCCATAGACAACGTTGACTTCCAAGTAGTTGTCACTATTAAAGTCTTCCTCAAACAGAAGCTCCTTGAACAATCACCCAACGATTCTCTGCGGCTGCTACTCATGCGCTATAGTCCTCCACCTCAGCCTTCACCGAACACGCCTATACGGCTCTCGACGCAGTACTTCTACTCCATACTCAAACCTGCAAACACACCACCGAATAGTGTACACACAAAGGCTCTCAGAACCCCTCTAAAACAGTTCCAGCGTAAATCAATAGCATTTATGCAAAATAGAGAAGACAACCCAGACGACATCCCTGAACCTGGTTGGATGAGACTGACAGATTATTGGTTATACAACGCGATCTCCGGCCGCCTAATTGAGGGCACACAACCCCCAAATACATCTCTTAAGGGTAGTATGTTATGTGAAGAGATGGGTTTAGGAAAGGTAGGTTAAAGTTTTTCCCCATCTGTTTATGTTGACAAACGAATCCAGACCGTGGAAATCCTTGCTTTGGTTGCAAAGAATGCAGGAAGAGCAAAAGAGTGGTCCAAGTCACAGTCAAGCAACTACCAAAGGAGTGTGAGAACTTCACTGATTGTCACCCCCGATCATTTGCTACAACAATGGATAGATGAGGCTAGAGATCATACGCCTGGTCTCAGGCTGTTAGTGTACCATGGCTACAAGCACATGGACACTCTCCTCACAGCAGCAAAAGCTGCTAATATTGCATCAAGATTGGTTGGAGGTGGAGGTGCCATGTCACCATCACCCTCACGATCGCAGTCACCTCCACTACCTCCACCACCTCCACCGAAGGGCGAGGAACAGAAGGTGGCTCAACCGACAAAATCTAAAGCTAGGAAAAAGGATGACGACGATTTTGTGCCACAATTTTCAGAACATCAATTGGAGCTATTCAACTCTACTGGTTCTAGAGCTCAGCGTGATTTTCTTGCAGATGGAACGCGTGTTGAGCGCAAGACCGTCACTGGTGCCACCAAACGTAAAGCTCCGAGACATACTTTCGATAAATTTAAGGAATTGAAAGAATGCAAGCATCACGCACTTGACTTTATCGATGACATAGAGGGTTTGTTTAGCTTTATGGACAATCATGACGATTTTGATTATGAAACCAAAAGTGTGTTAACAAATCGTCAAATCGTTCAGGATTTCTTCGATGAATTTGACTTAATTATTAGTACATACAGCACACTTTCGAAGGATCTTGCAGTCGCTCACGAACGTCAACCACGAGCTCGTAGGAGTGGCGTTGAGTATAGGAACGATTATATTCCAATGTCACCTCTAGTTTCATGTAAATTCTACAGAGTAGCTCAAGACGAAATACAGTTATCTGGTGTGAAAAAGTCAGCTGATATGACGGCACTTATTCCACGTCAGACATCGGTAGCTTGCTCTGGCACTCCTATCACAGGCTCAATTGAACAATTGCTTCCTATTTTACAGTATCTAGGATTACATGTCGATGGTCGCCTTATTGACAAGAAGTCGTTTGCATCATTTGCGACACATGGCTTATCCCGCGATTTCGCTCGATTGATTCAGAGTATATGTATTCGTACCACGAAAGATCATGTCAAGCGACAACTGCAGATTCCACCTTTGAGGCGCTACATAGTTCCTCTCCACATGGGTGCAGCTGAACAGGCCTATATCGATGAACAGTATAAACAAGCGCTCAGCGAAATAGGCTTAACCGAACGTGGTGATTTCTTGGATAGATCTGTAACATCTGTCGACATAACAAAACTCAGAACGTGGATAACAAAGCTGAGACAGCTCACGACTCACCCACAAACCAGCTCAGCTACAAGGGAGGGCATGGGTAAAACATTTAGAACGGTTGACCAAGTCCTCGAGAGGATGATCGAGGCTTCTTCATCACATATCGTAACAGAGCAAAGATCGGCGGTACGTTGTTTGATCTCTATAGTCATCGCTGATAATTCATTTAGCTCACATCAACTGTCAGGATTGCGCGATTGAAACTACTCATGACACCACCAGAACGTGACGAAGCAAAGGCTCTATTAAGAAGGACCGTCGATGAGGCAGTCACTGTGCTTGCTAGCACACAGGCGCAAGTTGACGAGCACCGGATCAGAAAACCAAAAAACGTTATCGAAGATGTCGTAGCGCATACGGGTGCAGTTGTCGCGATTAGAGAGAAGTCAGACGACATTGCAGAGACAGCTGAAGAAGCTCAAGCAAGAAGGGACTGGCAGTCTCATTTGACCAATCTTCTGGGTAGACATAGGGACATGTTGCTCGTTCTTCATCAAGCACATCTTATCCTTGGTGATATTGGTCATCAACAGGAAAACCAAGAAGAAGAAGATAGTAATTATGCAGCTGCTGATGCCGATAGAGCTAAGTATCTGAGTCACGCTATAGAAATATACAACAAGCGTGTTGACGCTCTGAGTGCAAACTTAAAGCGCAGGATTGAGCCCAAGAAGAATGATCTGCATATTAATTATGTTGGCAACACGGAACTGGGTTTGGACCCAAGTAAGGTTGAGAATGCCAGACCTTCGGGTGAGAAGAAGAAAGAGAAGCCGAAGAAGTACGCCGAGGTACAGGAAGATGAAGGCGAAGATGAAGTTGAGGTAGACCCAGAAGAGAAAGTTACGACGACTTTGCTAGATTTGGACATTCTCATTACGAAACTCAACGAGTCAACGAAATTCATCCTTGACAAACGCCAAAAGGTCCTCGAAGGGGTGCTGAAGTCTATTGACAAAGTAGAAGCAAGTACTGAAGCGTATGGAGAAGATGCGGAATTACAAGCCAATCTTGAAATATACCTTGAGGCATTTGAATCATCAATCAAGGATAGGAGAGAAGTTCTTGGATTGGTAGATGTGTCCGACGACACCGGTAAAGGCGGTAAGCGTCGTGCGAATGCGAACGCAAAGGCTAGGGAACAGCTCCTGCTCGAGAACGCGATTGAAGTGGAACAAGACCAGCACATTGACACCGAGCAGGACATTCTCCGTCGTCAGCTGCAATTCGAGCGACAAGGAATGCGTATCACGAAGAAAGACCAATCGTTCCGAAAGCTCACATCAGAGCTCAAGACATGGTCGACTAGGATCCCAAAGCGAAATATCAAAGCTTTTAAAGAATTACAATCGAACTTGCATGATGTGTACGACAAACAACGCGATCTAACTCGCACACTCAATCTGGAAAAGGATGATTTCTTGGGCACATTCAATTCGAGGGTCTTATATTTCAAGCAGCTGCAAACGCTCAGTGACTCTGTCGCGCCGCTCGACGTCGAATCACAGGAAGAGGGCGGAAAGAATATCCCTCAAGAGATAGAAGAAAGTGAGCGTTTGGAGGCTGTCTCGACCAGGGGTATACAGAGCAACCGGGCGAAACTGAATTACCTATATCACATAAGAAATGCCTCCGATGAGTCGAGCAATGAGTGTGCGATATGTACGATGTCGTTTACGAATGGTGTCATTACATCATGTGGGCATATTTTCTGTCAATCGTGTCTCAACAGGTGGTGTCAGTCTAGACCTGAGTGTCCTCACTGTCGGACACACCTCTCATCATCATCCCTACACAAAATTAAAGTTAATAAGCCTTCAGATAGTAAAGCGGAAGCTAAATCTGAAATCGGAGATGACCCTGGTGGAAATATAGTTGAGAATACCGTCGATAAGCGTATTAGGCCTCAGTACAACGTCATTTCATCTGAGGAGATGGACGATATAGAAGAGCAGAAGATATTTACAGGCGGACATGGTGTTAAGGTGAGTATATGTGTCATATATGTGGCTTATCTGACATAGTCTCTAGATTGACACCCTTTGTAAGCACATACTTACACTTCGCGCACAAAACGTAAAATCTGTCGTTTTCTCATCCTGGCAGAGTGGAATGCAGATTGTTCAGCGCGCTTTTGAAAAGAACGATATTGCATATACACTAGGAAGTGATGTCAAGAAGCTGGAGAGTTTCAAAAAGACGAATGATGTCGATGTCGTTCTACTCAATGGCGAGCGCCAGTCTAGTGGACTCAATTTGACAGTCGCATCTGTTGTCATCTTCATCGATCCAATCGCGAATTTCCCACTCGAATTGCAGGCCATTGGCAGAGTAGATCGCATGGGACAACACCAATCTGTCAAAGTCTACACTTATACATCCTTAGATACGATCGATGATGCCATACTCGATCTTGCGGCTTTGAAAGGTCAGTCGCTGTATGTTAAAGATCAAGACAGTGCATCTCTATCGACGAATGATATGGAGAGTCTTGAGAAAGCTCAAACAAAAGGTGACTTTATCGCAAAGAGTGAGTGATCGATCTTCTGCATATTAGGCGCAAATTAACATGTCCTGTAGAGGACGACCTACTGTCACTTCTTCTACCTGACGTTCACATTCCTTCCTTCACGCCATCTGCCAAATCAAGATCTGAAAGCGCAACAGCCAGTGCATTTGATAGCGGTAGCAATGTGAAGATTGAAGAAGTCGATATGTAAAATAAACACACTGACTGTATTGTATTTATCATTATATATTTGTTGTATACATATAAAGTTATCGCAATTATTTGAATTTCCAATACCTCAAAAACATCAGCCGGAAAGCTGACAGCTGCAAAAACTGCTAAGCTCCTCAATGAGCTACCCAGAGCGACACGGTGCCTAGCAACCCAGCTACGTACAGGTCACTTCCCTACGACTAAGGCATACCGATACCGATTCAAACTAATCGACTCACCTAAATGCAGGACGTGCGGCGTAGATGATAGCATCTCGCACAGAGTATTTATATGTAGAAGACACATAATGGCAAGAATTACCTTGCGAAGAAAGATAACCAAGATCAACATTCGGTTCGAATTAGGTCCAATGCTCAGGAACGCACAAGCTCTTCAAGCCCTTTACGAGTTTTTCAAACCACAATTGACTACGTACCCAAGATACTCCGGTGGTTCGGCGTAACCGAGAAAATTCCCGGACACGCAAATCATCAAGACATTTTACGACACT